TGTTCAAGGCACGCTATGTTGCGAGAGGCTTCAGTCAACGAGAGGGGGTGGACTTCTTCCAGACCTTCGCTCCCACCCCGAAGATGAGTACTCTTCGGGTGTTGCTGCATATTGCAGCCCAGCGCGACTACGAGTTGCACTCCTTGGACTTTTCCACCGCGTTCCTTCAGGGGAGCCTGCACGAGCAGATCTGGCTGCGTCGCCCGCCTGGCTTCACTGGCTCTTTCCCACCTGGGACCCAGTGGCAGCTGCGTCGACCAGTCTACGGCCTGCGTCAGGCCCCACGTGAGTGGCACGACACACTTCGCTCGACCTTTGCAGCTCTTGACTTCTTTCCGTCGTCTGCTGACCCGTCACTGTTCGTTCGCCGTGGCTCGACCCCGTTCTTTGTCCTGGTCTACGTCGACGACCTAGTGTTCGCCACTCCCGACCGACGCGCGCTGGCCTCCGTGAATGAGGAACTGCAGAGGAGACACACTTGCACTGACCTTGGTGAGCTGCAGCACTACCTTGGCCTGCAGATCACCAGGGACAGGGCAGCTCGCACCATTACGCTGACTCAGTCGCATATGGTCGAGCAGATCCTCACGCGGTTTCGCTTCCCGTTGTCCAAGGTACAGCTCACCCCTCTTGGTGTGGATCATGGGCTCACGGCTCCACCTTCGGACGAGTCATTTGAGTCCAGTGGTCCATATCCTGAGCTGGTGGGTTGTCTCATGTACCTGATGACCTGTACTCGCCCAGACCTAGCTTACCCTCTTAGCGTCCTTGCGCGCTTTGTTGCGCCTGGGAGACACCGACCTTCCCACTGGTACGCTGCTAAGAGGGTGGCGAAGTATGTGGCGAGTACATCAGGCATGGGACTTGTCCTTGGAGGGAAGCAGCCAGTTACACTCACAGGTTACTCGGACTCGTCGTGGGCCGACGACGCGGAGACGCGTCGGTCTACACAGGGGTACTCCTTTAGCCTCGGGGCAGGTGCTGTTTCGTGGCGGTCGACTCGGGCGTCGTCTGTCGCCGGTTCCAGCTGTGAGGCAGAGGTGTACGCTGCGGCCATGGCCGCTCAGGAGCTTCGCTGGCTGTCTTTCCTTCTCACCGACCTTGGTGAGCGGCCTCGCTCTCCCCCAGTCTTGTTCGCCGACAACAGGTCTGCTGTCCTGTTGTGTGAGGAGCCCCGACTGGTTGGGAAGGCGAAGCACATCCAGCTTCGTTACTTCCTTCTGCGTGAGTTGCAGCAGCGTGGACAGGCACTCGTTCGACGTGTGGTCTCTGAGGCAAACACGGCAGATATCTTCACCAAGGCGTTGCCGCCTTGTGACAACCAGCGTTTCTGCACCCAGCTTGGCCTTGTGCCTGCCCGTCCTCACTTGCTTGCTTAGAGATGCCTTGTTCTGCATGTCTTGTACTCTTGCATCTCTTTATATTTGCTATATACCTGCATGTGGACTGGCCTTGTGGCCCCTTGCTTGCTCTCGGAGTGTGTGGTGACTTTGAGCTCCACCCTGAGATTTGTCTTGTTCTTGTAGACTGGTCTTGTGACCGTTGCTTGCTCTTGTTGTTTCTACAGGACTTCCGTCACCTAGACTATGGGGGTGTGTCAACATATATTTTATATGTGTTGTTTAGGTTAGTCTAGGTGTTACGTTTCTACTTACTTGCATGATTAGGGTTTGCTATATCTAGGGTTGTACTTCACATTTTCTATCAATTCATTCTTATCGTAACATACGCTGCACCGCCCGCTCATACGCTGCACCGCCCGCTCATACGCTGTACCGCCCGCTCATACGCTGCACCGCACGCTCATACGCTGCACCGCCCGCTCATACGCTGCACCGCCCGCTCATACGCTGCACCGCCCGCTCATACGCTGCACCGCCCGCTCATACGCTGCACCGCCCGCTCATACGCTGCACCGCCCGCTCATACGCTGCACCGCCCGCTCATACGCTGCACCGCACGCTCATACGCTGCACCGCCCGCTCATACGCTGCACCGCCCGCTCATACGCTGCACCGCCCGCTCATACGCTGCACCGCCCGCTCATACGCTGCACCGCCCGCTCATACGCTGCACCGCCCGCTCATACGCTGCACCGCCCGCTCATACGCTGCACCGCCCGCTCATGCGCTGCACCGCACGCACATGCGCTGCACCGCACGCTCATGCGCTGCACCGCCCGCTCATACGCTGCACCGCCTGTTCATACGCTGCACCGCCCGTTCATACGCTGCACCGCCTGTTCATACGCTGCACCGCCTGTTCATACGCTGCACCGCCCGCGCATAGGGAGATCGGGCAGCTGCAGCAGCTGAGGCTGCAGCAAGCTGCTTACAACCTGCTCACCTCCGTGCTCAGCCAGTCACTCACCCCCAGGTGCCTCACACATATTACGCAAAAAATGCATCAAACAACCTGCTAATTTTGCCGACCATGCACAGCCTTTTCCTTTTCACACTCCCCTCCCTCTCCCCCCTCAAGGGAACGTCCAGTCAATCTGGGGTTTTAGAAGCGCAATTTGATGGTGGCAATACCTCAGATGCAGCAGGACGCATGGAAGATGACACCCCGGAAAACCGGGCAACCGGGCGACCAGGAATCCGGGCGACCGGGCAACCGGGCAACCGGGAAACCGGGCAACTGGGCAACCGGGCAACCGGGAAACCGGGCAACCGGGCAAACAGGAAACCGGGAAACCGGCAAACCGGGAAACCGGGAAACCGGGCCACCGGGAAACCGGGAATCCGGGAATCCGGGAATCCGGGCAACCGGGCAACCGGGCAACCGGGAAACCGGGAAACCGGGAAACCGGGAATCCGGGCAACCGGGCAACCGGGCAACCGGGCAACCGGGCAACCGGGCAACCGGGAAACCGGGCAACCGGGAAACCGGGCAACCGGGCAACCGGGCAACCGGGAAACCGGGAAACCGGGAAATCGGGCAACCGGAAAACCGGGCAACCGGGCAACCGGGCAACCGGGCAACCGGGCAACCGGGAAACCGGGAAACCGGGCAACCGGGAAACCGGGAAACCGGGCAACCGGGAAACCGGGTAACCGGGCAACCGGGCAACCGGGCAACCGGGAAACCGGGCAACCGGGCAACCGGGCAACCGGGCAACCGGGAAACCGGGAAACCGGGAAACCGAGCAACCGGGAAACCGGGCAACCGGGCAACCGGGCAACCGGGCAACCGGGAAACCGGGAAACCGCGAAACCGGGCAACCGGGCAACCGGGCAACCGGGCAACCGGGAAACCGGAAAACCGGGAAACCGGGCAACCGGGCAACCGGGAAACCGGGCAACCGGGCAACCCGGAAACCGGGAAACCGGGCAACCGGGAAACCGGGAAACCGGGCAACCGGGAAACCGGGCCACCGGGCAACCGGGCAACCGGGCAACCGGGCAACCGGGCAACCGGGAAACCGGGCAACCGGGCAACCGGGAAACCGGGAAACCGGGCAACCGGGCAACCGGGCAACCGGGCAACCGGGCAACCGGGCAACCGGGCAACCGGGAAACCGGGAAACCGGGAAACCGGGAAACCGGGCAACCGGGAAACCGGGAAACCTTGCAACCGGGAAACCGGGCAACCGGGCAACCGGGAAACCGGGAAACCGGGAAACCGGGAATCCGGGAAACCGGGAAACCGGGAAACTGGGAATCCGGGAATCCGGGCATCCGGGCAACCGGGAAACCGGGCAACCGGGAAACCGGGAATCCGGGAAACCGGGAAACCGGGAAACTGGGAATTCGGGAATTCGGGAAACCGGGAATCCAGGAAACCGGGAAACCGGGAAACCGGGAAACCGGGAAACCGGGAATCCGGGAATCCGGGCAACCGTGCAACCAGGCAACCGGGAAACTGGGAAACCGGGAAACCGGGAATCCGGGCAACTGGGCAACCGGGCAACCGGGAAACCGGGAAACCGGGAAATGTGGTAAACCGCCCGTTCATACGCTGCACCGCACGCTCATACGCTGCACCGCCCGCTCATACGCTGCACCGCCCTTTCATACGCTGCACCGCCCGCTCATACGCTGCACCGCCTGCTCATACGCTGCATCGCCCGCTCATACGCTGCACCGCCCGCTCATACGCTGCACCGCCCGCTCACACGCTGCACCGCCCGCTCATACGCTGCACCGCACGCTCATACGCTGCACCGCCCGCTCATACGCTGCACCGCCCGCTCATACGCTGCACCGCCCGCTCATACGCTGCACCGCCCGCTCATACGCTGCCCCGCCCGCTCATACGCTGCACCGCCCGCTCATACGCTGCCCCGCCCGCTCATACGCTGCACCGCCCGCTCATACGCTGCACCACCCGCTCGTACGCTGCACCGCCCGCTCATACGTTGCCCCGCCCGCTCATACGCAGCACCGCCCGCTCATACGTTGCACCGCCCGCTCATACGCTGCACCGCCCGCTCATACGCTGCACCGCACGCTCATACACTGCACCGCACACTCTCACAATAGCCATGCTGTGTTCTCACCATAATCCTGCAGTGGTCTCTGCCCGTGATCCCCCAGCACTGATGTGACCAGCTCCATGCCCACCGCCATGCGATGGCGCTGCCGTGTGTGTGTGTGTGTGCATAAGGGAGGGACGGGAAAACGAGTGGGGGGTTGTTGGCGCATAATCTTGCACCTGACACTGCCAGTTATCTCCAAGCTCCATGCCCACTGCCATGCGATGCCTCTGGTGGTGTGTGTGTGTGTGTGTGTGCACAAGGGAGGGAGGGGAAGCGAGAGGGGGGTTGTTGTTGAAGGATTGCTCATATTTTAGTTCAAAACTAGCTATTTTAGTTCACACATGCACACGCACACATGCACAAGCACACATGCACACGCACAGATGCACAAGCACACATGCACGCATACACACGTGCACACATGCACATGCACACAAATGCAGCAGCGGTGATTCACCGCACTTCCCCTGCCACAGCCTCAGTGAAGGTACTCGCCAACAGATACTCGCCACACACGTCGTCAGTGAAGGTACCAACTGACCTCCAGATACTCGCTCAGCTCCTTCTGCTTCTGCCGCACCACGCCCTCCCCCCACGCGTTGCGCAGCGTCTCTCCCAGCACCCACACGCCCACCGCGGAGTACCTGTGAAGAGACGGGCATGGGACAGGAAGGACAGGCATTTCAGTCAGTGGGGCAATCGAATGCGGTACGGCCGCTTACACTCTCTCCCAGCACCCACACGCCCACTGCGGAGTACCTGCGGTGTGGACCGGCATGAGACAGGAGGGACAGGCATGGCATGGCAGTCAATGGGGTTTTAGAATGTGGTGTGGTATGGTGTGACACTTCCAATCACTCGTTTTTACTGTACCCACCTCTTTTTTATTGTAAGACATCTCAAAACTCATCAACTCACTCGTTGCCGTAGGAGTTCTTAGCATACGCGCCTCTCCTTGCCCCCGCCCACAGAAAGAGGGAGCCGCTGTGCTTCACTGATACCTGCTCGAGGAGGCGGGTTGTCAGAGGGAATCGAGGAGGGATGAGGGACGGAGAGAGAGGAAGGAGGGATGAGGTTGAGCATACTGCAAGCAACGAGTAGTCAGCATCAATGGTGCAGATGAATATGACAGCATCAACGGTGCAGATTGTTTTAGAGCGCTCACCTCGAGAACGCCAAGGCCATTGCCGACAAGCCGCTCCATCTCCCCTCGGACCTGGCGCCACGGGAGCAGTGCGGAAGAGGTAAGAGCGGAAGACGGATTGGGGCGGAACGGGAAGGGCGGAACAGGAAGGGCGGCATGGAAATGGCGCATCCAAAATTCAGCGCAACGACTCATTGGTTGTCCGCGCAACAGAGCACGCGTCGGTTGTCCGCTTCCTCACCACTCCCTCTCCCTTCCACCTCTCTGTGAGATGCCATCCACAAGAGCCTCACGGATTCACCTCCCCATCCGCAGATTCATTCTCGAATTTTGGGTAAAACGCCGCCACTATGCGTGCCACTGCCACTTTCCGCGTCTTCGACCCCGCGCTGCTAGCGCTGCTCCCGCTGCTTGTGCTTCCGCGCACTCCGCCTTCCCCCGCCTCCGCCTCCGTTAAGCCGCTGTCGCCATCGCACGCTTCTCCTCGTCCGCGCAGTGATTCGTCTCGGCTGGATTCCCTATGCTTGCGCGAGTCTCGTTTTTTGCTAGGCATGCTGCACGACAGACGTAACGAGATTGGACGAAAAGCGAGCGGGTTTGTTGCTGGATCGCAATGCTGCACTACCGCTACTGTCAGTGGTGCTGCTGTTGCTAAATCTAGAGTGCTTCGACTGGTGGCGAGTCTGAGTCTAAATGCGGGACGGATGCTCGCTGTGAACCGAGCGAGCACACGTATTGACACGACGGTTCCGCACACATGAGTAGGGGCTGGGGTTGAAAGAAAAGGCGGCTTGCTTCATGAAGACGCAACGCGAGTCTCTGGTCTGGACTCGATCATGCCATTGTCACCCCCTGGCATCGCATCGTAGAACGAAGTTGTTCGGGTTGTGAAGTGCAACTACAAATGAATTCCGAACCACCCAGTACATACAATATGGTGTTATATTTCTCTAACTATTCAATAAATTATTTATTTGAGAGCACTCAGTGTTTAAAACTGTTTGTTGCGAGAACCAAGCGCAAATGTAAGTTCACTCTAGGGAAAGAATCTATAGCGGGGTTCAGGTGGTAGCTGTGGTTTCCGTGGCGCTTGCCGTTACTATAGGGCGAGGAATTTCCACCACAAAGTCGCCCTCCTGCATCCTGGCAGCACCTAGTCGCACCTACCGCCAAGCCCAAGGCACTTCCGGCAATCCCGCAGCAGTTTTGACAACATCCAGGTCCCATGTGGCTGCGGTTCGGCATTCTATCAGCAACCTAGCAGTCAGTTTCGGCAAGCGCCGAACCAAGTTGTTTCCCTCTCCCCCCACCTCTCCGACCTGCGAACAGTGGTCCCAGCTTTTGATTGTGGTTGCCAGACTTGTTCCCGCCAGACGTACTTGTGGTTCGGCTATTCTGTTCCCGCTTCCTTCGAGCCGAGCCTCAATTTCCGCCCCACCAACTTCGAGGTCCATCCATGGTTCATTCAAATCAAACCAACCCAAGCCTCATCCATGGTTTATTCTGGCATTCACAGCATTTCCCCGCAACTAATTCAGTGATTCGTGCAATAAGAGACTCCTAGATCGCCCTTTTCTCTGCATTCTTGGCTGTTGCTCGCTCCTCCCAGCTGCGTTATCAGAGACATTGGAGTGCTCGTGCAGTAATATAGCAAAGGACATCTCGAGCATTAGGCATGGCTCGATCCTTCCACCTATTTTTTCTCGTTCTTGGCCTACTGCTACTCAGCTTGACGTTATGTCACGCGCAACGAGATCAAGACTACCCCGATCCCGCGGGGGACACCACCTTGCCGGAGGACATGGGCGTCCCTCCGGATGAGGCCGTCGATCAATACGCGGATCCGAATGCGTTTAACGAAGGCGAAACGGCTCCCACCGATGCAGTTCCAGGCGAAGATGCCGTTCCAGGCGAAAACGTCGACGCGCCAGATCCGTTCCTCCCCCCGGAAGACGCGTATCTGCCCGACGATACTACTCCCGTAGACGAGCAGCCTGCTGACGAACCAGCTCCTGGGGACATCCCCTCAGAAACCACCACTGCGCCGGAGGACATTCCCACTGATACCGCTCCCGTTGAGGACGCAGCCCAGCCGACGGACACCGCGTCTGCCGCGTTTGCTCCTGACACGACCGACGCTAATTTCGATCCTGACGCCGCCACTCCCGTCGACGCGACCGCTCCGACAGACGCTGCCCCCGTGGATGCTGATGATACGATGACTGCGGGTAACGGCACCATGTACGACTTCCAAGGCGCGTACGAGAAGATGAAGGGCGGCGATCTCTCCACAGAGGCCATCATTGGCATCGTTGCTGGTGAGTCCTTGAATATATTGCGCACGGACTTTCTATTGCGGAGAAATCAATCTGTGCATGTGGTCCTGTGCCGTCTTGAATGCGAAATTTATCGCATTTTAAGGGTCGAGACCACGCACTTTCTGTCTGGAACGAAGTTTGTTTTCCATTATGATTGGACAGCATCTAGGATCCAACGTTTTTCGCACCAGTGCTACTTTTTTTTTTCGCGTTGACACCACAGATACCCGCGACTTAATTCGATTGATCTCACCTAGACCGAGTCTCTATCTCATAGGGAGTGGTCTATACTGGACTACTAATCACGCCTAGACCGGTTTCAAATGTCCACTTCACTCGTGAGGACCGGTCGAAACGCGTGGGCGTCATGCTGGTGAGAATCGTTCGTTTGAAACTTCAAGAGCGAGGATCCCGTATGTGCGTCAAGTTTAAGCGTAGAAGCTCCACTTTGCGTAACCTTAACCATTAAATTTCTTCTCCCCTAAACGCGGGTGTTACCATGTATTCATCCTTCTACGCCACCGTTCTCCTCTTCTTAAACTTTTAAACACCCCAACTGGTCTGGAAGCTAGTCGTTACGAGTATAGCTGTTGCAAAAATGACGAGGAACTGCATAGTTCACCCGATATATGCCCTGCGCTTTATTACCTCGTTTCCACATATTCTTGCCCCAACCCTTGGGCCCCAACCTCCCTTCCCTGCGTGGTACCCCTTTGGGATCCAACTTCTTGTCCATCCCATTCTCATCCCCCAGTGCCTTCGTACCCCCTCCTCACAGCCCACGCCTTTCTGTCCCCTGTCAACAACCCAATGATTCCTGCTCGGTTCATGCAATGCCAAGTTGCTCACCCCCTACAGCTTTGTCTTACTGGGTGTTGAAGAGGCCTCTCTTACAGCTGAAGCTGCATGTCGAGCTGATGGATGATTCCTTGTAACTCATCCTCATCTCGTTTCATCATGCATACCCATTGCTGGCTGTGCAGGAGTCTCTGGCGGCATGGTCCTTGTCATGTTGTGCGCGTGCATCTGCTGGATTCGCCAACGCAACATCTGGCGAGCCAAATACGGAGAGTAAGTGAATGCTGCCGCTGTCTTTTCTCCTCCGCTCATTCCACCATGGTCATTTTTTTGAGCTGCTGTGGGCAATCTGACTTCTATACCATTTTGAATTGTGACCTGGCTTCCTCCAAGCACTGAGAATGTCCCTTTTCTGTCCTGCCTCCCTCATCCATTGTGTTGTTGAGCAGCGGCAATGCAGGAGCAATTGAGATGTAGGGTCCAGAATGGTAACCTGTATAGACATTTACAGTGGCAGAAGAAAACTTGGAAATCATATTTATTTTGGGCCAAGTCTTCGCAATGTCACCAAGATTGTTGGGTTGAGTACGACAATACCTGTTTGATGCCAAGGTAATATGTGCCAATGAGCAATTTTGTTGGAAGAGTTGGTGCAGGTGAAGTCAGCACAAGCTTCTTGGATGCTGGGTGTGTGAACTTCACTTACGGTACTAAGAAAACATCTACCGTACCTGCAGTTGGTGGCTCTGCTAGAAGCAGCAACTAATGTTATCTTTAGTAGTTGAAGATTAGGTCTGAAGGTACAGCCGATTATAAGTGCTTGTGAAGATTATAAGGTGCATCTTTAGTTCTGCTCAATGCAACATTTTGGCAGCGGGTCAACAGCATGGTCCTCCCCTCATAGCAGATGTTCAGGTGTGGGTGGATCTGAATACAGTATGCTAAGTGCCAAGTAAAAGTGGATATGAATACAGTATTTTAAGAGCCAAGTAAAAGTTAAGTGATTAAACATGACATCATTCTTGTAGCCTTTTTTCCTGCTGTAAAGATCTGTCAGTGTCACTGTTGTACCCGGTATTGTCATTTTGGCAGGAGACACCAGATCAGCAGCAGAGAGAGACACTCCAAGTCCGACTTACGTTAGTCCCCAAAATCGTCACTCCCAGGGGGATGTCCGCCGCAGGAGACGCTGTAGTGATCTCGGCAGAATAATCTTGTCCGGTTCAGATCTACCGGATAAATCAGACATCAGACTTCCGAGATCGCGGCCAAAGACACGTGTGAGTACATGCTTGCACGGGATTTCCGGAAAACACGTCGCGACATCCATAGTTCCCTTCCCGCGCGCCGAAGGGGAATTCGCAAACGCAGCGCTACCCTACCCGTCGCGTAGCCATTCCCTTCCCATGGGATCTTCCTTTCGCGCGACAATTTCCTCCCGTCGCGCTGCGCGTCCCTTCCCGTCGCGCTGCTACTCCCTTTCAGACGCGGTGCTAATTCACTGATGGTCGCGCTGCTAAAGCTTCCCCTCGCCCTGCTACCCCATTTCCGTCACGCGACTATTCCCAACCCTCGCGCAACTGTTCCCTTCCCTCCGCGGCAGGTACCTTTTCGTCCTTCGCGACTGTTCCCTTCTCTCACCCGTGAGTCGCCTCCCTCCCGCCTCAATCTCCACCTCTCCCGCCGATAGTACGGTCGCACACGCTGCCGTTCAATTCCCAAGACGCTGCCATTCCTTTCCCCTCGCGCATTCCCCTCGCGCATCCATTCCTTCCCCCTCGCGCATCCATTCGTTTCCCCTCACGCTGCCATTCCAGTCCCCTCCCTCTTCCTTTCCCGTCCCCTCCCGCTTCCTTTCCCTTCCCCTCCCTCTGCCATTCCCTTCCCCTCACCCTCCCATTTCCTTCCACCTCACGCTTCAGTTCGCTTACCCTCCCGCAAACATTCCTTCCCCCCCCGCTTCCGTCTCCCTTCCACACACTCTGCCGTTCCCTTCCCCAGCCGCTTCCATTCCCGTTCCCCTCACGCTTACATCCCGTCCCCTCACACTTCCATTACCTTCCCCTCCCACTCCCATCCCCTTCCCCTCACGCTTCCATTCCCCTTCTCCCCTCCCGCATCCGTTCCCTGTCCCCCCCCGCTGCCATTCCCTTCCCCTCACGCTTCCATTCCCTCCTACTCCCGCTTCCATTCCCTTCCCCACACGCGGCCATTCCCTTCCCCACGCGCGGCCATTCCCTTCCCCTCTGGCTTCCTTTCCCTAACCCTCACGCTTCCATTCCCTTCCCATCCGGCTTCCATTCCCCTCCCTTAAAGCTGCCAGTCCCTTACCACACACTGCCATTTCCTTCCCCTCCCGCCAATTATGCCCTTCCCCTCACGGTTCCATTCCATTCCCCTCCCGCTTCCATCCCCTTCCCCTCCTGCCTCATTTCCCTTCCTCCCCGCTTCCATTCCCTCACTCTTCCCGCTTCCATTCCCCTCCCTCACGCCTCCATTTCCCTTTCCCCGCGCTGCCATTCCCTCCCCTTACGCTTCCATTCCCATTCCCCTCAGGCTTGCATCCATATCCCTCCCGCTGCCATTCCCTTCCCTCCCGCTGCCATTCCCTTCCCTCCCGCTGCCATCCCCTACCCCTCACGCTTGCATTCCCTTCCCCACGTGCAGTCAGCATGGCTCTGACGTCATCATGTCGGATCCTGGTCGTTGCGGTGCTGATGGCGTGTATGGTGTCGTCAGCATGGGCCATGTATTGCGGCGACGACGATTGCTACGACCTCCTCGGGTACAGTCACCCTTACTGCTTATAGTCACACCTAACTAGGGCAAAGCTTGGTCAAGCCACCTGTATGGTGTCGTCAGCATGGGCCATGTATTGCGGCGACGACGACTGCTACGACCTACGACGTACAGTCACCCTGACTGCGTACAGTCACCCTTACTGCGTACAGTCACCCTTACTGCGTACAGTCACCCTTACTGCGTACAGTCACCCTTACTGCGTACAGTCACCCTTACTGCGTACAGTCACCCTTACTGCGTACAGTCACCCTTACTGCGTACAGTCACCCTTACTGCGTACAGTCACCCTTACTGCGTACAGTCACCCTTACTGCGTACAGTCACCCTTACTGCGTACAGTCACCCTTACTGCGTACAGTCACCCTTACTGCGTACAGTCACCCTTACTGCGTACAGTCACCCTTACTGCGTACAGTCACCGTTACTGCATACAGTCACCCTTACTGCGTACAGTCACCCTTACTGCGTACAGTCACCCTTACTGCGTACAGTCACCCTTACTGCGTACAGTCACCCTTACTGCGTACAGTCACCGTTACTGCGTACAGTCACCCTTACTGCGTACAGTCACCCTTACTGCGTATAGTCACCCTTACTGCGTACAGTCACCCTTACTGCGTATAGTCACACCTGACTAGGTCAAGTCACCTGCTTGGTGTCGTTCTCTTCGCATTCGAAGCCGTTCAATATCCATTCATTGGTGGCATACCTCCACTCCACGTGTTCTGATGACCAGATTAGATCCATGCTCTGCTCCCATCACCACTCCATCGCGTCTTTCCTCTCATTTGAAGCACGGATGCTTTTTATCTCTCTCCCCTTTTCAAGCCATCGCCCTGATGCTCTCATGAGTACAATCTGAATCTTGTAACAACGAGGTTTATTTCCGTCGCTGCCGCCCTTCCGTTTCAGCACCCGTTATCCCAGTCATTGCAATGGTCAAGTCTCAATTCTCTTCCTCGCATCGTCGTTTCTTGAATTTGCCAATCCCATTCCCTATCTCTGCTGTGCCGTGTAACCATGTAACTCTATCAGGGTCAAGCAGACAGCGACCCAGCAGGAGATCAAGAAGGCCTACTACAAGCTCTCCCTCAAATAGTGAGTGAGCCCCACGTGATAGAAGTAATGTTTTGAGACGTCTCAAAGCGACCCAGCAGGAGATCAAGAAGGCCTACTACAAGCTCTCCCTCAAATAGTGAGTGAATAGTGAGTGAATAGTGAGTGAACCCCACTTTTTTGAACTTATCAGCTTACGTTTCCCTCAGAATACCAACGTCCCTCTACCCCTAGTCACCCATCACCGTACCTCTCCATTCCTCACCATTCCTCACCACCCCTGGTCACCTGTCACCGCTCCTCACCACTCTGCACCCTCCACGGCCGTTCCTGCTCCCTGCCTCCCATGGCAGCCATCCAGACAAGAACCCAGAGCCAGACGCACAAGCCGTGTTCTCCAAGATCGCCAACGCATATGAGGTACGGCTTTTCTGTAAAAACATTGCTGAGGAATTGCATATGTCGTAGTGTATTTTTTTGTGAGGTGAGGCTGAGAAATGTGTATGACACTGCTTTGACTCAAGAACAAGGTTATTCATTTATCGTTTGCCGCTGTCTACTCATACTTGCCTGATTCAGACCCCTGACATCACAGGGCACTCATCCACACGCCCACAAACCATGTTGAACCAGCATAAGTCAACCTTCTACTGCCTCTTTTCTCTTTCTCTCCTGCTCGATTATCCGTCCGTCCGTCCAGATTTTGTATGATGCGGAGAAGAGGGAGCAGTACGACTATGCCATCGCCCATCCAGAGCAGGTGCGTTGCAAGGCCTGGCCTGGCCTGGCTTAGCATGTTATATGGCAGGGCACGGCATGTCACGGGCCGAGGCACGGCACAGCATAGCATGGCATTGCATGAGCAGTCTTTGAGGGTTTTCCGAGCAGTGGTAGCAGTTGACGTGTATGCATGTAGCACCTTCGCGACCAGTACCACCTCGTTGCAAACTTAAAGACACATTTGTATGGCCCTGCACATCATTGCAATCAGCCCTTCAAGTGACACTTCGCTTTCTTCTCCCCCCCTCCCTTCTCCCCCACCCCTCCCTCCTGCCTTCCACCTGTTACTTGCCTATGCAGTTCTTCTACAACACTGCTCGCTACTACCAAACCTTTTATGCTCCTAAGACGGTGAGGCTTCTGTTACTTTTGAGCTTGACAGAGTTGTTTTCCCGTGTTTACCGTGCTGTTTGTGTGATCTTCCACGCTTGAAAGGGCTGCATTCTGGCGCAACGCCTGCATTTGGCGCTGCATTCTGCCGGTTGCAGGCGTTGTGCCATTACTGTGCGCTGCCTGTATGCTGTGCTATTGCTCTACACTGACCCACTTGTACTCCTTTCTGTGTCACCTCCATCACGCGCACTACGTGTTGCCTTGCTTCCTGGCAGGATATTCGACTCATCCTGCTTGCAGCGCTGTTGCTGCTCTCGTCCTTCCAGTATCTCAACGATCACATTCGATACAACCAGGTGGGCTCCATTCCAACAAGTGGCATGCCTCAGTAAGCTCGAGTTGAGGTGCTGTTACACCATGTGCCACTAGTTGCGGTGCTAAGGCATGCCTCTTTTCCTCCAAATTTTCAACAGGCAGGCATTCTGATCTCCTTTCCTCCTTGTATCTCTCAAATCCTTCACTTCCCATGCTGCCCTGACTCTTCCTCTCCATCCCTCGCAGGCCATAGACCATGCCAAGCAGACCCCAGCCTACCGCAATCGCCTCAAGCAGCTGGAGCTGGAAAGGGCTGCGGCGGCTGCTGCTGCCGCCATCACCACTGGTGGAGGCAGAGGGAAGCGCGGAGGGGGCCGGCGTGGAGGAAGGTAGGCAATGGGAAAAAAACACACACCACATGTTGGCACTTGTTTGTGTACCTAAACACATGGTTTTCTTGCTCTAGTGAAATGGCACCTCTGGGAATTCGTTGCACACAATGTGTTTGGGCTTGTGTTCTGATGGGTGCTGCTGCCTAACCCCCTGCACACCCTTGCCTGGATCGAATCTGTGGATGCTAGCAGAGCAGCTGACGCCCAACAAGCTGGAGCAGCTGCTGCTGCACCCCCAGAAAATGGAGTGGCTGAACTCGAGCTTCAGGTACGGTTTGCAGTCACATCATGCAATGTATATTCTTTGGTGCCATGTTTTTATCACATTCTTTGTGATTCCGTCCACGGCAGGTGCATGGAGCTGACAAGCCATGTCCGTGGCGGCTCTTTGGTGTTCAAGTTGTAATCTTTCCGTATGTCGCTGCCAAGGTAAAGCATTAGCTGCGCAGTGCTGTTGTTTAGTCCCTTTGTGGGCCATGCTCGTTCTGTTGACTGCATCTTTCACGAGATATACTGAAGTCCGTGTATTGCATTCAATGTGCAGTTGATATGGTGGCAGGTGCAGTGGTTCCATCGCTACACCATGCGCCGTGCGTCTCTGGGATGGAATGATGCTTGCTACCTCACACGCACAACCCTGCGTATTCCTGCAGCTCACTGGAGCTCCATGGGTAAGGCCAGTTGGAACCATGGGAGTCTGATGGCACCTGCTTTTTTGTTTTGTTTTTTATTCTTCTTTTTGTCTCTCGCTCTCTTTTTCATCTATCTCTTACCGTGTTTCCTGGATGACAGTTGTATGCCCACGTTGTACATTGCCTTGCAGGGGAGTCTGCCCAAGAAAGGCTTGTGGAGCGGAGGCTCTGGATCAAGCAGAACCTGAATGATTATCGAGAGGAGCTTTCCAAGTCCGTGAGACGTAGACGCTAATGATCTCTGCATTGCAGCAGAAGGTGATGAGCAGGGCTCTTTCTTGGCATTGATACTTGAGCTCAATTGTGGAAGATGCTGGAAGTTATCCCTGCTCTTGTGACCTTGTACGATGAATATTGTGTAATGATGTCTTATGCGGAATACGGTAGCTGTGGCCTGTGCTAATCAGGAGACGTAGGCGCTAATGACCACTGCATTGCAGCAGAAGGTGCTGAGTAGGGCTCTTTCTTGGCATTATTGCTTGAGCTCAATTCTGGAAGAGGTTGGAAATCATCCCTGCTTTTGTGTAATGAATGCCACATACATAATAGCTGTGGCCTGTACAAATCAGAAGTGCTCACTATGACGGACCAATCAATCTTCTCCGTTTAGCTGCGCCTTGCATACTGCACAATCCACACACCATCAGTAGTAAAGACACGGCTATAGCTTGCATCAGGTAAAAGTTTTTATTTAGCTGGCCGTACCTGTTCATGTCATTGGAGACATTCAATGCAATAGTCTCCCTTGTGCTTGCCTCCAATTCAGAGTCATTCTGCAGCAAATCAAGAACAGTGCAGTTAGCCCCCTGACAATGTATAGACAGGTTTGCAAATGCCTTAACTCCTGCTGCATCGAGGGTAGTGGTGAAGTCGCTGATTGGAGCTTGTCGAATTTTATCAGTATATCTGCTCACCCGTTTCATGGACGCCGGCACGGCCTTTTTAGATGGTGAGCTGACCAGTGGTGGATCGCGAGTCTGTGCACCTGCCGTACCAAGATTCCTCAGATGTGAGACAAAGAACACTGGAATAGCAACAGATTCAAAGAAGCACTTACGGGAACCGAGAGTTGTGAATCCTGGAGGGCCAAATCCAGGAGGGCTGATAGCAGGGCTCTCATCTTGTATTCTGACGCTCTCTCCAGAAACAGCCTGCACGAGACTGGATGGTTCAACTACAGGTTTGACCTCCCACATCAAAAATGGTCTAGGAGATGGTGCAGCAACTGTAGGCGGCACAGAAGCTTGTGGAGGTACAATGGAGGGACCACTGGACAAGTCACAGAGAGGAGGCATTTGCGGTGGGGGCTGTGGTAGAATAACTGGAGAGGCTGACGATCCAGGCAACGTGAAGCCTGGAGGAAGTGAAATGCTTGGAGGAGCCAGCACAGGATCCATTCCGTGCTGCAAAATAAGCATCCGTCGACGCCGCTCCAACTCTAAATCTGTTTCTGACTCTTCCTTCTTTGTTTCAGAAGGCAAATCTTCTCTGTCTGAAAGCTCCCCTTCCTCCACCTCCTCGGATTGAGGTTTCGCCGGAACTTCACCTGCGTTACCATCTCTTGCAGTACCTGGCAACACATCTGCAGCTGGTAACTGGTTGGACTGTGCATTTCGTGGCTCAGTTGGTGCAACTGCTTCTGGTTGCCACAAAGGCAAGTCCTCTGAATCATCATAAGGCCCTGGTGGCTGAAAGACAACCCACATAGCAGAATTAAGACTCTGTAAAAGTGAAGCAAAAAATGCAAGCTACGTTTTTCTAATAGTTGCAACAAATGGCTGGCTGGATACCTGAGCCGCTGCTGATGGGACCAAACTTCCTTGCACTCTCTCTTGATGCGGACCCCCAAAACGTGGAGCACCTCTGTCAGGCACATCCAACTGTGCACCTGGTTGAGCGAGTGGCTTCTCTCCAGGATACTGGAAAACCCATTGTTGTTGCTCCTTGGACTCTATTGCGCCCTGCCAAGCAGATCCGCATGTCAGGCTTGACAAGTAGCAGCGGAACCAGACAGCTTGAAGGCTAGAACTCACGTACGTTGTCCACTGGAGCACCTTTCACAAATATAGCCGTATCAGGAACTGGTGGGAGCTGATGCAACTCAGCATCGTGGGACATGCTTGCCAATCCTTGACTCAAATAGTCATCGATTGCCCTGCACAACCCTTGCTCATATGTTAGGGAAACAGCAAGTGCTGGTTGTTGTTGAACAAATTGATATGAGATGGACAGTAAGATGGAGCATGAAACCGTCAGTCTGCTTACCTGTAAAAGTCAGTTCGAACATAGCAAATCACGTTCCTTGCATGGACCAAGACAGGAACAGCCAAATTGACCTGCCAACAATTGAGATAGAGTGAAGAGGATGATAAAGCAGCCGGTTTGACTAATATGGCTTAACCAACACAGTCCAGAAAATTCACACACCTCAGCCAGCGGTGCTGCATACGGAGCAAAAGGTTGAACAAGGTGGACACGTGGCTGATCCCTTTCCTCCCAGACATTCATTCTGTCATCAATAATTACTGCCATTCTTGGATCACAATCGTTCCTGTGGAACACCTTTTGTAGTGATTTGAATGTGCCTGCAATAAACGGAACGTTGAAGAGGAAGAGATATACAAAAGAGGTTTCATTGAATTGAAGGAAAACTAATCAGCCAAGTGAAGAACCTACCAGCTTTGACTGAGATGATACAGGCTGACAGCTCCTTCGGTTGGATAAGCTTTCCTTCAGGATCAAGCAGCCTCCACATTTCCAAAGCATACTGCTTCTCTGACATTGTGCACACGAAGGCCTCAAACCGCTTCCGTCCCTTGGTGGAAAAATAACTCCGCAAATCTTCCCAGGATGGCCGCATTCTGACAAGCACACTAGTGTCCCGATTCTGCACAGAATCACCACCACACTAAATCAGGCTTCCGCTCAGATACGACAGAGTCCGAAGCAGTAAGTGTGTGAAAGAAAATCCGTTTTACCTCTGGAAAGATTCGGGTTAGAACAATGTTTTGGTGTGGGAGCCTGAGGACAGGCCGAGAGGCAGGAAGAGATTGCCCGTCCACGGGTGTCACAGCTTCAGGCTCAGCCACGTAGCACTTCCCGTCAAGCATGACAGCGTTGGTATCATAGTATTGAAGGAGGATCTGCCTGTCCTCCTCGTAGCGACCCAGCTCAGCTGCCAAAAGCTTAGCCAAGTGAGGATCACTGTTCGCAGCTAGCCGTTGCCTCAGCACACCGATCTTGTCTTCGAATGACTTCATTGTGTTGGCGACAAAGAGAGTTTCATCGAGGTCGAAGACCACAGCAAGGCAGCGGAGGTTCAGCATCTTCAAGCAGGCCGAGAACTGGCCCTCCTTCACGAGGAATCCCCAGAAACACGGTCTGTGGTTCTTGCGATGCTCCTGGCGACTGCCTAACATAGCTACCAAGTGCACCTCGAATCCGCCTCCGATTGACACGACAGCAGTCTGCGAGATAACAAATACAAATCACTAGTTTTGAATCCACTGTGTACGCGGTGTCGCAAGCTAGCCAAAAATGTTACCGAGAGCATTACCTTGGAATCTGTCACACATGAGCTGTGGATTAAATCCAGCTCATGCCAACTGGCCTCACAACCTTCTTCAGGAGCTAACTTGAACCACAGCCCGTCATCAGATATAGTATGCAGCACGACTTGCGGCTGTAGTCTTTCGCTGGACTCTGAAAACCCTAGAAATTCCACTTGCTGGGAAAATAAGTCTCTTGCGGCTTTGCCATTACGTGCTGGGGTGAGTGACACTTTGGCCACCAGCCTACCTGCACTCACAAGTCTCGATTTCATTATTTTCAGTATTCACGTTCTGCGGTTTGTAAACAAAAGTTTCCTATGTTAGTTGCCAATCCTTAGGACTCAAGTTCGCGAATCGCACAACCACAAAATACTGAAGTCCTAGCTACAAGTGAAACTCGGTGAACATCAGATGTCAGCAGTTGAATGCTGTGAGGGAGACGGGACACGATCAAGGTTGGGAGGTGAGGAGATAGCTTCCTGGACTGAAGCCATTGCCTTGCCACGGCTATTGGCCGATGACCTGCTGAGGATATACTCAGTATCCTGCCAAGCGTTCGTGTACAAGGCTGACCGCTGGGCATCATTTGTTACACTATTAACTTATTTCTATGCACTGAAACCAAGTTTGTGGAATGAGAAAATTCATGAGGGGGCAAACATGCTGTCTGATCAATTATGCGTTTAAATGAATGGCATTACATAGCCGAATGGATGGTGTTAACACACACCATGATAGCACCATTCACATTCCAAATGCCAATTCAAAAAGAATTTCTGGTGTTCACTGTTCATGTGCTTATCCTACTCCTTATGGATGTGGAATCGTCAATCCCTTACCTTCCCACACCTTGTATTGTACTGTAACGAAGATTCTCTGACAGCTGACAGCGTTTGTTCCCTCCCGAGACAAGTAGTCATTCCACATCATCGACATTCGCCATGGCTAGCATAGCACACTACCTTCACTGTGACTAGCACACTCACCTCCACCATGACTAGCACATTCATATCGGTTTTGACGTTGACGTGCTGCAGAATCTGCGTTTTTCCGAGTCGTCAAACTCAACTTGCCGTCGCTTTCTTGCGCGGGCGACCGAGACGTCACGTCGTTTTCAACTAAGATTTTCTGAAGGGCTCTCGTTGTTTTGTCGGTGAAGCATGGGTGCTTCGCCGCCATTCACCGCAAATCCGTTAATTCCCATAATTGCTCGTCGAAGGGTTATATTCATCGTCCCACCATGAACACCCAGCTCTGCAAAGTTTCCGCAGCTGCCGGAATAAATTTTACCGCTGTGGTAGCTGGTCGTATCAAAGCTGCGAGTGAAAGACAATCAGCCCTCTCGTTTAGCCGTTCGGAATTTTCCTCTGCCTCTCGTCACATTCGCCTCGCAGCTGTCAATCAACCCCCCCAGTTACGTTCAGGCGACCGTCTCTGGTAAGACACCACTTCTTGCATTCTAACCAAGAACGTACATTCTCTTTTAACGTGGATTTTCTTCTCGCGCCTGATGTTCGCGCTCATCATTGTTCATTTCTCTTCGTCCAGCCGTAGCAGCATGAAGATGATGAAGGGCAAGCATGTGGTCATCACCGGCGGCTCCACTGGCATTGGTTTCGCCTGTGCCAAGCGTTTCCTGAGAGAGGTAACATCTGATAGAGGATTGGATCGCAGGTTATTGTGACCTTGGGCTTTTGGCATTTAAGTGGAAATAACCTGACGTATTTTCATGGATTCTCCAGGGAGCCTCGGTTACCCTGATGGCTCGGAACGCAGCCAAGCTGGAAGAGGCAGCGCGGGAGCTGCAGCAGTATACGAGGGAGTCTGCTCACAACGGAACCAACGGCTTCTTTCCTACTCCCAGAATCTTCACTCAGGTGAGCTTGAAATGTTCCCTCTGTAGCACCTTGTGAGCACCCATACTTCATAAAGTGTTTTCTAGAAAACGAAATTGTGGTTTGTCTCAATTTCTGTGCAGGCAGTGGATGTCTCTGATGCCAAGGCGGTGCAGGCAGCCATAGACGCAGCAGCTGCTGCGTGCCCCATAGATGTGCTGCTGTGCAATGCTGGAGTGGTGCGCACAGGCCATGTGGAGGACATTTCCGCACTGCAGGCCCAGGAGCAGGTCAACACGAACCTGCTGGGAAGCATCTACCCTGTGCAAGCTGCAGTGCCGCTTTTGAAGGAGAGGGTTGCTCAAGGAGCGGAGCCAGGTGCCATTATCTTCATGTGCTCACTCTCTGCTCTGGTGGGTACAATGTGCTGCTGTGACTCAAGATCATGTTCACTCATAGCATGACACTGATTTAAGTTTTTGTTTTATCTATGTTACAGAGCTTTTGGTATGGTGCAGCAGTTTACACTGCTACCAAGTATGGGGTCCGAGGCTTTGCAGAAGGTCTTCGTCTTGAGCTGCTCCCATATGACATATCGGTTTCCGTTGTCTGCCCAGGCTTCACGGACACCCATCTTCTTGATGACGGTAAGCACTATACATCCCACTTCACTTTTTATAAGGGGTTTATAGATATGCATGTCTCCTGACGTTTGCTTCTGTCGACACTGTTTCTTCCAGCTGAAGCGTCTGGTCAGTACCTTACCAAATTGATGGAGGTGGCATCGATGTACGACCGCAACAAGATAGAGAACCCTGACATTGTGGCAGAGAGAACAGTGGCAGCTGTTCGATCTGGAGAATTCCTTGTCACAACGTCATCCGGCTTCCTTCCTTTCTCACTTGCTCTGCTCTCTCGAGGGATTTTCCCATCCAAGTCGGTTGTTACTTGGGTCGCGGAGAGTCTTGCAAGCCCCTTCGTTAGGCTCACATCACTCCCAGTAGGAGCGGGAATTGCTCATGGATTACGGTCACTGCACAAGCACAAGCATACTAAAAAGGAGTAGATGTGGATGGATGTCATGTAAGGATCATTGTCTATGAATGACCCCTTTTTTCCGTGTATACACAATCATCAGTATAATTGTCCTTGATATGTTGATTGTGTAGCCTTTCGAAAATTGTGATACGCCTGTCGGCATGGCAACACACCTGACGAAACGCTAGCGATGTCGCAACCTTGTTCCACTGGAGACTTGACCAATCAGAGCCAGGGGAACTAGCACCCTCGAAGGTTCAGGGACTACCATCTTCAGTTCGGACCACCGCCATGTTTCTGCAACCATTTGAAGGCGTCAATAGGATTCCAAGGCGAGAGACTAGGGTGCAATAGAGTCATCCCTTGGTCTTTAGAGAGAGCTTGCACTTTGCCTGGACGCGGAAACCACCGCAGGACGCGACCCTCGTCTTGTCTGGTTATTGAATCTCTAGTGGTGGTTCGAATTCTCTGGTGGAGCGCTTGGTTGTAGGAGGTTTTCGCGTGTCTGTGTTGTGGGAAGATGAAGGTCAAGAAGAAAAAGGGATCGGATCCTGTAAGCGCTGTCCTGTTTCTGACCGCTTTTCCTGCCGGCCTCGATGTTTTAGATTCCCCTGACGGATTCAATCTCTATATTTCGCCGTATTATAAATTCCACTGTTCCTGAAATCAGATCCACGGAGACGAGCTTCGTTAGACTTGTCATGGCATGGCATGGATCTAACGAGTCCCTTAATCTTGTGTCTGGCTTTTTCCGCTTGCAGCCTCCGAGGGTGAAGGAAGTTATTGATTCCGTTATCTCCGTTCCATTACACGACATAGCGAAGCCTCTTTCGGAGTTCAAGTGGACTTATGACAAGGTAGGCCGTCGCGCTTCTTTAAAAGTCTTGCGTTCAGTGGTGGCGATAACTTGTGGGAAAGCGAAGGTATCATGCGTGCGCCAATACGCGCTCGTAATAAGGTTCGCCGGGGCTTGGGTTTTTATTCTGCGAATACTTCACGTTTTCCGTTGGTTGTTCACCTTTCCATCATCCCTCATTCGTTATGCTTTACTGCCCGATTGTTTCCACGCTTGCTTTCTCGTCACGCGCCAGTTCCTTCCTCTTTCCGCTTTCCGTTATGCGTCTGTTCCGCTTTCCTCTTCACTCATCGGAATTATGTCGCCGTATGACCCTGGCGTGTCTGTCTGACAGGGCGACGTGCTGCACTGGGTAGACCTTTTAAACCACTTCGACGCCTTCCTCGAAACTTCCGTGAAATCGCGCAAGGATTTGCAGTTAGAGGGCCGTTTCGCGGGCGTGGATCCGCCGTTCCCTCGGGATGCGGTGCTGCAGGTGCTGCGTGTGTCGCGCGTTATCCTTGAGAACTCCGTCAACAAACACCTCTACGCCTCCATTGAGGTGCGCACTCCATCTGTTGTTGTAACGCCGTCGCTCTATAGCCTTCATGTTGCCAAACGTGATTATCTGAAATGTTGAGATGTGCCGTCTTTTACCTCCACCCCCCAATCCCCCTTCCCCTTCCTCCGTCTTGCGCGACCTTGACCACTCTCTCCGGCGCAACACGTCTTCACGCTGCTCGCGAGGACGAGTTGTCAGCCTGTCTCGAACCCCTCTCCGTGTGCGGCAAGAAGCACTTATTCACCCTCCCCTTCCCGGTCCCCCCTTCTCCCCCTCTCCTCCTCTCCCCCACACAGCACGTGTGCACGCTGCTCGCGAGCACGGACCTGGACGTGCTATCAGCGAGCATGGAACTGCTCTCAGTGTACGGCAAGAAGCCCTTCCAGCCATGCCACTCCTCTCCCCTCACCTCCTTTCTCCTTGCTCCCCATCCACCCGCCCATCCCCGCCCCGCCTCACAGCATGTGTGCACGCTGCTCGCGAGCACGGACCTGGACGTGCTATCAGCGAGTCTCGAGCTGCTCTCAGTGTACGGCAAGAAGCCCTTCCAGCCGGGCCGCAGCACTCGCTGGCATGCGGACCCCGCCATCACAGCGCGCCTCTTCGCCCTCGCGCAGGCGTGGGGCGGCAAGGAGGAGGGCCTCGGCATGCTGCCCTGCGCGCTCCAGGATGGGCTGGACGCGTCCGCTCTGGCCCTGGGAGGGACGCTGCACTTTGAGTTCTATGCAGAGGGGCCTGCTGGAGTGGGGGCGGTGGGGCAGGGTCAGGGGCTGGGTGGGAGCGGTGGAGGGGGATTAGAGGGTCAAGATGGCAAGGTTGCTGGGGCATCGGCTGGTGGTGCTGCTGCAGCAGGTGGTGCTGCTGCAGCAGGTGGTGCTGCCTCTGCTACTCCCTCTCCTGCCGCGCCTGCTGCTGCTTCCACTGGTCTGTCGCCTGGCCTGAGGGTCATCCACGTCCCTGAGGTGCAAGAGCACGTGCAGCAGCAGGGAATTTCTGAGCTCGACTTCCTCCAGCGCCTAGTAGACCAATACTCCGTGCCCTCCACCCTCCGTTTCTCCCTCCTCACCCGCCTCCGCTGCGCCTACTCCTTCCCGCTCCTCGACTCGCGCCGCCGCTTCCTCTGTGTGCGCCTGCTGGCCTTCCGAGTGCTGCTGCTCGCCACACCCGACCCAGACGAGCTCACTGCGTTCTTTGCCAACGAGCCTGAGTTCGTCCCGGAGCTGATTTCGCTGCTCAATGCGGAGAGCCTGGTGCCTGAGGAGGTTCGGATGTACGCGCTGCTAGCCCTGGCTGCCATGGCGCAGGACCGGCCGCGCCAGTCCACGGTCCTCAGTGCCATCAGCACCGGCGGCCACCGAGCCACCTTGCCGAGCCTGATGCAGAGGACCGTGGCTCAGCTTGGGAAACCAGGAGGCTGCTCGCCGAAATTCGTTGACGCGCTATTGGTCCTCATTGCTGCTCTGGTATCCTCCTCGTCCGGGTGCACTGCGCTTCGGGAGGCGGGCTTGGTGCCGACCCTGCTGCCTTTGGTTCGGGACACCAAGCCTGAGCACATGAGTCTGGTGACGTGGTCAGTGCAGATCCTAGAGGCCTTCATGGATTTCTCCAACCCTGCAGCAGCACTCTTCAGGGAACTCAACGGGTTAGACATGTGCGTGGACAGACTCAGGCTCGAGGTCGCTCGAGTGGAACCCTCTCTCTTACCTGTTCAGGGTTTAGGGTCTAGCAAAACCCTGGCTGGTGGTGCAGCTGGGGGTGCTGGTGAGGGGACTGCTGGTGGGGGAAGTAGCAGTGCCTCTGCTGGTGCAGGGGCCACTGGTATGGATGAGGATCGCAAGGGCAAGGCTCCGATGGTTGAAGAGGAGGGCGCAGGAGGGGAAGCAGGCGCAGGGGTGGGTAGCAGTGGTGGCGCAGCCGCATCCGGGGCATCTCCTGTTGCTGCTGGCGGATCCACTGCAGCGCCAGCAGTGCTGACGTACCGGCAGCGCAGTCTCATCAAAGCCCTGCTGCGCGTCATCTCCTTGGTCAGCTTTGCGCCAGGCAGCACCGTCAGGCTCGCCTCAGCCTCCCCCGAGCAAGGGGGCATGGGGCGGCTGCCGGACTGCCTGGCGGCCGTGTTTCGGCATGCGAGGGAGTTCGGGGGAGGTGTGTTTGCGCTGGCGGCGTCGGTGATGAGCGAGCAGATCCACCACGAGCCCACCAGCTTCGCCATTCTGGATGCCGCTGGGCTGCCCAAGACATTCGTGGATGCTGTCAAGGCTGGTGAGTGCGCTGTGTGTGTCAAAGTTGTTGAGCTTTTGCTTGTGCTGGTGCCTTACTCCATAATCTGGACCCTCTCCACCATTACTCTTCCCTCGCCTTCATGCGCTGGACCCTCTCTGGCGTCGTTTCCTTCTCGCTCGTTTCCCTCCGTTTCTATCCTACCCCAACTGCCAACCCCCCATCTCCCTCGCTCCCTCCCCCTCCCCCCCCTACTTTCCCTCCTCTCGCTTCGGTCCTTGATTCCACCCTCCAGCATGCGTGCTGCCATTGTCTGAAGCCATCTATGCCGTCATTGTGCTGTTCGCCCTTTGTTTTTGAGTCCTCCCAAACCTCCCTCTTCCCCTCCCTCCTCTCCTTGGGGTGCCCCCTCCGCACCCCTTTTTAGGCGTGCTGCCGTCATTAGAAGCTATTTGCGCCATCCCCAATGCGCTCCTCGCCTTCTGCCTCAACCAGCGTGGCCTACAGCTCGTCACAGACTCCCACGTGCTCGCCTGCCTGCCCGCCCTCTTCACCGCGCGCCAGTACTCCCGCCCCCTCGCGGGGGACACGGCGTCCGTGCTGGGATCCGGGCTGGACGGACCTTCGCACATGGTGGTTCCCCCTCCTCTTCCCCCTGTTTCTCGCCCCTTTCCAGGCGTGCTGCCGTCGTCAGAGGCCATCTGCGCCATCCCCAACGCGCTCCTCGCCTTCTGCCTCAACCAGCGCGGCTTACAGCTCGTCACAGACTCGCACGTGCTCGCCTGCCTGCCCGCGCTCTTCACCTCGCGCCAGTACTCGCGCCCCCTGGCGGGGGACACGGCGTCCGTGCTGGGGTCCGGGCTGGACGAGCTCATGCGCCACCAGGTGAGCCTCCGCCAGCCCCTCATGGGCGCCGTTGTGGGCGCGCTCAGGGAGATTGCACGCATGGGGGGGCTGGAGGAGCGGAAGGGGAGGCGAGCGGGGAGGGGAGGGGGCGAGGGAGGGGATTCGTGGGAAGGGGAGATGCGGGGAGGAGGGGATGGTGGAGGGGAGGAGGGGGTGCGGGCGAAGGAGGATGATGCGGATAGTGGGAGGCCGGTGGGGAGTGGCGGGGGTGGGGAGGAGGGGGCAGCAGGAGTGGGGGGAGGAGCAGGGGTAGGTGCATCAGGGGCAGGTGCATCTGGGGCGGGTGCGTCAGGGGAAGGCGCACAAGAACAGGGTAGCAGACCGGGTGGGGAGGGAGACGCGGCTGTGCCTATGGAAACAGATGGGGAGAACCAGGGCGCAGAGGCAGCAGCAGCAGCAGCACCAGTTGCTGCAGCAGCCGCAGGGGAGCAGGCAGGGGTTGAGATCGATGGGGACCAGAGTGCCCCTCCAGGGACAGCAGGGGAGGCACTGGCTTCTGGCGTGGTTGCAGAAGAGCCAGCGGTTGAGGCAGCGGGTGCTGAATCGGCGGTTCCTGGTTCGGAAGCAGTTATGGCCGAGGCGGAACCGGCAGGGGCAGGAGCAACAGAAGCAGCAGGGGCAGAGGCAGCAGGAACAGGAGCAGGAGCAGCAGGAACTGGGGTTGTTGCTGCTACCGGCACTGCCACCACCACTGCCATCACCACAAGCAGCAGCAAGGAGACCCTCACCCCAGCAGAGCTAGAGGCGTTCCTCCCGGACTGCATCAGCAACATGGCTCGCCTGCTAGAAGCCGTTCTCTCCAACGAGGCCAGCAGCCGCGTCTTCCTTGATCTCCGCGGCCTCGACGCACTCCTAGCGCTCTACACGCTGCCGCGCCTGCCGCTGCTCTTTGGCACGTCCCCTGCCGCTCAGGGGATCTCCATGACCATGCGGGCGTTTGGGCCCAGCCACGCCTCTGCTGTGTCCCGCGGGGTGGCTTCCGCGCTCAAGAAGCATGTCAAATGCGCCATTGCGTTTGTTACTACGTCCCTCTCGTCCTTCTCCCTTGCTGCCGCACCTACTGCTTCTGATGCTGCTGCTGCGGGTGCTGCTGCCACAGCCGCTTCAGCAGGCCCTGCTTCTGCCCCTCCAAGTGCTGCTGCTGCAGGAGCTTCAGGTGCAGGCTCATCTGCAGTAACAATCGGGCGGCGCCAGTTGTCTGACTTGGACGTGGAGTCACGGGAGTCGCTCCTGCGCGCCCTGGGAGTAGCAGAGAGCCTGCTCTCCCTCTCCGCCGTGTTAGTGCGCGCCACTGCTCTCTCTGTCCCCGACCTCGCATCATCCAGTGGAGAGGTGTTCCGAGACGTGGCTGTGCTTCACAGGGAGGCGCTCTGGCAGCTTGCAGTTCTGGAGCACAAGGGAGTGCCGCCGCCCGCCCCTGCTTCTACCCCTGCTGCTGCTGCTGCTGCAGAAGCTGGAGGTGGTGCAGGGGTAGGAGGGGCTGGGGGAGGAGAGGGAGCAGGTGAGGGCGGAACGGCTGTTGGAGGGTCAGGGGCAGGGGGGGAAGCAGGGCAGGGTGCGGGTTCTGTGGGAGGAGATGCGCCAGCAGCTGCAGGTACGCCTGCTGCCACCGCAGCTGCATCGTCTGCTGCTGCACCATCAGCAGGACCTTCAGAGGCAGCTGAACCTGCCACAGCAGCAGCGGCGAGCGAAGGAGCAGAAGCAGGAGGAACAGGGGGAACATCAGGGGCAATGCAGCAGGCGTTCCCAGGGGAGGCAGCGGACGATCTGGATCTGCTCATGATGGACAGTGACGTGGGCGCTGGCAGGCCCATGCGCAACGGCCCTGGCTCCCTCTGGCCCCGCGGCGAATTAGGGTTTCCGCACCGCAGCGGCAGCAGCAGGCACCTCTCACGCGCCTCTCGCGTTGTGCCTGATGGTACAGGGCCTGATAACGGTCCTGAGGCAGGGGTAAGCGGCGCGGCTGATGCTTCTGCTGCTGCCGCTGCCGCTGGTTCTGCCGGTGTGGGGACCACAGATGCTGCGGGGAGGAAGAAGCCAGATGGTGCCGTACAGAAGGAGGTGCTGGGGCGGCTAGTAGTGGCCGTGCGTCTGTTTGAAGTAGCCGTGGGGAAGGCGATAGTTCCTTCTCGAAGGCGGGACGATGCTGTGGTGCTGACAGGCCATGCCAAGGTGGCCTCAGCCGCCCTTGCACAGACCTTCCGGGAGAATTTAGGGTTAGGGTTTGCCGGGTGCGACCCGGGGAGGAGCAGCAATGTGGAGTCATGCTCGAGTGAGGAGATACTGGATTGTCCGGCTGTGCGGTGTGTGTATTTGGGAAAGGTTGTGGATGATATGTTTGCGCTGGTGGTGGACCCGCGGCGGCACACGTGCAATAGCATGTTGTTGAGGTTCTTCCACGCGCACGGGGCTGTGAAGCAGCTGTTTGCGTCGCTGCAGTGGGTGGTGCGGGTCATGTGGGCCGAGCAGGAGCGGCAGGTGAAGGAGCGGGAGGAGAAGGCTGAGAAGGTCGCGAATGAGGAGAAAGCAGGAAAGGAAGCGGGTGGTGTGGGAGTAGAGGTAGCAGGAGGCTCAGTGGCCCAGATGGAAACGGATGGGTCGACCGATGCAACACCTGCTGCAGTATCGGGGGAGAGGAAGAGCACAGGTGACAGCTCTAAGGATGGGGCCAACAAGGGCACAGGTTCTCTTGTGGGATCCGGTTCCTTCTCGCTGCCTCCGTGGCTGCACTCCCCTCTGCAGAGCTACTTCCGTCTCATGGACTGTCTCACGAACTCCCACCTCCTGCTCGCCCCCTCCTCCACCAGCATCTTCCTCACCCACCAGCTCTCCCGCTCAGTTGAACCCGCCCCAGCTAAGCCTGAGGACTTTCTCAGGGCCATGCAGTCGCAGGTGTTATCTCTCATGCTGGACGTGTGGTCCCACCCTCTCTTCTCCCAGTCTGGTCTTGCTGTCATATCCCCGGTTGTGACTCTGCTTACTCGGGTGCTTCAAGGTCTGAGTGATTCTGCTCCAGCAGCAGCAGGGGGTTCTGCTGCTGCTGCTACTGCGGGTGCAGGGACTGGTGCGGGAACAGGCGGAGCGGCAGCAGCAGGGGCAGGGGCAGGGGCAGGTGGGTCGAGCGGCGCAGCAGGGCAGGGGGGTGGAGCAGCCTCCGCAGCTGCCCTGGCTGCTGCGGTGCTGGGAGGGCGGATGCCGCCAGTTGCTGTACCCGCGCCTGTAGACGAGGCTCTGGTGGAGCTGATAGTGGAAATGGGGTTCCCTAGGGAGCGGGCAGAGGAGGCGTTGCGCCAGGTGGGGAACAATTTAGATCTCGCTATGGAGTGGCTCATTAACCATGTGCCAGATGAGCCTCCCTCAGAAGAAGACGAACTCGCTCGCGCGCTCGCGTTGTCTCTTTCTGGTAACGATGGGGATGGTGGGGGTGGGCCTAGTGCGGGTGGGCAGCAGGGTGGGGAGGAGGGAGCAGGTAAGGCAGGAGAAGGAAAAGAGGGGGAGGAGCAAGGGAAGGGGAAAGAGAAGGAGAAGGAGAAGGAAGAGGAGGAGAAGGGGGGAGAACAGGAGGGGCGGAAGGAGGTGAGGGTGGAGGAGATGTTGGAAACGATAGTGAGGGTGTTGAGGGACGGAGGGGAGGGCGCTGTGTTCCCCATGACCGACCTCCTGCTCGCCCTCTGCAGGCGCAACGCAGGCACAGACAGGGCTGCTGTCGTGACGTTTCTTGTAGGGCAGCTGAAAGAGTCGTGCGGGCAGGTTAAAGACGTCGATGGGAGCGAGATTCAAGGCAGCAGTGAGGGGAGAGAGCGCAGAGCAGAGAAGGAGGAGGAGGAGCGGAAGGCAGCTGGTGAACCATCTTTGCTGCAGCCGTTGCAATCCGCCTTGGCGCACTGCCTGGCTGTGCTACTCTCTGAAGACCTGCCCTGCTCGGACATAGCAGCCAAGGAGGGCCTCGCTGCCGTAGCTCTCCACATGCTCTCTGCGTACGTCTCCTCTGTCTGCCCCGACTACCACCCCCCGACTCTGCCTCTTGCTGCGCTCGCCTCACCTCCCAGCAAGAGCAGGCTGCAGCAGCAGGGCATTGCAGGGGTGGCGGGTCAGAGGGTAGAGGGTAGAGGAGGTGCTGATGGAGTGGCAGGGGGGAAAGGAGGGCAAGGAGGAGAGGGGCGTGAGGGGCTTGGGGAGGTGCCCAAGTGGGTGCCGTCTCTGTTCCTCGTGCTGGACTCCCTCGTGCAGTGGAAGGTGCCTGGCACAGGGGCGCGAGGGGAAGCGGGCACAGCAGGGGCAGCGGGAGCAGCAGGGGCAGCAGGGGCGACAGCAAGCACATGGGGAGCGGCAGCAGCAGATGCACCTATCTCCTTTGCGTCTATACTGGCAGGTGTTGCAGGTGGGGCAGGTGGGGCAGGAGCGGCAGCTGCGGATCCAGGTGCACCCGCTGCAGCACCTTCCGAGCCAGCTGGTACAGGTACTACTGCTGCTGCCGGGGCGTCACAGGCTCCATCTGGGGCAGGTGTATCTGCCACTGCCGCCCCTGCAGCCAGCAAGGCAAAGGAGCCCGCAGAGGCAGAGAAGCGAGAGGGCAAGGAGGAGAACCGTTTCACAGAGATAGTGGGGCTATCAACAGGATACCTATCAGACGACGAGAAGGCCCAGGCCATGGCTCTCATCTGCCCTCTCATCCGCCGTCACCCCCCACCGTCTCTCTGCCAGGCCCTGCTCCACCTCGCCTCACGCCTCTCCCGCTCGCACCCCGTCGCCCTCCTCTTTCTGGACCAGGGTGGGGTGGCAGCGCTTCTCGCCCTCCCCTTCTCCTCGATCTTCCCAGGGTTTGAGAGTCTTGTGTCGGCGGTGGTGCGGCATGTGCTAGAGGACCCGTTCACGCTGCTGCATGCTATGGAAGCAGAGATAAGGCACAGCCTTACCACACTGGCGACTCAGCACGGGGGGCGTGTGTCCCCTCGCGTGTTCCTGGGCGCTATGAGTCCCCTTGTTGCGCGGGATCCTTCTGCGTTTCTGCAGGCGGTGGGGAATGTGTGTGAGGTGGAGAGCATTGGTGGGCGGCAGGTGGTGGTGCTGAAACGGGAGAAGGAGAAGGAGAGGGAGAAGAAGGAGAAGGAGGAGAAGGAGAAGGGGAGGGAGAAAGAGAAAGGAAAGGAGAAGGGGGTTGGGGAGAAGGAACAGAGAGCAGGAGCAGCATCAGAAGCCGCAGCAGCAGCACCACCAGGGCAACCAAGCACCTCTGCTCCATCCCCAGCTCCAGGCCATACCACTCACCACAACTCCTCACCGCTTTCAGCCTCTCCGCAAACCTCTCCTCCGCCTCCCCATCCGCCCACGGGTCACTACAGCAAGTCAGCAGACGGCAAGGTGTTGACATGGGTGTCTAAGTCAGGGCGGTTGCGTAAGGTCCCTTGTAGCTTTGCCTCTGTCGTTGACCAGCTCCTGACGTACTTGCAGCAGTTCCCGCCACTTGAAAAAGCACCTGAGAAGGCACCTGATAACGCACCTGGGAAGCTGCCTGAGGGGCATGGGGTAGCTGCAATGGAGGTTGGGGTTGGTGGTGGTCTGGGAGGGGAGGCAATGGAGGTGGACGCAGAGGGGGCTGGGAATAAGGCAGCGGAAAGGGAAGGAGAGAAGGAAGGGGAGAAGGAGGCAGTTAAGGAGGAGAAGGAGAAGGCGATGCAGCAGCAGCAGGAGGAGGAGGAGAAGGAGAGGGCGGAGTTTGCAATCTCGCGAACCACGCTGGTGCTGCGGCTGCTCACAGAGATCCTACTCGCGTATTCTGCTGCCAGCACTCTCGTGCTCCGCAGGGATGCAGAGTCTGCTGCTGCTGTGGGTGCTTCAGCAGCAGCTATGGGTGCAGGTTCAGGTGCGTCAGCAGGGGCGGGCACCCCACAGCCGCACAGGGGAACCACATCCCGCGCACACAAGCACACTCCAGACAAGCACGAACACAAATCAAAGTCCGACCACCTCCACCATCAGCACCACCACCACCAGCTACAGCCTTCACCAGGTAAGCCTGACTCATCAGCAGGCGCATCTGCATCGGCATGGGCATCTCGAGGGGGTATAGTGCACCACGTGTTGCACGAGCTGCTGCCATACCTCAGCGACAAGCCCAGCACCGCATCAGCAGCAGCAGGAGGCACTGCAGCAGCGCAGGGCGGGTCCTCCCACCCGGGGCACCATCGGCTGGGCACCCAGGCGTCTGCGTTCCTCATTGCACTGTGCGTGCGCTCGGGCGAGGGCCGGCGCCGCGTGCTCTCGGAGATTTCCAAGTCGCTGAGCCGGTTTGGGAAGGAGGATGGGGGGAGGACAGGAGAGGTGCGGCAGCAGGAAAAGGCAGGAGCAGCTTTGACAGGAGCAGCAGCCGCAGCAGGAGCAGGAGCAGCAGGTGGAGTAGGGGAAGGTGGGGCAGCAGTGGTTTCGGGTGCAGAAGCAGCAACAGTTGCAGCTGCAAAGCTTCAAGTGCCCAACAAGCAGGTGAGGTCGTTCCTTGACCTCATGAACGCACTGCTCTCCACGCAATCGTCCAATGGGAGCAATCCACCTGGCGGCCCGGGCAGCTCTGCACAAGGCTCCGCCTTTGCTGCAGAAATGGCCAAGACGGCTCTTGAAGTGGGCATGCTGCCAAACCTCCTCGAGACTCTGAGTGTAATTGATCTAAACCACCCCGATTCCCCGAAGCTGGTGAATTCGATCCTCAGGGCTCTGGAGGTGCTCACCCGAGCCTCAGCTTCGGAAGCGCGTGCCGAGCCTGGGAGAGGTCCGGCATCAGGGCAGCGCGTTTCAGTGGGTGTAACCAGACCTGTAGGTTCGCGAAGGCAGGAAGCAGGCTCGGCAGGGGCTGGAGGGGTGCCGAGCCAAGCAGCAGTGGAAGGGGGGACAGCAGGGGCGGAACCAGGTACGAATGGGGGGACAGTATTAGGAGGAGGTGGGGAAGGTGGCGGTGCTGATACTGCCATGGGGAATGCTGGGGGGGAGGGAGGGAGAGTAACGGCTTCTGGAGGTGAAGATGCAGGAGCAGACGCTGGGAGTGAGAGGATGCGAGGGGGTGAGGAGGAGGGGAGGCAGCAGGGAGGCGAGGATACAGGTGGGGCAGGGGCGGAAGAGAGAAGGGCAATGGAGCAGGATGAGAGGCATGGGGGGGAGGAGGAGGAGGAGGAAGGGGGGATGGCACATGAAGCAGAGGCGATTATAAGAAGGGTGGAGGGCGGAGGGGGTATGAGAGGGCCCATGCAGCTGAGGTTCCAGATCCGAGAATTTGATGATATGGGCGCGGATGAGGATGGGGAGGAGGATGATGTCGATGGGGATATGGAGGGAGAGGAGGATGGGGAGGAGGACGAGGATGGGGATGATGATATTGAGGATGGGGATGAGGAGGATGAGGAGGAGGGGATGGAGGAGGGGGATGAGGAGGAGGATGATGAGGATGACGAGGAAGAGGAGGAGCATGGGCATGGAGGGGAGGACAACGGGCATCTACCTCCCGGTGGCATGGGCATGGGGGAAGACATGGAGGACCATGAGGAAGAGGAGGAGCATGCAGCCCGGGCCATGCGCCGGGACTTTGCACGTGGGCTGGCAGAGGAGGACGAGGAGGAGGAGGATGAAGGGGATGAGGATGATGATATGGACGAGGATGAGGAGGAGGCTGATGAGGAGGATTTGGAGGATTGGGAGGAGGACGGAGGGAGGTTTATAGAGGTGAGATGGCGGGACGACGTCACGGGGGCCAATCACGTGCATCTGCTCGCGGGCGGCGCGGATGTCGCCGGGCTGATGGACCTGCCAGGGTTTATGCAGCGGGATGTGTTGAACGATCCGTTGTATGCGGATATGAATGAGCCGGTGTGGGGGTGGGGGCGGCACCTCGCGAGTCACCAGCGCAGAGCGGCGGTGAGAAGCACGCTGCAGGGCCAGCAGCAGCTGGCGCTGGGGCAGGGGTCGGGGCAGGGGCAGGCTGGCCGGATGGGAGCAGGCCCCTTGCATGTGCACCCTCTGCTGGCTCGCCCGTTCGCCCCTGGGGCAGCACCGACAGACGCTGCTTCCGCGTCTGCCCCTGCTCACGCCGCTGCAGCACCAGGGTCGCGGCTCTTTAACCTCCTGGCGGGGATGCAGGGCATGATGGGGGGAGTGGGGGGACCCATGGGGGCTGGCGGGGGAGGAGGGCCAGGAATGGAAGTAGACGCGGCGTTTGCGAGGGATGTGGCTTCGCTAATGATGGCGTATGAGAATCCTTTCCTGGAGGATATGCTGCAGGCCCGGGGGCTGCTTGACCCTCGAGCCATGGGCGGCATGGGCGGCATCATGGGCGGCATGGGCGGCGTGGGCGGCATGGGGATAGGGCATCCGTCGGGGGTGGAGTTTGATCCGGGGAGGGCGAGGGCGATGGGGGTGAGCGGGCTGGGGCCGGTGGTGGGGGGCGCGGCGGGGCGAGGGGAGTTCGGGAGGGTGAATCGGTGGACGGATGATGGGCTGCCGCAGCCTGCAGGGACGGGTGCTGCTGTTGCTCAGGCGCTGGAAAGTGCTTTCCTGCAGACCATGCAAGGGGTGCGAGAGGCAGGGAGAGGGGGAGGGAGGGAGGGAGGAGAGGCGGGGGGGCAGAGAGGTGGTGGTGTGGGGAGGAATGGGGAGAGGCAGCAGGGGAGGGGGACGGGAGGAGAGGAGCAGCAGCGGCAGCAGGGGGCGGGGCAGGAGGAGGGGCAAAGGGAGCAGGAGAGGGAGGTGAGGCAAGAAAGTGGGGGTGGGGCGGCAGGGGCAGGAGGAAGTGGTGGGGCAACTGCAGGAGCAGCAGCAGAAGCTGCTGCGGCAGAAGCAGCTGCTGGAGCAGCAGCAGCAGCAGCTGGAGCAGCAGCAGCAGGAGAGCAGGCAGGTACCGACACCACTCAGACTGGTACAGGAACAGGAGCAGAGGCAGAAGCAGCAGCAGCAGGGACGGAATCAGGTAGAGGAGCAGAGGAGGAGGGCGGGGCAGCAGGAGACGTGCAGATGGGTGAGAGAGGGAGCGAGAGGGAGAGAGAGGCAGAGGCGGAGGTGGAAGTAGCAAGTCAGGACAGTGGGGGGAGTGGATTCACGGCTGGGGAGAGCCTGAGGAGCCTGGAGGTGGAGGTGGGAAGCATAGACGGGCGGGATGACATGCTGCTGCCTGGTCCCACTGCTGGTGCCCTGCCTGCTGCTCCTGCTGCGGCTGCCGCTGCTGCTGTTCCTGCTGCTCCTCCACCTCCCCCTCCTCCTCCTGCTACAGCTGGACTTTCTGCCGCTGAAGCTGGGCTTAATGCTGCTACAGCTGGGTTTTCCGCTGCTACAGCTGAGCTTTCTGCTATTACAGCTGAGCTTTCTGCTGCTGTAGCGGCTAGAGCCGCTGCTCGAGCTGTGCCAGGCGCAGAAGGAGAGGCGGTGCCGGCTGCAGCAGCTGTTGTGTCTGCTGGTGATGCTGGTGGCAGGGCAGCAGAGCAGCAAGCCAGAGAGGGAGGCACACCAACACAGGCACTGGCAGTTGCTGGGGCAATGGCAGGGGATACGGCGCAAGGAACGGCAGCGGTAGACACAGCAGGGGTGGCTGCCATGGAAATGGGGGAGCCTATTTCAGCTGGTGAGGGGGTGGTTACTCCCTCCCCTGCTGCTGCTGGTGATGCTGCAGCAGGGGAAGCAGCAGCAGGAGTGGCAGAAGCAGGAGAAACGGTAACAGTGACTGAAGTTGAAGCGGAAGCAGCTCCTGCTAGTGCTGGCGCCACATCTTCTGCTGCTGCTGCTCCAGCGACCGATGCTGCTGCGGCACCTGCTATCCCTGCTGTTCCTGTCCCGCCCACCACTGAGGCGTCAGGGGCAACGGCTGGAGCTTCAGGTGGTGCGGCAGCGGATGCAGCCGCGGGTGCTTCAGGTGGTGCAGCAGGCACGAGCACAGGCGGAGCAGCAGCAGCAGCAGCAGCAGCAGCAGACGAGGAGGAGGATCTGCCAGAGATCGACCCAACCTTCCTGGAGGCTCTACCGGAGGACCTGAGGGCAGAGGTGCTAGCCTCCTTCCACGTGGAGCGAGCTGCCCGCCAGGCCCGCCAGAGACGCGCCCAGCAGCAGGCCGCACAGCCACAGGGGCAGGCAGGGGGAGGCACGGCAGGGGGAGGAGCGGGGGGAGCGGGGGCCGCCGGGGGAGCAGGGGGAGCGGGGGGAGCAGGGGGGACGGGAGTGGGAGAGGGAGCAGCAGCAGGGCTGGGATTGGAGGATACGGGGGAGCTGGATCCGGAGTTCTTAGCAGCGCTGCCCCCGGATATTCAGGCGGAGGTGCTGGCGCAGCAGCAGGCGCAGCGCCTCATGGCGGCAGCAGCAGCAGCAGGTGCGGATGGGCATCCTGTGGACATGGATAGTGCGTCCATCATTGCAACATTCCCTGAGGAGCTGCGAGCAGAGGTCCTGCTGACCTCATCAGAAGCAGTGCTAGCATCGCTCCCGCCCGCCCTGCTAGCCGAAGCCCAGCTGCTGAGAGAGCGGGCCATGCAGCAGCAGTACTCCATTCGTCACCAGCACCCCGCCCACCCCCACCACGCCATCTTCGGGGGTCCCATCCGCCGCTCCCCCGCTGTTGCTGGCGGTACCACTGCCCACCGCCGCCCGCCCCACCCGTTCGCTGTGGCTGCTGGGGAGGGCAGTGTGGGAGAATTCACCAGGGGGTTCATTGCAGCGGGGATGGGGAGGAGGGAGCGGGAGAGTGCTGGGGTAGGGGCGGGGGCAGGGGCGGGAGCGGGGGCAGGGAGAGGTGGTGGGGAAGGGGGAGAGGAGGAGAAGGCGCCAGTGGTGGATGAGAGGGCGCTCAAGGCGCTCATTCGCCTGCTGCGCATCTCCCAGGTGGGTTCGTCTTATCACTTTGTAGGTTTTCTAAAATGACCTGCAACATGGTGGGCGTTTAAAGCATTCATTCTCCTTCTGCGCATCTCCCAGGTGGGTTTCTGTGAGCATAGCAAACCCCAGGGGGGTTCCTGTGATACTGATAAGCTGTATCTATTTCTACATGTTTTTGCCCTCTTTTTTTCTCTCACCCCCTATCTCCGAGCCTTTCCCCGGCCCTCTGAAGGCCCTGCTGCTGCCATCTTTGCTCGCCAACCTCTTTCTCTCCCCAACCCCTCTGTTCCCTCCTCTCTGCCCTTGTTCCCCACCCCTCCCCACCGCCCTCCCCCCCACCAGCCCCTGCAAAAGGCTCTGTTGCCGCATCTACTCAACAACCCCACCTCGAGTTGTCCTCCTCATCCCCTCTCTCAAACCCCTACCCCCCCCTTTTGATTCAACCCCCAGCCCCTGCAAAAGGCTCTGCTGCCACGCCTGCTCACCAACCTCGCCTCACACGCCACCACCCGTGCAGCCCTCGTCCGCATCCTTCTAGATCTTCTGCGCCCTGATGCTGATCCAACGGACCAGCACCCCACGGGGCAGCATCCAACGGACCAGAGTGCAGCAGGCGTGCAGGGTGCTGCAGCAACTGCATTGGAAGGCAGTCAGGCTGCAACACCTGCAGCGGCTGCAGCTGCTGCTGTGGATGGCAGTCAGGCCAATCAACCTGCAGCGGTTGGAGTGGTTGCAGCTGTTGAGGAGGGTGTGAGTGAGGGTGGGGTAGCAGCAGACGGCGCCCCGCCCCACCAGCTGTACTGCTGCCAGTCCAACGTGGTGTATGCGCGACCGCAGCGACCCAACAGTGAGTCCCTCGCCTTGCATGTCTAAGGCTCAAGGGCTTAAGGGTTCAAGGGCTGGCATTGCTTGCTGTGTGTTTCTTGAAGTTAGCAGCAGATGGTGCCCCGCCTCACCAGCTGTACTGCTGCTAGTACAATGTGGTGAATGCTCGACCGCAGCGCCCCAACAGTGAGTCCCTCGCCTTACTGCAACCACTCTTCCCATCCCCCTTCTTGCCTTCCCATCTCTTCCTCTCTCTCCACCCACATACTGCAATCATCATTGAGTCTCCTTGAAGTCTACCTGTCTTCACCCCCTCCCCCGCAGGCACTCCCCCCCTCGTGTCCTGGCGGGTGCTAGACCTGCTAGTGTACCTCTCGCGCCACTACTGTTGTAGGCGAATTTCGATTATACCAACTCTTTTTATCCCTCTTCACACTCTCCCTCCGACAGGCATCCCCCCTCTCACCGTGTGCTACAGCTGCTACTGCTAGTGTACCTCTCGCGCCACTGCTTTTGTAGGCGATTCTAACTTTTTTATCCTTCTTCACACTCTCCCTCCCACAGGCATTTCTTCCCTCGTGTCTCGCCGCGTGCGAGAGCTGCTGGGGTACCTCTCTCGCCACTCCATGGCAGTCACCTGCCTGCTGCTGCTCTCTTGTTCACCATTCCTTTTGTTCCTTCCTTTGTCTCCCCACAGGCATCCCTCCCCTTGTGTCTCGGCGGGTGCTAGAGCTGCTAGTGTACCTCTCTCGCCACTCCATGGCAGCCACGCAGCTGCCTTTGTGTTCACCATTCCTCTTGTGCCTCCCTCTCCCCCCATCAGGCATCCCCCCTCTCGTGTCTCGGCGGGTTCTGGAGCTGCTAGTGTACCTCTCTCGCCACTCCATGGCAGCCACGCAGCTGCTGCTGCTCTTCCCCTCCGCGCTCACTCGCTTGGCTCAGCAGCAGCGCGAGGAGCGGGAGCGGGCGAAGGAGAGGGAGCAGCGCAAGGGCAAGGGTAAGGTGACGGAAGTAGCAGAGGAGGCTGTAGGAGGAGCAGGAGGAGGAGCAGCAGGAGGAGCATCAAGAGGAGCAGCAGATGGAGCAGCAAAAGCAGGGGAATTGGTGGAGACAGGGGTTGCGGGTAGGGGAGCGAAGGGGAAGAGAGAAGCGGGTGTTGATGGGGAGGCAGAGGAGGAGGTGGGAGAAGGGGAGGTGCCGTTTGTGCTGATGCTGCATCTGTTGAGGCAGCCTCTGTACCTGCGTAGCTCGCCCCACTTGGAACAGGTCCGTGCAACGCCGCTTGTCTAGGTCCGTGCATGTCATGCAGCTGCTGGGTCTCATGGAGGTGGTAGCTCGCGCAGCAGCAGGGTCTACTTTGTCGCATGGAGGGGTCAGCCCTCTTGCCATTGCTCATCTCTCCCCCCCCTCCGTTCCCCCCTTTCCCCCATGTGTGTGTGTGCATGCCCTGCAGCTGTTGCGTCTCATACAGGTGGTAGCTCGTGCAGCAGCAGAGTCGACTCTATCTCATGGAGGGTCAGCCCTCTTGCCGTTGCTCATCTCTCCTCCCCCCCTCCCCCCCTCCCCCCCTTTCCCCCCATGCGTGTGTGTGTGTGTGTGGGCATGTCATGCAGCTGCTGGGTCTCATGGAGGTGGTAGCTCGCGCAGCAGCAGAGGAGGCTCTCAATGCTGCCGCTGCTGCTGCTGCTGCTGCTGCCACGCCTGCCACTACTGCTGCCACTGCAACGCCAGCTACCGCTGGCGGTACTGCCACTGCTGCCGCTGGTGCGGCTGTCCCTGCTGATGCTGTTAGACTAGAGGGGGAAGTAGCGGGAGAAGCGCCAGCAGCAGCAAGTGCACCAGTGGTAGCTGCATCCACAGCAGCAGCAGGAGCAGCAGGGGTGGCAGGAGATGGTGCTTCAGGCCCTGCCGAGGCAGCGGCAGAGGTTCGGATGGAGGGTGGTTCAGGTCCGGGGACTGCCGAGGCTGGGCCTGCGGGTGGGGATGTAGAGATGGGAGAGAGGGAGAGAGAAGACGGAGGGGAGGGGCAAGCAGGGCAGGAGGGGCAGGAGGGGCAGGAGGGCAGAGAGCAACCAAGTGAAACCCAAGAAGGAGCTCCAACAGCTGCGGCAGAGACTGCAGCAGCGGCAACAACAGCAGCTGCAACAGCCGATGCTGTCGCTCTTTTAACTGGAACAGATACTGCTACTGCTCCCTCGGCTGCTGCTACCATCCCACCCGCTTCCACACCCACATCCCCTCCCACCAGCACGGCACAACCCCTTGCCCCCTCTACTCCACCCACTCCCCCAGTGCCCATCCCAGTGACAGTCTTCCTTCGCATCCCCCACCCCGACCTCCGCATTCTCTCCCAGCTTCTCGCCCAGGAGGGCCTCTCAGACGCCTCCTACTCGCGTGCTGTGGCTGTGCTGCGGCTGGTTACTGCCGTGGTTCCTAAGTACCGCGCACTGTTTGTTGCTGACCTGGCAGAGGCGGCACGCCAGCTCAGCTCGCCGGCCACGCGGGAGCTGCTAGAGGTGGTGGAGGGGGCGGATGGTGGGGAGGGTGGGGGAGAGGAGGGAGCAGGTGCAGGTTCAGGAACAGGGGCAGCAACGGAGAGTGAGAGAGCGTCAATGGAAGGGCAGGAAGCAGCAGCACCTGCAGCACCATCAGCACTAGCTGCTGTAAGCGGCAAGCCATGGGGATTGACAAGAGCAGGAGCAGCCACTCTCCGCGTCCTCAAGACCCTCACCTCGCTCCTCTCACAACCCGCCTCCTCCCTCCCACCTGCCTGGGATGGTGACTCCCCCTCAGGACCAGCATCCGAGGCAGAATGCCAGGCTGTCATTGCAGACCTGGTCACGTCGCTCCACCCTCTCTGGCAAGTCCTATCCGAATGCTGTGGCAAGCTTGAGACTCGGTACAAGAAACACCCGGCCCTGTCCGCTTCGGCTGGACCTGCAGGTTCGGCGGCGGAGGGCGCGGCAGGCGTGGGAGGAGGGGCAGCAGGGGGAGGTGCGGTGCCGCCGCTGCCATCAGCAGCACAGCAGCTGTTACCGTTTGTAGAGTCTTTCTTTGTGTTGTGTGACAAGACGAGCAGCAAGGGCAAGGGTGCTGCTGCTGGGGGAACTGCTGCCGCTGCTTTGGATGCAACTCCTGCTGCTGCTGGGGATGCTTCAGCTGCCGCTCCTTCTGCCCCTGCTCCTGGTTCCAGTACTGCTGCTGCAGCAGCAGCAGCAGCTTCAGCAGCAGAGGTTGCTGCCCAACCAGGCTCCACCCAACCCATCACTCCAGCCGCCTCACTTGAACCCCTCCCTGCAGCTGCCACCGCCTCAGCAACCACGCCCATCCCCTCCTCCTCCTCCATCCCCTCCTCCTCCTCCTTCTCCTCCTCCTCGCCCTCCTCTGCACTCCTGCGCTTCACAGAGCGCCACCGCCGCCTGCTCAACGCGTTCGTACGCGGCAACCCGGCGCTTCTGGAGAGGTCCTTTGCGGTGCTGCTCAAGTGGGCGTGGGTGCTGGACTTTGACAACAAGCGCGCTTACTTTAGGGCGCGGATGAGGCAGCTGCATGAGCAGCCGCACTATGGCACACTGCGGATCACGGTCCGACGGCCATATATCCTTGAAGATTCATACAACCAGGTGAGAGAAAGATTTGAGTGCATAGACTTCTCAAAACCAGGCAGGTAGGACATTAATCTAGACGTGTCAAAACTGGAGCGTTCGTTTGCGGTGGTGCTGCTGTGCTCAAGTGGGCGTGGGTGCTGGACTTTGATAACAAGCGTGCTTACTTCCGTGCGAGGATGAGGCAGCTGCATGAACAGCCGCACTACGGCACGCTGCGCATCACAGTCAGGCGGCCATATATTCTTGAAGACTCATACAACCAGGTGAGAGGATTTGAGTTCCATAAACTTCCTACAGCCAGGCATGAGGGACGTTTCTCTAGACGTGTCAAATCTGGAACGAGGTGACTTTTGAGTCGACTCAAAAGTCACCTCGTTTTGCAGTCGTTTGCGGTGGTGCTGTGCTCAAGTGGGCGTGGGTGTTGCGGATGTGCACGGCAGAGGAGAAAGGGGGGGAGGGGAGGGGGGTGTGGGGGGGGGGGGGGGGGGGGGTGGTTCTTATTGAATCGCTGCAAAGATCCTCCCAACCTTCCCCAGTCCCCTCCCCTCCCCTTCACAGCTGCGCATGCGCGTGGCAGAGGAGAGGAGGTGCACGGGGCGGCCTTGAAGGTGCCTGTATCACCTCCCTAACCAGCCCTCTGTCTCTCTAATCCTTTCCCCCAACTCCCCCACCCCCCTCTCCCTCTCCCTCCCCACAGCTGCGCATGCGCACAGCAGAGGAGTTACGAGGGCGGCTGAACGTGCACTTCCAGGGGGAGGAGGGCATCGACGCGGGGGGCGTGACGCGCGAGTGGTACCAGCAGCTGTCGCGAGTGGTGTTTGACAAGGGCGCTCTGCTCTTCACCACTGTCGGCAACGACACCTCCTTCCAGCCAAATCCCAACTCTGTGCTGCAGCCGGGCCACCTCTCCTACTTCAAATTCGTGGGGCGCGTGGTGAGTGCTGCTGAACCTACTTGCAGGTTCTGTTCTGCTGGCTGGCTGAGCGGTGGTAAGTGCTGCTCAATGTGCTGCTCCCTGTGGTGTTTGACAAGGGCGCTCTGCTCTTCACCACCGTTGGCAACGACACCTCCTTCCAGCCCAACATTAATGCGGTCTTGCAGACGGGTCATTTGTCCTACTTCAAGTTTGTTGGCCGAGTGGTGAGTGTAGTATCACTAGACGCTTCTTTAGGTGCCTCAGAAGCACTGAGACGCATCAAGTGCCATCTGTTTTAGGTGCCTGATAGGTTGGTTGGTTCTTCACCCATTGGCACATGGTGCGTCGCGCGCGTGGTACCAGCAACTATCGCGGCCTCCAATCCAAATCTCAACCTCAGTCTCAACCAACGCCAAACTCCAATGCTTGTGTGCAGGTGGCCAGGGCACTGTACGCAGGGCAGCTGTTGGACGTTCATTTTACAAGCACGCCCAGGATGAGCTCCTTCTACAAGCACGCCCAGGATGAGCTCCTTCTACAAGCACATCCTGGGCGTGAAGGTCGCTCGATTGCTCTTTTAAACCCCCTCCCCCACCCTTCCCATCCCAAACCTATTTCCAATCCATGCGTGCAGGTGGCCAAGGCACTGTACGACGGGCAGTTGTTGGACGTTCATTTCACCCGCTCATTCTACAAGCACATCCTGGGCGTCAAGGTCACCTCACGGCTCGTCAACCCCCCACCCTTTCTCTTTCCTCCCATGTCACTACATCCAGGTGGCCAAGGCATTATATGACGGGCAGCTGCTGGACGTGCACTTTACCCGCTCGTTCTACAAGCACATTCTGGGCGTGAAGGTCACATTCCATGACATAGAGGCCATTGACCCGGACTACTACAAGAACCTGCAGTGGATGCTCGAGGTGAGCGTGACGGGGGGGTGCAGTGCGGTGCAGAGGTAATGCTGGAGGTTAGGCGGGTTGCACAAGCACATCCTGGGCTTGAAGGTCACATTCCATGACATAGAGGCCATTGACCCGGACTACTACAAGAACCTGCAGTGGATGCTCGAGGTGAGCGTGACGGGGGGGTGCAGTGCGGTGCAGAGGTAATGCTGGAGGTTAGGCGGGTTGCACAAGCACATCCTGGGCTTGAAGGTCACATTCCATGACATAGAGGCCATTGACCCGGACTACTACAAGAACCTGCAGTGGATGCTCGAGGTGAGCGTGACGGGGGGGTGCAGTGCGGTGCAGAGGTAATGCTGGAGGTTAGGCGGGTTGCACAAGCACATCCTGGGCGTGAAGGTCACGTTCCATGACATAGAGGCCATTGACCCGGACTACTACAAGAACCTGCAGTGGATGCTCGAGGTGCGTGTGAGGCGCGGACTTGTTGATGTGAGGCGGATTTTGAATGGTATGTGAAAGTGTGAGTGTGAATGTGCCTCGCTGACCACTCTCCCCCCCTGGTTGCTTGCCGGATTCGCTCCTATCCCCTGTGCCCTCATCCGCCTGTTGCCTCATAACCTCTATTCAAATCCCCTACTCTCATATCCCCCTCTTCAATCCCCCTCACAAATCCCACCAGAATGACATCAGCGACATCTTGGATCTCACATTCAGCGTGCACGCTTTTATCCCCCATGGCCTCATATTTTGTCTGTGCAATTCCCCCCCACCCCCCCACCCACCCACCAGAACGACATCAGCGACATCTTGGATCTCACATTCAGCATGGATGCGGACGAGGAGAAGCGCATTCTGTACGAGCGCACTGAGGTGAGCAGCAGGGCTGGGGGTTGCAGCAGTGGGGTGCTGTTGACTTGGGTTGACCGCCTTGACTCGAGGTGGCAGTGACATCTTGGATCTCACGTTCAGCATGGATGCAGACGAGGAGAAGCGAATTTTGTACGGGCGCACTGAGGTGAGCCGGGGGGGTGCTGTTTTCTTCTGCTATGCACCATTACCATTGTCCATCATTGTTCACCACTATTGATTTCTGCTAGATTTGGGGCACGAGAGTTGATTCACCGGCTCTTTCCTCCACGAATATTTGCCTTTCGCTCCGCCTGTCTCCCTTGCATCCCCCCACAGGTGACGGATCACGAGTTGATCCCAGGCGGTCGCAACATCCGGGTCACGGAGGAGAACAAGCACGAGTACGTGGACGCCATGGCAGACTACCGCATGACAACAACTGCTCCTCATGCCTCTCCCTTGCCTTTTCCCTGCCTTTCCTCAACAGGTGACGGACCACGAGCTCATCCAAGGGGGCCGCAACATCCGAGTGACGGAGGAGAACAAGCACGAGTACGTGGACGCTGTGGCAGACTACCGCATGACACCACCTGCCGCTCATGCCCCTCCTCTCCCTTTTCCCTGTCAACGCTCGTCTCCCCGCAACAGGTGACAGACCAGGAACTCATTCCTGGGGGTCGCAACATCCGAGTGACGGAGGAGAACAAGCACGAGTACGTGGACGCTGTAGCCGACTACCGCATGACCCCTGCTGCCCCTCATGCCCCTCCTCTCCCTTTTCCCTGCCAACCCTCGTCTCCTTTAACAGGTGACGGACCATGATCTTATCCCCGGGGGCCGCAACATCCGGGTAACAGAGGAGAACAAGCACGAGTACGTGGACGCCGTGGCCCCAACTACTGCATGACGGCTGCCCCTCATGCATCTTCCTTGCTACTCCCCCCTGCCTCTCTGACAACAGGTGACAGACCAGGAACTCATCCCCGGCGGTCGCAACATCCGAGTGACGGAGGAGAACAAGCACGAGTACGTGGACGCCGTGGCGGACTACCGCATGACGGCTGCCATCCGCCCGCAGATCGCGGCGTTCATGGAGGGGTTCACGGAGCTCATTCCCAAGGACCTCATCGCCATGTTCAACGATAAGGAGCTGGAGCTCCTGATATCCGGCCTGCCGGAGATTGACAGTGAGTGCTTGGCTTCTTCCTTTGTGGGCACTAGTGAGGGCAGTGAGTGTGGGTGTGTGGGAGCATTCATGGAGGGATTCACGGAGCTCATTCCCAAGGATCTCATCGCCATGTTCAATGATAAGGAGCTGGAGCTGCTCATCTCGGGATTGCCGGAGATTGACAGTGAGTGTGCTCTGTGTGCTGGGATGTGGGGTGGCGGCCTGAGATTGGCTGACGTGATTCGTTAGGAGCGTTTTCTGGTCTGGGATGTCGCAAAACTGGAACGACCCAGATCCTCTCACCGCATCCTGTCATCACCTTTCTCATTCTCCCTCACTTCTCCTAGCCCCCCATTCTCCCACCAGTTGACGACCTGCGCAGTAACACGGACTACACAGGGTACACGGCAGGGTCGCCACAGATCCAGTGGTTCTGGGACGTGGTGGCTCACCTCTCACACTGCACCCCTCCCTCTCTATTCTCCCTTCCCCCCCTCCTCTCCCCACCAGTTGACGACCTGCGCAGCAACACGGACTACACCGGGTACACAGCGGGGTCGCCACAGATCCAGTGGTTCTGGGACGTGGTGGCCCACCTCTCCAAGGAGGACCGCGCTCGCTTGCTGCAGTTCGTCACTGGCACGTCCAAGGTGAGACTTTAGGGACCTGTTCAAGGTGAGAGCAAATGGGGAACTTTCAAGGTAACACCACGCTCCAGGAGGACCGCACCCGCCTGCTGCAATTCGTCACTGGCACCTCCAAGGTATCACCACTCACAGCGTGCTCGTTTCGCAAGATGAGAGCAGGGGCACGTCCAATGTGACACCGCACTCACGTAAAGCTCCTGCTTCGCCCAGACCTATTCCAAGTATCCCTCTTGCTGCATTCCCCTCCGCAACTTCCTGGCAGGTTCCTCTGGAGGGTTTCAAGGCGCTGCAAGGGCTGCCGGGGCAGCAGCGGTTCCAGATCCACAAGGCGTATGGCGACAACAAGAGGTTGCCCTCCGCTCACACATGGTACGTGGCCTCCCGCTCTCCTCATCCCTCAATCTAAGCTCTCCCGCGCTCCCAAATTCCCCCTCCTTCCCCTTCTCCACCTCCCGTCCGTCCCTGTTCTCCCATTTTCTCCTAAGATTTTATCATGCGTAGGCACTGTCGTCCATGGTTCTTTCATGTACCTCTTGTAGTTGTTACTTGATGTTGCTTTTAGTGCTACTTTCGTAAGCAGCTCATACCCACTAATTCCTGCTCTTGTAACAGTTTCAACCAATTGGACCTGCCAGAGTACAGCACCAAGGAGCAGCTACAGGAACGCTTACTGTTGGCCATTCATGAGGCCAGTGAGGGCTTTGGTTTCGGTTAAACAACTGATTAGCTGTGTTGCGTTAAACGGTGCTCCTGTGGAGGCGTTGAGCTCGGTAAACGTAGAAAATCATATGGCAATTCTTTGTCACGAAACAGCATCGCTCATTGAGGAAAATTGGAACCAGAGGGATCCCTTCTATGAACAGCTGGATTCCTGTAGTACGTTATACATATTAGACGAGCTGGTTGACTTTGTACCCTTTAAACATGATTGCAGCACTGTTGCTTATAACGGATAGTTGCCGTTAAGTAAGATCCGCCATGTCAGCAATTCCAGGTGTCCTTGTGCCAAAGCAGCCACATCGGATAGATCTTTGCCACGCGGAAGCTTCTCAACACAGATAGGCACAGAAATGTGGATATGGAAACTCGTGGTTGCGTGTGACATCGGGGCTGACGTGTCAAACGAACTCCCTTTTGCGCCATTCGAAGCGATTCGCATTGCACACGCGGCATTCGCAAGACTTCTTTCGCAACTCTCGCCTTTATTGCGAAGCTAAACGAGATTTCGCTTGTTGTCGCACTTTCCTCCGTCCACCACCAACCCTCTTCGGCAGCCATGGCTGCGTCCCAGCCACTCGCTGCTGTAGTGGACTCCCAGCCAGCTGTGTCACAGCAACTCCACGAATTCTGATTCCGGATTCCTGATGGGTGGAGAGAGTTGGGAGTCAGTGGAGATTATCTTGTAACGGACCAGACACATTCCGGCCAGCATCGTCCCCATAAATAGCCAGAAGTATCATTTTTCCCGTGTAATCTGAACGGCGTTTCTTCGCATTTACAGAGCAGCAGCTAGTCTCCTGCTACCTGCGACTTCTTCCACTCATCCATTTCTCAGACATCCTTTGAGAATGGCTGCTACCGTCGCTACCTCCTCCAAGGTGGTCGTCGCGCCCCGCGCGGCCCTTTCCCAGGGCAGCAGCGCCGGCTCCAGCTCTGTCAGGGCGTCCGCTGGCATCAGGTCCTTCAACGGCCTGGTCGCTGGTAACAAGGACAACCAGAAGTTCGCCAACATTTTCGCCGTTGAGCACGACATCCAGTCCGCCGTCGCCTCGCACGTCGCCAAGGCGGGCAAGGGCACCCGCGGTGTGGTAACCATGGCGAAGAAGAGCGTGGGTTCGCTGACGGAGGCGGACCTGAAGGGCAAGCGCGTGTTCGTGCGCGCGGACCTGAACGTGCCGCTCGATGCGGACTTCAACATCACCGACGACACGCGTATCCGCGCCGCCGTGCCCACCGTCAAGTACCTCATGGAGAAGGGCGCTAAGGTCCTCCTCACCAGCCACTTGGTAAGTCACAGAAGCTCTTAAACATTGACATTGGCCAGTTATGGCTGCAAAGAGATGCCTAGTTGCTGTTTGTACATTCAACATTGACTACCATTACGAATTGTCAGCTTCCAATTTATTGTATGTAAACAATGTATCTAATGTTCGCTTTATCTCCATCCGTTATTTTCCTTTCCGTAATTCCAGGGTCGCCCGAAGGGTGTGACCGAGAAGTTCCGCCTGAACCCTCTGGTGAACCGCCTGTCGGAGCTGCTGGGCATCACGGTCGTCAAGACCAACGACTGCATCGGCGAGGAGGTCGAGAAGGCTGTCGCCGCCCTCCCCAACGGCGGCGTCGTTCTCCTCGAGAACGTGCGCTTCTACCCCGAGGAGGAGAAGAACGTCAAGGAGTTCGCCGAGAAGCTCGCGGCCAACGCCGACCTGTACGTCAACGACGCGTTCGGCACGGCGCACAGGGCGCACGCGTCCACCGCGGGCGTGACTGAGTTCCTCAAGCCCTCCGTCGCCGGCTTCCTCCTCCAGAAGGAGCTCGACTACCTCGATGGCGCCGTCACCAGCCCCACCCGTCCTTTCGCCGCCATTGTCGGCGGATCCAAGGTGTCGTCTAAGATCGGCGTGATCGAGTCGCTGCTCGCCAAGTGCGACATTCTGCTGCTGGGCGGTGGCATGATCTTCACCTTCTACCGCGCGCTCGGGTACAAGACCGGCGCCTCGCTGGTGGAGGAGGACAAGGTGGAGCTCGCGACGAGCCTCATCAAGAAGGCCGAGGAGTTGGGCGTGAAGCTGCTGCTGCCCACTGACGTCGTCATCGCCGACAAGTTCGCCCCTGACGCCAACTCCAAGGTTCGTTGCTCAAAGAGCTCTCTTTTACCTCTCTTGGTCACTCAAGTTGTTTTTCCCCCCTGGGTTGGCTATCATATAATCCGGGACTTTCTCCTTCATATTTGTACTTTGGTACACACATTGGGGCCTCCAATTCCATCAATAAGTGGGTCATTTCAACAAGCTTCGATTTTCACATTTGCATTGCATAAAGAACTAAACCTGATCACAATGTCTACTCTCTCCTTCCTCCCTCACTGCAGATTGTGTCGGCCAAGGACATCCCCGACGGCTGGATGGGTCTCGATATCGGCCCTGACTCCGTCAAGACGTTCAACGAGGCGCTCGACACCTCCAAGACCGTCATCTGGAACGGCCCCATGGGCGTGTTCGAGTTCGACAAGTTCGCCGTCGGTACCGAGTCCGTCGCGAACAAGCTCGCGGATTTGAGCGGCAAGGGCGTGATCACCATCATTGGTGGCGGTGATTCCGTGGCGGCTGTTGAGAAGGTGGGAGTGGCTGAGAAGATGAGCCATATCTCCACCGGTGGCGGTGCCTCCCTGGAGCTTCTCGAGGGCAAGGTGTTGCCAGGTGTCGCTGCTCTCAACGAGGCCTAAATGCTCGTAAATAGCTATTTTTTACCTTCTCCACAGTTTTGTACAATTTTCGCATTTAAAAGAAAATCGAAATATTCTTACCCTGCCTCACAAGACCATGTGCCACGTACCTGTGATCGGTTAGAACCGGACCAGGTACCTAGTGCATTGAAGCTTCTACAGAAGACACAACAGTGGGGCAGAAACGTGGGCTCGAGAGAATTTCTGCAATGTTTTGTTGTTTTACATTATCAGCAGGAAATACTTCTGAGTAGTCAATGGCACCTCCCAAGTCACAAGTTGTGCAAGATGGGAAAAGCGATGGTATTGGATAATTGTGAATCCCATTCTGCTCTAGTCGGTCCATCTTGATCACCACATTATGCTGCTTCTCGCGAAACATGTGCGACTCCCTCCCGAGGATGTGCGCCATCTCGTAGCCCAGCTTCATCAAGCCCCCCAGCAGCCGCACACTCACTTCTAAGGTGATGCGCGGGGTTAGCGTATCACAAAGGGGCAGTCTGTGACACTGGTGAAGGGGGGAGGAGGGAGGGAGGGAGGGAGGGAAGGAGGGAGAGAGGGAGGTACGGAGGGAGGGAGGGAGGGAGGTACGGAGGGAGGGAGGGAGGGCGGGAGGGAGTGGGGTATGGGAGTGAGAGGCAAAGGACGGGGCGGCAGGAACATCACGAGGCGCGACTCCCTCCCGAGAATGTGCGCCATCTTGTAGCCCAGCACCACGAGGCCCCCCAGCAGCCACACACTCACTTCGAAGGTGATGCATGGGGTTATTTCCAAGGGGCCGTCTGTGACACACGCCTGGCACGGAGGGTTCGTGGTGCAGGGAGGAGGTGGAGAGAGAGTTTAGATTCAGGGGTAAGGGGGGGAGCAGGCGCACACTGTCTGTCACATCACATACCCTGGAACGCCCAACGCCCCACCACCACCCAAAGCACGTACCTCAAACACAATGGAGTAGTGGCTGTCCCGGTTGCGCATCCACAGGTGCATCTGGTCACGGCACGTTTACTTGTACTCTTTATAAGCTGCCTGATTTCTACCTTGGTAAGACTGCATCTCTCGGCCTGAAGAAGGTGTGGGAAGGTGGAGGTGCGGGAAGAGCGGGATGAAGGAGGTGCAGAAGTGGGGATTGGTGGGGGTGAGGGCGTTAAGGGAGTTAAGGGGCTGGTGGTAGGTGAAGTAATAAACTTGAAAGCTGGGTGACGGCGGAGATCCACAAGAACCCAACCTTCCATGACCTACCATGAAATCCTTCATGCGTTCCTTCCTTCAGTCGAGATGTCAACAGCTACGATGACGATCATGCAAAACGAATTCCGCTTATGTAGTCATTGAAACCAGTGACATTCGGAGACCGTAAAGAAGACCTTTGAGACGCTTTAAAAAGCGGGATGTTGACATCTACGACGAGCCATGCTAACGTCTCTTAGGCTCTTAGGCTAGCCCGACGCGATGACCGTCGAACGTCTCTGTCGTTGCGCGGATCCAGGAACTGATAGTTGCGCTGATAGTAGAGTCGGTGATTGCGCTGATTGCTTCCCTGACAATCGCGCCAATCGTTTCGCTAATGGTACGCTAATGGTGCGCTAATGGTCGCGCCGATAGTAGCGCTGATGATAGCGCTGATGGTTGCGCAAGTTGCGCTGATTGCTGCGCTGAAGTTGCGCCAATGGTTTGAACTTCGAGCCACCATATTTCACCCGTCCTTTTGTTGATACAAACTGCACTGAACATGCATATATTTGAGCAGAGTAGTATACGTTTCACGACAGAACACCGTCCAAGGCCTTGAAAAGTACTAACACTATTCCGTTAGATAAAGAGATACTAGTCAGCTAAGCTTTCTAACAAGTCAGCTAAGCTTTCTAAAGCTCCCTCCCTAAGCCCTGAAGTGTGAGAAGATCCACTTGCGCCTCCACAGCAGCTTGACTTGAACACTTCCGCGCAGCTTGAACACTTCCTTCCGCCTCCACAGCAGCTTGAACTTGCGCGCGGCTTGAAAGTCTTCTTGACCCCTCTTGGCCGTCAGAGGCAAATGCCCCTGACGTTACACCCACGCACCACGATGAGGTGAGGGTCATTCGCGTGGGGTCTGCTTGGGAGGGGAGGAAAGTGCTTGGGAGGGGGGAAACGGTTAAAACTAGGAACGGGCAGATGAAAATAACACCTCGGACGATTCACCGTTGTTGTCAGAGTTTTGCCGGGATGACCGCCTGCCCGTCTTGTCAAGACGGACAGGCGGGAGAGGCGTACCTGTACCAATACCAGCGCACCTGATCCCTATCCTATCGCCCATGTGGATGTGCCTAATCGAGCCTAGCTAACACGCTCCTATCGATCTGTCCGTACCCACCAACACACCTTTGTACACACCTTCGACGTCCCTTACTACATGCTTGGTTGTTCCGCGGCCCGCCGATTCTGTCAGAAAGGGCGGCATTGGAGGGGAAAGTCAAATTCCAACCTCGCGCTCCTTGCTCCTCGCTCCAGCTCCTTAGCTCCAGCTTCTCCGCGCTCCACGCCCGATATGTGGAGCCTCCGACTTCACTTCCTGCACCACAAACGACGACAAAAAAGGACATTAGTAATTATGAAAAACGAAACAGCGCGTTAAAAGCGACGACAGAGACGAGCGGAAAATTGACGAGCTGAAAGGCGACGACGGGAAGATCAAACCACCACAGCAGAGAGAAGCGCCGCCGAGCGCCGTGCTCCGATGCGCCGCGCTCCGCTCCGCTCCCCCGAAGAAGCGTCGCCATGCGGTCCCGCGAGCTCCCATCCCCGCTTCCTCTGCGCTAAAGAAGAGCACACACAAATAAAGTTAGTTTCTTCGAAAATGAAAAAAACTTAACGGAGAGAGATGGTACTTACCATGCATGGGAGACCACTGCGTTACCTCCTTATCTCGCCGATGACCCCGCGAGCTCCCACCCCCGCTTCCGCTACGCTAAAGAGAAGAACACACACAGAAAACGTTAGAATTTCTTAAAAGGAAACAACTTAACAAAAAATGACGTCGCTTACCATGCACGGGAGACCCCCGCGTTACCTCCGTTGCTGGTGATGTCCCCGTGAGCTCCCACCCGCGCTTCCGCTGTGCTAAGAGAAAAGAGAACGCAGAAAGAAGTTAGCTTCAAGGAAAAGGAAATCAATTGCAGAAATGGACGGCACTCTTACCATGCACGGGAGACCACCTCCCCGCGTTACCTCCCCTTGGTCGCCGCTGACCCGCGAGCTCCCTCCCCTGCTTCCGCCGTTGTCTCAGGATCCTTCTGCACTGAGGCAACAAGCACTAAACAGAAAGTTAGATCTCGAAGGGGAAGCAACTAAACTGAATTCGACGCTACTTACCAGAGAAGAGGAGAGGGAGAGCTAGCTCTCCTTTACCTCCCTTGCTCGCTGTAGTTGCTGCCGTGTTGCTCGTGCTGCACTAAGAGGAACAATAGGCGTTAGTTTTACGTAAAATGAAGTAGCAAAACGAAATGTGACGGTTCTTACCGTGAAAGCCGCTCGGGCTTTTACCGTGGTAGTCGCTGCTGTGGACGGTCGGTGTAGTCGTTGTCGAATGGGGCACTGGGAGCGGGAGGGGGGCGGAGAGGTACGGGCTGGGGCTACCCTCCCCCTCCACCACCACCCTGCCCCATCCCCGCTCCCATAACCCCGTCGCTTGTCTTGAGACTCACTGCTCACATGGCGATTCCACGCGTCATGGCATCACGGCAGACAAAACGAAAGGCGAAACGAAACGAAACGAAACGAAATGCGAAACGAAACGAAATGCGAAATCCACGAAAGGGAAAAGCGACGACGAGACGAAAGAAAAAACACCACCAGAGAGACTCTTCTCGGAGAGTCCCGCCTTCGCCCGCAAAACGCGCCTTGGCCCGTGAGACGCGCCTTTCGTCCGTGAGACGCGCTTTTTGCCCGCGAAACGCGCCTCCGCGGCCATGAGCCGCACCTCATGCGTCCTTCCCCTAACCTCGTGCCTCGTGCCACGAGTCCCCATGTGACGGACGGTCAGCCTCTGCAAGGAGAAAGAATAAGAACGAAACCGTTAAGAAGGAGGATAAGAACGAAATAAAACGAATAGGAGCCGCCAAAGGAACAACGCGTTAAACTGCAAGAAACAGCACGTTCAGCTCGAGCGACTCGCCACTAGTAGTGAATCGCGGAGAGTTCCGCGGGACGGACGAAGTGACGCCAACCGTCGCCGTCCGCTTGTGACGTCAACCATCACGGTAGAGTCCTCGTAGCATGACGGAAAAACCAACCGCCGCCGGCAGGGAGAAGCGTTGCCAACCGCCGTCGCCATGCGTGACATTCCTCGCCATTCGTCGCCATACGTCGCCACACGTCGTCGTGTGTCGTGCGCCGTTGAATCTGCAGGAGAAAGTAAATCAACGCGTTAGAACGTGGAAATTTTAAATCAGATAAAGGGACTGGATATAAGGTCGAGCGAGGCGCTGCGGGTAGTGAATCGAATTAACAAAACGTTACCTCAGTCGAGAGAGGTCGTCTCCGTCCCCTCGCGTCCCCTCGTGACGTGAGACACGCCGTCATCGACGGTAGAGTCCTCCGCGATTGACGTAAAGACGGTCACGCGACCAAGGACGGTCGTTCAGTAGAAACAGTCCACCTTTGGTCGCCACCAAAACAGTCGTCGAGGTCTGCACGGAGAAAGCAGCACGTTAGTACTAGACGAGAGGAGATGAAGAGAATGACGGAAGATTGTAAACGACGGTAGACTTCACTCACCAACCCGCATGACGATCATCATGATGATCAATCTTGGCGATCAATCTTGGCGACAATCTTGGCGACGATCTTGGCGACGATCTTGGCGACGACATGGCTTCAAGTCTCGTCAGCGGCGGTTGATAGCGACGTCGTGGCATCAAGCGACGTATTGGCGGTCGTTCGGTAGAAGCACTGCTATCAGTCGCTAAGCGGTCTGCAGGAAAAAAACGGCAGCGCGTTAGTACGAGGGAAGAAAAAGAGAACATCTGAAAAATAATAATAAATAAGTAAAAAAGAGTAGACTTCGCTCACCTTGACCCGAACGACGATCATTTCGGCGACGATCATCTCGGCGGCTCATAAGTCTCGTCGGCGCCTCTTGCGAAGGCTCCAAGGCGATTGAAACATTCTCCTGCGTCGGCGCGTTGCCAAGATGGCCTGCAGGAAGAAATTAACAAGTTGACTTAGACTGAGAAAACTGAGAAGAAGACGTAAGGAAACGTCGAGCTGAATAGTCAACTGAGAAGACGAAGGAAAGATATATTTACCCCAACTGATAGACGACTAGGATCTATCGGTTGGTGATGGTCGAAGCGCATCGGCGACGATAAATGGCGAGGCGATCTGAATTCAGCCTTTCAGATCCTCGCATCCGGAGCTCGGAGCGCCAACGCCATTACGCTTGAAGCTTGAAGCGTGAAGGGCCATTCCGCTTGAAGCTTGGAGCTTGAAGCGCGAGCGACGGTAAAGGCTCTCATCCGCGTCTTGAAGTTTGACTTTGGTTCTCCGCTGTTGATAGCGACAGGAAGAAGATCGTCTGCAGAAAAAAGTGCAAAACGAGTTAGAGTTTTTTCTCAGAAACACGTTAACTAACAAAACTGATTCCATTATTTTTTTAAGAAATTACCTCGACCGTCTCCGTGTTGGTGACGGGGGGGACGGCAGCGACTTCTATCGGTGGCGTGAAGATCTTTCGGCGAGAAATTGAAACTGTCGTGAAGAGCTTGCCTTAGTGCCAAGTCGGTCGTCAAGAGGTCTGCGGGAAGAAAGCAACAGGTTAGATCTTGAAGAATGCTGAACGACTTGAAATGTTAACCAGCCAAAAACGCTTGCAGAAGAAGTTGGTTCAAGTTGAACTTACCTCCGATTGTCAAGGTAGGCATGAAGCTTTGTTCGAATCTTGCGTTCCGAGCGGTGTCGCCGTGAACATTAGCTTTGTTACATACTACGTCATCAGATTTAATAGATAACATCTCTTGCAATGTGAAAGCAGTTCCAAAAGCTTGAAATGTCGAGCATTCCATCTCTCTTGGTCTTTGACCATCACAATGGGACTAACCACCAAGAGGATGCTGTGAAACTAAGCTATCGGCCGTAATAGCTTAGTTACACAGCAACCTCATGATGGTAAGTCTCATTTTGGTGGTCAAAGGTTCGAAGAGATGGAGTGCTGGGCATTACAAGCTTATGGAGTTGCTTACGCATAAAAAGAGATGTTCACTGTAAAATCTGATGACGTAGCAGGTAGAATCTGAATTTACGAGGTGAAGTGTTGTAGCCGGCTCAAGTGTTAGTGTCCGCACATGAAGTCTTGACGTCGGCACTTCGTGCTTAGCATCGGCGCTTCAACTCTCCACAAGAGGTCGCCAACAGGTCTGCAGGAAGAAATAAACATGTTAGTACTTGAACAATGATGAACGACTAAAAACAAAAGAAAGGCTAAAATCGTCTACAGGAAGTAGATGAAAAAAATACGCACTTACCTCCAGTCGTCCGTCTCCGCGACGGGGAAGACCGACGTGGTTTTCGTGATGGCGAAACTTGTCTTCCCCGTGTTGGCGATCTCGCCGTATAGGCGTGAAGGTCTTGCGGTGGGATCTCGAGTTTGCCGAGAATAACGTCGGCACTTCAAGTCTTCGCGCCGGCGCTTCAAGTCCCACCAAGACGGTCGCCAAGAGGTCTGCGGGACAAAATCAACATGTTAGTACTTGAACAATACTGAACGACTTAAAACTTGACTGAATAGACTCGGTTGCAGAAAAAAGGCTGAAAAACAATATGCCGTTACCTCCATTCGACCGTCTCCGCGACGGGGAAGGCCGACGTTGTCATTGTAATGGAGAAACTTGTCTTCCTCGTGTTGGCGATCCCGCCGTATAGGCGTGAAGGTCTTGCGGTGCGATCTCGAGTTTGCCGAGAATAGCTTGCCTTAGCGTCGGCGCTTCAAGTTGTAGCGTCGTTGCTTCAAGTCTCGCCAAGTCGGTCGCCATGAGGTCTGCGGGAAGAAAACAGAAATTAGTACTTGAAGATTGTTGAACGGCTTAAGAAATTAACTGAACATAACGGCTACGGGAAGAAGTAGAAAGAAGCTGCGCTTACCTCCACTCGCCGTCTCCGTGCTGGTGGTGAATACCGCCGAGAGCGACGGGAAGGCCGACGTGGTCTTCGTGATGGCGAAATTTGTGTTCCCCGTATTGGCGATCTCGCCGTATTGGCGTGAAGACCTCGCGGCGATCATGGATTTGCCGGGAAGGCAGACATGGTCATCTTGTTGCTGAGAGTTGTCTTTAAGGCAGCGACTGGGAAGGCCGCGCCAGCAGCAACTTACTTTCGTCGCGGTGCAGAGATTGCCGCGGAAACCCGGTTTTGTGAACGGTTCAGCCCAAGGCACTTGGCAGCTCACTCAGTCTAGACTCTACCCACCCACCCCAAACCCGACACCTAATCTACTCGACCTCACGCCGCCTCATACCTAGGCTTTCCCGTTCACTAGCCGGGTGGCTTCAGATAGATTAGTTTGCTCCGTGGTGCTAGTAGCCTGAAATCCTTAGTCAAGTTCGTGAAGGAAGGAACTGGAAATGGACGCCATGAGTACAACTTTATAAGACTACGATGGCGGTGTTGGGATCATCCCACTGATTTGTTTATGAGGAAAAGTGTTCGCCTGAAGCTGAAGCGTGGTGCCGCCGATTGATGATTGGTTGAACGAATTCAATTCAACCATATCCAGAGAGTTCGTTGAATAGCAGCCACCGTGGCGCGTCGCAGTGTGGCTCCAACTCAAATGTGTGATGAATCAACGCCGTAGGAAGCCGCTGAGAGCATCTCTGTCAGAATGGGGCAATCTCACAGCGGCGAATCCAAAAAATTGCCGGGTCGCGTGGAGAATGTTGCATGGCTGGCATTTTGAGGCGGCCCAATTTTTTAGCCGATCCGAACCAGATCAGATGTACATGTTCTCTACAAAAAGCAGTTTGTTTATTTGGTTTTGTCTGCTTTGCTTTTCATACAAACGAATCTGCTGAGGGCGCGTATCTCCGTGGGAGTTGTTTGTTGAGGATTATGGGTGTGTGGATGGAACCAAGGATGGGCCTGGGGCAGCCTCGAACTTTCTAGGAGGCGGTAGACGTGGCAATTTTCGAAATAGAGGATGAGTTCTTGCGTTGGTTTTGCGTGAGGTGCGGGACGGCTTAGGAGATTCCCGCGTGGCGCGGGAAGTTTAGCTTTCCTCGCAACTCAGTTTGCCCCTCCGAACCGGACTCGGGCAGCTGAAAATACAAAATGGATCGAGAAGAGATTTCCGCAAGCCAATGGAAATGAAGCGTGATTCCACGGCAGCACGGAATGTTCCCCTCATCCCAACACACACAACCACCACGTCAACAAGCTCACCAAACTCGCAACGCAATTCCTCATCTGCCGTACATAATTCTTTACACCCACCATTATGCCGCTCTAATCGCTTCCTAGTCTCGTTAGGTCGAGGCAGCTCTGATTATTAATCTCATCGCCGTACATCCTGTTACCGTCGCTAACCGATTTTCGTTTGATCAGCAGCAAATGCGGTGGACATTCTTACGAGCCTCATATTTTTTTTTTTTCCGTAACTTGAAGTTAGATCTCAGCACCGTAGCTAGTTGCGATAGCGCTTCACTCACTTCGGTGTTCGCCACTTGAAACATCTAGTGCGGTAAGTACTGCTAAGTGTCAAATCTTAGTAGAGTATTGTTAGTTGTTCACTCCAGATTTGCGCCATTAGGGGTAAGATCTTACGATTTCTTTTGCTCGTGTATTTGCGGATGGATAGTAACGTTCATCTGCGTTCATAGCGTTCATGGCGGCTATCTTTTAGTCGAAGTTAAAGATTGCGGTCACATTCACAACGCCTATTTATGAAGACTATCATGCAAAGGGGTGTGGGAAGGGGGGAGGGGTAAGTGAACGGGGGAAAAGGGGGAATGAACTCGTGAAAGTCGCTCCTGGAGGCGCGTATGAGAAAACCATAACGGAGAGGGCTGGCGAGAGGTGGCAGGCAGAGTGGCCTTTTTCCCCTTTTACCCCCTTTCCCCCCCTTCAATTTCATTCCCCTCCCTCCCCATTCTTCCCCTGACTTTGCCTAGAAACGTCACGCATACCTCATCCCCCAAGCTCTCGCCTCATCTCCCTCGCTCTCCCCTCATCTCCCCCGCTCTCCCCTCATCTCCCCCGCTCTCCCCTCATCTCTCCCGCTCTCTCCTCATCGCCCCCGCTCACTCCTCATCTCCCCTGCTCTCCCCTCATCTCCCCCGCTCTCCCCTCATCTTCCCCGCTCTCCCCTCATCTCCCCCGCTCTCCCCTCATCTCCCCCGCTCTCCCCTCATCTCCTCCGCTCTCCCCTCATCTTCTCCGCTCTCCCCTCATCTCCCCCGCTCATCTCCTCCGCTCTCCCATCATCTTCCCCGCTCTCCCCTCGTCTTCCCCGCTCTCCCCTCGTCTTCCCCGCTCTCCCCTCATCTTCCCTGCTCGTTCCTCATCTCCCCCGCTCTCCCCAATCCCCACTCCCCACCACCCCCCCCCCCTCCCCCCCCCCCTCACTCCCCTCATTTCCTTGCATTCCCCGCTTATCTCTACGCGCTTCCTTGCTCCCCACGTTTTTGCACCCTTCCTTCATCTCCCCACCACTCTCCACCTCCCCTCCTCTTCTCCCATCCCCCACTCAACCCTCATCTCCCTTCCCTCCCTCCCCACCGTCCCCCACTCACCCGTCATCTTCCTCCTCTCCCCTCCCACCTCTCCCCCTTCACCGCTCAACTTTCTCACTCCCCTCCCCAGTTCCCAGGTCCTAACCATCCCTCATCCCCGCCGCCCTCCCCTCAGCTCTCCCCCACTCACCCCTCATCTACCCCACCCATTCACTCATTTCCATTTCCCATCTATCCCCTCTCTCCAGACCCTTTCCCCCATCCAACCCACATTCCCCCTCCGCTCACCCTTGATCTCCTCATTCCTCGTAAATAGCATCTTTTTGCTTTCACAATTTTGTACAATTTTTGCATTCAAATGAGATCAAAATATTTTTTTCCTGCCTTTGGAGATTATGTGCCACGTCTGAAATCAGTCAGATCCGGACAATGCGCGAAGTTTATTGATTCTTCGATGGACCACGGAAGACACAAAGAGAAGGGAAGGGCTCTGAGAGAATGCTAACAGTGTGTCTAAAGAAGCCGCATGAGTGGATACACATTTCGCTGCCAGGTACCATTTCTGCTGTCAAATGAAATGAATTCTTGACATCACCTGCAGGAGGATTTCTGAGTCGTCAATGGCCGTCGGAGTAAGTAGCCTAACGTGCACTGAGATGGGAAACGTGAAGGTGTAGTGAGTGGTGTTGATCTTGTGAGTCCCATTCTGGAGGACTACCAGTATTGGGAAAACTACAAAGTCGGGAACAGCTTGCGTATATGAAAACTTTGTCATGAGACACATTGTGCTCTAAAGGCAAAGTCATTGCCGTTGATAGTTGTGCCTTTCACAACGGAGAAATCTATGAGCTTCTGTGTACTTCAGCGCTCTGGTGATATTATCAAGAATTCCTGATCAAAAGAGACAGGTCATAGGGGTTTGCACAGTCGGAAGTCGAGACTGGGAGGGTCCTGAGAAGTTGACGAGAAAGCATGGGCGAAGGTCCCCCACGCGATCTGGTTACCTCCTTACTTCATTTATCCTGTCGTCAATCAGCCCAAAACACTTTCCCTTCGCATCCAATTCGATCGGAACGAGGTCCTTCAGGACTCGAAGAATGTCTCGGTCGTCTAGTGCGGTTCTCTGAGACTATGCGGTGAACAGAGTGGTTCATTCTCTAAACTAAACGGTTGGTGCCCGAAAATCATGTAGATGCGTGGGTCAAATGTGTTCCCCCAGCGACAACACTCAGTCGATTTTGTTGCTTGTTCAACAAGGAACAACCATGGCTCCCCAGATTCCGCAGATCCAGTTCTAACCCAGTCATGCCGAAGGAACATTTGAAAACACAGACGTGTTTGTGGCTGTGATATTTCTCCTTTTTTCTCGTTCAGCGAGTCCTGGTTCCCGTCGTACAGGCAAATCCAGGTTCTAGGTCAAGCAGGTTGTCAACATCGACTAACCATGGGAATGTTCAAGTCGTTTCTCTCCTTCTGTGCTGGGACTACCTTCGGGATCTACGTCGCGCAGACGTACAACTTACCTCCGCTGAGGGTCGTAGTGGACCGTGCGATTGCAGTGGGAAAGCAACTGGAAGACGCATATAGGAAGCGAGACCAGGGTCAAGATCCAGATCAAAGTAAAGACAAGAATTAGGATGTTCCGTGCCGTTTCTTAGCGCTCATAGTTATTGCTGCTAACCGGTTCCGCCTTCCGCGCTCCAGTCCGTCCTGCTAGTAGCTGCTTTTCTCAGTAAATGAAGTGTCTGTCCGCCGAATGTAGGAGCAAAGCCAGACTGCATTGTGCTCGTGCTTGTATATCTTATTTAACTCATATTTTAAATAATATCGACCAACACCCCACTCACCTTCCCCTTGATCTTCCTCCAGCCTTCATGTCCCCATCCATTCCTGAGTTTTTGGACACAGCTTAGGAGTCTGTTGATACCTAGTCATATTTAATATCGGTTACTGCATTTAAAGGCTTTTCTGCCTTTCCTCTTTGGTTGCACACCTTGGGTTATAGACCTACTGTAAGTCCACTTCATGAGAATTGTCGTTATAGCCAGTGTTTGTGTACATTAAATAAAAATAATAACAAAGTGGTGAACATGCTACATGGTGGTGAACAACAAAGAACCACCTTTATGGCGCACGCACCTAGTGCGCTAATCATGCAGCTGCTTGCCCTGTGTGTGTCTACGCTCACAGCTTGCAATGCTGCTTTATTCTAAACGATCACTGACTGACCTCACTCATCCACCTCTGTCCTTCCTCCTGCTCTTATTGAGCTTGCACAGTGTCAGCGTGAGCCACCGTAGGCAGCTTGGAGTGCCACCTCCACGTGCACATCCTCCTCTCGGGATCGTAATGCCAGAACTTGTTCACCATGAACCGGTTCTTCTTAGCATCCTTCCCCGCGATCCAGTTGTTGTGCAGGATGGTGCATCCATGCTTCAGGCAGTTCCCAAGCACATCCTCATGGTCCCAGTAGTTGTGAACAGCGCCATTCGGGTACACCTTGCGGTCGAGGAAAATGGTTCGCAGGCCATTCTGCCACCGGCACTCCTCTTTCCCAGCCACCAGGTTCTCTCCCTTCACTCCGCACAGAATATCGTAAAAGCTCGGCTGCTCGGAGAGCTTAGTCGTCGCCGCATGCGCTGTGATAGCCTCAAAAGCATCAATGGTCTTGGGATCAGACCTAGCAAAGTAGAACCCTGAGTTGATCCGCCGGATCCCCGTGCCTGGAATCGACCCGTTGGGCTCGTTGCTCTGGATCGGGAAGGTGCCCGGGCCGTAGCTGAGGAGGTCCGGGAGAGGGTCGGAGAACCAGACGATATCAACATCGGTCCAAAGCACGGAGTAGCCCTGCTTGAGCACCTTGAGCACGGAGCGCGACTTGAGCTTGGTGAACTGGCGGAAGCACTGGCTGCCGAACACACAGTCCTTGGAGTTAAGCCCCTGATACCCCACGCTCACCTGCACGGACGGAAGCCAGGGAAGGAAAGGGAAGGAAGGATGGGGTTTAGGAAAAACGAAGGAGGGGAACGACAGGGCGATGGTTAATCAGACAGTACTGTGCGGGACGACATGGGGTAGTTGAAGAAAGAAAACCGAGAGGGGGTGGATCTGGGCGGTACTGTGCGCTCACCTGCTCGTGATACACAGCAAGCCCTTGCGAGAAGGCGAATCGGTACAAGTCCTCGTCCAACGCCGCCACCACGAGGTTGTCCGCCAGGCCCAGCCCGCGCAGGCGGCACACGAAGCTCATGAGCATCTCCGCGTACCCCATGGTCACCGCCACGAGAATTACCACCTTCAGCCCGCCCACCTCGCGCGCCACCTGCGGGAGCAGCTGCGCCGCCGTGTGCGGCAGCCCCACCGCGGATCCCGGCGTGGGAACCGCCTGGATCGAGTAATCCGATTTCTGATCGACGGACACGCTGCCGCAGGTCCATCTGCGGCCGGACGGATCGATTTTCGGATCGGACTGGCTGATATCGACGAAGTTGGAGTATTCGCACTGGCAGGTCGCGGGGCGCAGGCGGCGCTGCAGGCACATGTTGTTGACAGCCGGCTCGAAGCAGGAAGACATTTTCCACGGCACGTGGAGCGCGGTCCCGAGCTGGTTGGAGTACGAGCCGTGGGTTTGCGCGAGATGGATGTTCGCGAAAAGCTCCCAGCTGCTCTTTTTGCGCGTGCTCCAGAAGTTCTTCCCCGCGAGCGCCGCCGCGCCGTTTTTAGTTTCCGCGGATTCCGTCACGTGCGCGTAGGAATGCGCCACGTGGATGGACGTCACCGCGTCGCTCGCGTCGATGACTTCGCGAAGGCCCGATGCGACGATCTCGTGCGTGAACCAGTTGTCGTACTTGCCGCGCCCGAACGCGAACGGCGGCATGATGCCCGTATGCAGCTGCACGGGAGAGTTATTCCACACCCAGAAATCCACTCCGCCGTATGTATGCAGCGACCCCTTAGTCCGCGCGTACTCGGCGATTTCCTTCTCGAGCGCCGCGGGACCGCGGCTCCGCGCATTCGCCCACATGGAGGGGAAGAAGGTGTACGGGAAATCCTCCGCCACGTCCCACCGCGCCGCGGTCATCACCCAGTGCGGGAACGTCTTGTGAACCTTATTGATTGCATCGAGGACGTTGTTAAGGAGGATGATATCGCCGTTGATGATCATCGACAGGTCCGTGTCCGCCGCTTGCGCGCGCGCCACGATACTATGAAACTGCGGCAGGCCGTAATAGTTAGTATCGATGGCGGATTCCACGGAGACCTGCTTCGGGAAGCGACGCGCGAGCTCGGTGAAAGTCGAGTCGTTCCCTAGAAGGACGATCTTCGGCGAAGGCGTGAGACGCAGCCAGGAGCGCAGCGCGCGGATCTGGTTGTCTGGCTGCGGGTCCTTGGGATCGAGAATCGACGAGTAGGGCTTCGGCGAGCAGAAAATCGTGAGAGAAGGCGCCGCCGCTACCGGCGCGTCTTGCGCAGCAGGCGCCGAGACGAGACTGCCGAAGATGCTGCTGAAGGATCGGGCTTTTTTCGGGCTTATGTTGCGCTTGCTGGCCGCCGCAATCATCTCTGCTTCGGCTTGCTTTTGCTTTTTCGCGAACGCGGACTTGCCGTTTGACGAAGACGACTTTGAGTTCGGCGAATTGCGCTTGAATAGGGTAACCCGGCTTTGCTTCGCGACGAGTACGCCATCCTCGTTGGTCGCGAATCCTGAGTAGGAGAGCCGCTGCTCGCAGGAAACGAGTGACGCGGCGGAGATCAGGAGGAGGAGCGCCGCGAGTGAGGCTCTGGCAGGTGGCATTTGCCACTGCCGCAGAGCGGTCGACATGCTGATACTACGTGCGGACTTGCTTTCAAAACCCTTTTGCGATACTACCACCGCGGAGAGACAATAAGTACGCGAGTCACAAGTTCAGGAGAATTGGACGATATGGAATGAGCGCTGAGTACCAGAATGAAGGAGAATTTATATTGATTGAGAGCCCTAGAGTGCCTGTGCTTCGCCCTTCTTCACCTCGTACTAGCAGTGAATGATTTGAGATGCTTCAGCCTGAAGCTCCTAATTGTGTATATAGTGTGAAGCAGTGCGCACTAGTTTCGGCGGCTAGAGGGGCTAGATTTGGGTGACATCTGATCGATGAGGTCAGCATGGGGCTATCCTCGCCATTGGCATGTTGGTGGGAGTGAGGTGGATCTTGGGCATCTGGCATCCTTGGGTGAAGAAGACATGCGGCACGGAGAGAACATTGCGCGGCGCGGAACTGAATATACCCTGGTGAGCTGGCTGGGGGAACACCTGGACCCTGGTGGCTCGAGGGGAGGGGAGGGAATTATATTTTGTGTAGAATCTACGGTTGTATCATTGAGACTGTGACATTCAACGGGTCCGATTCAGCTAGGGTGGCTAGTGGCAGCGCTTCGGAGAGTATGGAAACAGCAAGGCCACGCTCCTTGCGAACCTGTGCCGACATATGTGCGCGAGTGGTGGGTGTGGCTGTGACCGACAATTTAGACGGCAAACTCGCGAAGAGGGGAGAACTTCCACCGCCCATACGTACGCGAACGGTCGAGGTATGCCTTACGAAGAGCAATTCGTTTCGCTAGCTTCGAAGGGTTAAAAGCTGACGGTCCGTCATGCCAACGGAAACTCGTGTTCGGTTGGCTCACGGAGTGTGGCAATCCTACACCTGTCAGGTGAGAAAGCTCAGCTGTGAACAACTGGGATCACAGAACACGGACGACTTGAAAGAAACTCTTTACAATCAAGCAATAACGGGGAGAGTATTGCTTGCTTCCAAGTGAAGAAGCTTATACTTGATTAATAATTATCTAACACCAAGGCATGAAACTGCAACCGTGAGAGATATCGTGTTGTATAGTGCCTGTAATACACCATATATAAACAAAATATGAAGGAGCCTCATACAGATTTTCATTACGCACCAGGGGTTTTAGGAATTCTGGGTTTCAGCCGCCTCCTCCCTCTAGCAAGTGAGTAAATCAAGCACCAAGGCCCAGGTAGTTGATGTTGATCACAAACATCCGATATCCATGCATTGCTAAGCCACACCAAACAAGCTACTGTAGTCTAAGAATAGAAAAATTCTGACACCTAGGCCATCAAACGAGAGGTACAGTACAATAATGCCAGCACCAGCAACCAAGATACACTTGGCGACGAAACACAGAAAATGCAGTTGTGAATAATCTGCACATAATCTGCAATGGCTACCCGCTGCTGATGCCAACGACGCTGTCCTCCACATCCCTCCCTGTCACACCTCCCACATCACCCACAACCGCTCCCAACCAACCCAAAAACCACCTGAAATCCTCACCCCCAAACTGCTGTTGAATCACAGCACAACGAAGCGCACTGAATCAGACGAATCAAGCGGCCCCGAGGGAGGGGAACTGGGTCTGATCTGCGATCTCCACTGCTTGCTGCTGCTGCTGCTGCCCCCCGCGTCCCCCCCGTCCTCCGCCACGCCCCCTGCCACCACCGCGGCCGCCTGAGCGCCGGGGGGTGAAGGTGCTGCCGTCCGTTGGCTTCAGGAAATCGTTGATGTTGACAGTCTGAGTGGAGGGGTGAGAGAAGGGGGGAGAGGAGGATTGGAAGAAGAAACAAAGTTCAACATTGGAAAGAGAGCCGGGGGTTGAAGGTGCTGCCGTCTGTTGGCTTCAGGAAATCGTTGATGTTGGCAGTGTGAGTGGGAGGGATGGGAGGTGGGAGAGGAGGGGAGAGAGGAGAAAGAGAGAGAGATACAGAGTTTATCATCGGAAAGAGCGTAAAGGCTTGAAGGTGCTGCCATCTGTGGGCTTCAAAAGTTTAGGGATGGGAGAGGAAGGGGGGGAGTGAGTGGGACGCTTGGTGGATGGTCGGAACGGAAGGGATGTAGTGTCGGTGTGGTGGGGCGACGAGGGATGGGCTGGGTGAAGGTTTCGGGTTATAAAGGGACCAAGGCAGTGTCAGCTATGATATTGCGGAGTGTGTATCAATGAAGACAAAATGAACACCGAAAGTGATTCAATTGATATGCCAAATTGGCCTTTGGAGGTGTATGAATATAAAGTTGTAACGAGCATCCACCATTCGAACAAGAGATATCCAGACAAAGATTTACCCCATTCAGCAAAACCCAGAACCCTAGCCCATACACATGAGGAAGCATTTGGTTGTGCGTCTTACCTTAGGCCTGTCTTCATCGTCCGTCTTCTCGCGCTTCTTCACAGCCTTGTCAGCGCCCTAGGGGAAGGGGCGGAGTGAAGCCACGCGGGAGGGAGGAAGGGAGGGAGGGAGGAAGGGAGAAAGTGGAGGGTAGGAATGAGCGAGAATTAGCGTGGGAAGAACGGAGCAAGGAATCGAGGTAGCGAACGAGGTATGGAGGGGAAACAGCGCGAGCAAGGGAGCGAGACAGTGAGCTAGGGGAAGATAATGGGGGGGGGGAAGAAGTGAGTTAGGAAGCGAGGGAAGGAGGAACGAGGACGTTTGAAGGGCAGGGCGGCACACAAGTTTTCGTTCTCGTCGGCTTCATTCTCCTTATGCACCGCCATGCGCGCCATCTCAAGGGCGAAGCGAGCGAGGGAGAAGCGAGGGGCGTGCGAGAGTGAGAGAGGCAGCGTCTTGAGCTTTTGCTTACGAGTTTCACGAAGACGGCGTCGCTCTCGTCGACGTCCTTCTTCTTGTGCACCGCCATGGCCGCCATCTCCGGGTCCACCTCCACCTTGCGCGCCTCCGCCGTGCGGCTCGCCGCCAGCGCCTTGCGCTTCTCCTCGCGCACCTTCTCGTACTCCTCCAGGGTCATCTCCTGAAAACAAGAGCGATTGAGTGGAAACAAGAAGGGGTAGGGGGTGGGGGGGGAGCGAGAGGATGTGGAAACGCAGTGAGTGGCGTACATTGCCTTGTGCTTCTACTCGCAGCTTCTAATACTCTTCGAGCGGGACCTCCTGAGGGGGGAAGGGGCGAATTGAGTGGAAAACAGGAAGGGGTGGAAGGGGGAAGCGGCGGAAAACGAATGAGTCGCGTACAGCGCCTTGCGCTTCTCTTTGCGCAGCTTCCCGTACCCCTCGAGCGTCATCTCCAAACTGAAAGACGCCGCGTGGATAGAGAGACGATATCCAATGCACTGAATCTTCGGGGGATAATTCATGGGTTAGGGAGCAGTTGTCAAACGCAGTGACCCTTGCGAAAAATCCGATGGAGTATGATTCATGTCTCACCTTGTCCTCCTCCTCGGCAGGGGCAGCCTCAGCAGCAGCCTCCCCCGCAGCAGCGTCGCCCTCAGCAGCAGCAGCCTCTCCCTCCGCCGTTCCGTTGGCCTGCTTGGCCTCCCCTTCCTCTCCCGCCTCCTCCTGCTCGCTGCAAGGCAAACACCGCACACAGGGAACCAGCGGGTGTAAGGCGGGAGCAGACGAAAGGAACTATCAACGACACATATAGAGGATAGGGTTTAACGGGCGCAAAGCGTTGACTACTCCGCAGCAGTCGCCGCATCTGCCGGTCTGTTGGTTTAACAGAACTAAGAAATCACGACGAAGCAAACGAAACGAAACGAAACGAAACGAGCAGTGGCATCAGCGTAAATTTGACCTCACAGAAGAGCGAAAGCCCTTCTCAACGTATATTTAAGCTCTTAACGAGCGACATCACGCGCCACTGCATGATTTGTAACTTTAACGAGACTGACAGCTTTAAATTGGTAACTTCCTGCGCCACTCAATGTTTGACGAGACGGCACCCATAAAGGCGTCATAAACGGAAACAGAGGTGGCAATGAGGGTAGTCTATAATACAGGCTGGACATGTAGTAGCATCAGGCAAAAGGTGTGCTCAGTAAAGAGCATGCGCTCTTTTCAATGTATATTTAAGCTCTTGATGAGCAACATCATACGCTACTGTGAAAAAACTCACAGGTGGTAATGTGAGAAACAACATATGGTACAGGAAGAAACAGAGACACAGAAAACAATCTACATATTTCGTAACATATTCTAAATAATGAAAAAAAAAAACCAACAAGCGGACTCCGACGGACTTACCCCGTTTGCGGCACCTCGTCGGCTCGGCCCCAGTTGCCTCGTCCGGCACCGTCGCGCTTCATTTCGTGGCTGCAGATTTACCACAATGCAAGGAGAGAACAGGAAGAGAGCCCGACAACGTCAAATGACTAAATCGATCGACGATGAAGAAACCCCTATAACCCTGGCAATCAAACCGAGCCTCCAACCTAACCTCTTCTTCACTTCTTAGCATCGTCATACCATAAGGACACTCACCCACGGCCAGTGCCGCTGTGCCTGTCGAATTCCCGACGAGGCGCCCTCCGCCCCCCGTCGCCTCCTCGGGAACCTCCGCCGGAACGACCGCGACCGCCATAGCCACCACCGCCGCCGCCGCCGCCGCCGCCACCACCGCTGCGGATTCCACCACCGCCGCCGGACACCTCGCCGTCCTCTCCGCGCATCTGCCGGTTCCTGTACGGCTGTCCGCCATCCTGCCCCCCCTCCGCGGGGAACGATCCCCCCCGTCCGCCTCCGCGACCGCCTCCACCACGACCTCCGCCTCCTCTTCCTGCGCCGGCTCCGCGACCGGCGGCTGGCGCAGCAGGTGTGGCCTTCACGGCGGCTGCTGGCTTAGCGGCAGGCTTGGAATCTGGATGGAAAAAATCGACGGGACCGCAGAGAAGGAATATCCGCGAGATTGTCAGACTGGTCAAATGCACCCCTGCAGTCGCAAGAACATGGTGAAAAGGGGCCTGCAACAGTGACTACATTGGTGGATACCTTTCTTAGGAGCTGCTGCTGCTTTCTTGGCTTGTTCCTCCTCAGCGCGAGCCAAGAAGACTCCCGGATCCTCTACATCGTCTCCCCCCAAGAGGGAGAAGAAGTTTGCTGACGCCATATGTAAGCAAAAATAAGCTAAGTTGTAGCTGCTGAATCAGCTAGTGAAAAAAAACTAATAGATTCCTCCGATCATGAGCACTGTAATGACAAAAATTGTAATAATCGAAACCACGTAATACCTACTCTAGAAGATTCAATGGAATTACCCTAGAGGATTTCTACGAAGCTCCCTAAGCCTAGGAAAGGAGGCAGAAAGGGCAGGGATTCACAGAAATTCAGGAAAGAGGAAGATGAAGATATGGATTGAAATATTTGTTGCTGGGATGGTTTGGGTTGGGTTGGGAGTGAAGGACAAGGTGGGGAGGAGGGGGAAGATGGGGAGGGGAAGGACGACATTTGCGCTCCAGCAAGCGATGGGAGAGGGGTAAGCTAGTGGTGTTCTGCGCCGAATAGGGGCATTATGCGCGGACTCGCGCTGATGAGCTGACGCTGGCGAGAATCTGTGTCATCCACATCCAATTACAGGCCACATTGGACCTGGTGAGACCATTGGGCTGATAATGACGCACTCCTCAATCATGGGAGAGCCACGTCAACAAATGGATGAGATTTCTGGGTTGGGTGGGGGTTGGCGAAGGATTAGTTGCTGCTACACTGATGAAAATGTTATTCGTACACTGTTGAACATGTTATGCAATATGACGTAAATGAATGTGACAATCTCCGATTTCGGATTTCCGTGAGAACGTACGGACATGAGAGAATGTACAAGCTCGCGAACAACTGGCACCCCTTTCGCAATCGGCCTGCGTTACAAGCTCAAGTAAGCCCCGCAACCCAGGTCGTGTCACCTATTCCGTCGCAACAAAAAGTTGCAATTCCGCTGTCAATACTCTAGGTCAGTGTATCTTGAGATTAGAGGGGTAATTCTGAACTTACTAGCAACCAGAGAAAAAAACTCACCGAACTAGCATAGCCTGACCCAACTCCCAAGACCCAAAACAAAACTCGAGGCTTTCCATACATATCCATTCCACGCCTCCAGCTCCCATAATCTTGACATCTCCCTACCCACCTCCTCCTTTATACCCTTTTCGCAGAGCTGTGCTGCTTGGTTGACTTCATTCTCTTGCGTGCAGCTTTTGCTCTTCTTTCAGTATGATATCGAATTCCCAGGTACAGGATTGATGATTGTTATGGATGGTCACGATGAAACGCCTGGGCTCTCGTCCCACTTTACTTACGTCTGGCCGGGAATCGACATTCAATATGTCGGTCGCTGTCATCCCTCTAGGTCGAACAGCCAGTCTCGTTTTAACCTTAATTCTTCTGCTATGCTGGGGCGACGTTCAGCTATCACCCGCGTTTCTCGGCAGCAATTTCGACTCGAATCACTCGTCGTTCTCACAGCAGCAGCAGCAGCAGCAGAAGCAGCAGCAGCAGCGCGGCCGAGCGGAGGCGTGCGTCGAGCAAGGCAGGGCGACTTGCCCGAGTAGTTCCTCAGCCGGGAGCGCACGGGGGATCGCGGAAGGATCACCAGGAGTTCGCGGGGAAAGCAGCACGTACCACGAGCATTCCCGATCGCCGCTGGTGCTTCCGCTACAGGGGTTAACGACCTCGTTGAATCTCCTGCAAGTTTTACTCTTCGGATTCGAGAGCTGCTCAAGCGCTGGTTTGCGCGATTGCGGATCGCGTCAAGGTACCCATGGTTTTTTTCCGTCGACCCTAATTCGTCCTTCAATTCCAGAAGTGGGAAACCGAGAAACGGGCGAGCCACGGCTGGGAGTGGCGCAGCAGCGGTCGACAGGTGCGGAGCAGAGAAGCCAGAGCGATCCGTCGAGGAGTCAGGCCGACGCTGGTAAGGATATGCCATACCTGCAGGGAATTTCTGAGGAGACAGAAGATTCGGTTGTGGTCCAAGCGACGGGATCAGGAAAGGTGCCGGAGAATTCGTTAGAAGTGGCGGGCTCGGCTACTGTTGAGGGTTTGGGCCGAATTGGCGGTGCTGCGCCGGTAGAGGCGGGCGCAACAGCGGCATGCGGTGCGGCGCAAGCGGGGTCGCCAACAGAAGCTGGCGCGCGCGGGACTGGGCGTCAAGAGGCAGCACTTGGGGCGAACGACGCAGGGGATCCGGGGCAGGTTGGGGGAACCGAGGGGAAAAGAAGGGAGGAGCGGCCCGTAACGGGAGCAACGGTACCGGTAGATGCAGCAGTAGCAGCAGCGGCAGCAGAAACAGCAGCGGCAGCAGAAACAGCAGCGGCGGAAACAGCAGCAGCAGGGACAGCAGCCGCAGTGGAAGCAGCAGCAGGAGCCGTCGCTGCAGCGAAAGCAAGTCAAGCCGGGTCGTTCTTAGACGATGATGACGTGGACTCCGCGCGGCCAGTGCGCGTTATCCCCCCCGGGCTAGACGCGTACAAGCGGGAGTATTTCAACAAGCAGAGGGCGGCGGAAGGAAACGAACCCCCTGCGGGGGTGATCCCCGCGGGAGTGCCCATCCCCCCCTCGGGAGTAGCGTACGCTGGCGCAGTGCCAGGCGCAGCAGGCGGAGCAGCTGGCGGAGCTTCCGCCAGTGTACCCGCGGATGCTGTTGCCCCCGCGGGGGGCGCGCTATCTGCGCCTGGCGCTGGTATTCCGCCCACGGGAGGCGGGCAGATAGTAGGCGGCGCGATGGGAGGGGCGCAGATGGGGGAAGTTGCTGATATGGGGGGCATTGGCGGAGGGATGGGGGGGATTGGCGGAGGGATGGGGGGGATGGGCGGAGGGATGCGCGGTAGAATGGGTGGTCAACCACCCGAATGGCCTCGGAGGAGACAGACTGGCACGGATAAGAGCCGATACAACTATGCCTCCGCGAATCACGGCGCCAAGATTGTGGACTGTAGCAGCGAGGCGAAACGACCCCAGGCCGTTTTAGACGAGGATAAGGACAAGTATTTACGCATCCCGTGCAGTGTAGCTAATAAATTCCTCGTTATAGAGCTCTCCGAGTTCCTGGCGCGGATAGAAACGATCGTACTCGCGAATTACGAGTTCTACGCGTCTTCTACTAAAGACTTTGAAGTCTGGGCCAGCAGAAATTACCCCTCGGACCGCTGGCACTTTCTGGGAAACTTCTCAGCGCAGAGCGTGCGGACGCCCCAGGCGTTCGAGGTGACAGGCAGCGGAGATCTAGGGGATTCAGTGCGGTACGTAATGGTGCGGCAGCTGTCGCACCACGGGGCAGAGTTCTTTTGCACGCTGAGTCTGCTGCGAGTGCATGGGGTGAACGAGCTGGATGGGCTGAGGGAGGAGATGGAAGAAATGACTAGGATGATGGGTGCGGGCAGGCAGGCCGTTTCTGCTGCTCCTCCGGGGAGACAGGCTGTTGTTGGTGCTGCTCTGGGCACTCCTCAGGTGGTTACCACTCCCCAAGTGGTTCCCTCTCCACAAGTGGTTACCTCCCCTCAAGCGGTTACTCTTGAACCCGGTCTGGTGAGGGGTGTTGTTGTTGATGTTGTGGAGCCTGGGGCGCTGCAGGCTCCTGAGTTCATGGGATCAGGGGGGTCCGTGGGACTAGATGGTTCAATCGGTTCAGAGGGTTCCAGATCGGTGCCAGCCCAGGCAGCGGGCGCTGACCCACCGTCCACTGCGCCGCCATCTGAGCAATCTCCGACACTCTCTGTGCCTCCTGGTGCTGATTCTTCTCCTGGTGCTGCTGCTGCTGCTGCTGCTGCTGGTGTTGCTGCCCCCACAAGCGCTCCCTCCTCTCGTGAACCTGTTCAGCTTGTTCAGCCTTCTCATTCGCCTCCTGCTTCTCAGCCTCCCCCTCCGCCTCCCCCTCCTCCTCCTCCGCCTGCTGCTGCTGCTTCTGCTTCTGCCGCAGTTCCTGCTGATACTGCTGCTGCTGCTGCTGCTGTTGCTTCCAGTGAGTCAGTTAGCGCTTTAAGCAACACAGGGGCGAGTGCGGAGGCTGGGAGCACAGGAAGCGGCGTGGAGGACAATGGGAGTTCCACAGGTGCTCCTGGCGCCATCCCACAACCACCTGGTCCTGGCTCCGTTCTTCACTCACCTGTTCTGGAAACCCCCTCTGGGAAGGCAGAGGAGCAGTCTGGTGGGAGCAGTGGAATGGGCGTAGAGGGAGGAGTGGGGCACGGCGGTGGGGAGCAGCAAGGGGTTGAGGCAGTTACGGCACATGGGGGGGTGGAGGAGCAAGGTGGGTTGAAGCAGCGCGGTACTGAGAGGGAAGGGGAAGGGAGCAGCGGGGGCAGCAGGGAGGGCAGCAGTAAAGTGGTGGCTGGGGAGGGAGTGGATACAGTAAGGAGTATTGGTGGCAGCAGCAACACCAGTGATAGAAGCAACAACATCACGGGTGGTGGTAGCAGCACAGGGAGCAGTGGTAGCAGCAGCAACAGCAGTGATAGGAGCAACATCACGAGCGGTGGTAGTGCTGAGACCGGTGGAGATCCAATGCAGAGACAGGTGGTTTCTGAGGGGAGCAGAGAAGAGAAGCTGTCGTTAAGTGCAGGGACGAAGGCAGCAGATGCGGATGGGAGTGCTAAGAGGGGGCTTGGCTGTGTGGGGAAAGCTGAAGGGGCTGGGGAGGAGGGGAGGATGGAGGGAAGGCATGGGGCAGGCAGGTTGGGAGAGCGAGAGAGTGAGAAGCTGGCTGGGAGAGAAGGTGGTGCAGGATGCGCGTCAGTGGATGGAGATGCAGTTGCTCACAGAGGAGCAGCAGCGGGTGCAGATGCTGCTTCTGGGTGTGATACTGGGGGAGGTGCGGGGATGAGTGTGGCCATGTTAGGAGATCTTTCTGGCGTAGAAATGGCAAGTTCTGAGGCAGGCGTGGAGGCAGGTGCTGAAGCAAGCACTGAAGCAGGCGGTGAAGCAGGCGTTGAGGCAGGCAGTGACTTGAACGGTTTGGGAGGAGCAGGGGAGAATGGTCTGAGAGGTGTGGAAGGAGCAGCGGAGGTGGGTGAGGTGAGGCTGGAAGGGGGAACTGCAGAGCTGCCGAGCAAGGAAGGATCTGTAGATGAAGGGGCGTTAGCAGCAGCAGGGAGAGAGGCAAAGGGAGAGAGTGCGGTGGAAGGAGGTGCCGAGGTAGGGAGTGCGGTGGAAGGAGAAAGGAAGGGGAACTGGGACGAGGAGGAGTGTGGTGAAACAGCACATCTGAAGAGCTTGGCTGAGGTGGGGGAGATGAAGGGGACGAGCAATGGCAGGGATGAGGAGGAGCAGCAGGCAGGGGAGACCAGGGGGGAAATCGCAGGAGGAATGAGGGAGGAAACGGGTGTGGGTATCGAAAGGGGGGTGGGGAAGGGCGAGTTGAGTGCAGCTGTTCTGGACGGCAGGGACTTGACTGATTCAAGCAAGGCTGGAGAGTATGCAGAAGCAGATGCAGTGGCGAAGGGAGGGGCAGGGTCAGAGGCCAGCGTTGCATTGGGTGGTGGGACCTCAGTTGCTGCCCCTAGGGAGGCAAAAGGTCAAGGTGCCGATGCTGGTGCGGCAGGCAGTGGGGCAGGTGCTGCATCCGCCCCTCCTCCTCCCGCTGCTTCCTCCATGCCGCCCGCTCCCACACCCTCACGTCAGGTCTCTGTCACAGGAACTGGGAAAGAAGGTTCAGGTGAAAAGGGAGATTCAGGTGATAAGGGGGATCTAGGTGAAAAGGCAGGTGCAAATGGGAAGGCAGGAGCACGTGAAAGGGAAGCAGGAGAAGCTAGGATGGAAGGGGAGAGTGGAGGGAAGGAAGAACGAGGGAAGGGCAATGCGGTGGAAGCTGGAGGGGCAAGCACAATGGAAACTGCTCCTTCAGGTGGTTTATCAGACAAGGAAGAGATCGTTCAGGTAAAAACAGCAGTGACAGGTGTGGAGCACGGGGCGCCGTCTGCAGCAGCAGATGGGCAGCAGACAGTTTCTTTGGATTCGGGCGAAAATGTGGAAGCGAGATCTACGGCAGTCGATGAGAGCAACTTAGAAGGTAGCAGTTTAGCAGGCAACAGGAACACAGTAACGAATGCTGGAAAGCCCACTAACGAGGACGGTATCTCGTTGCAACCAAACACCACAGGTGAGGTGCCTGGGACTGGCAATGAGGCAGAGGTGGGGAGCAGCAGCAGTGACAGCAGAAGTGCCACCAGCAGCAGCACCAGCAGCAGCACCAGCAGCAGCACCAGCAGCAGCACCAGCAGCAGCACTACCACCATCACCAGCAGCACCAGCAGTGGGGTAGGAGTCGATGCAAGTAGCACAGTAACGGGCAATAAAGAGACGGGTACCGGCGCAATGGTCGCCAGTGGGACACCCACTGATGCGGCAGCCAGCAATGCAGTAGGCAATAACGGAGCCCTCATTAGTGGAGCTCAGGTGGTCAGCACCAGTACCAGCACATTCAGCATCAGCAGCAGCGGCAGCAGCTTCGCCGGCGCAGCGAGCAACCTGTACGGGCTCAAGTCGCTGATGCACATGGTGAGGCAGTGGGAGGACAAGCAGGCCGTGCTGGAGCAGTATGTGGAGGACATGGCTGCCTCCTATGCGGCTAACCTTGCTTCTACGGATGCTGAGCTGCTCTCGCTGCGCACTCGCCTGCGTAACGCCACGGGTACCATTGCGGGGTTGCAAGTGCAGCTGCAGAATGCGGTGAGTGGGTTTGGTGTTGGTGGGGTTTGGGAGGGATGGATGCGAGTGTGTGTGAGGGATGGATGGATTGGATGTGAGGGATGTGTGTGCGTGCACATGGTGAGGCAGTGGGAGGACAAGCAGGCGGTGCTGGAGCAGTATGTGGAGGACATGGCTGCCTCCTATGCGGCTAACCTTGCCTCCACGGATGCTGAACTGCTTTCGTTGAGGACTCGCCTGCGGAATGCAACGGGTACCATTGCGGGGCTTCAAGCGCAGCTACAGAATGCGGTGAGTGTGTTTTGGGGTGTATGCGATGCGAGGGATGCGTGTGCTTGGATGCGAGGGATGTGTGTGCGTCAGCATGGTGAGGCAGTGGGAGGACAAGCAGGCCGTGCTGGAGCAGTATGTGGAGGACATGGCTGCCTCCTATGCTGCCAACCTCGCTTCTACGGATGCTGAGCTGTTGTCGCTGAGAACGCGCCTGCGGAACGCTACAGTTACGATTGCCGGGCTGCAGGCGCAGCTGCAGAGCTCGGTGAGTGGATAATTCTTCTGGTGTTTGGGAGGGATAGATGTGATTGTATGAGGGGGATGTATATGCTTGTATGGGGGGGGATGTGTGTGCGTGCACATGGTGAGGCAGTGGGAGGACAAGCAGGCCGTGCTGGCGCAGTATGTGGAGGACATGGCTGCCTCCTATGCTGCTAATCTCGCCTCCACGGATGCTGAACTGCTTTCGTTGAGGACTCGCCTGCGGAACGCTACAGTTACGATTGCCGGGCTGCAGGCGCAGTGCAGACTGCGGTGAGTGGATTGTTGTTGTGTGTGTGAGGGGATGTGTGTGCTTGTGTGTGAGGGGATGTGTGTGCATGTATGTGAGGGGATGTGTGTGCATGTATGTGAGGGGATGTGTGTGCATGTATGTGAGGGGATGTGTGTGCGTGCACGTGGTGAGGCAGTGGGAGGACAAGCAGGCGGTGTTGGAGCAGTATGTGGAGGACATGGCTGCCTCCTATGCTGCTAATCTCGCCTCCACGGATGCTGAACTGCTTTCGTTGAGGACTCGCCTGCGGAATGCAACGGGTACCATTGCGGGGCTTCAAGCGCAGCTACAGAATGCGGTGAGTGTGTTTTGGGGTGTATGCGATGCGAGGGATGCGTGTGCTTGGATGCGAGGGATGTGTGTGCGTCAGCATGGTGAGGCAGTGGGAGGACAAGCAGGCCGTGTTGGAGCAGTATGTGGAGGACATGGCTGCCTCCTATGCTGCTAACCTTGCTTCTAGATGCTGAGCTGTTGTCACTGATAACGTGCCTGCGGAACGCTACAGTTACGATTGCCGGGCTGCAGGCGCAGTGCAGACTGCGGTGAGTGGATTGTTGTTGTGTGTGTGAGGGGATGTGTGTGCTTGTGTGTGAGGGGATGTGTGTGCATGTATGTGAGGGGATGTGTGTGCATGTATGTGAGGGGATGTGTGTGCGTGCACGTGGTGAGGCAGTGGGAGGACAAGCAGGCGGTGTTGGAGCAGTATGTGGAGGACATGGCTGCCTCCTATGCTGCTAATCTCGCCTCCACGGATGCCGAACTGTGTGTGTGAGGGATGCGTGTGCAAGGGATGTGCGCTTCTATGCAAGAGATGTATGTGCTTGTATGAGAGGGATGTATGTGCTTGTATGAGAGGGATGTATGTGCTTGTATGAGAGGGATGTATGTGCTTGTATGAGAGGGGTGTATGTGCTTGTATGCGAGGGATGTATGTGCTTGTATGAGAGGGGTGTATGTGCTTGTATGCGAGGGAGATATGCGTTTTCTGCTTGTTTTGAATGTTATCGGTGGAGTGTGCACGGACATTGACTTACCGTACGTGTTGGTTGCTGGCATGATGTGTGCAGGAGCGGCGGCATGGGAAGGGTTTGGAGGACATGCGAAAGGATGTGTCTGAACAAATGGAGAGCCTTCAGCAAAGCATCAATAATGCCAGGTGAGTTGATGCCGTATGTATGTTTTGTGTTGCTTTTTTTTTAGTGGTTGCATCGTCTTTTAAATATATTACATTTTCATGTTGTTGGGGATGGTGCCTTGTTTGTTTTTGCAGGGGGGTCTCTTTAGAACAATCAAGAAGATTAGAAGATATGCTATGGCTGGCTATATTAGTCGCTACAACAGCAGGCGTATTAGGCTTTGTCCTAGGAGTTTCTATCACACGGCTCTGGAGTAGTAGGATCTACTAGTTTAATGTTCAGGTCAGTAGGTATCTAGTATAGGCTATGTGTTGTGTAGATGCTTCCTTCTAAAATGACACATTTCCCCTTATTATGTCACCATTTTGAGGTGTCAGCTTTGGGAACTGTTTCGCGCCAAATCAGCTGGGCACGCGTCAACGCTGTCACAGCGACACTCGCCCCGTCAAACCCGCGGAGCCCTGTCAGGTGCAGGCCTGTACGGTAACAAGCGAGTTTTCATTCCACTTTGCCCCAGCTAGCCATTTCGGTTCGGTTCTGGGCTCCCCTCCCCTTCCGCCTGTCACACAGCCCCAGTAGGGCAGGTTGTATGAACAACTCACTTTCGCCTTTCTTGTAATACAGGTTCGCCGATCGAAACACTCGCACGGTTGAGATTTGTTTGGTTACAATTGCGAATCGACGGTACTTTGCGGGCAGCTCCGAAATGCCGAGTGGTGGCGACACTCGACGACACCAGCGCGACTGTCCCTAGCATGGCTGGCAGAACTTCCGCGTGTCCCCGCTAGTGCCCCATATAATCAAAATGGGGTGTCGGACCGAAATGCCTAGTCTGCCTGCGAAATGTAGATAATGTTGCGGTTCAGTGCGTTAGGAGGTGGTACCTTTGCTCCTTCATGTCCGGAACCTCACTGTCGGTATACACTAGTACCTTCACCAGCAGGGCATTGCTACAGCAGCAACCAGCCACTCTTGGATAGATAGGTGTTGGTCAGGGCATCTAGATAGGTGTTGGTCAGGGCATCTGTGCGGTCCGCGTCTTGGTCTACGTAATCACTCGAAGGTAGCCGTAATAAAGTGGTAGAGGTGATCAACTGTGGGTGGTTAATACTTGTATTCAGAGCAAGTATTTATTTTCTCACATTTGACCGTATTTATTTCAGTAAGCAGGCTTCGCGTAAACAATGGGAGCATGCCTCTCCACATGTCTCGGCTCTGCATCGGTCGAAAAAGATAAAGGAAATGTCGACGAAAGCAAGGTTCAGAAGCATCCTGTCGTTGGCGGTAGTCGAACCGGAGACGATAATTCCGACGGAGCGAAGATACAAAACGCTAAGTACCCCAAAGATGATAAGAGCATTCCAATAGGCCTCCGGACCGACTTCGGTTACAAGCGCGACTTCGAGAAGCACTATAAGACCGGGAAGGAGCTGGGACACGGGCAATTCGGGACAACTTATGAGTCGATACAACTAGCGACGGATGATCGCGTGGCCGTCAAGGCAATTCAAAAGAAATCGGTGAGCATCTTAGGAACGTAATAATGTAGAGTGTTTGAGAAGGGTACGTACAATCAGGTCAATGCCTGCTGTACGAAGGTAAGGACGATGCGTTTTCTCCTGCTCGTTACGACGACCTGACCAAAGCATACATGGCCTAATAAGCAGTCCGTTATGCAGTGACTGGTTTTGTATCACATTTCAGTCCTACTACCTTCAGTTTTGGGTTGTGGACGCTTCTGGCTCTCATTAATGTTTTGCTTCTGCATCTTTTCTTTTTCGTTCTGCGGATTGCTGACCCACCATCGCGGTGCTGGAAATAATGCCCGTGTACTATTGTTTCTGTCCGTGAACTGTTGCTTCTGCCCGTATACTCTCGCTTCTGCCCGTGTACTCTTGTTTCTGTCCGTCAACTGTTGCTTCTGTCCGTATACTCTCGCTTCTGCCCGTGTACCCTCGCTCGGCGCGCTGCAGATGAAGCAGCCAATAGCGGTGGAGGACGTGGAGCGGGAGGTGAAGATCCTGCAGCTGCTGTCCGGCCATCCCAACGTGGTTCAGTTTATCGACGTGTTCGAGGACACGGAACTCGTGTACATTGCCATGGAGTGAGTGCGCTATAGCGGGTACTCAGTGTACACTTGATTAGCTAAGAGTGGCAATCAAGGAGTTGGTTTTTGGCCGTCCCCATGTGGTTCAGTTTTCTTTTGTCTGTGAATGAACGGAGCGCGTATGCCAATCTGTCCTCACGCATCACTTGTCATGCTGTCATGCTGTCATGCTGTCGTTCTGTCGTTTTGTCATCTTGTCATGTTCTTGTTCTTTCCTTTTGTCCGTCCACCCCACGCAGATTGTGTGAAGGAGGAGAGCTGCTTGACAGGATTCTGGGCAAGTGAGTGAGGGTGATTGTCCGTGAGGGTGGTGGTGAGTGAGGGAGGGTGGGGGCGAGTGAGAGGGTGAGGGCGCGTGAGTGAGGAGGAGGGCGAGTGATTGAGGGGGAGGAGTGGGGGGCGAGTGGGCGAGAACTGGGGAGGGTGAGTGAGGATGATGGTTAGTGAGGGGAGAGTGCAAATGCCATCCAAGGAAACCCGTCTGTCCGTCTGTTGTAAACAAATGCGTGCACATCAAATGCGTGCACATCAAATGCGTGCACATCAAATGCGTGCACATCAAATGCGTGCACAACAAATGCGTGCACAACAGATGCGTCCGTCCGTCTGCCTGCCTGCCTACCTGCCTCTCGGCTTGCTCGTCCGACCACCCACCATGGCAGGAAGGACAACCGGTACTCGGAGAAGGACGCGGCTAGCGTGGTGAGGCAGATGCTCAACGTGACACTAATGACAGGAGCCCATCGTCCTCCCTGCCTTCTTTGCCCGTCCGTCCATCTTCCTGCCTCTCTGCCTGCCCTCCCACCATGGCAGGAAGGACAACCGGTACTCGGAGAAGGACGCGGCTAGCGTGGTGAGGCAGATGCTCAACGTGGTGGCCCGCTGCCACCTCAACGGCGTCGTGCACCGCGACCTCAAGCCCGAGGTGAGAGCTGTTTCAAGCTATTTTGACCCCGAGGTGGGATGCATTTCAAGCCAGGGGTTAGACAGGTAGGTGTGAGGCCAAGGGTGGCCCGCTGCCACCTCAACGGCGTCGTGCACCGCGACCTCAAGCCCGATGGGCGATAGGTTTCTATCCCGAGGTGAGATCTATCTCTAGCCAGAGGTTAGACAGGTAGGTGTGAAGGCAGGGGTGAGGTAGCTCTCAAGCCAAGGGTGGCCCGCTGCCACCTCAACGCCGTCGTGCACCGCGACCTCAAGCCCGAGGTGCGATAGCCGAGGGGATTCTAGCCCGAGGTGAGATGTATTTCAAGCCAGGGGTTAGACAGGTAGGTGTGAAGGCAGGGGTGAGGTAGCTGTCAAGCCAACGGTGGCCCGCTGCCACCTCAACGGCGTCGTGCACCGCGACCTCAAGCCCGAGGTGAGATAGCCTATGGGTGGCAAGCTCGAGGTGGGTTGACCTCAAGCCTGAGGTGCGTTGGCTTGAAGCTCGGGGGGAGACGGCTGAGAGGTATCAAACCGCAGGTGCGAAAGCCTATGGGTGGCAAGCCAGGAGTGAGAAAGGTCTCCACTCCAGGCAGATGTGAGATAGGTGTTGAACTAGGGTTGATCTCCTCTGCATCACTCCCACCTTCAGTCGTCCCTTCGCACCCCTCTCCACCCATCTGTGTTGCGCAGAATTTTCTGTTCGCCAACAAGACGGAGGAATCCCCTCTCAAGGCCACCGACTTTGGCCTCTCGGACTTCAGAAAGCCAGGTGAGTGGTGCGCCCGGGCAGGGAAGGGGGGGGGAGGGGGGGGGAGGGGTGGGGGAGGTGCGAGGACGGGGGAATAAAGAGTGGCCTAGAAGGCGAGAGGCGACTCAGCCCCGCAGCCACCCCGTCCCATTTCACCCCTCTCTATCCCACCCCACCCTACTCAATCAACCTCAGGCTAGCACTTCACGGGCGTGGTGGGCAGAATCTACTATGTGGCCCCAAGGGGTGATCAACAGGAGGTTTGTCCTGCTCACACCAACCTCACCCCACCCCATTTCACCCCCCTCTACCTCACTCCACCGCACTTCACCATCCTCTCTTCCCCAGGCAAGCACTTCACGGATGTGGTGGGCAGCGCCTATTACGTAGCTCCTGAGGTGCTCAAGAGGCGATCAAGAGGAGGTCTTCCCTGCTCACGCCAACCCCACTCCTCCCCACACTACCCCACCCCTCTCAACCCCAGGCAAGCACTTCACGGATGTGGTGGGCAGCGCCTATTACGTGGCTCCTGAGGTGCTCAAGAGGCGATCAAGAGGAGGTCTTCCCTGCTCACGCCAACCCCACTCCTCCCCACACTACCCCACCCCTCTCAACCCCAGGCAAGCACTTCACGGATGTGGTGGGCAGCGCCTACTACGTGGCTCCTGAGGTGCTCAAGAGGCGGTCGGGGCCGGAGAGTGACGTGTGGAGCATTGGCGTCATCACCTATATCCTGCTGTCAGGCAGACGACCGTTCTGGGATAAGACAGAGGCTGGCATTTTCAATGAGGTGCGGGGAAATAGGGGGTTAAGTGAGAGGAGAGTGACGTGTGGAGCATCGGAGTCATCACGTACATCTTGCTGTCTGGGAGACGACCGTTCTGGGATAGGGGGGATAGATGGGGTAGAGAGCGGTTGAGAATGGCAAAGGAGCATTGGCGCATTGGGGTGGAGAAGAAATGGGAGTGTAGGGTCACAGAAAAGGTAAACGTTGTCCCTGTTATCCCTCTATTTATCCCTCTATTCACTCTCTATTCAATCTGTATTCACCCTCTATTCAATCTGTATTCACCCTCTATTCAATCTGTATTCACCCTCTATTCAATCTGTATTCACCCTCTATTCAATCTGTATTCACCCTCTATTCAATCTGTATTCACCCTCTATTCAATCTGTATTCACCCTCTATTCAATCTGTATTCACCCTCTATTCAATCTGTATTCACCCTCTATTCAATCTGTATTCACCCTCTATTCAATCTGTATTCACCCTCTATTCAATCTGTATTCACCCTCTATTCAATCTGTATTCACCCTCTATTCAATCTGTATTCACCCTCTATTCAATCTGTATTCACCCTCTATTCAATCTGTATTCACCCTCTATTCAATCTGTATTCACCCTCTATTCAATCTGTATTCACCCTCTATTCAATCTGTATTCACCCTCTATTCAATCTGTATTCACCCTCTATTCAATCTGTATTCACCCTCTATTCAATCTGTATTCACCCTCTATTCAATCTGTATTCACCCTCTATTCAATCTGTATTCACCCTCTATTCAATCTGTATTCACCCTCTATTCAATCTGTATTCACCCTCTATTCAATCTGTATTCACCCTCTATTCAATCTGTATTCACCCTCTATTCAATCTGTATTCACCCTCTATTCAATCTGTATTCACCCTCTATTCAATCTGTATTCACCCTCTATTCAATCTGTATTCACCCTCTATTCAATCTGTATTCACCCTCTATTCAATCTGTATTCACCCTCTATTCAATCTGTATTCACCCTCTATTCAATCTGTATTCACCCTCTATTCAATCTGTATTCACCCTCTATTCAATCTGTATTCACCCTCTATTCAATCTGTATTCACCCTCTATTCAATCTGTATTCACCCTCTATTCAATCTGTATTCACCCTCTATTCAATCTGTATTCACCCTCTATTCAATCTGTATTCACCCTCTATTCAATCTGTATTCACCCTCTATTCAATCTGTATTCACCCTCTATTCAATCTGTATTCACCCTCTATTCAATCTGTATTCACCCTCTATTCAATCTGTATTCACCCTCTATTCAATCTGTATTCACCCTCTATTCAATCTGTATTCACCCTCTATTCAATCTGTATTCACCCTCTATTCAATCTGTATTCACCCTCTATTCAATCTGTATTCACCCTCTATTCAATCTGTATTCACCCTCTATTCAATCTGTATTCACCCTCTATTCAATCTGTATTCACCCTCTATTCAATCTGTATTCACCCTCTATTCAATCTGTATTCACCCTCTATTCAATCTGTATTCACCCTCTATTCAATCTGTATTCACCCTCTATTCAATCTGTATTCACCCTCTATTCAATCTGTATTCACCCTCTATTCAATCTGTATTCACCCTCTATTCAATCTGTATTCACCCTCTATTCAATCTGTATTCACCCTCTATTCAATCTGTATTCACCCTCTATTCAATCTGTATTCACCCTCTATTCAATCTGTATTCACCCTCTATTCAATCTGTATTCACCCTCTATTCAATCTGTATTCACCCTCTATTCAATCTGTATTCACCCTCTATTCAATCTGTATTCACCCTCTATTCAATCTGTATTCACCCTCTATTCAATCTGTATTCACCCTCTATTCAATCTGTATTCACCCTCTATTCAATCTGTATTCACCCTCTATTCAATCTGTATTCACCCTCTATTCAATCTGTATTCACCCTCTATTCAATCTGTATTCACCCTCTATTCAATCTGTATTCACCCTCTATTCAATCTGTATTCACCCTCTATTCAATCTGTATTCACCCTCTATTCAATCTGTATTCACCCTCTATTCAATCTGTATTCACCCTCTATTCAATCTGTATTCACCCTCTATTCAATCTGTATTCACCCTCTATTCAATCTGTATTCACCCTCTATTCAATCTGTATTCACCCTCTATTCAATCTGTATTCACCCTCTATTCAATCTGTATTCACCCTCTATTCAATCTGTATTCACCCTCTATTCAATCTGTATTCACCCTCTATTCAATCTGTATTCACCCTCTATTCAATCTGTATTCACCCTCTATTCAATCTGTATTCACCCTCTATTCAATCTGTATTCACCCTCTATTCAATCTGTATTCACCCTCTATTCAATCTGTATTCACCCTCTATTCAATCTGTATTCACCCTCTATTCAATCTGTATTCACCCTCTATTCAATCTGTATTCACCCTCTATTCAATCTGTATTCACCCTCTATTCAATCTGTATTCACCCTCTATTCAATCTGTATTCACCCTCTATTCAATCTGTATTCACCCTCTATTCAATCTGTATTCACCCTCTATTCAATCTGTATTCACCCTCTATTCAATCTGTATTCACCCTCTATTCAATCTGTATTCACCCTCTATTCAATCTGTATTCACCCTCTATTCAATCTGTATTCACCCTCTATTCAATCTGTATTCACCCTCTATTCAATCTGTATTCACCCTCTATTCAATCTGTATTCACCCTCTATTCAATCTGTATTCACCCTCTATTCAATCTGTATTCACCCTCTATTCAATCTGTATTCACCCTCTATTCAATCTGTATTCACCCTCTATTCAATCTGTATTCACCCTCTATTCAATCTGTATTCACCCTCTATTCAATCTGTATTCACCCTCTATTCAATCTGTATTCACCCTCTATTCAATCTGTATTCACCCTCTATTCAATCTGTATTCACCCTCTATTCAATCTGTATTCACCCTCTATTCAATCTGTATTCACCCTCTATTCAATCTGTATTCACCCTCTATTCAATCTGTATTCACCCTCTATTCAATCTGTATTCACCCTCTATTCAATCTGTATTCACCCTCTATTCAATCTGTATTCACCCTCTATTCAATCTGTATTCACCCTCTATTCAATCTGTATTCACCCTCTATTCAATCTGTATTCACCCTCTATTCAATCTGTATTCACCCTCTATTCAATCTGTATTCACCCTCTATTCAATCTGTATTCACCCTCTATTCAATCTGTATTCACCCTCTATTCAATCTGTATTCACCCTCTATTCAATCTGTATTCACCCTCTATTCAATCTGTATTCACCCTCTATTCAATCTGTATTCACCCTCTATTCAATCTGTATTCACCCTCTATTCAATCTGTATTCACCCTCTATTCAATCTGTATTCACCCTCTATTCAATCTGTATTCACCCTCTATTCAATCTGTATTCACCCTCTATTCAATCTGTATTCACCCTCTATTCAATCTGTATTCACCCTCTATTCAATCTGTATTCACCCTCTATTCAATCTGTATTCACCCTCTATTCAATCTGTATTCACCCTCTATTCAATCTGTATTCACCCTCTATTCAATCTGTATTCACCCTCTATTCAATCTGTATTCACCCTCTATTCAATCTGTATTCACCCTCTATTCAATCTGTATTCACCCTCTATTCAATCTGTATTCACCCTCTATTCAATCTGTATTCACCCTCTATTCAATCTGTATTCACCCTCTATTCAATCTGTATTCACCCTCTATTCAATCTGTATTCACCCTCTATTCAATCTGTATTCACCCTCTATTCAATCTGTATTCACCCTCTATTCAATCTGTATTCACCCTCTATTCAATCTGTATTCACCCTCTATTCAATCTGTATTCACCCTCTATTCAATCTGTATTCACCCTCTATTCAATCTGTATTCACCCTCTATTCAATCTGTATTCACCCTCTATTCAATCTGTATTCACCCTCTATTCAATCTGTATTCACCCTCTATTCAATCTGTATTCACCCTCTATTCAATCTGTATTCACCCTCTATTCAATCTGTATTCACCCTCTATTCAATCTGTATTCACCCTCTATTCAATCTGTATTCACCCTCTATTCAATCTGTATTCACCCTCTATTCAATCTGTATTCACCCTCTATTCAATCTGTATTCACCCTCTATTCAATCTGTATTCACCCTCTATTCAATCTGTATTCACCCTCTATTCAATCTGTATTCACCCTCTATTCAATCTGTATTCACCCTCTATTCACCTCCTCTCTGTTCCATGCGATCCCTCCAGGTGCTGAAGAAGAAACCCGACTTCAGGGAGAAGCCATGGCCGCAGATCTCAGCTGCTTTCTTTAGGAGAGGGGTAGAGAGAGGTTGAGAGTGGCATCATAGCATCCGTGTTTCTCGCTCTTTCCCATCCCTCCAGGTGCTGAAGAAGAAGCCTGACTTCAGGGAGAAGCCATGGCCGCAGATCTCAGCTGCTTTCCCTGGGAGAGGGGTAGAGAGAGGTTGAGAGTGGCAGTGAATAATCCGTGTCTCTCCCTTTCCCCATCCCACCAGGTGCTGAAGAAGAAACCTGACTTCAGGGAGAAGCCATGGCCGCAGATCTCATCCAGCGCCAAGGACTTTGTCAAGAAGCTGCTCAAGAAGGACCCCCGCGCCCGCCCCACCGCCGCCCAGGCCCTGTGTGAGTCAGCTCCCTGCCTGCTGGATGTGCTGTGTGTGAATCGATTCCCACTGCTGGTTTGGTCACTGGGGTTGGTTACAGATCTCATCCAGCGCCAAGGACTTTGTCAAGAAGCTGCTCAAGAAGGACCCCCGTGCTCGCCCCACGGCCGCTCAAGCCCTGTGTGAGTGAACCTCTAGACTGCTGAGTGTGCTCTGTGAAGAAGCTGCTCAAGAAGGACCCTCGTGCCCGCCCCACTGCCGCTCAAGCCCTGTGTGAGTCAACGCGCGGCCTTTGAGGCGTGCATTGTGTGCGTACCGTACAGTGATATCCAACATGCCCGATGGGCACAGCAGTGTGTCATTTCCCAGCATTCCTTCCTATGTTGCCCGTTCCCACCTTTCTCCCTCCCCTCCCCTCCCCTCCCCTCCCCTCGCCTCCCCTCCACCCCACCACCAGCACACCCATGGGTGAAGGAGGGAGGCAACGCGTCGTCCATCCCGCTGGACATAGCATTCCTTCCCCTCTTGGCCGTTCACACACCTATTTCCCCCCTCCCCTCCCCTCCCCTCCACGCCACCACCAGCGCACCCGTGGGTGAAGGAGGGAGGCAACGCGTCGTCCATCCCGCTGGACATAGCAGTGCTGTCCAACATGCGCGAGTTTGTGAAGTACTCACGCCTCAAGCAGATGGCGCTCAAGGTGAGAACAAGCACGCACCACATGCACGCACGCACGCACGCACGCACGCACACACGCACGCAGGTGTGGTGCTCAGGGTGAGTGGCGCTCTTGCCCCCCATGTGGTGTCGTCCATCTCTCAGACATAGCAGTGCTGTCCAACATGCGCGAGTTCGTCAAGTACTCGCGCCTCAAGCAGATGGCGCTCAAGGTGAGAGGGGGCAGGCAGGCACATACGCAGGCAGGCACGTATGCAGGCAGGCATGCGTGCAGGCACGTATGCTGTCCAACATACGCGAGTTCGTCAAGTACTCACGCCTCAAGCAGATGGCGCTCAAGGTGAGTCGCTGTGTGGGTGGGTGCGTCCGCCTCAGGCTGTGATGCTGCGGTGCCACACAGCCAATCGGTCGATTGAGCTCTCTCTCAGACGTTGCACAGCAGTGCTGTCCAACATGCGCGAGTTCGTCAAGTACTCACGCCTCAAGCAGGGTTTTGAGTCGACTCAAAACTAGGTTCGTCAAGTACTCACGCCTCAAGCAGATGGCGCTCAAGGTGGGTTACTGTTCGCTGTGACTCCGCGGTGCCACGCAGCTGGTGTGTTGTGTTTTGAGACGTCTCAAAACACTACTTCAAACCTGTGTTGTGTTGGTTGATAGAGCCATCTCCCGTGCAACGTGCGCCGAGTTTGTCAAATACTCGCGTCCAAGGGACCAGCTTAACATTGCTGTGCTCCAATGCTGCTCGTGTCCCAACTTGTCCTCATTGCCTTTCCTCCTCCCCTTCACCAGGCGCTAGCGACGACTTTGGAGAGCACGGAGGTGCAGCAGCTGAGGGACCAGTTCAACGCTGCTTTCATCCTAGTCTGTTGTTTTCCCACTGTTTTCCCCATTCTTCCTCCCCTTCACCAGGCGCTAGCGACCACTCTGGAGAGCACGGAGGTGCAGCAGCTGAGGGACCAGTTCAACGCAATGGACATCAATGGGGATGGCACCATCACCATCGATGAGATCCGACATGTGAGCTCGTTGCCAGCATGTCATGAGATGACTTTGGGCCGCCTCAAGAGACATCAATGGGGGTGGCCCCATCACCGTCAATGAAATCCGACATGTGAGTTCGTGCTAGCATGTCAAGAGATAACATGTGAGCTCCTTGCTAGCATGTCAAGAGATAACATGTGAGCTCCTTGCTAGCACACCTTGCTAGCGCCTCGAAAAACATCAACGGGGATGGCACGATCACCGTCAACGAGATCCGACATGTGAGCTTGGTGTCACTACCAGCAGCACACCCTCACACACGCGCTGAAATCAGCTGAGTGCTATCTTAACTCAACGCATTCGCTTCTGAGTGCTGAAACCTCTCCAACCCCCTGATTTCTCCTTCTGTCGTTTGCCTACTCATCCCCCCTCCCGATGTGTTCCTGTTTCCCGTGCTCCATTCAGGCGCTCAACAAGGACCTTCCGTATGAAGTGAAGGAGACCAAAGTGGTGCAAATCTTGCAAGCTGTGAGTCCACACTGCCCACACCACGCCTCTGCTCGTGTTTTGAGTCGACTCAAATCACCACGCCTGCGCTCACTCATCATGCATCACGCTGCGTGTCTCTTGCACACCCTTGCACATTTCCCAGTCTTAGTGATTTTATTATGCGCCACCTTGCTTGCAAGTGTTTCTTCCCAAGCAACGCCCATTCCTCCCCTTTGTAATCGAAGCCTTGTCCTGCATCTGTTATGGCATCACGCACTGTGTCGAACTCTTTTTGAAGAGTTTGTATCGGCCACGCTGCACGTGCAGCAGCTGGAGGACGCTGATTCCGCAAAGTGTAAGGAGCATGTTTCCTGATGTGCCTCACATCTCATATGCCCCCACTCTCCGCCCCCACTCTCCGGCCCCACTCTTCGCCCCCACTCTGTCTGCTCTCCGCTCTCCCACGCAGATAACCACCAACTGTGATGGAATCATTGATTTCGATGAGTTTGTGGCGGCCACACTGCACGTGCAGCAGCTGGAGGAGGCTGACTGCACCAAGTGGATCTTAGGAGCAAACCCCCCACAGGGGCTGATCTGATCTCACACATTTTTCACGCCTCCCAACGCTCCTCTCTTTCTCCTACGCAGATGGACACAACCTGTGATGGAATCATCGATTTCGATGAGTTCGTAGCGGCCACGCTGCACATGTAGCAGCTGGAGGAGGCTGACTCGGCCAAGTGGGAGGAATGTGCCTCCTGATCGCCTCACATGTCATCCCCACTTCCCCTGACCACTTCCTTTCTCCACTCCCACCCACTCTCTACTGCCAATGTCTTCCCTCCACCCACCCAGATGGACACCAACTGCGATGGCATAATTGACTTTGACGAGTTTGTCGCAGCCACGATCCACGTGCAGCAGCTGGAGGAGGCTGACTCGTGAGGTGCAACTCTCACCCCTCATTCCCACACCTCCTGCCCCTCCACCCACGCAGATGGACACCAACTGTGACGGCATAATTGATTTCGACGAGTTTGTGGCGGCCACAATCCACGTGCAGCAGCTGGAGGAGGCTGACTCGTGAGGCACCACGCTCACAATCTCCGACAATTGTCTCAACCTTCTCCTCCTTCTGCCCCTCCACCCACCCAGATGGACACCAACTGCGATGGCATAATCGACTTTGACGAGTTTGTCGCAGCCACAATCCACGTGCAGCAGCTGGAGGAGGCTGACTCGTGAGGAACCGCTCTCACACTCTGCCACTTCCCTGGTCTCGTTTCTCAACCCTCCCCCCTTCCCAACCCTGGGCCAATCCCCTCCACACCCAGATGGACACCAACTGCGATGGCATAATCGACTTTGATGAGTTTGTAGCAGCCACGATCCATGTGCAGCAGCTGGAGGAGGCCGACTCAGCCAAGTGGGAGGAGCGCTCCAAGGCGGCTTTCAACCACTTTGACACGGATGGAGACGGCTTCATCGACGCGGAGGAGCTGAGAGTGGTGAGATGGTGTTTCAAAAGGTTTCGAGATGGTTGTGTGCGGTTCAGCTGGATCTGAGTGGTGTGTGTCAAGGTTTAGGGTGCTGAAATCTGGTGAAAGTTGAATCTGAGGAAGCCCTATTCAGCCAAGTGGGAGGAGCGATCCCGGGCGGCTTTCAACCACTTTGACACGGACGGCGACGGCTTTATCGATGCGGAGGAGCTGAGAGTGGTGAGATTGTGTTCTATGGGTTCCAGGGTGGCTGTGTGCGGTTCAGCTGGGTCTGAATGGTGAGGGTGTTGGAAGGTGTTGAGATTCATGGGATCCTGATGGGGCTGAGTCCGCCAAGTGGGAGGAGAGTCCTGAGCGGCATTCAACCACTTTGACACCGATGGCAAGGCTTCATCATGGCGAGGAGCTCAGAGTGGTGAGGCGGTGTTGCAAGGGGTTCTGAGTGGTTGCGTGGATATATGTGTATTGATCTGCGCCTGGCGATTGATGTACACTCACCTACCTTAGTCGTGCATCTTGCCCTGTGTTTCCTTACAACAGACGGCGCAAGTGAAGTGAAGGGGTCGTGGGGGTGACTGATAGACAAAGGGATGGGATATCGAAAGTTTCGTAAGGCCTCCTACTAATATTCTCTTACTTGTCCTCCCTCCCTTCTCCCTCTGCTTGCACACAGGCGGCACAAGTGAAGGGGTCGCTGGGGCGATTGATAGACGAGGGCGATGTGGACGGGGACGGTCGAATCAGCCTGCCAGAGTTCCAGAAGCTTCTGCGCTGCGCCAGCATTAACTCTCGCACTAACACCACCTCGCGATCGCGCGGCCGCTCGGGCTTCGGAGCGATTGCTGAGTAGGCTTGCTGTATGCTAACCCAACACCCTTGTACCGTACTGTACCTATCACTTTTGATAATTCTCAAAAGTGAATCAAGCTCAAGCATCGGTGTAATTGCCACTAGCTCTTTGTTTTGCTAACCCAGTACCCTTTTTAGGCAGTAATTGGTTTCATGTTCCTAGGGTACCTGCAGTTTTGGCTTGATGTTGAGGGGTCAACAATGCTGTGCCATGTTGTAGGTAGATATATTTCTTTAGTAGCATTTGGAATACCCGATTTATAAGCACGATATATATTCCTTATTGAGAGGTTGTTCGAGTGTGAAAGCTGGTGTGTAACTCACGGAACGGTTTAGTACGGTGACATTTCATGAAGGCTCTAGTGAACCTCTATAAAGAGGACAGCTCAACCCTTCCAGTCCGCAGAAATTCACAAATCCCAGTCCACGATTCCTCGATTCCCAGTTCAAGTCCTGTCCGTGGTTTTCTAGTCGCTGGTCAGGATCGAGGCTTGGCCCTTCCACCGTTCCGTTGCCTTGATCCGACGCTCTCTTGTCGCTGGCACTGATATCAGCGTGAGGAAAAAAATAAAGAAAGAAAATTGCCGCGTTATTGCGTAGAGTTTGGAAGCTCGTGATTTGCTAGTCCCCATCGTGGTTCGCGCGGATGGAGGAGGACTGGGAGGAGGAGGAGGTTGTTGACGCGTCGCAACAAGGCGCGTCGCAAGCGGAGGACGACAGGACGTACATTGGCAGTGTGCTCTTTAACATCAAGGGTCTACAGCATTACCCGGGGACCGTGAACCCGCGAGAGGTTCGTTTCTTCACGTAGTACATGTAGACTCGCTAAGTGCCGTCTCGATATACGTCGGGAGCGTGCTCCTCGACATCAGGGGCTTGCAGTACTACCCGGAGACTGTCAACCCGCGAGAGTTCTGTACCTACGTGCGTGTACATTTAGAGGTGTCTCGATGCATTTTAGCATCAACATGCTGTTACCTTCCATCAGGGGCTTGCAGCACGACCCGGGAACCGTGGACCCGCGAGAGGTTCGTTTCTTCACGTAGTACATGTAGGCTCGCTAAGTGCCGTCTCGATATACGTCGGGAGCGTGCTCCTCGACATCAGGGGCTTGCAGTACTACCCGGAGACTGTCAACCCGCGAGAGTTCTGTACCTACGTGCGTGTAAATTTAGAGGTGTCTCGATGCATTTTAGCATCAACATGCTGTTACCTTCCATCAGGGGCTTGCAGCACGACCCGGGAACCGTGGACCCGCGAGAGGTTCGTACCTGCGTGCACACGTAGATTCGTTATAAGGCGTCTCAATGTATCTCAATGTACGTTGGGAGCGTGCGCGTAAACGTCACAGGGCTGCATGGTTACCCAGGGACCGTGAATTTGATGAAGGGTAGTTCCTTCCAGTCGCGATTTCCTCTTTACATGTGTTTCCGCTTTCAACTTTCCTGCGACCCAACCTGCAGATGGTTCGGCTTATTCGGGAGCCCAATAACGCGCACGACCGCAATGCCATCCGCGTGGACAACATCAGAGGGCAGGAGGTAGGCCACGTGGAGGCCAAAATGGCCTGCCACCTGGCGCCACTTGTCGATGCAGGATTGGTCGCGATCGAAGGCCTGGTGACGCGTGGAACGAGGAACAAATATCAAATGCCATGCCATATGTGCTTGTTCTGCTCCCCTGAATCTGCTCCTGAGGTCGCATCTCGCCTACTCTCTGCCGGAGTGCCTCTGGTGGAAACCAACAGCCTCCCTGGTTTGGACACTTTCGGGGAAGCTTCCCCCTCTGGTTCGTTACAGGCTGCTTCGGCTGCTGCGTCAGTGGCTGCTGCTTTGGCGGCACGGAGAGCTGCGATGAGCCAAGCAGAGCAGGATAAGGCGGTCTTATCCATGTTTGATGACCTGGCATGCCAGGTGGAAGCGGATCGGCCCACAGCGGACCCTCCCTGCCACATCATCAGGTCGTCCCTCCTGCCACATCAGCAGCGGGCGCTGGCGTGGATGATCAAGAGGGAAAGCGCGAGGAAGCTTCCGCCGTTTTGGAAAGCCGGGGCCTTAGAGTCTGGCAGCAGCAGCAAAGGGAAGAGAGGAGGGAGAGGAGGAGGAGAGAGAGGGGGAGGGAGACAGGGCAGGGGAGGGCGGGGAAGAGGGATAGAGGGACAGGGAGGGGGTGCAGGAGGGGTGGAGGGGGGAGTGGGAGGGGTGGAGGGGGAGGAGGAGGATGGAGATGACGGGGGGGAGGGCGGGGGGCGAGTGTTCACCAACATTCTAACCAACTTCACCACAGACGAGAGGCCTAAGGCGCTAAGAGGAGGCATTCTGGCCGATGACATGGGGCTGGGGAAAACACTCTCCCTGCTCTCCCTCGTTGCTGCCACCACTGCTGCTGCTGCTGACACTGGTGAAACACAGGCAACCGGCACCACCTCCACTGGTGCTGCTGGTGGCGCGGACGAAAAGCAGAGCAGGGCGACGCTAGTGGTGTGCCCCCTCTCTGTGCTCTCCAACTGGACGGCGCAGATAGCAGAGCACGTGGCACCAGGAGCGCTGAGTTACTATGTGTACCACGGGGCAGACCGCGTGAGAGACCCGATCTTTCTCTCCGGATTTGACCTTGTCTTCACCACCTACAACATCCTCGCTTCTGAGTGCCCCCCTCCCTCTGCCTCCACTGCTGCTGGTGCGGCTGCTGGTGGTGCTGCTGGTGGCTCTTCTGCTGGTGCTGGTAGGGGTGGGTCAGGGGGGATGGCAGAGGCACAACGGGCTGACAGTCCACCGCCCTCGCCGCCTTCCATTCCGGGGTGCCCTGGGATGCTCATGCCTGCTTATGCCGGCATGCCAGGGGCCCGGGGAAGGAAGAGGAAGGCGCCAGGGGCAGCAGCGCAGGGGCAGAGGAAGCGAGGGGGGATGGCAGGGACGGCGGGAGGAGCGAGCAGCAGCAGTAGGAGCACTGCAGGAGCTGCAGCAGCAGGAGGAGCAGGAGTAGGTGAAGAGACAGCAGGAGGGGGGCCGTTACTGCAGGTGAAATGGAGGCGGGTTATTCTGGACGAAGCGCACGTGATCAAATCCGTGCAGACGCGGGCGGCGCGGGCGGCGACAGCGCTGCAGGCGGAGAGGCGGTGGGCGGTGACGGGCACTCCGGTGCAGAACCAGCTGGGTGATCTCTTCTCGCTGCTCTGCTTCCTCCGCCTTGATCCTCTCAACGATCGCTCGATTTGGACCCGCGCGATTGACCGGCCAATGAGGGAGCGCCAACACATCGGGTTGGACAGATTAAGGGTATGCTCGAGTGGAGGCATGGGGATGTTTGTGTGCGGTGAGAGGTTGGCTGGTGTGTGTGTGTGTGTGTGTGTGTGTGTGTGGCTGGTGAGATGTGTGTGTGCGCGCACACTCATCCAGCTTCCAGAAGCCACCCTTTTTTCTCCCACCCTTCTTGCCTCACCCCGACAGGCACTGGTTCTCTCAACCGCTCTAAGGCGCACCAAGGACATGCAGGTGAACGGCCGGCCGCTGCTGTCACTCCCTCCCAAGACCGTGCGAGTGCTGCCAGTTGACCTGCTGCCAGAGGACCGTGACCTCTATGACCGGTGAGCTTTTTTTCTTTTTCTTTTTCTTTTTTTCTTTTTTGGAGGGGGTGAGGGGCGGGAGAAACAGGGGGCGGGGGGCGGTTGCTGTGTGGGTCACTGGTATGTGTGCCCCTGGCGGTGACTGTGCACGTTTATCCCTCCCAAGATTGTGCGAGTGCTGCCAGTCGACCTGCTGCCAGAGGGTCAGGATCTCTATGACTGGTGAGGATGGCCCTTTGGTGTGACTGCACCTGTGATTGCACATTTGTGATTGCGTACGAGTCACTTGAAGACGTATCAATTCACACATGTGTCACTGTTCACTCACCCTTTTCTTTGTTTTTATCTTCCTGCTGCCTCACTCCTCCACTATAACCAACCTCATCGTTCTCTCCCAGAGTGCAGGAGGAGGTGCGGCGCCTTGTGGGTGGCATGATGGCACAGGGCACGCTGATGAAGAACTATGCTACAGTGCTCGAGATGATCCTACGGCTGAGGCAGATCGCAGACCACAAGGGACTCTGTCCACCGCACGTTCTTGAGGCCATTGCTGCATTGGCAGCTGCAGCAGAGGAAGCAGACAGAAACCAGGATAAAAAAGGTAAGCATTGTGAAACCAGTATCAGGGCATTTGAAATGGAGTGTAAATGTTGCTAAATTGCTTGCTACTCGATTATTTGTTGCTTTCCTGCATTTTAAGTCTGTGCTTCTTTTTCCAAATCACTCTATTCCCGCAGCTGCAGTTCCTCTGGACCCCCTTCTTCTTCAAAAGCTTCTGAAACTTTTAGCAGCAGGAGCAGCAGACGAGGACTGTCCCATCTGCCTATCGCCTCCCATTCTTCCGGTCATGACTCCTTGTGCTCACATCTTTTGCCGCCGCTGCATTCGTCGGTTATTTTCCATTCAGAAGCATGCCTGCCCCATGTGCAGAGCGCCAGTAGATGAGGCTCATCTGGTGGAGGCTCCACCTAATGCTGCAGAAGGAGAGGGTGGTGGTGCTAATGGGGATCATGCCAAAGGGGGCTTGATGGAAGGGGTTGAGGGGAATACAAGTGCCAAGATTGATGCGCTTATAGCCGCTCTTCATGAACCTCTTCAGGTGCCACCAGGGTACCAACCTCCAGATGCTATTGCAGGGCCTAGTGCAATGGGAGGAGGTGGTGGGCATCAGCAGCAGAGGGTTAAGAGTGTTGTGTTTTCTCAGTTCACTCGGATGCTGGATTTGGTGTATGAGAGGTTGCAGGCTGCAGGATTCAAGTGCTGTAGATTGGATGGGCGCACCAAGCTAAGTGTGAGGGAGAAGGCGATTGCAGAGTTCAACCGGGTGGATGAAGATTCTCCTACTGTCTTCCTTGTGGGGCTCAGAGCAGCAGGTGAGAGTGCACATGTTTCTAGCGAGAATCTTTTTAATGTCCATTTCTGCAGTCCACTTGGACTTGGCTTCTACATGTGTTCATGTGGGTGCTTGGCAGGTGTGGGTTTGAACCTTACAGCTGCATCACGTGTTTTTCTGCTTGAACCTTGGTGGAACCCTGCTGTGGAGCAACAAGCAATGGACCGAGTCCATCGCATTGGACAGGTATGAAAGTTGATGGTGCTCAAGATTTGGACATGCTGATAATGTATACAGTAACAAATGAGAGTTGTACTCCCATGATCCCATCCATGCCGCTGTTTATATGTGCAGGAAAATCCAGTGGATGTTGTGAGAATGGTTGCTGCTGACAGCATAGAAGAACGAATGCTGGTGCTTCAGGAGAGAAAACGAGCAATTGCACGTGCTGCCTTTGAGCGTAGATCTGCTGAAGATCAGCAATTATTACGAATGGACGATGTGCGTCTGCTAATGGACATGTAAGTGTTACGTGCTATACAATGGAAATTGTGAAAGACATTAGTTGATTAGTTGCATCAGAGCTCCAGTTTGAAATGAAATGTAATGCACTCATTCTTCAAGATGTCGCTCTGCAATAGCTGGCTGCAGACGGTCGAAGACATCTTGTGCGGACCGGAGCCTTGTTCCAATCTCATCATTCATGGACTCCAATTCCTTGATTTCTTCGAGTTGGCGTTGCCAAATTGCAACTTGATTCTCATGGATCCTGCGAAGCACGATGGTGAGTTTTATAGAACGGAATTGTGGCCTATCAGAGTGACTGGGTCCTCGACTTACTGAACAAGCTGCTCCTCCCATGCTGCGTGAGCGGCCGAAAGAGCTTGTTTCCCAGCATCAAGAATCGCGCAAAGCTGACAGAAAATTGAAGGAAACGTCAGCTTGAGCTTTTCAATGTTGAACTAGCGCTGAGAGTCAAAACAACCTTTTGTGTAAATTCCTCTATTCTTTTGTGTGCTTCCGCCACTGCGGGACTGGCCTCTCGATCTCGTGCTTCAGGCGAATCGGGCTGTCCAGCAGCATCTTGCGTCTCCGTCTTTTGTGAGGAATCTTCTCTTTGCCTCTTCAGCATTGGTTCCGCATCAATGTCACGCTGCATCAATGTCATGAACGAGTTAGACTACGTCAACAATTCGTTACAAATGTACTTCGCCTACACACCTCGTGGCTGTCAGTGGCATCCATAGCAACTAAGGCGGTGATGGAGGTAATGATGTGATGAAGCTTGAGTTGCTATGTTGAAACTGAAAGTAGAACAGGAACTGGTGAGCTCCTGAAGATGATAGGTACCGTACGTGGAACTGCTGGGGCTTGTTGGGTTGGGGGTCGAGATTCAAGGTAATCACGAAGTCACACCAATCTCGAGGCGGTCCCGCTGGCTCGATACAGGGTGTGCGTTTTTCCACATTGAATATTGCCTATTTCCAGGAAATGCTCACGGTCTCTGTATTTTGACAGCTAAAATGTTTTGTTCCGATTCCCATTCTATTAGAAACGTGAATCACATTGAATCACACCCATTCCCGATAATCATCCTTCACATCCCATCTCGCTCGCTACCATCACACCAAGCGCGTGCCGACTCACGGCATTGACCTCTCACGTTCGATCACGTGGAGTGAACGGTTCAAAACATTTCTTCAACCGACCCCCTTCCTCCGCCACGCGCATTTCCCTTGGTTCCCCCAAACACAGAACTCCTCTCCAACCCCCGTAGTCCCCTCCCCACCTTCTCAAGCTTTTCCCCAATCTACCCCCCCTCCCCCCCCCCCCCATCCCGGCCCTCCCCCCTTCACACCTTTCCTCCCTCAGCTTTTTGGTTGATATTTTCCTCCAGCATGTTCGAGAAGTTTCAGAGCCCCAACGCAGTCGCAGATAGCCAAGTCCGAATCCAACATCACGGTACTAGAATCGATCTGTCTAGTCGCGTATACCTCCTCTATTCCCACTGTCGCCGCCTTGAGCGTCAAGGTCGAGTAGGAGCGTTGTGAAAAGGTTCTTTCTCTTTTCCCCAATTATAAGTTTCTCGTTTCAAGCCTTCTCTTCGCAACGAGCCATGAGCGCCAAGTCACTTGAAGCCATGGACCAGGGGATTGCGAGGATAGAGGAGAACCTAAATAGAATGCATATCCGCCCTTCACCAGCCCACCCTTCGTCAGTCGCCCCTTCGCCACTCCACCCTTCAGCAGGACATCCGTCGTCTCTTAACCGAGCCACTGCGATGGACCAATGGAGATCGCCGCAGCACCATATTTCTTCCAACAGCCCTTCGCCACAACACCATATATTTTCCAACAGCCCTTCGCCACAGCACCATCTCTTCGCCAACAGCCCTTCGCCACAGCATCATCTGTTCGGCAACAGCCCTCTGAGCAACCTTCCCACATTCGACCAGCTGAGCGAGAGGCACCGGCACGGCCACAAACACCGGCGTCAGAAGCAGGACGGGTCAGGGAGGGACGGAGGCGCACGACGAATCTCCGAGGATGCTTCCAGCGTATCGTCGGACATGAACGGTTACCATACAGACCCTGCCGTCCACGCGGAACCTTCCTGGACGATGCGGTCAGTGGAATCAGCGGCTTCCGTTCCTCCTGTTCTTGAGACGTTCAGAAGTCCCGCGCATCCTGCTTCGTATCACCCGCAGCGGAGCCACCGTACTTCCGCATCTGCCGTTCCTTCCGCGCATGGAGCTCCAGAAGCAGCGGATTCGGCGCTCACCCAATACCCGCCGCAGTTTCCGCAGGCGCTTCGGAACTGCTACTCCGCCCCGCAACCCGGCGAGTCGGAAACTTGCGTGCTCTCACGGCAGCTCGCCGGCGCGCGGGAGATTAAAGTCATGGCTCGTGACACGGCGGTGTGCGGTTCCATGGTTGAAATGGGAGCAGCGAAAGTGCTGTTGTCGCTTGTAGACAGCGTGATAGAAGCGGAGGAAGGAAGGGAGTCCATGGATTCGCGTTATGAGGTTGCTGAGGAGGCAGCTGCCGCGCTGCTGAACTTGTCTCTAGATAAGACCGCCAAGCACATGATGAGGAGCCATGGCATCATCCCTACCATTGTGAGGTTGGCTGACATCACCCGCAGCAGTCCGGACTGCCCTGACGGTGCCAGTGGTAATGCTCATAAGTTACCCAACAATGCCCAGCAGAATGACATAAGCAGCTATTCTGACGGTAGCGCCGGGACCCCCACCTCCACCCGCACCAGCTCCGCGCATTTGCCACTTAGAGAGCTCGCAGTGGCGATAATCCATAGCCTTGCACAGTCAACAGCGCTGAAAGAGGACCTGGTGGATCAGTGGGTGGTGCAGCCGCTGGTAGGCCTGTTGAGGGAGCCAGCATGCAGCAAGGAGGGACAGAAGGACGCCTTGTACGCGCTCTACCTCTTATCTATGTGCGAGTCTGGGAGGTTGGCTCTTGCGTATCGCGGCACTGTGCCTTTGCTGCTGGAGGTGGCGCTGTGCGGTACGCAAAGAATTGGCCATCTGTATGCGAAGCAGTCAGGGAGATTCTTTGACAAGGCCATTCATGCAGTGGCGAATGTATCCGAGGAGCGACCGGGACTTGCTGCTTTGGTAAGCAGCAAAGTTAAATACTGGTCTTGTGAAGCTGGTGGTGCTGGCTCTGATGGCTGCCCTCAAATTGGGAATGGAAGCTGCATTGAAGTTTCGGGACTGCAAGGGCTTTTCAAGCTGCTTGCGAGTGGGAGTGACGCGACAAAGCAGCATGTTGTTTCGACTCTGCACAGGATTGTCAGAAATGCGGGGCAAGGCGGTGCGCAAGTTTTGGATGAGATCTGGTCCTTGCGGCAAAAGGAAAAGCCGAGGCCATATCTGGAGGCTTTAGCAAACGCTGGATCGCCCAAAGCCCAGCAACTCTTGATGGTGCTGTTTCCTGCCAAGGTGGCTAAAGAAGCAGCAAAAAGCTGACTTCTTTAGTGCTGGTTTGAACTGCTATTCCATCAGGTGGAAGGGGATCCTGTTTGATTTTCCTTGGTGTCGGTATCCTGATTGTATAGATGCAGTTTTGGTGGGTTGACGAACTTCTTGAACGCAATAATACAGGATTCCGATTCCGCTTATACGTCGCCTCGCCTGCCTGCTGCCTGTCGCACCTTCTCAGTCGGTGCAGGGCGCAGTCATATCCCAATCCCACACGGCGTTCCCAAGTGCGCCACGTCTGGAATGAAGAAGCCAGTGGGACTGGAGAATTTGGGCCAATGGAATGCGGTGTTCCCCGCCTCCTCTGCTTCATACAGGATCACAATGTGTCCAATGTGCTCCCCCTCAAGTCAGCGGAGCCGCTCAAGTCTCCCCACGTCGACGCCAGTGGCCAACCATGATTAAAAATTACAGTAGTCGTAGATCTTCTTCTGAACGGTCTGGATTCATCTGTATCCAGCTTGCTTTTTCTGATTAGGACCAATAAAATGCTGCAACCACGACGTCAAAGGCAGGTGGGCAGATTGGAGGCATTGGGACGACTTCAACCACTGGCACCTGATCTGAACGATCCGACTTATATTTGAACCACTCTATACCACATGAGTGGCCTTCACCATTCACCTGCTCCCTCTTCATACACACACAGCTTGGATGTACAAGAATTCATCCTAAAGATCTTCAGAGAGCAAAGGTCCAAGTGTCATACTTTCTCGTTCCGTCTTCACATTAGTAGAGGCTGCTGTAGTGTCTAGTGTTCAGAGGGAGGAAGTCTCGTACTTTTTGTCACGATTGCGCGTCGCATGAAGAACGTTTTTAGTATTGCGTAGCTGCTGACGATTGGTAATTACTAGGAAGCATGAACGATATACCTGTTCATCCGCGAGTGCAGGTACCTGGCTTCCAGAAAAAACTTCTCAGGGCGAACCGAGTCAAAGCTGCCTTAGAAAGCATCAGGACTGGAGGCAGCAGCAACAACAACAACAGTTGCAGCGATGGTTCCAGCTCCGGAGATGTATTGTCTACCGCGCATCGAACCAGGCTAAGAGACAATGAAGACGGCTTGCCTGCTCTTCAGGATACCTATGGCCGTCGTCTCATTGCTCAAGACATTCACGGAAACTACTCTGTTCTAACAAATAGCTACGAGAGTTCTGTCACTATCGGGTCTACTGTACCTGGCTCTTCTCATCCTCCTCTACCCCCTCCTCCTTGTCCTACTCCTCCTGGGGTTCCAGGCGGTTGCGCTTTCGGTTATTCCGCTGGTCACAGCTTCGGTGAGCCAACAAGCCACGGAATCTCTCCTTCAATATCCCGCGACTTGGACGGTCCTTCTGCTTCCCGCTCCACTCTTGCTCCCACCTGTTCCGAAGCTTCTTGCCGAAGCATCAGCTCCCGCACAGACACTACTGGCACGGAATCGTTGAATACTCCCGCTTCTTCGAGCAGATACTCCGCGCTCGTGCGACCCGTGCTATCAAACGACGCGCTAGAGGAGGGAGGAGTAAAGGAGCCCGTGAAAAAACATCATGTGGGGAGTCAGCGGATGGGACGGTTGCTGCGAAATGTTGTAACCAGTCTGGTTTCGCCGTATGAGGTCCAGAATCATCATCATGCTTCTCCTCCTCCTCCTCCTGCTTCTGCTCCTTCTGGCGCTGCTGCTGCTACCGCCGCTGCAGCTGTGCACCCACTCCCTGTCACAGATTCACACGCGCCGTCCATTTCCTCATCACCCTGCCCTTCTTCACCGGTCCCTTCCTCACCCACCTCTTCTACATCACACCCCTCCCCCATCGCTCCCCGCTTATCCTCTTCCTCAGCATCTTCCGCCCATTGCTCTTCCTTCCCCTCCCGCTCCCCCTTCCCTCCGCCTACCCCCTCTCCGCCCTTCAGCCTTTGCCCCTCTCCCGCCGTCGCCATACCATCCCTTTCCGAGCTGCAATCTAATACCAGAACCTCGTCTGCATCTCGTTCTTCTCGCCTTCATTCTACCTCCTCTCGTCCTGCGAATCCCGATGGAGCTGTCGCTAATGAGCCTGCGTCGCCGCCGTCTCTTCCGCCGGGTTTTCAGCGGGCTTTGCTGGACTGCTGTGCTTGTAGGGATTCCGGAGAGACCAGTACGGCGCTGCTAGAGAGGCAGATGGGAGGTGCGCGGCAGATCAGGCATATGGCACGGGATCTAGAGGGGTGCAGAGCGGTGATGGTGGAGAAAGGAGTGGTGGGAGCGCTGTTGCCTCTGCTAGATTGGGCTGAAGGCGGAGCAGGGGTTCAGCCGTGGGTAGGCGAGGATGGGGGGGAGGAAATACTGGGGGATAAGAGTTCACTGAGAGATTTAAGGCTGAAAGTAGTGGAAGAGGCAGTAACAGCGCTGCTAAATCTGTCCATCCACCCTTCAGCTAGAGAACTTATGTTAAGCCTTGGGGTTGTTGCTCCGGTCACTCAGATGGTTGGAAGCAGGCAATGGGGACTTTCACGAAGCAGCAGCAGGAGCAGCGGTGGAATTTTGAGTGGCGACAGGGCTAGCTTGAGTGGTAGTGGCGCTGTTGTGCCTGTTTATATCAGAGAAGTTGCAGCAGCGCTTATATTCAGCCTTGCTCAAGTGGCTGAGAATAGAACCGAGCTAGTGAGGTGTGGTGCAGCCGAGGCTCTGGTTCAGTTGCTACAGGAGACAAATTGCAGCAGTCAGGGAAGGAGGGACGCTTGCAAAGCATTGTCAAACTTATCTACCATTTCGGCTGGAAGACTCAGCATGGTTCGAGCTGGAGCGGTGCCAATGCTGCTGGAGCTGGCACTGATGGGCCATGCTGGTGATGAGTACATATCTGAGAAGGCCTTGGCGGTGCTTGATAATGTGGCAAGGGAAGAAGCGGGAAGGGAAGCCATAGTTGGTTCGCAGGTTCACGATGGGGCATGGGATTGGGCTTCTGGCAGTGCTGCCTGTGGGACTTCTGAACTTCCTCAACCCTCCGACAGCTTGAGAATGGCTTCAGGGTTGAGTATTCTTTTGGAGTCACTGGATAGTGGCTCGGAGCGAAGCAATGAGTTTGCAGTGTCGGCTTTGCTCTATGTCGCAAGGAGCAGCCAAAAATGGAAGGAGTTGTTACTGTTGGAGGCACCTCTTCCATCTGTCAAGGCTGTGGCAATGAAAGGCAGCCTTCGAGCGAAAGAAAAGGTAAGTGTTTCCATCTTACTGTTCCACGCTTGAGTGCAGCTGGATGAACGTTGGGAGGGATCAAGCTATGTCATTTGGCACTCTCTGTGCCGCACGCATCTTAGGAATCGTACCCTGATTCATGTCCTTTTCATTCTTGCAGGCACAGAAGCTGTATGAGCTTCTCAGGGGATAAAGATTCTCAGGGGATAAACATGCAGGATTCGATATTGTTTCAAATACAGATGCATTGGATCTGACCTGGACAAGGTGCCTACGGTGATCTCCAAGCTTACCATGTTAGTAGTGTTTTAAAGCCCGAGTCCCAGATTGCAAGCTGCAGGCATCGAGATGACTAATCTTTATGAACTGTTGTTACCCTGCAACACTTTCTAGAGACCCAGCCTAGTCCATTTACTCAACTTGAAGAACCTTGTTTTGCAACTTGAGACTTCAGCACAAACACAAGCACAAACTAAGACACCAGTCGTAGAAAGCCCTCGCTAGCCCGTAGATAAATGCTAGATACCAGAACTCAACCTTCATTGGCATATTGGTCACACAGGTAGCTGTTCAAGCCCATCAAAACTCTTTTGAGCATGGTCGGAAACACTATTGACGATTTGGTGAACCAAACTCAAGTGACCATCCAGCATGCCCTCCAAACGCACTGCTTTTGCCTTCATTTCTTCCATTGCTTGAAGCTCTGCCTGGCTTTGCTCTTTGAGCTGCATGTCACAATCCTGCTCGTGAAAGGAAAGAGCTTTCTTAGCTCCAAGGCATTGTCAGCAGAAACCATCAACCTAGAAACCCACCTGACTCTTTTGCCTCAGAGTTTCCAAACATGTTGCTCGCTTTTCAATCTCCGCACGTGCGAGTAATTCACGCCTTTCAGAATCTTCTAAGCGTGCTTGTACTTCCTGCTGAGCACGCTGAGATGCCTGCAGCATCTCTTCCTCGTCCTGCACAACAATGCACGGTATCACGCTTCCGTGCCCACTTGATTCACGTTTGAAACTCACGGAATGTCCGTACAAGGTCCATTGTGAAAACCTACCCGTTTCTTCACATCCTCCTTGATTTCCAGCTCCGCAGAGATCTTAGCAACCTCCTCCGACTCCTCAGCAAGCTGAAGGTCCAGTGTTGCCAGCTCCGAATACAGCCTCTGTTCTTTCAAAGAGTACTTCTCCGTCACTTCTTGAATAGCTGAACGGATATCTGCCTTGGACATGCTGTCAGACAGTATATCCCGGATGTTTGTTCCATGCGGATTAACCCGTACAGAGTAACAACGGCCCTGAGCATGCTTGCTAGATGGAGGGATAAGCTTGAGCCTGCACAGAATTTGGAAGCGTTAGACAGTAAGAAAGAAATTACAGCAAAGTAATCCACTGAAAGCTATCACCAACCTTGTCGCCAACAGATTGAACGTGTTTGCTGCCTGTTCGAGCTCCTCCATGGTCTTGACCTTCTGAACCTCCGCCTTGCATGCCTCCTTTTCAACATGCATCCGATTTTCCTTCAGAGCTTGTAACACGGCGTTCCTGCCAGCTAACCTCTCTGCCATGCGTTCTATGTCTTCTTTCGAAAATCGCTGTTCCTCAATCCGCTTCTGAAGCAGTGCATTGTTTGCCTGGATGCTGATTGTGGTCTCGGTGCGATTCGTCAGTTCTTGCTGTTTATCCAGCAAGATTTCCTCAAATGTCTGGAACATTTTGCAGAGTCAGTGTCGGTTTAGCATGGCAAAGAACAGAAACTTACTGTGACGTACTTGCAAGTCTATCTTCCCTCGTTCAGTCGCATTGACCAAATCGCCCTGCAGTTTCTCAAGCGTTGCTTGGTCCTCCAATAGCTTTTCGAGTTCAGTCCTATCCTGCTTGCGCTTCAAGGTGGCCTGTGGCACAGAAACGGAACGTTGTGTGAGCTTAGCCTTTCTCAGAAACAAAACCTCATTTACCTACTTACCTCCTTCCTCAGAAGCTTCTCTCGAAGATTTTGCACGTCGGTTTCCACCTCCTGTCGAGCTCCCTCAAAATAAGCCATGAACTGTTGCATGATGTGCTCGATTCTTGTTTCGGAAAGTTCCTCGGATTCGGCGTTCATAAAAACATAGTAACCCTCCTTCATGAACTCAAAGAACACAGCCCTGCAATGCTCCTCATCAAGCAATGTCGCCGAAGTTGGGTTTGTCAGTAGACTACTCTCAGAGCCTCGAGGTGTCGACGACGCAGGTTGTGCTTGCATAGCTCCGGGATCGGACGTAGCATCAATGAAGTTAAGCGTCTGAACAAGCCAGTTCAGCATCGCCAGCAAGGGTGGCCACGTGTGGGGAGTTCCAGCCTGCTGCAGGGAGCTTCTAGAAAGGTTGTACGGATAGTGCAGTCCCTTCATGATTTCCAGAATGTCATCTTCGGGCTTGCTTCCGTACTTAAATTTCGAATCCATCTGCTTCACCACAAACTCGAAGATCTTCAGGAAGAGCTTACCTGACGGAAGCTGAAGCATACTAGGATTCAGTGAGTTTTCAAAACCACGGTCCTCCAGAAATGCATAAATGGTCTGAATGCAATCTGCTTGGTAATTTTTGTCTTTCAGCGGACGAGGGTCCTCTCCAGGCTTCCTTGCTGAGCTAAGTCTACTGTGAGATTGGGGAGCGATGGAAGACCCTCCCTTGGCGAGGAGAGAGACGCGACTGGGCTGGACAGCTGAACCAATTGCAGAAAAACGTCTTGATAAACTTGAAGCGGCGACAGGCGTCTCAAAGCTCGAACCAGACGATGAGGGGCGTGACTGGGAGGAAGTCATAGTCTTTGGCGTTGCATCAAAGTTATTGCCTTGATTTGGTAGCGGAGTGCAAGGAATTCGGCTGATCGACGGAGCTGGAGGAACTTTGAACATCCCAGCACCACCGACGCTTTGATTCCGTTTTTTCAGCCTTGAGTCCATTGGAAACCACAAGCAGGGGACGGAAAAGAAGTCGCTGAACACGGAGATAGCCAGCAAAGAAGGTCGAGCTGATAGGTACTATGGAGCAGAAAAAGTGACTGAAATGGGCTTGTAAGCTTGGGAGCTCATAGCTTCCTTAGCTGATTTGAGTGTTTATTGGCAAATCCCAAGGGGCTTCGCATGCACAGTCTTTCGTTCTGAGTGATTCGTTTACAGAAAGTGCACCTTTTCTACTTACTTACACGCCAAGCCCAAATGAAATGCATGTGAAACCAACTTCCCCAGCCCCCGCTTCAGTAACAAGCCACCACCGATTTGCGCCCGAACCTAGAAGTTGGGGAGTGGTGTCGGAGTTCCCGCCAAGTGCTTGGAAGATGTTGGGCCAAGCGGGTTCGCTTCACTCCCATGAATGTGGATTTCATTCACTCCATAACTAAACTCCGTTCGTACTAACTACCCTGCAAATGCCTCCATGTTTCACTTCCGTTGCCTAATCAGTAGATCGCCTGACGGATCTTCGACGTAGAACACTGGAGCTTGTTTGTTCTATTCTGGCTGTACGAGTCAAGCGGTTTCTACCCGAATACCTTAGTCGCCGTATTTTGGGTGCACCTGTCGCCGATCCTCGATGTCCCGACCGCAGCTCTTCGTTCCCCAGCCGGGGCAATCAGGGTCGTCCAATTCGCTACCTTCGGGATGGCAGTCCGTTCCGCAAGTGAGTCCACGGCTCCATAGCGCGATACTTCACGGTTAGGAAGCGTAAGAAGCACTCACGGAGAGCATGGGAAAGGCAGATGGTAGCTGCTGTGAATTTCACCTATCGTGATATCAGTCGCCGTAGTAAGCTTCCCTCGCTTCCCCGTCATCCTTTTTCTCAGGCGAATCTTACTTACTTGTGTAGACTTTCTTCCATCCGTGTCTATCCAGGGCCCTCCTGGACCGTTTGATCAATTCAGTGGACCGCCAGGATACCGTCCACCGGCTGGCGGAGCAGGGATGCAGCAGCAGCAGCAGCAGCAGCAGCCGGGATTTGGCTTCGGTCCGCCGCAGGGGCCTCCCGGCGGAATCGGCGGAGGTGGCGGATTTGGATTCGGGGGTCCTGCACCCGGCGGAGGACCCATGGGTCCGCCGGGAATGATGGGAGGACCGGGGGCAGGAGGAGCGGATGGGGGTCATAACCCGCTAAACGACATGCTCGCGGGGGCTGGGTCGGGGTTCATTCGGTCGGGCCTGGGTGCTTATGGCGAGCGGCTACTAGGGAGCAGTCGTGCCTACGTTCAAAACAACGTGAGTGACTTGCCATGATTAGGAAAGCCACGCTTCCGCAGATTCGAGGGGTGGTGGCGCAGCTGCTTCTGTGTGTCTGTTTATCTCTACGTCTCTGTGTCCTTATGGCGAATGCTCTCCATCCTGTCTGTTTACAGAGATTTTTGTGGCAAGTGGCCAGCTGAAGTGGCAGGGCATGTGGACACGGTGGGATACATGCATCTTCTCCATCTCCTCCCCATCTCTTCTCCATCTTCGTGTGCGTGCAGGTGGGCAAGTATTTCGCGTCCACGGACTTCCATTACTATTTCCATGTCAACGACGCCTACGTGCGCAACAAGCTCAAGATTATCGTCTTCCCATTCCTACACAAGGTAGGGTCGGAATAATTTAAACGTTAATGAGAAGGAACAAGCCCAAAACTTTCGGGCCTACCTCCCAGTTCTGAACAAGGTATGGTGGAGTTTTTATCAACCCAAAAGGCAATAACTTGTATGAGTAGAGCAATCTCACAAACGCTGGAGCTCCCGTCCCAGTCCTGAACAAGGTACGGTCAAATTTCGTTGACCTTGTCTCCCAGTCATTGTGGAATTCTTATTCCACCCGAGCCCTGACCCATCCCATCCATATGCCCTGTCCGTGTCTGTCCAATCTCAGCCAAAACTGTGCATTCGTGCACGTGTCAGTTATCTTTGCCTTGGCAACCCATTGAGTCCCTGAGTCAGCATGCTTCTCTGACATCCATGGCAGGGCCACTGGACGAGAGTGGCGGAGCAGGTGGCTGGGGGTTTGACGTACAAGCCGCCATGCAATGACATCAACGCTCCGGACCTCTACATCCCTGCCATGGCCTTTGCCACCTATGTGGTGCTCGCTGGACTCTCCGCTGGCCTGCTGGGCAGGTAGGGAGGGGATGAGGGGTGAGATGTTGGCATTAAAGATTGTGTTACAGTAGGAGGGTGAGATATTGGAGTTGGGGGGATGAGATGTGGGAATCTAGGGGTGAGATGTTGGAGTTGACACACGAGCCGGGGCGGGAGCAGGTGAGTTGGGGGTTGAGTTGGGGGGTGGCGGAGCAGGTGGCGGGGGGGCTGACCTACAAGCCGCCATGCAATGACATCAACGCACATCCCTGCCATGGCCTTCGCCACCTATGTGGTGCTCGCTGGCCTCTCCGCTGGGCTGCTGGGCAGGTATGGAGTGTGAGGGGTGAGCTGTTGGAATCGAGTGAGACGCTGAAATTGATGGGTGTGATGCTGGAGTTGTGGGGTGAGGTGTTAGAGTCGAGGGGTGAGATGTTTTAGTTGGGGAATGAAGTGTTAGGGTAATATGTTGGAGTTGAGGGGTGAGTGGTCGGTGGCTGTTAGCGAGGCTGGAGTGGGAGGCTGGAAGCATTGGAGCATTGCCTGTCGTTACTGGGAATCCATTTTATATCTTGATTTATTTGCTTCTTATTTGTGGCATACAGGTTTGCTCCTGCATTTGTGAATGCACGTGTTGGCAAAGGATTAATCGGGTGGTTTCTGGAGGTGCTGCTGCTTCGGACGATACTCTACTCGTTGGCATCAGGCGATGCTCCGTTGCTCGATCTCGTGGCATACGCTGGCTACATGTTTGTTGGAATCTCCCTGACAAGCCTTTCTTGGGTCGTCTGGCGGATGGCCTACTTTCCGGTTCTGATTTGGACAAGGTGAGTGGTTGAGGGCAAGCTGGTTTATTAGGGAAAGGTGGTATTGGAAGTATTTCTGGTCACGCAAGGGTGGTTCTGTTTTTGACACGCTTCAGGTGAATCTTACATCATGAGTTTGTTGTTGGCATCAGAAGGTGCATGATGACGATATTGTTGTTTTCTTTGGTTTGCTTTTTTTCTGCTGCAGCTTGTGCATGGCAATGTTTCTGGTGAAGACAATGAAGCGGGTGATGTTCGCTGAGACCCGGCACTACGACCGTGACTCGTCGCGACACCGGTACATGCTCCTCGCCATGGGTGCTGCACAATTTCCCCTGGCATTGTGGCTTGGCAAGCTGTAGACCACCTGATTAAATAATTGGGTAGGTTCATAAAGAGTTCTTATAGGTCACCGTACTTGTCTATTGTGTTCAAAGGCGATATATATCTGACTGTACACTAGCTAGCTTGCATCTGTGAGTTGTGCAGGATGCACCCCAAGCGCGGTTCTGTTATTTTGACCCTTGGATTAATCGAACGGCTTAGATGATGCCGACCTTTTCCCGTGTTTTGATAGTGGCCGTTGGTTGTCACCGTCAGTGTACACATCCAATGAAGTTCACGAGGAATATAGTCTTCTCCCATGGTCGTCCTCATGCTACCAGTCTGAAACTTCAACGTCTGTTCTCCATTTCCGAGTTCACATTCCCCTTCTCACGCCCTTTTGAAACTTCGAAATCTCGTCTTCGACATCCTCTGTGTGATTCCGCTGGCGTTTGGTTGCTCCGAGTTTGTCAGTTCACGGATCGGCTTGTTCTCGATCATTTCCAAGGCTGGCAAACATGGCTGACGACGAGGACGAGCAGCTGCAACGGGCCTTTCGCATGAGCTTAACGAGTCCTCCCCCAGCAAACGCATCTCCGCGAAACCCTCAGACCAGCAGCAGCGGTATCAATTCCGAGTCCACCGGCGGATTGAATGCCAGCCCTGATCCTTGTCCCCCATCCGCCAAGCGGAGCAAATCCGAGGATGAAGGCTCCGATCCCGGACAAGCAGGAGGAGGTGGAGGTGGCTATAGCGGGGGTTCTTATAGCGGTCACGTAGCAGCGAGACCCGAGACGGCGGAGGAGCGGGAGAGGCGGATACAGCGAGAGATTCGAGCAGCAGCCGCGGAACGAAGAATGGCTTTTTTAGGAAAGCCCAGTGCAGAATCGGCTAAGATTGGATCAGCCAATACCGGATCAGCCGTCGCGTCCTCCGGAGCTCCAGCTCTTACCGCGTCGAGCCGTCCTCAGAGTACTCCTGTCAGACCCGATCCACGTGTAGATAAGGCTTTCACAAGCGTTTCTGCTCCTGTCAATCCCATTCCGCCACGTGTCCATGACGTTGACATGGCGGAGCAGGCATGTGATCCGCTGGCAGAGCAGACTGGCGGAAAATCGTCAGTAGAAGGCAAGGCAGGAGACGTGAGGGTTCCGGGAACCGGAGGCGCGAGTATAGGAGGGAAAGTTACAGAGGGGAGCGCAACTGAAGCTGGGGAATCGCAATCGAACTTGGCTGTACCTGAGGGGTCTGGCATTGGGGGGTCGGGGAGTGCTCGTACGGCAGGCGGTGGGGAGGTTGTAGTGGGTGGAGAGGGGTGGAAGGAGGCGGAGAGGCGTTGGGAGGCCGAGCAGGGCTTGGCGGAGTTGCCATTGGACGAGGCGTTTCGGCTGTTCGACATGGTGTTCGGGCGGAACCCGCCTGCTGCTACCCTCTCCCAGTGGTCGCGACAGGGATTCAGGTAGTTCATCGCAGTTTAAGTATAGTTCCGGTTTACTTTTCCGTTGACCTACATATACATGCATCGCTCCTCTCAGTCCCTCGGTATCCAACTTCCGTATCCCCTCTCACTCACTTTCTACCCCTCTCTTTCTTTCTACCTGTCTCAGGTTCAGCGACGACCCGGCGACTTCGCTAGGGCTGGTGCAGAGGGAGGGAGGGCCGTGCGGGGTGCTGGCGCCAGTGCAGGCGCTGCTGCTCAAATACCTCCTCTTCCCCCCCATGCCCGCGCTCCCCGCGGATGCCTCCCCGCCTTCCGCACCTGCCGCACTTGCCGCTACTGCTGGTGCTGGGGAGAAGAGCGCTGAGCAGCAGGGGGGGCAGATGGGGGAGGGGAGGACGGTGGAAGAGGGAGGATGGGAAGGGGATGATATGAGGTTTTATGACTCGCTGCCAGGCCTGGATGTGCAAGGTAGAGTGCACCCTAGAGTTTCTGCTTCTGCTGCTGGTGCTGCTGGTGCTAGAGGTGGTGCTGCTGGTGCTGCTGGTGCTAGTGGTGGTGCTGGTGGTGGTCTGACAGGCGCTATCACTGGCGCTGCCTCTGGTGTGGCAGCTGTAGCAGGAGAGGGGGAGGGATCAGGCGACTCTGCTGCGCTGCCAGCCTTGGAAGCCGTACGGGATGGAGATGGGGAGGGGGGGGAAAGCGAGGGAGGGGAGGCCCCTCTGATCTTCTCGCAGGTTGAGAGACGAAGGTAAGTGGCCGCCGCCCATCACGCGTTTTTCAACTTTTTTTCTTGCCTGACCAGCCATGACATTTCCTGATATTCCGTACCTCCCTACTAGACTGTCCTCCCCTTCCGTTTCCTCATTCCCCCCCTCTCCCTTCTTCCCCGCTCTCCCACCTTCTCCCCCTCTGCAGGGCACTGGTGTTGGCAATGGCAGAGTCTTTATGGGTGCCAAGCAGGGGGCAGAGAGTCGTCATTGCTGCCGTATCACCACACAGGCTGGCTGCGTTGGCTGCTTCAGCCTCTCAACAACCGCTGACCAGCCCAATCAGCGACGCGAAAGCGCTTCAAGGAGCAGTCAGAGTGCGACACCTGGCGGGGGCATCGCACGCTGACGTGGCGAAGGCGCTTCACCGGCTGTTTCCTGTGTTTGAGAGTGATTTTGGCGCGCTGCTGCTGCTCTTCTCAGTGCTGCTCTCCAGGGGCCTCGTGAGTCATTGCACCTATTCGTCTAGGGGATTAGCATGTATAATATCATCGTTTAGGTTTCAATAGGTTGATCTTTGCTCAGAAATTTATACCTCCTGTTTACACTGCCCCAGTTCCACAAATTTGGGATATGCACATGTTTCCCGTCTGCTTTGACCCTCTGGGCTGTCTCCCCTCACAGGAGCGGGTTCAAGAGGACAGGGATGACCCAGAGCCACCGCTTGTAACACCCCCATTCGGCCACGCCTCACAGGTTGGTGCCATTTTGCCATGGCCGTGCTGAGAAACTTGTTTTCTCTGCTCAGTCATTAGCGCTTCCACCTTCACCTCTGGTTTTCCTCCATTTCTCCTGCTCGTCCCTTTCTCTCTTTTCATCCCCCACTCCCTCCCGTCAATTTGGTCTGAACTTTCCGGAATTTCACGCCAACTCTCTCATTCCCATTGGCAATTTTCTTCAAGCCATCCCCCCCTTCGCCCTCATGCCCACCACTGGCGCTTCTCCCCCCCACCCCTTCCTGAACCCCTCCAGGAGATTGTGAACCTGCTGCTGTGCGGTGAGGCAGTGGCGAACGTATTCGATGGTACCATGGACCTGGGAGGAGGCATGGCACTCAAAGGCATTCCATCCGAGGCCCAGGTGGGCTTCCTCACGCTCCTCGTCTCCATCACTAATGCTTCTCCCGCTCTTCCCACCCAAAACCCTCCAGGAGATTGTGAACCTGCTGCTATGTGGTGAGGCAGTGGCGAATGTATTCGACGGCACCATGGACCTGGGAGGAGGCATGGCGCTCAAAGGCATTCCCTCAGAGGCCCAGGTGGGATTCCTCACACTCCTCGAGTCCCTCAACCTCTGCAAGGTCGGGCAGCGACTGAAACATCCCAAGCTGCCCATCTGGGTGGTGGGCAGCGAGTCGCACTACACCGTGCTCTTTGCGCTCTCGACTGAAGTACAGGAGGAGAATGATGCGGAAGCAGAGGAATCGCGGGTCAGAGAGGTGTTTGACCGGTTTGATACAAGCGGAGGAGGGGGTTTTGTTGCTGTTGAGTCTCTTCTACCTATGCTGGCTGAGTTAAGGGTAAATTTCCTTTCGGACACAATAGATTCGCTTTCAGCATTGGGGGTGATCGTGTGGAACGAGCTGTGGCAGGCTCTGCTGAAGCTGGACCGATCCCAGGGGGGGTTCAAGAGAGAGGGGTCAAGTGGGGGGCGACCTGCCAGTAGGAAGTTTGACTTGTATCATTTCAATGGGATTGCGAAGCGTGTGCAGACTGGAAGAAGCAGTGCAACAGCAGCAGCAGCAGCAGCAACTTCTGGAGGAAATGGAGCAGGGGACATGTCGTATGGCGGTTTGGATGTGCCACAGCGTGTGCTATCACCGCCGTTGACTGCGATGGATCAACGGCCGAGATTGGTTCGGCTTCATGTGACCGTGCCGCCGAAATGGTCGCCAGAAGATCTGATGATGATACCAAGGCCGGAGGGCAGTGGGGTGGATGGAATTCCTCCCGAGGTGGTGGCAGACTCGTTTGACTCGAGTGTGAATCCGATGCAGCGCGCTTCGCGTGAAGCTCCCCTTGTGGATTGTATTCGCACTCGGTGGCAGCGAGCGTCGTGCACGTGGGTAGGGGATGCGCCATCTATCGTGTAGTGTGGTTACTCGGTTGTTAGTACGGTATTGTATTGCGAGTCATGTCATGCTGGAGTAATATTGTAGGTGTTTGGCTTGGCGGCGGCCGTCCAATCCGTGCATTGTTGTGTTTGAGCCGCCTCTCTTGTGGGACCAAATACGATTCTCGTTTTCATTCGTAAGTGTGAACTATGGTGTGAAACATGGCGGCAAGCGTCTACCTTTGTCAGAAGTATCTCATTACCTACTCCATCTCAACCTTCAGTCCTAAACCTGCTCACTATCCTAGTTCACCAAAGTGGATGTCGACATCCTTGACGTTTGTCGTTCACTTTGGATACGGTACATACGGTACCTTCAGCTGTTTTTTGCTTGTAGTAATGATATTTAGTAAACAGCATGTTATAGTACCTGGTACAATCATCCACGTTGTAGAGTAGCTTCTGCTCCTGGCTTGCGATGGAATCCACGGTAAGCTTGCTTGATTTCCCCATGATGCCAAAACATCAAACAAGGTACCGGTATCCTGGCCTAGAGTTCTCAGGGAAACGCTGGCATGTTTACCCCAAGCGCGGTTTCCCTGTCATGGTTTGTCCTTACACATAGCAGGCGCGGACTGGAACCCATTGGCCACACACGTGGAATAACAATGAACAAAATATTTTGCTAACACACACGAGCATCGCGTTGGTAATAGCACGGACGCTCTACCTGGTAAAACTACCCAGGCGTATAAACTCTCTTACAAAATCCTACTCCTATTCCCTACTCCTATTCTTGGTGCCACGTTGCAGCTCCCCCAACAGCAGTTGGGTGCGAAAGCAGGGTCTTCAAGGTAATCTAGGCGGGACTGGTATGCTGAAACGCGCCGCGTGCACTCTACAGCTAGCTAGCAACTCATCTAGAGTGAAGCCACGTCTTCAAAAGTGCAGTTTGTACAGAGGCTCCGAAGCCAGTAGACGTGGCGACGTTCTGACCGAGGGAACAACCTGTCTGGTAGCCGTATTAAGAATCAAACGTGTTTGGGCGTGGTCTGTCTCCGCGGAGAGGCCTGCCGACGAGGGGACGCACCCATCAGGTCCCAAATGTCGTCGAAATCGTCTCTTTTCCTGGCGGGTCTTTGAGGAGTTTTGGAGGACGGCGACGGCTTCACGGCTGCTTCTGACGTGGATGCCATGGATGCTTTGGTCTGTCGTCTCTCTTGATGCTTGAGAGCGGACTGCAGGTTACAGGACAGAGTGGTGAAAGAGGGTTAGTGTTTGCTCCGCATATCCAATATGGGAATGACAATCCTCGTTCCTTTGGACAGTGATAATATATAGAGCAGAATGGTTGGGACGCAGCCGTTCGCGCTTACCTTATAAGCAGTGTGAACTTCCAGAAACATGGATGTCGTGTCCTCAGCGCCACTGGCATCGGGGTGATACTGCAAGGCAAAAAATCATGAAATTAAGCGTCAGCATCTGCCATGGTGAGCTGGCGGTCGGGAAAAGATGACTGAGCGGTGAAACCGAGCGAGAATTCTGAAACTGGAAACTCAAGGAAAGTGGGCTTACAATGCGCGCGAGTCGTCTGTACGCTTGTCTAATTTCGTCAGCTCCGGCGCTGGCAGGCACCCCCAGCACAGTGAAACAGTTGGGCGTGGCTCGTCGTCGTTCCGGAGCTACTGTTATCCGAGCCTCTACGAACAATCGTCGAGCGGTTGGAGGGGATGATTTGAAGGGACTCTGTCCGTTTAGTCTGGACTGAGATGGCATCTTCGCTGGTGAAGACAGGAGAGGCGAGGCGGAAAGAGCCATTTCTCTGAAGCTAAGGTAGCGGATTGCCTGACAAACTACCGGACTAAGACTGGAACGTGGGAATTAGACGGAGTGAGTGATCGGAGCGTCGAGTGACAAGCGAAGGGCTGGTACTAGTCTATCGGAATAGAATGCGAAGTGAATGGAATAATCAGCTGAAGAGAGGACTCTGGTCCGCTCATACAATTGTTTCCAAGGATTTTGAAAAATGCCAAGGATTGATCAGGATTCAGTTGGTAGAAAGTAGCAGGTTTGATCGGAGAGCAATGGATGATGGTGCTATTTCAAGGCCACCACCAGTGCCACTCCATCCACATCGGCCGCCTCACTTTCAGACGTCCTTGACAGTTCGCTCTCTCCACTTCGCCCTATCCACTCGACCTTGTTCCTGTAACCATGCCTAACCGCTAAAAGCCACTCAGCGCCGCTCCGAACATCTCTTGCCGTGCCATGTGGAGTGTCGCACATCCATGCACTTCGTTGAGCCACATCTACCAAGTGGGCTGGGCTGGGCAGCTGCCCAGCCCACGCAGTCGACTGAAGAACTGAGCCGCCTCCAGTCACGGGAACAAACCACAATTCCAGCTGCCAACACACTGAACGAGACCCGAAAATTCTGTCCCCCAGATTGCGGCAAGAATGACGCTGGCACTGTAGCTGTGTTTCGGAAGTCACGGGTTGAACTCTGAAACGTGTCTGCTTTGGGCAAAGACGTGCCCCGACGTGGTTCGGGCAGGATTGAAAACTGGTTTGGGCAAGCACGCGCGGGTTGATTTTGCCGCTCCGTTGCTGGTCGAGTCGAGACAAAGGGCACTTGGAGGAATTGAGGAATTTCAGTCAGGAGGACATCTTGGAATGTGTAACACTTCATTCGCGTCGCGATGTGCGACTCCATCACAAAAAGCAGTCGAAATTGACATCACTACACGCTTACACTTTTATATATATTAAATGCCATGTATAGCTTTGTCATACTGAGAAATTGACCACATTCACATTCACACATTATCATGCTTTGTCATACTGAGAAATGATAATCAGTAATCTATCAAATCTTAAATTGGGTCATGTCATCTTGTTGTACTCTGGCACTCTTGAAACAGGATCTCAACCAACTAAAATATGAGCTGCATGGTTAACAACATACGGTATGGTACCAAACCACTCACCAAGTACATAGACTATTGGAGCTAGCAAACATGATAACCATATGTGCACCCCTCCAATACATTTCACGAAGTGGTATTTGCACATTCCACCAACCATACCGCACGGTGCATGAGCTAGCTAAGCTAACTAGTACCAAAAATATGTTACTAGCTCTCACCGCAGGTGCCTGTGGCTCAGGTGTTCTGACATATCTCGAGTCGAGGTGATGTGTGTGCATACCCAGACGATGAACTGTCATAAAAACTCATGCTCAAGAATTATCTAATGACATACATCATCACCAGCCAACGACTAACCCCTAGATAACCATAATACAATATTAATTTCGCCTTCAACACGCGTATACGTTGCATGAACTGCGTCACTTAGTTGTGACCAGTTCAACCTGTACAAGCACTGAGATTCTTTCTGGCATGTGAAATTCAGTGCACTTCTGAAGTCCCTCAGCGTCTTTTTGGAGTCTTTCGTTGAGTGGTGGACCCCAAGATGTCGTCCCAAATATCATCCCAGTCTTCTCTTCTGCGTGGCTTCCCAGCGGTTTTCAGTGGTCTGGAGTTTTTCGGTGGAGACTGAGACTCTAGAAGAGCCTTTGCCTGCGCTTTCTCTTGGCGCCTCAAAGCTATCTGCAGTGACAGGTACTAACGTTCAGAACCTTTGCAAGAGCTAGTTGGAAAAGCGAGGAGGCAGGGAGAACGAGAGGAGCGACTATACATACAATCGTCGTTGAATGCCATCGGGACTGACCTTATATGCTTCGTGAACTTCTAAAAACTTCGGTACTGTGTCTTCTGATGAGTTAGTGTCAGGATGATACTGCAAGGAGCGCAAGCGAAAGGAGTCAGGGGTTTGGGCCCCAAAGCGGAACAAATTCGAAGTTGTGAGCAGCGCGAAGAATTCGTACAATGCGTGCAAGCCGTCTGTAAGCTTGTCGAATTTCATCTGCTCCTGCTTGTGCAGTCAAACCCAAAACAGCATAACACTCTGAAGCCCTTTTCCGTCTCTCTGGTTGCACTGCTAGGGAAGCCATGACTACTGATGCACGTCTGCGAAGTACGATGCCGGAGTTTCTCTGTCTTGGCGGCGAGCGAGAGAGCTTCTCGCCATGTGTCGTTAATCTAAGTGGACTATGCCTGGCCAGGGAAGAATATACGAGCAGCATGGCGTGACGAAATTGTGAAAAAAAAAAAAAGAGGAAAAGAAAATACCCTCGAAATCCAATTTCCTGTGTATACTAAACGAGAGTGCGTGATCACAGCGTTTGGAGCCAGCTGGAGAAGGAAATTCAAGTGTCGAGCGAGAATGAGGACGTGATATTCAACCCAACAATGGATGAGGCACAGAATTCAAGCGAGGGGTGGTCGCTTTTTCAGCTCAGCCGATAAGATACTTATTGCTCAGAGAGGTTGACTGAAAGCAAAGGGAAGAGCTGACTGGTTTCGTCTGGGTGTGCTTTTTGGTTCATGAATCAGGAATTTGCAGCCGCCAGTGCCGCAGATGGTGGTGCCGCTGCTGCTAGTGTGTAGGGCTGGGTTGGGTTGGGTTGGTGCAATCCAAGCACGATCTGCATTCTTCGTTCTGCGATTATCCGAACGACAGGTGGCAGCGGCACCTTCGACTCTGCGACGAGCAGGCAGCTCCAGTTTCATCCTGATCTCGTCGCCAATAACTGGTCGCTTGCCAGGGTTGCACTGTCTGATACCACCACACGGAAATCGCGGCAGGAATGACGCAGATGATCCACCGCTTCAAGTTCAGGAATGACGTGTTCAATCAGCTCCAGACGCGACGCGAATCTCCCACGTGGGCCTGTGTGTACCTTTGTCCCTGTGTGTCGCCTGCAGGGATGCCCTTTTTCGCCACGTTTGTCGAGGGTGCGTGCTCGCTGCGTGCTGCAGGTTGTCGGTGAGCAGTTCAACGACCTTTGTGGAAAGTGGCGATAGCAATCACCCCGAATCTCCGGCGTGAGTTTGGGCAATCTTCAATACAAGCACGGCAAACTGACGGAATAAAAAACTGAGTTTGTCAGTTCTACAAAAGGCACAGCATCATATATACAGTAATTATTACAATCACAATTCTCACATTCAAGGCACCTCATATTGCTCCCAATGGTGGTGCTGCTTTCTGTGCTCGTTCAACTTCCTTCTTAAGATACTCCATAGCATCTCTAAGAATCTTGGCCTCTTCTTGGTCTTCTGTTCTTGACACTGGCTGCCACTGGCGTACTTTGCTCCCAAACAACTGGTTCTGCTGCATTTGTGTTGTGGAGTTGAATTTCGCGTGCGATGCCGATGCTGACACTACGACAGGTACTTTCCTGTGAAAATCCTTTGCAATGGCAGAGCCAGCAGCAGCTCTTGTCACCCCTCCATTCACACTCCCACCTGCCAGCAGCTTGCTCTCCCCACCTATCCTGTCCCAAAACCTTAATTCGCCTGCACCTGACGATTCCTCCCCTTCCAGCCTCACCAACTCCCCATCCCGCCTAACGTCTTCTGACCCTGGCTGTTTCCCAAGTAACGTTTCGCCGTCTGTCCCATGCTTGCTCTCTCTTGTCCCTTCCTCACAAGCCTTTTCACAAACTGTAACCCCATCTGTCACAATCCCACCACCTGTCGCCTGCCCGAGCCCTCTCAATAGCTCCGTCCCCTGCACCCTTGACTGCTCCCCCTCTCCTTCCACTGGCTGCGAAATTCCCCCAGCTCCCCCCTCCACTCCTCCACGCCCCTCCTTCTCCTCCACCACTCTGTGCCCCTGTCCCTTCGCCACCAGCTCCTTTTGCACCTCCTCTAGCCGCCTCTGAAGCTCCACAGCAAATTCTGCTGCACTCAGACCCACCTCCCCTACACCGTACCCCTCAAGCCCCGCACACCCTCTCATCCCTCCACACACCTCCCCACCACACCCAATCCCCATTCCCACCATTCCTTCCACTCGCTGGGTTCCCAGCCCAGCCTCGGACCAGCAATCACCACACAACCCGCCAATATTGCCCCCTTCCCGCGAATCAATCCCCGCCAATCCCCCCATTTCCCCCGCTTCACCCCCCAAGGCAATGAGTGAGGCGCGCGCATCAGCAGCTGCGGCCTCCACCCGCCACAGCCGCGCCTCCGCGGACGCTACAGCCGCTTCCACCTGCTGCACCTCGCGCATCCCCCCTTCCCCAGACCCCTGCGCCCCGCCCCCGCCATTCATCCCCTCCCCCGCGCGGTGCACGCGCTGGCGCAGCCCTGCCAGTTCCGCCAGCACGGCGGCTACGCCCGCTTCTTGCCTCTCCACGGCGCTACGGATCCACTGCAGCTCCGCGCACACCACCTGCGCCTGTAACTCCGCCATGTCCACCTGCGCCTCCGCCAGCCGCGCGCGCTGCGCCAAATCCTCCGGCCTTCCTGCCACCCCCTCAGCCTGTACCGCGCGGGCTTGCGCTTCCGCCCTGTCAGCGCCTCCCGCCTCCCCGCGCCCTTTCCCAGCCCCACTAACCAAAGCCTGCCTGTCCGTGCTGCCCTGAATCGCTTCCTGCTTTAGGCATTCCTCCAACCTTTTACTGAAATCCGCTCTAACCGTGCTCGTGTCCGTTATAGTGCTACCCGCTGGCTCCTTTATAACGCCCGACGTCCTGTGGCGAGGCGACGCGCTCCCGCTACCAGAACGACTGCTGCAACTACTTCTGCCGCTACCCTTGCCGCTGCCCGAGTCGCTACCCCTGCCGCTGTCTCTGGCACTAGCCGTACGATACTTTTCCCTGCTGCTGCCGTCTTTACCGTTGCTGCTTTCACCTGGTCCCTCCCTGTCAAGAGAATGCTGCTTCCAGCCTGACACGTGGCGCCGCTGACTGTTGACCGGCGTCCTCCCACCGCCTGGCCGGCTACCGTGCCGGCCGCCGCTGCGAGCGCGTCGGCGTCTGGCCATGAGCTCGAGGACTCGCGCGAAGGGGAGCGGACTGCCCGCCGTGCCGTAGCACGTCGGCGTGTTTCCGCGCGCGTGGGGGACGGCGGAACTTCCGCCAGGAGAGGAAGCGCCGTGCGGAGTGAGGCGCGCGGAGAAATGGTGGGGGGGCCAGGGGAAGCATTGGGAGGCGGGCGGAAGGGGCTTGCCGCCCTGACGGAGAAGAATGGCGTCGGATGGGGACGGCGGGGACGGCGGGGACTCCATGAAGGCGCGCTAGCGCGTCCCCCTCGGGCGCGCTCCCCTTCCTGCTCGTTACACTTTGTGCTCGACAGTAATGGCACAATATTTTTACGAGAAAAAGGTCCCTAGTCCACTAACATAATCGCGTGCATAATCAACCTACAAAATAGGTCGTACGTGCATTACGAGTGCGTAATCGCGGAACCAGCCATTCTGCGCTTCCGCCTAAGATCGCCAATTTCGGGCTAATCATATTACGATAACTATAATTCCACTTCACGCGACGACGATAAGCGACTAGCTACAATAGGCGACACCTAAAAACCCACTTTCGGAGGATAGGCAGCTAACTTTTCACAACCCATCTCCAAACTAAGTAGAGGACTCTATAAACCGAGGTGCAACGCTCTTCACCACTCTGTATTGAGCCTAAAGGGTGGGTTTAGGTCTGGCCATGCTGTAGGGTCGTCAGACGACATCTCACGCTAGTCGCCGATAAGCTGGAAAGTAGCGCACAACCGTCTCCCCGCATTGGACAACCGTCTTCGCGATGTCGCAGAGTTTCAGGTTGGGGGGGATAGACCTAGTGATCGCCAGCCAGAAGACTGATTATTGCGAGAAAGTAACCAGTTCGCCAAATCATGCGACGGCCTGGTTTAGTCCTGCGCACTTCCAGTGTGGTTCGTGCACGCACAAGCGCCAAACTTGGGCCAGCGGGGGCACGTCGCATTCGCTGTCGCATGACTGACGCAATCCGTCGCATCAGACCAAATTCACCAATCAAACTGCACGAGGGGCAAAGCGTCCCTGGAGGTTGTTGGACGGAGACGTGCTGTTGGACGATATGTGGTCCAGCAGGCTTCTGCACGGGGCTGACAAAATGATATGATTGGACGCCAATCTAGCCCTCCATCCATCCAGCCAGACCCTTTGGGATGGGAACACTGTACACCACACTGAACTGAAATCGGCTTTCAACACATACCCGATCAGAAGCCATGTATTTGCTGGTTCGTACACTGCAAAACAAACATGAATTATGACTGATCTATATGTCCTTTGATGCGTTCCACTAGTTCTGCCTTCCGGCCAGTGAGGGGCAGGCCATGCAATCGGAGATAGCCCTTCAGATCCTCATTTGTCAAAGTGTCCAGCTGCATAGAGGATAACACAAAGCACATCAATACTCTTCCATCCACCGATCTTTCATATAAAAACAAGACACAATCTCATCCCCCCCATTACCTCTTGCAAATTGTTTACTCACCTTCCCTTTCTCGGCAAGGCCTCGCCAATCCACAACACCGGCCTTGGCAGTAGCAGCATCGAAAGTGGCCTTGCGTTTCCTCTCAGCAGCATCCGCCTTGGCCTGGGCTGCAGCACCTCTCTGCGCCTCCTCCTCATCATGCCCCGAGCCGTACACTGCGTCCTTGAAATGCCTTAAAGCCGCAGTTGCACGAGCAGCTTTCCTGCACACATAGAAAATGGACGTACATGAAAGCAAGCAAACGAACAAAAGTGAACCATTGGAACAAGGACCCACAGAAACAAGCCAGTCAGCCTCATCCCCCCTCGTCAACATACCACGACCCAGAATGCACTTAAACCAGGCTCATAATCACTCATAAACAAGCACATATGAGACGAGCGCTTGCACCGAAACACACCCTTTCTTTTGGGGTTGGTTGCCGTCGGAGGGAGGGGCGTGGAAGATGGTGTAATCCGGCAGGGTGGTATCCACCACGGGCTGCACCTCTGGCAGGTCTAGGGCGATAGCCTCCAGCATGGAGTAGTGCATCTGGATGACTGCAGTGGGGAGGGATGGGGGGGGGGAAGCAAATATGAGGCAGGAGTGGGGAGCAAGGGAGGGCCCAGAGCTATCAGGCAGGGTGGTATCCACCACAGGCTGCACCTCTGGCAGGGTGGTATCCACCACGGGCTGCACCTCTGGCAGGGTGGTATCCACCACGGGCTGCACCTCTGGCAGGGTGGTATCCACCACAGGCTGCACCTCTGGCAGGGTGGTATCCACCACAGGCTGCACCTCTGGCAGGGTGGTATCCACCACAGGCTGCACCTCTGGCAGGGTGGTATCCACCACGGGCTGCACCTCTGGCAGGGTGGTATCCACCACGGGCTGCACCTCTGGCAGGGTGGTATCCACCACAGGCTGCACCTCTGGCAGGGTGGTATCCACCACAGGCTGCACCTCTGGCAGGTGGTATCCACCACAGGCTGCACCTCTGGCAGGGTGGTATCCACCACAGGCTGCACCTCTGGCAGGGTGGTATCCACCACGGGCTGCACCTCTGGCAGGGTGGTATCCACCACGGGCTGCACCTCTGGCAGGTCTAGGGCTATGGCCTCGAGCATGGAGTAGTGCGTCTGGATGACTGCAGTGGGGAGGATAAGGAAAAGGAAGGGTACTTCAGGCAGGGAGCGAGGGCAAAGGTATGAGTGGTATCCACCACCGGCTCCACCTCTGGCAAGTCCAGAGATATGGCCTCCAGCATGGAGTTGTGTGTCTGGATGACTGTGGGAGGGGTGAGAGGTGAAACAAGGAGGGTTCAGAGGGGTGAGACAGGTCGAGAATTTGAAAGGTGTCCACCACGGGCTCCACCTCTGGCAGGTCTAGGGCGATGGCCTCGAGCCTGGAGTAATGCGTCTGGATGACTGCAGGGAGGTATGCATGGGTGTGGGGGAGAGAAGGAGAGGTGAGAATGAAGGTGTGGGTGGGTCCACGCCGTCAACATGGGACGGGGCGTCTAGTCTAGACGAGTGCACGCGGGAGAAGTCGTGAGGAGGGAAGGTGGGCACAGACCCACCTGGGTTGAGAATGTTGAGCGAGGTGAATTCCTAGAGATGCATGGAAGACTCACAGTTGGAAGACTCACCTCAATCTGTGCACCGCACTGCACGCCCATGCCTCCGAACCCGTAGACGAGCAAGGCAAGACCAGGAAGTGAGGGAACGGGGTGAAAGGGATCCTACCAGGGTTGAGAATGTCAAGCGGGCTGAAAGATTTGAGGTGCATGTAGCGCATGAGCGCCGTGGCAGTTGCCACCTGCCCCGCATCCGCCCTCGGTGCAGATACCACCTCCCCTCCGCTGCCCCCTTCCTCCCCGTCCCCTCCAGCGTCCCTTGCACCCTGGCCTGGCACCCAGCGGGCGTACTGTGGGTGGGGGAGGCGGCGGGGGAGGGGCCGAGGGACGGGGCGGGGGAGGGAAGCATAGCAGGAGGTGGTGGAGAGGTATGGTGGAGAGGTATGGTGGAGAGGTATGGTGGAGAGGTATGGTGGAGAGTATCCACTGGAGACTCACGAGGCGTCCTTTGCGCCCTGACCTGGCACCCAGCGGACGTACTGAGGAGTTGGGGGAGGCGGCGGGGGAGGGGCCAAGGGACGGGGCGGGGGAGGGAAGCATAGCAGCAGGAGGGGGTGGAGAGGTATGGTGGAGACTCACAAGGCGACCTTTGCGCACTGACCTGGCAGCCAACAAGCGAACTGAGGAGGTGGGGGAGGGAGGAGGGAGCATGGTGAGTAACGTAGAGCTGACTTGTGAGTCGACTCACAAGACGCCCTTTGCACTCTTGTCTGGTAGCAGTACGCTGTGGGTGTGGAGTGGGTTGGTAGAAACGGGGGCGCAACGGGGGTGAGTGGCGCAACAGAACGGGGGTGAGTGGCGCAACGGGGGTGAGTGGCTGCTCGCCTGCTCTGCTCTGCCCCTCTCACCTTTTCTGCTGGTCGTATATCATGATAGAAGGGCAGAGGGATCATGTGCCACCCTGCTGCCTGCACCTGCTGTAGATAGCACAAGCAACAAACATTCCCTTGCACCTGCGTGGCCCCTCACATGTCAAAGCTCACCTTCTCGGCTGGTCGTATATCATCATAGAAGGGCAGAGGGATCATGTGCCACCCTGCTGGCTGCACCTGGTGTAGATAGCACAAGCAACAAACATTCCCTTGCAACTGCGTGGCCCCTCACATGTCAAAGCTCACCTTCTCGGCTGGTCGTATATCATCATAGAAGGGCAGAGGGATCATGTGCCACCCTGCTGGCTGCACCTGTGTCCCACCCTCGTCCACCTTCTCTTGCTGCAGCAGCCGTGGATGGGGAAAAATAACAGGTGAATGAGATGGGTGAGACATCAAACCCAAACCCATAGTCCACGCGACCAACGCTTACATACCTGGAAAATGCAACCCGTCCGAAACTACCAAACATGCCTTTGTTGTACATATGTTAATGTATGTATGTGAAAGGTGCAGAGGTGACTTTTGAGTCGAAACAAAAGTCACCTTTTGTACAGATGTTTAAATATGTATGTAAAAGGTGCAGAGGATCGACTCAAGATTTTCTTCTTGCTTTTTGTTTCGACTTGGAAAACGACGGGACATGGCTCCTACGGGATAATTTTAGTGCAAAGAATGGACTCATGGAATCCAAGAACGCATCTGAAGGAAGCTCACCTGGGGAAGGCTCACCTGGGGAAGGCTCACCTGGGGAAGGCTCACCTGGGGAAGGATGGCAACAAGGCGTGGCAAGCCGATCTTGGCCCAGCACGCCAGTGCAAAGCTGATCGATGCATGCACGCACATGTTGGGGGGGTGAGGATGAGGAGGGGGAGGAGGAGGAGGAGGAGGAGGAGGAGGAGGAGGAGGAGGAGGAGGAGGAGGAGGAGGAGGAGGAGGAGGAGGAGGAGGACAGAGAAGATGAGGAACGAAAGCTTGAGTGAGAGAGTGTGATGGCATGGACGCGGCAGCAAGAGGCAAGTCGCAAGACAGGCAAGGACGGCCCGGGAGAAGCAAAGCAGAGCAAGGCGCCTGGAAAGTACTCGCCCCGCACCTCCCCACTCACCTGTTTGCATCCAGCATCGCGTTGTGCAGGGCAATGAACGCTGCCGTGCTGCCAGAGAGGGTCTGGCAGGATGGACACACACACACACACGCATGTACACACGTACACATGCAATGTACAGAGAACACATGCACGCACACGCACACCCATATGAAAGTGCAGGACACAGCATCAGATGCACATGACCCACAACGCAATGACACTTTCCTTGTCTGGAAAGAATGTGGGTGGGTGCAGGTTGTGGTGTCCCTGAGGCACTCGAAGGGTAGCTGAGCTGAGACGTTGTAAGCAGTGGCTCAAGGGTAGCTCAACTCACCTCCTCGTCTGGGAAAAGGAAGGGGGTGGCTGCAGGTTGTGATAGTCCGCGAGGCAATGGAGGGGCATTGGGGACACTTTGCAGGATAGTAACAGTTACTCAGGGTTTCTCAGCTCACCTCTTCGTCTGGGAAGAGGAAGGTGGGCGGCTGCAGGTTGTGGTAGTCCTTGAGGCAGTGGAGGGGCTTAAAGCCCAACAGCAGCAGGTCGTGGGGGGACACCGCCTTCACTTGGTCCACCTCCGCCTTTGCCATGATGATGCGCGATCTGGCAGGGAAGGAGCGAGCCAGTGACACACAGGAAGAGGAAAATGCAAAGTAGGTCGTCGCCCACACCGCCTTCACTTGGTCCACCTCCGCCTTTGCCATGATGATGCGCGATCTGGCAAGGAAGGAGCGAGCCAGTGACACACAGGAAGAGGAAAATGCAAAGTAGGTCGTCGCCCACACCGCCTTCACTTGGTCCACCTCCGCCTTTGCCATGATGATGCGCGATCTGGCAGGGAAGGAGCGAGCCAGTGACACACAGGAAGAGGAAAATGCAAAGTAGGTCGTCGCCCACACCGCCTTCACTTGGTCCACCTCCGCCTTTGCCATGATGATGCGCGATCTGGCAGGGAAGGAATTGGTGGATTGGTGCAACAGAGTCGGCGGGGAAAGACACAATGTTCGAGGGAGTGGGTCGAACTCAGACATGCAGACGTGTGAGTAGGATGGTACAAGGATGGTACAAGGATGGTACAAGGATGGTACAAGGATGGTACAAGGATGGTGGAAGGGTGGTGGTAGGGTGGTGGAAGGGTGGTGGAAGGATAGTGGAAACCCGTGGAAGAATGGTGCATGATGACAATGGCGAATGTCCGAACATCCGGGCGATGCATATCCGAAGCTACCCTCCCGAACCTACCCGCCTGGCATGGGCTGGTAGCGCGGCAGCGGGCCGTGCAGAATTGCTCCTGTGTCTTGACACACCAGGGCTGTCTCCACCTGTGTGTGTGTGTGTGTGTGTGCACAGCACAGGGCGCACATGTGTGCAAACACAGTGAGGCATGGATGCATGCATGCACACAGCGGAGGGTATTTCTGAGGCGCCTCAAGAATGGGCCGTGCAGCACTGCCCCCGTGTCCTGACACACCAGAGCTGTCTCCACCTGCAAGCATGCACAAACCGCAGATAGCAAAGAACCAGTTGACTTTTAAGTCAACTCAAAAGTCAACGCGGGCTGTGGAGCACTGCCCCCGTGTCCTGGCACACCAGGGCTATCTCCACCTGCATATGTGTGTGTGTGCAAAGCAAAGGGCGCACATGTGTGCACACACAGTGAGGCAGGTATTTCTGAGGCGCCTCAAGAATGGGCCGTGCAGCACTGCCCCCGTGTCCTGACACACCAGAGCTGTCTCCACCTGCAAGCATGCGTGCACGCACAGTGGCATGTGCAGGCAGGAATATCCATGCCGATGCATGCGCACAGATGGACGCGTGCAGGTACATGCATGAACAGAGTCACACACGTGCAGTAGTTAGTAAGACTATGGTGGTATCCCATGCACCATCCACCTCAACCCACAATCTATATGTACTTCTGCTCACGTGCAGTAGTTAGTAATACTATGATGGTATCCCATGCACCATCCACCTCAACCCACAATCTATATGTACTTCTGCTCACGTGCAGTAGTTAGTAATACTATGATGGTATCCCATGCACCATCCACCTCAACCCACAATCTATATGTACTTCTGCTCACGTGCAGTAGTTAGTAATACTATGATGGTATCCCATGCACCATCCACCTCAACCCACAATCTATATGTACTTCTGCTCACGTGCAGTAGTTAGTAATACTATGATGGTATCCCATGCACCATCCACCTCAACCCACAATCTATATGTACTTCTGCTCACGTGCAGTAGTTAGTAATACTATGATGGTATCCCATGCACCATCCACCTCAACCCACAATCTATATGTACTTCTGCTCACGTGCAGTAGTTAGTAATACTATGATGGTATCCCATGCACCATCCACCTCAACCCACAATCTATATGTACTTCTGCTCACGTGCAGTAGTTAGTAATACTATGATGGTATCCCATGCACCATCCACCTCAACCCACAATCTATATGTACTTCTGCTCACGTGCAGTAGTTAGTAATACTATGATGGTATCCCATGCACCATCCACCTCAACCCACAATCTATATGTACTTCTGCTCACGTGCAGTAGTTAGTAATACTATGATGGTATCCCATCCCACGCACCGTCCACCTCAATCAACCCACTATATATATGTAGTCCACTTTGCTACATCAGAAGAACTTCTGCTCCCCCCCGTTTCATCCTTTCATGTCAGCCCCAGTGCACTTTTCAACTCAACCCTTTGCCTGCCATGCCACCCATGCACCTCGTCTATGCTCCCTTCTCTTTCCCTCCTCCTCTCATATTGACTGTGCAATTGTCCACGGCCCTCACAGAGACTTGCTTCTTTTGAGTCAGCTCAAAAATCCTCTCCTCCTCTCACCCACCTTGACTGTGCGATTGTCCACCGCCCTCACATATACTTCCTCCTTCTGACTGAGTCGACCCAATAGAATCCTCTCCTCCTCTCACTCACCTTGACTGTGCGATTGTCCACCGCCCTCACATATACTTCCTCCTTCTGACTGAGTCGACCCAATAGAATCCTCTCCTCCTCTCACTCACCTTGACTGTGCGATTGTCCACCGCCCTCACATACACTTGCTTCTCTGCACACACACAGCAGCAAGGGGCGAGACAAAGAATTTCGAGACGCATCAGAACTTGATTGTTGCTGCCTACAAACACACTCGAAACACCTGCTCCTCTGCCTGCACACACTGCGAGGGACGAGGGAACCAACGTTCCGCCCGTCGCAGTTGGTCCTGAAGGTCCGACAAGGGCCTTTCAGAGCTACAAGTTACATTGAGTGGGCTGCCGAGCGAAGGGCGCTAAGAAGCCAAGGCACGGCAAGGGGTTGATTGATGCGTGGAGCAGTGAGAAGAGGCTGGGGATATTGATTGCTATTCGAACAGGGGTGTGCACAATGGTTCGGAGCGAGGCAAGGCATGATGCACGAAGCATACGGATCTTGGCATGGCAGATGAGTTCGCAGGAGGAGAGGGCAATGAGGAGGTGGGGAGTGAGACAAGGCTGGGAGAATGGATTGTCTATTTGGCATGGACGCAAAGGAATATGCTGTAGGATTTGGTGGTTCAGAGGGGCGCAAAACATGAGAGGGGCAACATGGCACAAGGAGGGGATGACGCACGTGGCTTGGCCGGGCGGATGAGAGCGTAGGAGGAGAGGACGATGTGGAGGTGAGGCAGCACGGAGAACAGGCTGGGAGGGTGGATCGCTAACAGGGAGGCTGGCGCACGGATCTTGGCGGGGCGGATGAGAGCGTAGGAGGAGAGGGCAATGTGGAGGTGAGGCACGACGGCGAACATGACTCGCTTCACCATGCGCCTGCGATACACCTTCTTGCGCATCCGCTGCTGCAGGTCGCTCAGCCTGGTGAGGCGTGGAGAGAGATAGAAAGGAGAGGCAGACGGGAAGACCAGGCACATCATGAGAGCATGACTCGCTTCACCATGCGCCTGCGGTTCACCTTCTTGCGCAGGCGCTGCTGCAGGTAGCTCATCCTGCTGGTGGTTTGAGGTGCAGGTTTGAGGTGCAGGTTTGAGGTGCAGGTTTGAGGTGCAGGTTTGAGGTGCAGGTTTGAGGTGCAGGTTTGATGTGCAGGTTTGAGGTGCAGGTTTGAGGTGCAGGTTTGAGGTGCAGGTTTGAGGTGCAGGTTTGAGGTGCAGGTTTGAGGTGCAGGTTTGAGGTGCAGGTTTGAGGTGCAGGTTTGAGGTGCAGGTTTGAGGTGCAGGTTTGAGGTGCAGGTTTGACGTGCAGGTTTGAGGTGCAGGTTTGAGGTGCAGGTTTGAGGTGCAGGTTTGACGTGCAGGTTTGAGGTGCAGGTTTGAGGTGCATGTTTGACGTGCAGGTTTGAGGTGCAGGTTTGAGGTGCAGGTTTGAGGTGCAGGTTTGAGGTGCAGGTTTGAGGTGCAGGTTTGACGTGCAGGTTTGAGGTGCAGGTTTGAGGTGCAGGTTTGAGGTGCAGGTTTGAGGTGCAGGTTTGACGTGCAGGTTTGAGGTGCAGGTTTGACGTGCACGTTTGAGGTGCAGGTTTGACGTGCAGGTTTGAGGTGCAGGTTTGACGTGCAGGTTTGAGGTGCAGGTTTGAGGTGCAGGTTTGAGGTGCAGGTTTGACGTGAAGGTTTGACGTGCAGGTTTGAGGTGCAGGTTTGAGGTGCAGGTTTGAGGTGCAGGTTTGAGGTGCATGTTTGAGGTGCAGGTTTGAGGTGCAGGTTTGACGTGCAGGTTTGACGTGCAGGTTTGACGTGCAGGTTTGAGGTGCAGATTTGAGGTGCAGGTTTGAGGTGCAGGTTTGAGGTGAAAGTTTGACGTGCAGGTTTGAGGTGCAGGTTTGAGGTGCAGGTTTGACGTGAAGGTTTGACGTGCAGGTTTGAGGTGCAGGTTTGACGTGCAGGTTTGAGGTGCAGGTTTGACGTGCACGTTTGAGGTGCAGGTTTGACGTGCAGGTTTGACGTGCAGGTTTGAGGTGCAGGTTTGAGGTGCAGGTTTGACGTGCAGGTTTGAGGTGCAGGTTTGAGGTGCAGGTTTGAGGTGCAGGTTTGACGTGAAGGTTTGACGTGCAGGTTTGAGGTGCAGGTTTGAGGTGCAGGTTTGAGGTGCAGGTTTGAGGTGCATGTTTGAGGTGCAGGTTTGAGGTGCAGGTTTGAGGTGCACGTTTGAGGTGCAGGTTTGAGGTGCACGTTTGAGGTGCAGGTTTGAGGTGCAGGTTTGAGGTGCAGGTTTGAGGTGCAGGTTTGAGGTGCAGGTTTGAGGTGCAGGTTTGAGGTGCAGGTTTGAGGTGCAGGTTTGACGTGCAGGTTTGACGTGCAGGTTTGAGGTGCAAGTTTGACGTGCAGGTTTGAGGTGCAGGTTTGAGGTGCAGGTTTGAGGTGCAGGTTTGAGGTGCAGGTTTGAGGTGCAGGTTTGACGTGAAGGTTTGACGTGCAGGTTTGAGGTGCAGGTTTGACGTGCAGGTTTGAGGTGCAGGTTTGACGTGCACGTTTGAGGTGCAGGTTTGACGTGCAGGTTTGACGTGCAGGTTTGAGGTGCAGGTTTGAGGTGCAGGTTTGACGTGCAGGTTTGAGGTGCAGGTTTGAGGTGCAGGTTTGAGGTGCAGGTTTGACGTGAAGGTTTGACGTGCAGGTTTGAGGTGCAGGTTTGAGGTGCAGGTTTGAGGTGCAGGTTTGAGGTGCAGGTTTGAGGTGCAGGTTTGAGGTGCAGGTTTGAGGTGCAGGTTTGAGGTGCAGGTTTGAGGTGCAGGTTTGAGGTGCAGGTTTGACGTGCAGGTTTGAGGTGCAGGTTTGAGGTGCAGGTTTGAGGTGCAGGTTTAAGCGCCCCCCCTTAGCGGCCCAACTTAGCGCCCACTTCGCGGCCCCCCTTAGCGACATGCTACCAAAAAAGAAGGCACTCGCCTGTGCTCTGGCTGGTTGGTAGCCCGCTCGCTGCGACTGCAGTGAGGGACAGTCACAGGACGGAGTCAGACTCAGCACCAGCATACACCAGTAGGAACCACAGAGGACGCACTACCTAGAGTGAGTGAGTGCACATTAAAGTGGCTTTTGAGTCTCAGAAGGGGGCACCAACTAGAGTGAATGTGAAGGCACTCGCCTGTGCTCCTCTGGTTGGAAGCCGCTCGTTGCGACTGCAGTGAGAGAGCGTGGCGGCATGCAGCAGACTCCAGCAGTGAGTACCACAGAGGACGCACTACCTAGAGTGGTTGTGAAGGCACTCGCCTGTGCTCCTCTGGTTGGAAGCCCGCTCGTTGCGAATCATCAAAGCCTAGCATGTCCTGACGCATGGGTAGGGAGGGAGAACGAAAAGTAATGGATGGAAGGAAAGGGCTTGTCAAGCGAAATCGGCCCGAGATAAAGAACGGAACAAGGCTGGATGTGGACAAGGCGGGATGTATTGCACGTCTAGCAGATGGGCGGATGAGACAGAAAGCACTCGATTGGGGAGAAAGGAAAAAGTTGTGGGCAACTATGTCAGGAGTGGGATTTGAACCCACGCCCTTTCGGACCAGTACCTGAAACTGGCGCCTTAGACCAACTCGGCCATCCTGACACATGGACTTGGACTGAGCTCACCATATAGAAACGGATGCGAAACTTCAGTTCGGTTCACAGAGAAGGCACACGGGGGCACACACAAACTGTATTGCACATCTTGGATTGGAAGATGCATGGGCGGGGACCGAGCTCACCGCATAGAAGATGTTGGCGTTGAACTTCTCCCCCGGTCGGGCGGCTGAGAGGGAAGAGGTCAAACACAATGCCCAGGCCATGTGCGTCTTAAAAGGAAGCACACTGTATTGCACGACTTGGAAGACGCATGAGAGGGGTGGGGAGTGCAGCTCACCGCATAGAAGATGTTGACGTTGAACTTCTCCCCTGGGCGGCTGAGAGGAAAGAGGTCAAACACAATGGCCAGGTCACGTGCGTCCTGCAGGAAGCACCGTGGAAGGAGGTGGGCATAGCAACGAAGGGAATGGTCATAGCAACGAAGGGAATGGGCATAGCAACGAAAGGAATGGGCATAGAAACGATGGACATAGAATGGGCGAAGAGGTCAAAATGGGTTGCATGACAGCAGCTGGTGGAATGAAATGAGACGGTCACAAGGGGTGCAAGCTCCAACTGTCGCAAAGCGACGTCAAGCATGCCGCTATTAACTCCATGAGTACATGGAGGGCACAGTAAGTCATCATGGTCTTCCGTACTGGACGGTGGTGAGTTTTTGTGTTTTTAGTCGATTCAAAACTAACTCCATGAAAACATGCAGGGCACAGAATCAAGACCCACCTTGGCCTTTTGTGTGGTGGTGCGCCGCATGTCGCTCTGCACTCCCTCGTTGGTGATCGCTCCAAAGGGGTCATCGTCATTGGTGAAGAGAAGCACGTTCTTCAGCACCTCCTGTGACGTGGAGCTGGCAGTGGAGAAAGAGCGGGCACAGGAAAAAATCACATTTACACATACGACCCTCTGAAACAGGACACGAGAATGGCTGGGGACGGTCGTCATTGGTGAGGAGAAGCACGTTCTTCAGCACCTCCTGTGACGTGGAGCTGACAGCGGGGAATGGACAGGGACGGAAAAGAATCACAGTTACACATGGGATGGGACCCTCTGAAACAGGGAACCTGTATGGCCCCAGAGGGATCCCTGTCATTGGAGAAGAGAAGCACGTTCTTCAGCACCTCCTGTGACGTGGAGCTGATGGTGGGGAAAGGGCGGGGAAGGGAGAAAAGAAAACCACATTTACACATATGACCCTCTGAAACAGGGAGAATGGCCCCAAACGAATAGTCGTCAATTGTAAGCAAGCACGTTCCTCAGCACCCTCGTGTGACGCAGAACTGATGGCTTTTGAGACGTCTCGAAAGTCGTTCTTCAGCACCCTCGTGACGCAGAACTGATGGTGGGCTGGGCAGAGGAGACGGGAGGCACACGAGCGCAACAGGGCGGTGCTGTGCACAGAATACACAAGCTCACGGGTTGAAAGGAGCAGTAAATGTAAAAGCAAGGATGCGTGGCACGGATCAAGGACAGAAGAAAAAGGACAGCACTGGATATTTATTTAGGTTGATTGAAACTACAGCAAAGCGGGGAAGTGGGGCGTACCCTGTGCGCAGAAGGCCTTGGACGACCCAACTGAAGGACGAGTGGATTTCTTTAAGGTTGATAAAAACTACAGCTAAACGGGGAAGTGGGGCGTACCCTGTGCGCAGAAGGCCTTGGACGACCCACCTGAAGGAAAAAATGGGGAATTCCAGGAGAGCAAAGAGGAGATAAGGTCAACACAAAACGGTCAGCTCAGTGCATGGGGTGCTGCAGAGGTTTCAGAAAAAGAGGGAATATTTTTTAGGCACCTCAAAACGAGGGTGAGAGTGGATGGATCATGGAGGGGTTAAACAGGAGAGTTCAGGGCATATGTGCTGCAGATTGCCACAAACCCTCTAGTTTTGCGTTGACTAGAGAATTAGAGGGCGAGAGTTGAGAGACCTACAGGGCATTTGAGCTGCAGATTGTCGGAGATGTTTCCCCCACATGCATGCACGCACAGAGATGGAAATTCGGCAAGAACAGAAGCGGAAACATATGGAGTAAGACAGTAACGTGGGGCGAAGAGAAACCGCATAACCTTTTCAAGATAACCACAGAACAAACTGTGGTACTCTTATGGCAGGCGACAACCCAATGGCAGTACAGTACAGCATCATGATACATCACAGCACCCTAGACACTGTCAGCACCAGTTACCTTAGAGAATTCTCTCAACAATGGCAGTACAGTACAGTACAGCATCATCATACATCACAGTACCCTAAACACAGGCAGCAACATGGGACGCACATTGGGTTGTCCTGGGGCTTCACATTCCCCCTCAGCCAGTTGCCCGACCCAATATCTTTCTCAAACGTTTCTGGAACGCATGCAGCAAGGCAGAATGACAGTGCGGTAAACGGAATCAGAACACAAGAAGATGTCAGTGGGTGAAAACTGCATAATGATGGCATGGCTTGCTCCATTTTCCTTTTCAAAAGTGGACCTTGAGAACACGAGGTTTAAGGAGTGAGGCCTGCTTTTTTGCACGAAGCAGGTCTCAGAGGCAGGTCCTGGTTGCAAACAATAGCTGAAAATGATGTGGAGTGAACCTGGACGCTGCATGGACTTTCCACATACGAAATAATGGGGGCTACAATGGATGGAACTGGTGAAGTATTGAATGGGTTTGCATCGGTTCACAAGGGTACCTGGAAGGTTGGAGAGGTCTCTGATGAGCTGAGCAGATGTTTGCTGGTTGTCCTGAAACACAAACACGCCCTCTGCGGATTGCATATTCTGCTTTGCGCGCTGCCATTTGAAAACAGAAGCAGCAGTTTGGGAGAAAAGGTGACCGAACAAATGTAACTGGATTTTTCGAGTGAGCTAACTATGTGAAATGCGCACAACAAGGCACTCGAATGGCCAATAATAACCAGGATGCATGAGGTATGATCCAATAAGCCGAAATATCTACCTATAGTGTTGAAGAACACAATAAAGACCAGATCGCTCTCTCGGGAAAAAAATACTCGTCTTCAGGTGACCCATCCGAAAGAAGACTGTCGAGTCAACTCAAGGGATCCACCTATCTTGTTGACGAATGCGATTGACAAGAGGTCGCCCTCCCGGGAGATAATCCTCGTCTTTAGATCACCCACCAGCGAGCTAACAATTGAGTCGGCTTGGAGCATCCACCTACCGTGTTGAAGAATGCGATCGAGACGAGGTCGCTCTCCCGGGAGATAATTCTCGTCTTCAGGTCACCCACAAGCGAGCTGATAGTTTAGTCGACTCAAAGAATCCACCCACCTACCGTGTTGAAGAATGCGAGTGAGATGAGGTCGCTCTCCCGGGAGATGATCCTCGTCTTCAGGTCGCCCACCAGCGCTCGCACCACCTCCTCGAAATACGTCCTTTTGCCGGCACCCCCCGTGTCCTCCCCTGCTCTCTGCCTTTCTGAGCTGGCCGCACTGGTTTGAGTCCCCAAACTGACTCCTGCTTCAACCTCCTCCTGCACGAAATTGCAACGTCATGAAAATAACAGCGTAGCTGTAAAAATATCAGGAAAAGGTTCGAAATCTGATTGGCTAATCAGCATAAGCATAGCAGGGAAAATGTCATGAATGAGAAGCGAAAACACCAGTACGAGGTTGGGAGTTCATCATTCAATTGGCTGATGGGCATACAAGCGAAAATATCAAAATGCGCATCACACCTGGTCATCTTGGTAAGGCAGGAACATTTCCGGCCCTGCATCTATAAGGAAGAGGACTTTTGGGGAGCCTCAGAAATACATTTATCTGGTTAATCAGCATATCAACACACCTGGTCGTCGTGGTAAGGCAGGAACATGTCCGGTCCCGCATCTATAAGGAAGACCACGAGCTCCTTGCCGTCGGAATAGTCCTGACAGGCAAGAAATAGGGTAAGGAGGAAACTGTGAAGGATATGTAAGATGGTGGAGTACACTATAAGCAAAAACATGCTTGTACATTGTCGCGGGTAAAGATCATCCTCAGGAAGTATAGCATCCGTTGCCTAAGGCTAGGATAATGTAGCAGCAAGGTGACGACGAATGGGACGAATCTGAGACAAAATCTCGACATTCAGAGTAAGAAGAGCCGCTGAATAAAACGTCGATCGGACCCTGCTAACGCGTGCTCTACAACGCGCTACTGTACACGGTAACAGAATGCACAATCCGCAAGCCGCCGTCGTTCGGACCCTACTCGCGTACTTGAGGGATTTCGTCATCGTCGCCGTCCTTGTCGCCGAACAACGCGGCAGGGTCGAGATCCCAGTCTGCCATGGCACTCGCGCTGGGTGCGACGCACTGGCTATTAGAAGCCACTGAACCCGAGAAAGAACAAGCTCTCTGCGCTTTCTTTCTCTTGGTATTTCCGTAGAGGTGAATCTGACTGTCCCTGATTGGTACAGGACTATCTTGGCGCGTGTTGCTGACGCCTTCAGGCGACGAAAAAAAACACTTGAACAAACGCCTCTGTAAGGCGTACAGTTTTTCTTTCCATGATACATTTCCATCATATATGTTCTAACACTGTAAAATGTTGAGCCTGCTGATATAGATCTACACCTCATAAATTAAATAGACTCCTCATTACGAGTACATATGGCCATTACAAGTGATGGATCTTCTCCATGTCAACCACCTCTGAGAGTGTGCCCGCATCTAGATGGTCCCACCAGGCAGGCAGGAACCGGTCCACTACAAGACGGAACCACGGCGACAGCACCACCCCGTCCTCCTTATTGTCTGCCTTGCGCACCAGCTCCTTCAACTCCTCTCTATCCACAAATCTTACAGCAGCCACCTCGTTAGGGTTTGGGGTGGCCTTCAAGTCAGCCTTGAGTACAAGGAGGTAGTCAACTGCATGAACAGGATAGGGACAGGAAGGACACAGAGATAAATTTGACAAGCCATGATAAGTTCTAAATTCAGGAAAAGTGATGGCACAAAGAGGGGAAACACGAGACCAACAGATCACTTGCAAGGAGGAGAACCCACCCACCACCTTGAGAAAGAGGTACATCCACCACCTTGATAGGGAAGGGATTCCACCACAATGACAAAGAGGGCCAAATTCATGATGCAAATTGCCCTGTAACCAATGATCAGAGCATGCACTCACTCTCATGCTCGCCCCATTTCCCGTCCGAAGGAGCCTTGTAGTGCATGCGGCCAAGGCATGTGAACGCCGACACGTCCACCGTATCCGGGTCGGCTCACAATGCGGATTCTCCCCTAATCAATGCTCAGAGCATGCACTCACTCTCATGCTCGCCCCATTTCCCGTCAGAAGGAGCTTTGTAGTGCATGCGGCCAAGGCATGTGAACGCCGACACGTCCACCGTGTCCGGGTCGATCCCCAGCTCGTCCTCCAGCTTGCGCCGCGCCGCCACGCGCACTCCCTGCGCGTTCGCCTCCTCCATCTCCTCTGGGCGGTACAGCGGGTGGCTGCAGCACGTGTTGGTCCACACCAGCGGGAACGTCACCTTGCACGCTGCACGTTGCTGGGCAGAGGGATACAATAAGGATAAAGGGGGGATTTCTTTGAAACCAACCACGTAGCAGGACCATATTCAGTTTCATGTGTCTGAGAGAACAGGCAACATCAGATGAGCCAATTAGCTTGTGCAGACCTAAACTTTGTTACACCTGTACCGGCTAGGCTACATTTGCTGCTCTGCTGAGAAATTTATTAATAATGCAAACCAAAGAAGCATTTTTAGGTACCTGGAGCATTAGGCGGTGCTGGGAGTCGAAAAGGAATACGCTGAAGGCACGGTGGCGCGCCGTGCCTTTATTGATGTTTTCCATAATGTGGCCTGTAGGGCAAGTTATGAAATGAGGGGATTCTTGAGTCGACACAAAAAAAACACTGAAGCCATGTGTGTTCGTTTACCCTCCGCAATAGGCAGTGATAGCCGTAAGGAAGATTGACATGTACGTGTTTGGCTAAGATGAATATGCGTCCAATGCTGGATATGATCCCAAGGCTGCTCATTTACTCACAAGTGTACTTATTGGCGTGACCCACCGCCTTGTCGTTTTCATCTACGAGAATGCACCTGCGACGGCAGGCACCGAAAGGACAAGGTACTAAGAATCGTCAATGCAGGAGACACATCATGAAGCCAACGCCTTCAAAAACAACTCCTACTGATCAACACCTAATAAACGATTTATGCAGGTTTTGAAGGATCCTGGGCCGAAAGGCGTTGATCGAACGGTGCGGTGGCTTGTGACCTACTCATCGTTGAACATGAGTCGCGGCTGCACACCGCATAAATCTGCTTTTGAGTCGACTCGATAACATTTTACTTTTGAGTCCACTTATAAGTCACCTCGTTACAGTGGATTGTGACGTACTCGTCGTCGAACATGAGTCGCTGCTGCACCGCATCCATCTGCTCCTCCGCCGCACCCGCCGCTCCATTCTCAGTCGCTATGCTCCCCATCCCGCGGAGAAAAGCCTTCTCGCGGCTGAGCACCGAAAGCGATAATGCTGAATGTGACTCGTTGTTATTTCTGAGACTCGAGAACCGTGCGAGGCTAGACGAGAAAGTTAGAGAGGAAGGAGCGAGGGATAGCCGTGAACTCTGGGGTGTAGTTCTGGGTTGGAAAGACGGATAAGTAGTTACCCTGGTACAGGAACGAAAGAGGCCGCGTGATGAGAGAGGAGATGCAGGAGATAAGGGAAGAGAAACGGGATTACACACCCCGAGAGGATGGGATAGCTGGGCTGCTGAAAGCGTAGCTCGCGTGGGGAGAAAATGCGGGATCGCTGATGAGCGGAAAAGGGCAATGGCTGCACTTGGAGCTCTGGCAGCCATAAAGTATCGTCAGAAAGAAGGGGAGGGGTGAGCTGTAGGAATTCTGGCGACCAGGGCCAAGCTTTTTGGCGAGAAGCGTAGGACGGAGACGAGAGAAGACTGGACGAGAGCGGAGAGTAGCGCGTTGCGTGTGGGATGGAAAGGGAAACTGAGGGAGGGAACGGGAAGGGGGTAGGGCGGAAGGGTGGAGTGGAGGTTCGGCTCGGCTCGGCCTCGCGCAAGGCGAAGGGGGTAAAGGGAAGCCCGAGGGGTAGACATGTGGGTTTGTGAACCTAGGGAAATGCGCCGAACGAGTTTATTGTGGTGACCTGATTGGCTCACAGAGGCAGGCCACCGAACCTAGAAAGCTTCGTAGTGCAGGTACACCGCGAGAACTGGAATTCAAACATACAATATTCTCATCGAAATGTATTATTTCTTGCATCCAGTATCTACGAGTACAACAGTATCGAGGATCCCTTTTTCCCTAACCCAGCCTCCCAAGTATACAATCGAGCTAGGCCGCACTCCGCGTCGCTATTAGGGCTCTCCCCGCTGCATTCCGCCGTCGTTTCTTCCGCTTCCTCCCTCCGCCTCCTCCCTCCGTCTGCGCTCCCCACTCTCCGCATCCTCCGCATCCCCGTTCCGCTTCCGCATTCCGCCATGAGCTTCGCCGCCACGGCCGCGACCCTTCGACGGGAGCTGCAGCAGCAGCGCGCGAGGCAGCTTTACCGCCGATCGCTCAAGAACACGCTCAGCTGGGCGATCTTTCGCGACATCTACTACGACGAGGCGAGTGCTCGCGAAAACACGTCGTTTCCTTTCTTTGCTGGTCAAGGATCTGCGTCGAAACAACCTTCAACTAACGATCTTTCCGTATTTGCGTCCGAATGTTTTCCGCAACTATCACACCAACTTCTCACGCGCGTGCTATTGCGTACGCGCTATTGCGCGTTGCTATTGCTTTCGCGCTGATGTCGTGTGGCAGGCCGACAAGCTCCGCGCGCTGTTCGAGGCGAACCGACATGAGGTGAGACGGCTGGGCAGATTGGCGCATTTGTTCTATAAGGACGCATGCTCCGCACGCACGCACGCATGCAGTGCGATTGAGAGGTCTCTGAAGTTGAGGGTCGCTGCTCATGCCGAATCCCTAGTTTCCCTTCTCCTCGCCTTCTCCTCCTTATCGTTCTCCCCCCCTCGCCCGCCTTCCCCTCTCCGCCCCCTCCCGCCGGCCAGAGCGATGCGGATCGGATCGACCGTCTGCTGGCAGCGGGAGAGGCGAAGCTGAAGGAGAACCAGCACCCCGACCCGTACCTCGGTGAGTTGTGGCACGAGAGGCTTGTGGCGTTTAAGGCATTCAAGAATCACTTATCACAAGCTCAAAGCCAACCTGCAACCCGTTTTCCCGTTCCCCGTCCTCGCCCCACCGCAGTCCCTTGGCTGTATGGCGGATCCAAGTTCGCCCGCAACCCCCCCTTCCCCCCACGCACTCTCCTTCCTCCCTCCTTCCCCCCTGCTCCTGCCTGCTCCCCCCTGTCCCTCTCTTGCCTCCCACCTCCACCCTCCCCACCGCAGTGCCATGGGTGTATGGCGGATCCAAGTACGCTCACAACCCTCCCTTCCCCCCACGCACTCTCCTTCCTCCCTCCCTCCCCCCCCTGCTCCCCTCTTGTCCCTCCCCTCCCACCCCCCCTTCCCCCCCCCCCCGTCCCCTCCCCCACTGCAGTGCCATGGGTGTATGGCGGATCCAAGTACGCTCACAACCCTCCCTTCCCCCCACGCACTCTCCTTCCTCCCTCCCTCCCCCCCCTGCTCCCCTCTTGTCCCTCCCCTCCCACCCCCCCTTCCCCCCCCCCCGTCCCCTCCCCCACTGCAGTGCCATATGTGTATGGCGGATCCAAGTATGCTCGCAACCCTCCCTTCCCGCAAGAGGTAAGCAGCGTTCACCCTACAGCCCGCCTCGTTAAGCAGCACTAGTGCCAGCCAGTGGGGCAGGCAATCAACAGCATCACTCTTCATCTCGTCACGGTCCCTCGCAAGCACCAGCACTGTCGCGTTTGTTGCTGCCTCCTCCACTGTTCTTTCGCTTCGCAACTGACGAGTCGTCCTCGTGTGGGTGTGTGTGCATGTGGGTGTGTGCGCCCCTGTGTGTGTGCCTGTGTCTGTGCGTGTATCTATGTGACTGTATGTGTGGCTCTGTGCGTGCATGCATGCGGATGTGTGTTTATGTGTGCCCTCTGCACCTGTCCTTCACTTGGATGTCTCTCTGTACGGCAGATTAGCATTGTGCATGGATTCGGCAAGGAGGAGCATTAGCACCATTGTGTTCTAGCCACGATAGATTCTGTTCTGGCACGAATCGTTGCTTGTCCAATTTGTCTCTAGCCATGCTTGCGCTTCCTTGTTTGCGTCTACAGCACGCCATTTGGGGTGACTTTGCTGTATCAATGACGATCACAATCAAAACTGAATCACAACTTGGTTTTCTTTGCTTAATGATTTCCGCTTTTACAGCCAAGAAAGCGCTTACTCGTTGCCTTGAATTTCCTGCCTCTCGTCGCATCTCATCGCCCCATCATACTCTCCCGCTTTTTCCATCTCATCTTTCCCTCATATCCCTCCATTTCCACCATTCCCTCCCCCCCACTCTCGCCTCCTCTGAATATGTCTCCTTCACCTTCCCCACTCCCTATCCCTTTACCTCTCCCTCTCCACATTTACTCTCAAATCCTTCCTCCCCCTTTTTTTCTCTTCCCCTTTCCTCTCCCATATCGCCTTCCTTGCTACCGCCAGCCCCGTTTTCAGCCACACGCACACTCCCACCCACTCCCTCTCCCTTTTTTCCCCCGCACGTGCACCTAGGCATAGCGGCTCACCCACACTCTCTCCACACCTGATTACCAGTCTAGGCCTTTGCCATGAGCATGGTGTCAGGTGCTCTGCTGGTAGTAGCAGTAGAATCACCAGCAGCAGAAGCATCAGCAGCACCAGCTGCAGCACTAGCAGCAGCAGCACCAGCAGCAACCCCAGCAGCAGCAGCAGCAGCAGCAGCCCTAGCACCAGCAAGAAGAAAGCATCAAAGCCCGATCCTCCCTGCGACCGTCCCTTCATAGATCGCCTCCGCGTGCGTGTGGAAGGCGGGCGCGGGGGCAGCGGATGCTCCTCTTTCCGCAAGTCCCGGCACGCACGGCACGGGGACCGGGACGGGGGCAACGGGGGGGAGGGCGGGGGGGTCACGCTCACTGCCTCGGCTGCTGTGAGGCACCTGGGGAATGTAGATAGGACGGTGAAGGGGGGCGCGGGCGGGCATGGGTCGAGTAAGCGGCGGGTGGGGGCGAGGGGGGTGGAGAGGGAGGTGAGGGTGCCTGTGGGGACTGCGGTGTATTTGCTGGAAGGGGAACTTCCCCTGGAAGATGAATTTGGTGCTCCTGCTGGTGCGGCTGGTGCTGCCAGTGCTGCCAGTGCTGCTCCTGCTGCTGCTGGCTTTGCACTGGAAGCAGCAGCGGCTGCCTCGTCAGTGGCTGCTGGTGGTAGCGGCAGCATGCCTGCCTCTCCGCCCTGGTGGGCTGCTCTCTTCGAGTCTTCCAAGGCGGAGCAGGAGGATGAGCGGACGGGAGAGGAAATGGAGGGGAAGCAAGTGGAGGAGGAGGGGGGTGTGGTGGGGAAAGGGGAGGTGGAGGAGGGGGAGGTGAGGAGAAAAGGGGACAGAGAACCGTACTGGCAGCAGCTGCTGCAGCAGTGGGCTCAGGAGAGGTACGGGCAGAGGCGGTCAGAGGCTGCTGATGAGGGGAGCGATGTGAGCGATTGGGATGAGGGGAGTGTGGATGACAAAGCGTTGCATTCTCATGGGATGGCACATAAGAGGGCGCGGGAGCGAGGCGAGCTTGTGGCAGATTTGGTGGAGGAAGGGCAGAGCGTGACACTTGCAGTTGGAGGGAGGGGCGGCAGGGGTAACGCATCCATGGGTCGGGTGAAACCGTGGGAGATGGAAGAATCTGATCCGTCACATGCGAACGGCAGTGCAGGGGGCAGTGCAGTGGCATTAGGGGCAGCAGCAGGGGCAGCAGCAGAGTCTGGCTTAGGGCACGAGAAGGGAAATCCGGGGAGCAGGGCGGTGGTGGCACTGGAGCTCAAGACAGTGGCGGATGTGGGGCTGGTAGGGCTGCCGAATGCCGGCAAGAGCAGCCTCCTGCGCGCCCTCTCCCGCGCCAAGCCTAGAGTGGGTTGGCACCCCTTCACCACTCTGCACCCGCAGCTGGGGACTGTGACGGGTGGGGGAGAGAGTGTGTGGGAGGGAGAGGACGTGAGTGGGGGAGGGAAAGTGCTGGAGGAGGGAGAGGACGCGTGGGCAGAAGAGGGGGAGGGGGAAAAAGAGGGCGGCGAGGGTACGTGGGGTGAGGAAGGGGGATTTGCAGGAAAGAGTGGAGGGAGGGGGTCGAAGTGGGGTCTGGAGAGGGAGATGGGGTTTGCAGTGGCGGATATTCCGGGGCTGATAGGCGGAGCACACAGGGACAGGGGGCTGGGGCTGTCGTTTCTGCGCCATGTGGAGCGCACCCAAGTGATTGTCTACGTCCTCGATATGAGCGGCCCCAGTACTAGCACTGTCTCAGGTGACCTAGGCATCTCCGCCGAGCCAGGCGCAACCAAACCAAGTGCTACCGAATCTAGTGCTACCGAACCTAGCGCTACCGAACCTAGTGCTACCGAACCTAGCGCTACCGAACCTAGTGCGGTGTCGGCAGGAGCCCTGCCCCCCTGGCAGCAGCTGCAGGTGCTGGTGAGTGAACTGGAGCGATACCAGCCAGGGCTGTCCCTGCGCCCCGCTCTCATCGCCGCTAACAAGATGGACGAGGAGGCTGCAGAGGGCAATTTGACTGAGCTGAGAAGGCGGCTGGGGGGCAGAGTTGAAGGGGCGGATGTGCTGCTTCCGGTGCCGGTGGTGCCGCTGTGTGCGGTGCTGCGGGAGGGGGTGCCTGAGCTGAAGGGAGCACTGAGGCACATGGTGTGGGGAGGGAGGGGTGTGTAGGACAGGTACTGGTGAGTGAGTGAGCTGGAGCGGTACCAGCCAGGGCTGTCCCTGCGCCCCGCTCTCATTGCCGCTAACAAGATGGACGAGGAGGGTGCTGAGGGGAGTCTGGCTGAACTCAGAAGCCGGCTCAGAGGCGGATGTGCGTCTGGCGCTGCTGCTGGCGCTGCTGCTGGCGCTGCTGCTGGCGCTGCTGCTGGCACTGCTGCTGGCGCTGCTGGTACTGATAGTGGAGGGAAGGGCAGGGAGGGAGTGGAGGGATTGGATGTTCCACTGGCGGTGGTGCCGCTGTCTGCTGTTCTGGGGGAGGGGGTGCCTGAGCTCAAGAGGGCTCTGAGGCACATGGTTTGGGGAGGGAGGAATGAGTAGGAAAGTATGCCACACTGCTACACCGTGCCGCATGTGCCTCCCATCACAGCCCTCTGCAGTTCCCTCCAGAGGGCTTGCAGTAATGCTGAGGGTGCGTGTGCCGCTGGCCGCGTACCGTAGTGTGAGCATCTGCTGCTGCTGAACTCGATTGCAATTTGGATGTCCAGCCTCGGTCCAGCCAACTCGAAGCAGAGTGGGTACAAATGAACCTTTAGTGTTTTGTAAAGCGCTAAACTGTATCCTGCACAAGTGCTCTACAGCTCGGCCACAAAATGAGATACTACACATGCTTGTACCGGTACCGCGTTTTCCTTCACTACACGAACCGTACTCGATACAGCACTACCATCCAGACACCAACGACACCTCGACTTTTCTCAAACCCAACAGAGCGAACAAAGAAAGTGAAGTTGCGAACCACGCTACGTTTTTCTGTGCGCTTTGCTCCACCTGCCGTCCGTCCGTTAGGGTTACGGCAAACTGCCTAACTCACCCCTAGCCGCCTGATGCCTTTTACAGAACTGTACCTCAATTCCCGTCGGCATTTCAGTTCTAGGTTTCCAACTGACTATTCCCAGGTAATGCCGTTTCTTACCGAGCTTGTAGTTAGCGGCTCGAGATATTTAATAAGCCTCTAGTGACGCACAGATATTCGGGATGAAAGGAAAGAAACGGCCTGTTTTCGCGCTCGGCTGACTGAGTAAATGTCCACCGGCAGAAGCTCTCTAGGTTCTCCCCAGCTGGTTACTGTTTTCGCCGAACTGCTTTTCGTCGTACTATTTTCCGCCTGTCACTACAGACAGTCGCACACTGGCGATGCTTGGCGGGAGTGGTCGTAGTACCGTGTACTGTCGGCTCACCGTTAGATGCTCACCCGGAGATGCTCCACCGTTCGATGGTTATCGCGAGATGCGCAGCTTATTGAGGCGACAATGCTTAGCTGACAATGCTTAGCTGACAATGCTTAGCTGACACTGCGTGCAGCACATGACCCCATTTTTCTTGTTAATCCGCAATCAGTAATTAATCGTTATCGCTCTGGTGTCTTTACCGCGAAGCGTTACTCTTGCGTGCCAATTAGCATTCGCGGCCACCATAAACGGGCTCCCATGTCGTAACCGGGTTACCACCCTACGGCAGCAATGTCGGTGGAAGCTTCCGAGAGAATCTCCAGCACCCCGGCTGCGTCACATTTCACTTCTTCCGCTCATCGCGGCGGTAATTCCGGCGCCGTTTCCGGCGGGAAGCCCTCCTCAATGGCCTCTGCGAAGTCGGCAGGAGGGGGAAACGCGGGGGGGGCAGCTTCGGAGAACCTTCCAGGCCTCAAGGCCAGCAAAGGCAGCGGCGGAGGGGGGTCGCAGAGCGGAAGCGGCGCCGGGGGAACAGGCGGAGCACACGGGGGAGGGGGAGGCGGGGCCGGAGCGGGAGGAGGAGGGGGAGGCGGAGGCGGAGGTTTGGGAGGCGGAGGAACGCTGGGGGGAGGCGGAACAGGAACCGGCGGGTTTTCCAGCGGAGGCGCTGGTATGGGGGGCATTGGCGGAAGCAGCAGCAACAGTGGTGGCATGGGCGGTGGCAGCATAAGCAGCAGTCTGCCCGGTGGCGGGAACATCAATAGCATTAGCAATAATATTAACAGTAGTAGTATGAGTGGTGGCGGCAAGATGGCGAATGGCTTAGGTGCCGCAGCTGGCGCAGGTGGCGGGGGTGGGGGGAGTGGCGGGGGTGGCGGAGGTGGCGGGGGTGGCGGAAGCAACCCCCAGTTGCTTGGCGCGCAGCCGTCGCTGCTGAGCAATGGCGCGGCGCCGGGGGGAAGCTTCGAGGCGGAGAGATTAAGGATGTACCGCCAGTGGTTCCATGAGCTGGACGCGCAGCGCAGCGAGTTAATCTCCTCGGGCACCAAAGGCCCGGTTCTTAAGTAAGCGCCGTTCTAGTAAGCCAGGTATTCAGGTAAGCTCGGTTTTTAGGTAAAATCGCTCTTGCAATGTCTTCCCTACGCAGCAAACCCACACACCAAACGCGTCATTACTTTCTTCCCGCTCCTTCCCGGCCCCCCCTTTCCCCAGGCTGCTGGAGTGCGAGATCCGCTGTCTGGAGGAGCTGGTGATGCTGGGCACCAAGCTCGGCGCGCTGTGCTGCTCGCCCATAGGCGCGGAGGCCACCAGACTCTCCGCCCCCGCCTCCACTGCCATCCCCGGCAAGCCCCGCATGTGAGTATGGCGTCAAAGCGAGTTTGATGCCATAGCGAGTATGACCCTACAGCGAATATGGCACTATAGCAAGTGCCAACCCCTACTGCGAATTTTGTTTCAAAAGCTCGTGCAAGTGTTATCTATCCTGACGTTAGTTAAAGCCCAAGACCCGAATTACAAAAAAGGAAGGCAAACTGTGGACAGTTTGCCTCCCGCAGCCCACAGTTTTGCCCCGCGTTGACTTGCGTTGAGCAATTCAGGTCTTGGGCTTTAAGTCCATTGATGATAGCTTGAAATGTGAAGCAGCGAAACATGCTAATTGCTGGGAATGCTGCAACAAGGGGAGATCCATAAATTGCTTGATTCCTTTCTCTGTTTTCTCTCTGCCTGACCCCCTTCCAGAGGTGGTGGGGTGGACACCTGGCCGTCGGATGATCCCCTATCTCCAGTGGACGGTCTAGATCTCTCGCTGGTCACTGACATGCTGCTCCTCTCTGCTACGTCACCATGGACTGTCTACGTGGCAGATAGGACAAACGTAAGTAGGGGAAGGAACCTTGGACGAATTTAATGTAAGCAAGGGAATTAGAAGAGAGGATTTACATTCGTGCTGTGCTGTGCTGTGCTGTGCTGTGCTGTGCTGTGCTGTGCTGTGCGGTGTGGTGCGGTGCGGTGCAGTGCTGTGCTGTACGCGTGGCGTTCTGGGATGCTTGCAGGCCTGTTTCCAAGCGTTCCTCCAGTTCCTTCCCCAACCTCTCTTCTCACTCAACCCCTTCTCACCTGCATACACCCATCCCCGCTCCCCTCTCCCCCCCTCTCCCCCCCCTCCCACCCCACCAGTGGCGGCTGTGCTACGTGTCCCCCAGTGTGCGCGCCACGCTAGGATGGCGCCAGGCAGAGCTGGTGGGGGAGCACCCCTTTGTGCTGTTGTTGCAACGACTCTCCGTCCTCTTTCCCTCTTCTTTCCCCTCCCCCAGTGGCGGCTGTGCTACGTGTCTCCCAGTGTGCGCGCCACTCTAGGATGGCGCCAGGCAGAGCTAATAGGGGAGCACGCCTTTGCAGCCTGCCACGCAGACGACCTGCCCCGAATCCAGCGCATGATAGACGACCGCCGCTGGATGGAAGATCGCCGCATGCTGGACGATCTGCCCCCACGTGCAGTGCATGCTAGGGTGGTTATGCTCTTTCATCCCCCCTCCTCCCCACTTCCCCTCCCCCAGTGGCGGCTGTGCTACGTGTCTCCCAGTGTGCGCGCCACACTGGGGTGGCGCCAAGCGGAGCTGGTGGGGGAGCACGCCAGCCCCCTTCCCCCACCACCCACTCCCTCCCCCACCTTCCACCCCCCACCCCCCACCCCCCACCCCAGTGGCGGCTGTGCTACGTGTCTCCCAGTGTGCGCGCCACTCTAGGATGGCGCCAGGCCGAGCTAATAGGGGAGCACGCCTTTGCAGCCTGCCACGCAGACGACCTCCCCCGAATCCAGCGCATGATAGACGACCGCCGCTGGATGGAAGATCGCCGCATGCTGGACGACCGCCGCTCGCCGCCCCTCTCCCTCACGCCGCCCACCGCCTCTGCCGCTTCTCGTCTTTTTCGGTCCGGGTCGGCTGGGAGTCCGAGGGGGGTTGGGGTCGGGGATTCACTGGGTAGCAGCCCGGGCGGCAGTGCGGGCGGCCAGTGCGTCTTTTACCGGAGGTTGAGGCGGAACAGGAGTTATGCGACGGTGCAGGCCACTGGGAGGGCTCTGGGGGCAAGGTGAGCGTGTGGTGTGGTGTGGTGTGGTGTGGTGTGGTGTGGTGTGGTGTGGTGTGGTGTGGTGTGGTGTGGGTGGGGGCGGGTGAGCCGCGAGCGTATCCTCTCTGCTTGCTGTGATGGGCGTATGCCCGATGTCTGCCTGACTCTGCTGTGCCCTTGCAGGCTTGCACCCATGCATGCACCATACTCATGCGCTTATGCATCCATGCCGGCTTCCCTTATGCCCCATCATGCGCCATGCCCCACATCATCCCGTCCCCCAATGCCTTGCATGCCATCAGGTGGTTTGCATGGATCGAGTTTGTCACCGATGACTCCTCTGCCCCTCTGGTGAGTGCGCCCTCTTTCTCCCCTCTTCCCACCTCCTCTCCTCTCCTCTCCTCTCCTCTCCTCTCCTCACTGCTCCTCTCATCCCATCTCTTCTCCTCTCCTCTCCTCTCATCTCATCCTCCCTTTCCCGTCAACCCACACTCACCAGCCTCCAGCCCCCACTCTATCACCATCCCATGGGCCCGTCCCCTCCCCTGTTCCCGCTTCATTGCTTGCCTCCAGCCCCCACTCTATCACCATCCCATGGGCCCGTCCCCTCCCCTGTTCCCGCTTCATTGCTTGCCTCCAGCCCCCACTCTATCACCATCCCATGGGCCCGTCCCCTCCCCTGTTCCCGCTTCATTGCTTGCCTCCAGCCCCCACTCTATCACCATCCCATGGGCCCGTCCCCTCCCCTGTTCCCGCTTCATTGGTTGCCTCCATCCCCCCTCTTCCCCCTCCCCCCTGCACCCTCCTCCTCCACCCAGTCACTTGACAACTGGTCGTCCGATCTCACCATGTCCCCCTCCACGCTGCTCTCCCCCATGGAGTCTCCTTCTAGCCCGCACACCATCACCATCGCTGCCCCCCATACCACACCATGGAGCCCCCCTCAAGCGCCTCCCTTGCTCCCTGCTTTGCCTTGCCTCCCCTCCTCTCCCCGCTCCTTCCCCCCTCCCCCCATACCAGTCACTTGACAACTGGTCTTCCGATCTCACCATGTCCCCCTCCACGCTGCTCTCCCCCATGGAGTCCCCATCCAGCCCCCACACCACACCATCGCTGCCGCCCTCAAGCTCCTCCCTTGCTCCCTTCATTGCCTCCCCTCCTCCCCCCTCCCCCCCACCAGTCCCTTGACAACTGGTCATCCGATCTCACCATGTCCCCATCCACGGTGCTCTCCCCCATGGAGTCTCCTTCTAGCCCGCACACCACACCATCACCTCTCTCACCCGCCTCTATTGCCCCCTTCCTTGCCCTCCCTCCCTCCCGCCCCTCCCCCCTCCCCCAGTCCCTCGACAACTGGTCATCCGATCTCACCATGTCCCCCTCCACGCTGCTCTCCCCCATGGAGTCCCCATCCAGCCCCCACACCATCGCCGCCGCCCTCAAGCGCCGCGCGGGCGTCATGGGCGGCAGCAGCCTAAGCGCGGGCGGCTTAAGCGGTGGCGGCCTAAGCGCCGGCAGCTTAGGTGGGGGAAGTTTAAGTGTGGGTGGTTTGAGCGGCGGTGGTTTGAGCGGCGGTGGTTTAAGTGGTGGTGGTTTGGGCGGCGGAGGTTTAAGTACTGGTGGTTTGGGTGGGGGTGGGCTGATTTCGGATGATTTAGGGGGGCCTGGGGGAGTGGGTGTGGGTGGTGGGGGTGGTGGTGGTAGTGTAATCAGTAGCTTATCTTTACCACGTAACAGAGACAGAGAGAGAGACAGGGACAGGGACAGGGATAGAGACAGAGATAGGGACAGGGATAGGGATATCTCCCCTCTCACGCGTTTGCACATGGGGTTAGGACTTGAGACTTCAAAGGATAGTTTACACAGAGTGGGTATGGGCCTGGGTTTAGGACTAGAGATTAAAGACCTAGAGTCTTCATTACGCCGCCGCCCCAACACCAGTGGTGGGGCAGCATCAGGCGTGCTGGGTGGGGGCGGAGGAGGGGGGGGTGGCGGTGGCAGCAGCAGCAGCGGGGGCGGATTGGGCAGCAGCGGGAAGGGGTTAGGGGGAGGCGGAGGGGGGGGAGGGGGCGGGGTGCTAGGGTCGGGTGGGGGAGGGGAAGGGGCAGAGCTGCTGTCTGCCTTCTCCTCTCTACCGTTCCGCACCCCTTCAGAAATGGAAGAATTCAGAAGGAAGCTTGAGACCATGCGGCTGGATTTGGCTGGGGGAGGGGCTGGGAAGAACTGGGGTGGGGGCGGAGGCGGGGGAGGGGGAGGAGGGGGAGGAGGGGGAGGGGCGGGAGGGGGCGCAGGAGGAGGGGGGAGTGGAGGGGAGGGCGTGGGGGGGCGGAAGGGGGAGAAGGCGTGGGGGCAGCACCTGGGGACGGTGAAGGAGGGGAATGAGGAGAAGGGGGCGTATGCGAGGAGGCTGTTGAACAACCTGTGGGAGTATAACAGCGAGATGGACGGGCTCTCCAAGGAGTCCAGCCAACAGAACAGGTACGGTGCTGTGCGGTGCTGGGTGGTGCTGTGTGGTGCTGTGCAGTGCTGTGCGGTGCTGGGTGGTGCTGTCCAGTGCTGTGTGGTGCTTTGTGCGGTTACGGAAACGTATTGTGATGTTTTGATACGTCTCCAAACTCGACGTCCCCCTGCCCGATTTCCCCCTTCCCCCTCCCCCACCCTCCCCACCCGCCTCCCCCCCAACAGCAGTCTGGATTCAAACGAGGAGGTGCAGCAGATTGTGAAGATGCGCGTGGAGATGGAGCGACAGGCTTCAGCAGCAGCATCATCAGCTTGGTGGTGCCATGAGGTCAATAACAACACGTGCCTGCAACTTAGCATTCAACACCCTGCCTCCACGCTCTACCCACCCCCGCCTCCCCCCCAACAGCAGTCTGGATTCCAACGAGGAGGTGCAGCAGATTGTGAAGATGCGAGTCGAGATGGAGCGTCAGGCTTCAGCAGCAGCAGCGTCAGCTTCCCATGGCTCGTCCACTCGCCTTGGCATGGGCATGGGCATGGGCGTTGGCATGGGTATGGGCATGGGCATGGGCGGAATGGGTATGGGAAAGGGCCTATCTGGTGTAGGTGCTACTGCTGCCTCCTCCTCCTCTGCCTCTGCTGCTGCACGTCGCGCTGCTGTTTTGGATCGGGCTATGGGGGGGAGTGGAGGGCTGGATGGGAGGGGGATGGAGGGGAGAGGGGTGGATTTACGGGACGGGAGGGGCGGGGCGGGAGGAGGGTCGGGGTCGTTTTTTGACACGGGGCAGAAGACGAAGCAGAAATCAGGCTCGGGTGCAGGTTCGGGCGTTGGTTCGGGGGTTGGTTCGGTGCTTGACGGGCCTACAGCGGAAACGCTTCGGAAGGTTCTAGATGATGATGATGATGACGATGATGATGAGGAGGAGGAAGAAGAGGAGGAGGAAGAGGAGGAAGAGGAGGGGGAGGATGAGGACGAAGAAGAGGAAGAGGATGAGGACGATAGTGGGAGTGTTGTGGATCGAAGTTTAAAAGTCCCTCTGTACAAACGATCAGCAACAGCTTCAAAAGTTTCGCGGGATGAACTTTTCCACCTGCCCGTGCCCGATCCCAGCCAATACAATCGCTCGAGAAGCGTGCCGAAATCCCACGAGCGACTCAAAGGGGGCAGAGGAGGGGGGGATGGTGGAGGAACCTCGGCAGAAAAAAGCGAGCGAGTGGAGAAAGGCGAGAGGGGAGAGAGAGGAGAGAGAAGCGAGAGAGGGGAGAGGGGAGAGAGGGGTGAGAGAGGAGAAAAGGGCGATAGGAGAGAAAGGGTGGGGTTGAGCAGAGGGGGGAGTGCAGGCGGCCCCACCAAGACCCTGTTCCTGGAAGCCAGCGGCTCTTCTTCTGCCGGGTTTGGCCTCTCCCTCTCCCCTCGGGGCGGCGACCGAGCAACACGAGGAGGAGAGAGAGGCGGAGAGAGAGGAGGAGGAGGAGGAGGGGTGGGAGTGGGCGGCGGAGTGGGCGGCGGAGTGCTGACGGTGTCCAAGCCATGGAGCCCGCTCCCTCTGACAGCCTCTAACCAGCTGGGGGGAGCCCGGGGAGCCAAGTCGTTCACGGGAGGGTCGGCCTTTCTGGAGTCGCTGCCTGAGGAGGATAAGAAGCTCATTCGAGGGTTCAAGGTGCGTGCAGGGTTCAAGGCGGGCTAGGAATTAGGGGTCAAGGAGAGTGCAGGGCTCAGGATTCAGAAATCAAGGCTGGTTTAGGGTTAGTTAGGAAGCCTGTATGTGGAGCCCACTCCCTCTGACGGCGTCCAACCAGCTGGGGTCAGCCTGGGGGCCCAAGTTTTTCACAGGAAGGTCCGCCTTCCTGGAGTCACTTTATGGGGAAGACAAGAAACTAATCCGAGCGTGCAGGATGCAGGATGCATGCAGGGTGCAGGATTCAGGCTTTAAGGTGGGTGAGATGGAAATTGACACCCATCAACTGCCTGCTGCTCTTGATGCTCTTACTGACCTCATTCCCCGTTTCACGCCCTTGCCCGACGCGCTGGACCTCATGCAAGGCGGCACAGACCTGGAGCTGCAGGCACAGGAGGCAGCAGTGGCGGCTAAAGGGGGCAGCACACTCCCTCTCCACCCCTCTCCACACCTCTCTCCTTTATCCACTTCCTCCACTGCACTCCCCACTCCCTCCCCCCAGGTCCTAGTGGTGGAGGACGACATAGTCAACTGCACCATCAGCCAGCAACTCTTAGAACTGCTCTCCTGCCGGGTCACCCTCACGCGCAACGGCCGTGACGCGCTCGACCTCATGCGGGGCGGCACAGACCTGGAGTTGCAGGCGCAGGAGGCAGCGGTGGCCACAGCAGCACACTCGCTCTCCACCGCTTTGCACCGCTCTCTCCTTTATCCCCTTTCCCTCCTGCTCTTTCCAATCCCCCCCCCTCTTTGCAGGTCCTGGTGGTAGAGGACGACATAGTCAACTGCACCATCAGCAGGCAACTCCTCGAACTCCTCTCGTGTCGCGTCACGCTCACACGCAACGGCCGTGACGCGCTCGACCTCATGCGCGGCGGAACAGACTTGGAGTTGGAGGCGCAGGAGGCAGCGGTGGCGGCAGCAGGGGGCGTGGAGGAGGGCGCGGAGGTGGCGCCGCAGTTTGACCTGGTTCTGATGGACTTGAACATGCCTGTGATGGATGGCATCAAGGCTGTGGAGCAGTTTAGGGAGTGGGAGGAGCTGGCAGAGCCGCGACGGCAGGCCACACTGATATTCGCCGTCACTGCCAACGTCTCAGGTAAGAGACAGCAGGGTGTGGGGAGTGAGAGAAAGAGAGAGCGCAGTTTGACCTGGTTCTGATGGATCTCTGAACATGCCGGTGATGGATGGCATCAAGGCCGTGGAGCAGTTCAGGGAGTGGGAGGAGCTGGCGGAGCCGCGACGGCAGGCCACTCTCATCTTTGCTGTGACCGCCAATGTGTCAGGTGAGAGAGAGTATGGCCGAGGCCTCAACACAGCAGAGTGTGCTGTGAATTATGAGTGGTGGTGCTTGGAAGCCTTGGGGTGTGTGTGTGGAGGAGGAGAGAGACCATGCAGTGTGACTTGTTGCTTATGGACTTGAACATGCCTGTTGTCATGCGCTCCCCTTCCACGGCAACATGGTGAAGTGTGCCCAGAAGGGCTTTGATGAGTTCCTGAGCAAGCCACTGATGAGAAACCCCCCTTCCCCCCACCAATCCCAACCCCCTTTTCCATAGACGGCAACATGGTGAAGTGTGCCCAGAAGGGCTTTGATGAGTTCCTGAGCAAGCCACTGATGAGAAACCCCCCTTCCCCCCACCAATCCCAACCCCCTTTTCCATAGACGGCAACATGGTGAAGTGTGCCCAGAAGGGCTTTGACGAGTTCCTGAGCAAGCCACTGATGAGAAACCCCCCTTCCCCCCACCAATCCCAACCCCCTTTTCCATAGACGGCAACATGGTGAAGTGTGCCCAGAAGGGCTTTGATGAGTTCCTGAGCAAGCCACTGATGAGAAACCCCCCTTCCCCCCACCAATCCCAACCCCCTTTTCCATAGACGGCAACATGGTGAAGTGTGCCCAGAAGGGCTTTGACGAGTTCCTGAGCAAGCCACTGATGAGAAACCCCCCTTCCCCCCACCAATCCCAACCCCCTTTTCCATAGACGGCAACAAGGTGAAGTGTGCACAGAAGGGCTTTGGCGAGTTTGGGTACTGTTGACACTGTGGAGGAGGGAGGGAGAGGGGTGGAGTTAGCGCTCATCATACGAACACCCACACAGTTTCCATTGTATTACAGTTTTTAGACTTCAGATATGATCAGAGCCGCGACTCTGATTGGTGCAGGAGAGGTGGGGGAAATCGTAAGGGAAGAGTGGGTGACGAAAGTGTTCAAGGGGTAGTTTGCATAGAGAATTAATTATACGCTGATTGATTCTCGTACAACAGAGTCAATCAACGTACATCAAATTCTCTATTCAAATAACTCCTTGAACATTTTCGTCACCCACTCTTCCCCTACGATTGTACTTACCTCTCATCCATCAATCGGAGTCGCTGCTCTGATCATATCCGAAGTCAAAAAACTGTAATACAATGGAAACTGTGTGGGTGTTCGTATGATGAACGCTAACTCCACCCCTCTCCCTCTCTCTTCCACAGTGTCAACAGTACCTAAACTCCTCCTCGTACAATCAATAATCAACCGTACTGCACATCTCCCTTTGTATAGATCCAAGAAGAAAGTTTTCTTAGTCGGCAAACTTCCCCTCTTTCCCCGCACCCCGCTCCTCTTTCTTCCAGATGGCAACATGGTGAAGTGTGCACAGAAGGGGTTTGACGAGTTCCTGAGCAAGCCACTGACGCAAAACCCCGCTTTCTTCCACCAATCCCAACCCCTCTTTCCCCAGACGGCAACATGGTGAAGTGCGCCCAGAAGGGGTTTGACGAGTTCCTGAGCAAGCCACTGACGCCTGAGAAGCTGCTGAACCGCCTGCGAGAAGTGTTCCGGCGCCAAACCATCCACCGTGCCCTCTGAGACTCTGAGACTCTGACATTTGCACCCTACTCTGCTGTGCTGCAACAAGAGTCTCTCACTGCCTGCGCGAGGTGTGCCGGCGACAACCCATCCACTTCGCCCTTTGAGACTCTGAGACTCGCACCCTCTCACTCTCGCTCAGCCCGAGGTCACGTATGAGTCGACACGAAGTCACCCACTCTCTCTCATACAGACAGCCCCAATCTCAGTCTCTGCGTGGGACTGTCCGACTGCTGTGCTGCAACAATAATCACTCACTGCCTGCGAGGGCTGTGCCGCTGCCAAACCATCCGACCGCGACCTCTGAGTCTCTGCACTCCCTCCTCACCCTCTCACTCTCACAGCCCGACTATGACTGTCCGAAATACTGCCAGACAGATTGACGTCTGGCGGTCTGACTGACGGGTTGACTTGACTGCTGCTGTGCTGCAGCAGATTGATGTGTGTTCTCACGCTGCTAGTTATTGAACTTCAGTGTGGTGTGGTGTGGTGTGGCCTGCTATGGACTGTTCTGCTCTGGTATAGTCTGGTGACGGTGCCTTCCATTCCATCCTCTTATGAAGGGCCTGCGGGTACTGTGCCGCTAGCTTTTCGTTCTCCAGGTGCTTACCGTATGTTGGTATAATTTTTCTTGTATGTAAATCAGCCTTGCTCAGCTTTGTTTCCACAGTGATTCAGTGGATGTATGCCCCCAACGGACTACTTTAAATATGTAATGGCCGTTAAATAAGATTCTGGTGTGAGTGCCACTAAAACGGTTTATACACCAACTGATTCTAGTAGCAGTTTTTTGTGTGCTCTCATTTTACGTAGAAAGCAATGGAAATGTGATTAGAGCCGGCAAATGCCCTGCTTATACCGAGTCGGCCTCGACCTTCTCACCCACTCATGTACTCTCCGACTCTCCATTTCCCACAATTTTCCCGACCAAATTCCATGGCTGCCGCAGCAGTATCCTCGCGACTTGCAGTCACCGCGTCTCCGATCTCTACTGCTACGAATGGCACTCGAAACGTTGCGCCTAGCAGCGCTAGAACTATCATTCGTAACGAGATGAATGTGAATAACGCGATCAGTGCCAGTAATGCAGTAAGTGTCACTAACGCGGTCAGTGCTTGTGCGAGCAGTGCGACGGTCCTACGCGCGACACTCAGCGCGAGATCGACCCGGTGTTGCGTATCTGTCGCTTCCGGGCGAGGGAGTAGCAGAAGATCAGGGGAAGGATCTGAAGCAGAGTTAGGTGACGATAGTTCGGTATCCAGGCGTGCGTATAAAGGGGATGAGACAGAGGGGTTCGATGAAATCGACGGTGAGGATTGGGTGGACGGCGACGCGACGGCCGGCGACGATGGCTGGCTGGAAGACGGCCGTGTGTCGGCGCCATCAGATATACTCGATAAGAGCAGCAGCAGTAACGCGAACAGCAGCAGCAGCAGCAGCAGCAGCAGCAGCAGCAGCAGCAGCACGGTTACGTCTAACCGCCAGTCGTGGTTGGCGGAGGGTGAAGGCGGGTCGGCGCCAGGGGGAGAGGGAGCCCCCGAAGGACCGCTGGGGGGGAAGCTGGGGAACGTGGAGCAGAAGGAGCTCCGCGCTTATGCGCACCGCATGGGTAGCCGGATAAGCACGCACCAGGTGAGACCTTTGGGCGAGACCTCCCTCGGGTGAAGCAGGGTTTCTGATCTTCTGCAACCCTAGGGCAAGGGTTTATGATTGACGGTTCAGGGTTACACGAAAGTGGACGTGCTCAGTGTTAGCGTCAGAGTCAAGTTCAGGGGTCAGAGTAAGGGTAAGGGTCAGGGTGAGGGTAAGGGTGAGGGTTGGGGTCAGGGTTTGGGGTTTTCACAATAACTGTACAGGGAGAGTGCCACCAGGAATTACTTCCAGGGGTTCTCCAAAGGGTTTTCAGCAAACACTTTGCTTGCCTTTGCCTTGCGTACATATTCATTGCCTGCATTCACCTTGCCTATGTGTGCGTGACTGGCTGGTTGATTGCAGATTGGCAAGTGGGGAGTGACGTCTACCCTCATCACGTCCTTGCATGATGGCCTGGAGAAGCACGAACTGCTCAAGGTGAGAATCGCTTAAAACACAGTAGCCAGGCTTGGTTGCGTGCAGATGGGCAAGTGGGGGGTGACGTCTACGCTCATCACGTCCTTGCATGATGGCCTGGAGAAGCATGAAATACTCAAGATGAGATTGTGACATTTACCGTATTAGTGCCCTTCTTTTGAGCCCCCTGAATCGCATTGGTTTTACTAACCCGTTGTGACTCTCTCCGTTTGTTTTTTCCATAGCGCTCGTTCCGCACCTGGCTGCCAGGTGTCAGAAATTCCCAGTTTTATTCCCTTGCCCTTTTCCCATGTCCTTCTCAGATAAAAATGTCTGACAACTGCCCGGATGAGGCATGGGAGGTAGGGCAGGTCCTGGAGGAGAAGCTAGCAGCGCAGGTGGTGGGCTTGATTGGTCGCACGGCACTGCTGTATCGGCCAAGCCTCACTAAGCTGGCAAAAGAAGAGGAGATGGCAAAAAAGGAGAAGGAGCGTGAGAGGAGGAGGAGAAGAGGGATGGGTGGAGGATCGGAGCGGGGTGGAGGGAGGCGGGACTTTGGAAGGTCAAGAAGGGAAAATGGGGAGGATGAACCTAGAAGTGCTGGTAGAGGGAGAAATGCTGGAGTGGGGCGCGGGGGAGGCAGGCAAGGTCGAGGAGGGATCCAGAGAAGGGGAAGGTAGAGAGGTTTATGGAGTTATGCTTATGCAGCTGATACTTAATAGAAGACCATGGAAATGAAAGAGTTTTGATTTGACAAGACTGCAAGCCTGTGCGTACAATACACTGTATGATTGTTGTGGAGTGAACTGTTCGTTGTACTCGGTATCCATTCACTTATGTAGGGTTCAACTTCGTGTCGTGACCGCAAGTGAATGCTACACGAGATCCCTATGGAGAAATAATTGCTTCAGGAGAAATGGTGGTTTCAAAGCCGGCTTTCGGTGGTTTGTAGGCTGCCTGAAGCCGGCCACGGGATCTAATTGGTGGGCGGAAGGTTTTGCTGTCGCTTGCCGAGTCCCGACGCGCTCGCAGTCGTCTCGTCACAGTTTTTCTTCTCGATGTGACGTGGGTGGGTGGGTGGGATTGTGTGCGTTTTACACCCCCAGACAGCTTCATTACAGGGTGACGTGGGATTCGATTTGACTTGTCGAATTTCAAAGAGGTGGAGGCGGACTGTCAATCGCAGAGAGTAACGACGTAACAGTCCCAATTATTGGCGGAAGCGGACCAGGTGGCTTCGCTCACAGCACAGCGCGCAGTCGGGCGACTTCGCAGAACATCCAGACTCCAGGCAGGACTTTTGTGGGCCACGCAACATTTGGGGCAAAAGTCCAGCCGCAGTGGAACAGGTGGGAGGAAGCAATGATGTGGGAGAAACAGCCTTCCCATTTGGATGAGCTGCTGCGAAAGTCCTGTGAGAAGTTGCGAAAGTGCGACTTCTTCGCTTTGCGGCTTGCGAAATCGGATGAGCGGCCAGGTTCAGCTGTGGACCAGTCCCTCCCACCACCACCCAACCACAAACGCAGAACTGAACTGATGCAACACCGTCTTGCAGCTCATGAATCATGAATTACGAGTGGCGTTGCGACTATGGAGTGTATGGCGCACTGCGACCAGACGGCACAAGTGGAGCTCAAGAAACGCGAGAGCTAGTTGGCTGCATGCTTGGATTGACAGGCTCTCGCAACAATTCCACTCGCTCACACGATTTTATATCATTCGATTGACCCTATTCCCGCTCGTGCCGTGTTTCATTACAGAGTCTGTGGCTCACACGCTGTGCCTGATTTTATCGCAGCGTCTGTGGCTCACACGCTGTGCGGCCGAGCCGTCAGCGTCGCAGGCCAGGAGCTCGTTAGTCTAGGCGATAAATCGAGCGAGCATCAGCGAGAGGGTTTCAAGATTGGAAACTCTGCGTTTGACGGTCTTCGTGCGAGGAAAACGTATACTGTACCGCCTCCTACTGTAGTGGCGTTTCCGTCGCCTGAAGCATGCAAGCACACATTCCGCATACTTCTCTCACCAACCACTTGGCGAGCGAGCACGAGGTTAATTAGAGCTTCGCAGCGACTTGGATCAAACCACAAGTAGCCCTGAGGTCGTCTCTGAGACTCTCGGCCACAATTGGGATCACAACTTCTTGTCTCAGAGCTCCCGTTCCCAGATTTTCCGATCCGTCCTAGGCGTCTGTTCTTGGCGCACTTCAAGTTGAGGCTCCCAGCCCAGGAAAATTCTTTCTGGCGTTTCGAACTGGAAAGGCGATCGAGGAGCTAAGCCGTCCGATCATACAGTACTACACCAGATCGGCGGCCGGGGATTGTCCGACCGGCGGAGGAGCTGCTCAGCCCGTCAAGTAGGACTTAGCGTGAAGGGTCGGGGCGCGGCCGGCTCGATGCGTTGCTTTCTCAGCAACGGAGCGGGCTCTAGGCTCATTAATCTTACTATTTATTTACTTTTCGTTGTTGGCGACGAGGAGAAATCCTGATTCCACCAAGTAGATTGTGCCACCATTGCGGATCCACCCTTTCCCATGACTTCCCATGGTCAGTTCCTCACATGCTTCAACCAATCCCCGCACGCGACGCTAGGCGATTCGCCGCCAGGTTCGCCGGCGACTGCCGTCGCCGCCGAGCGGCCGCTGTGCGACGACTCGACCGCGTCGCCCGCGGATGTGCGACAAGGGGACGGAGCCGTGAGCACGATCGCGGCTCAGATGCACAGCAATCCTGCCGTCGCAGCGGTTCCAGGCACGACAACCGTTCGCGCTACTGATGCAAGTAGCAATCCTAGTACCCGTACTGTCAGAATGGACGAACCGCTACTATATTTCAGAGAGTATGACGTGGATTGGATCACTGCTGCCACGTGGCAGTTCTCGAAGCGTCGTATCGTCAGCCAGGGATGGGATTCCACAGTGTTTTCCATACCTGGGCAAAGGGTAGCGGGCTACGAAGGGGGCTCGGCGGGAGGTTCGGCAGGAGGGTCGGTGGGAGGGTCAAACGGCTTGAGGGTGAAGCGGTTTGGCGGGCAAGGCTGTTCGCTGTCGAAGGAAGCCGAAGCTGCCTTCCAGGTACGGATAAACCGAGACAGACGGTTTAGGCGGGGCTGGGAAAGAGAACAGAGTGTCAGAGAGAACGAATCATGGAACCCTGAACCCTAGCTTTCTTGCGTGACGCCACCGAGCGAATCTTATCATCTAATTTCCTCATTCCGTCTCTACCTCACTCTTCGCGCTCCCCCCTCACTGCCCATCCGCAACCCCCCTCAAAACACCCCCCTACTCCCTGCTTCATTCTCCCCCTTCTTCCCCCCCACTTCTTCCCCCTTTTCCCCCCCCCCTCTCCTCTCCCCCCCCCCCCCCCCCCCCTCTCCCCGGTTGCTGCATATCAGGAACACGCACGTGCTCTCTCACGCCTCTCCCACCCCTCCCTCTTCCCCCTCGTAGGCTACTCCCCCTCCCCCATGCCCTCTCTCCTCTTCCAATCCGCCCCCGGCCCAGCTCACCCTCACGTACCGCACTCAACCGCTCCCACTCCCCCCTCACCTGCATCAGCTACGCCCTCACTTGCTGTTCCAGCTGCATTAGCTGCTGCAACTGACCCAGTTTCAGCACCCACAGAGCCTCTCCCTCTCCCCTGTCCCCTCTCCATTGCTCTCCCTCACACCATCACCCCTGCCACCGACGGCGGCGATGGTCCCGGGGGTTTCGCCGAGCGATCCTCGCCGTCGATTCCGCAGCCCAAGCGGTTCCGCAATGGAGGGTTTGCCCGGAGCCGCCTGCCCACCATCCCCAGTATAGGCAGCATCAGTAGCAGCATAAGTGGCAGTAAACGTGGCAGCAGAAGCGGCAGTATAAGTGGCAGCATAAGTGGCAGTTTAAGTGGCAGTGGCCGGTCGCTTCTGGGAGGGAGTGGGAGGTCGCTTGGTGGGGGGTCGGGCTTAGGGGGAAGTGTGCGGTCGGGTGCAGGAAGCAGTGGGAGGTTGGTTCTAGGGGGTAGTGGCCGATCGGGTACGGGAGGGAGTGGCAGGTCGCTTGGTGGTGGCAGTGCTGGGTGCTTTTCTGGTAGAAAAGAGGATAGTGATGATGATGATGGTGACGACGAGAAGGAGGAGGATGAGGAGGAGGAGTCCTCTGAGGAGAGAAGTGGAGGGAGTGAGGGGGAAGGAAGGGGAAAGGAGAAGGGGAGATTGAGTGGTGAAAGTGGCAGCAGTGACGGTGCTGGTGCTGCTATTTTGGAGGGCGATGAATTACCCACACCAAAAGATTCGCCCACACAAAGAGACTTGGCCACAGTTGAGGAGTCTGGCGCGTCTATCAGACCAGGACAGCACGTGGAGAGAGGAGCAGGAGCACGTTTCAGATTGACCCAAGAATGTGCAGATTTGGCGCGTTCTGTAGAGTCTACAAGGCAGGAAGCTACCAGTGCAAGGAGTGGGAGGGATGCCACTGCCAGTGGTAGTAGTGGTAGAGATGATGTTGCTAGTGGGAGAACCGAGGCTGCTCTAGGCCGGGATGAAAGCGCCTTTCTTGTTCCTCCAAGGCCTATTGGTAGAGTCTCTGCTGACCTGCTTGCTGCTGCTGCAGTCCTAGCAGCTACCACCACTCAGGAGAGCAACGACGAGGAGAGGAATGATGGCAAGGATGGTGAGAAGGATGGTGGCAATAGTGGGGCAAGTGATGACAGTGATGGTGATAATGACGATGCTGGCAGCAGCAGCAGTGGTGATGATGGTGGTGAAGGTGGTGGTGGTGGTGGTGCAGCAGATTCACACCGCCTCTCCCCCTCCCGCTGCTGGCCCCACCTACCCACTCCCTCCCTCTCTCGCTCCATCACTCGCTCCTTCACTCGCTCCTCCCAAAGCACTAGAGCTTCAGAGCAAGCAGCAGCTTCCAGTCCATCGCTCCCCGACCCTACCACCACATCCCCCACCACCCTTGCCGAAGCTGGCCCGTCAGGCTCGGACCGAACCTCCGTTCCAGGCTCGGAAGGCGTGGAAGAGGCTTGGAAGGGCATTAACAAAAGGATGGAGGGGTGGGAGGCGCGGTTAGACGTGCTTGTGCAAGTGGCAGGGGGGTTGGCATACCTGCACCGGCAGGGGATGGTGCATGGGTCCCTGGGACCTGCTAATGTGCTGCTGTGGGAGAAGCGCTTAGGGTTGAGAGACGGGTGGGTGGATAGAGGTGGGTCTGAGAGGTTGAGCGGGGGTGCGCATGAGGCGGTGGAACGGGTGCCAACTGGAGGGGCAGCGGCAGTTGGAGTAGCAGCAGCGGAGGGGCCAGTGGAAGCAGCAGCAGTGGCAGCAAGAGGGGGAGGGGGTGGCGTGAGCTTGGCAGCGGAGGGAGGGGCGTTTGTCCAGGGAATGAGAGAGGGAGGTTCGTCCGTAGCAGGCGCAGGCGCGACAGAGAGCTTGTCGTCCCTGTCAGGAGCAGCACAAAGCAGCTCCTTGCTGCCTGGAAGGGCAGAGAGAGGCACCCCCTACATGCCAGGCGTCACCGAGAGAGGCATTGCGGGAGGAGCAGATAGAGGAGCAGAGAGAGGAGCAGAGAGAGGAGCAGAGAGAGCAGCAGGCGTAAAAAGGACCTCCGTGATGCCTGGAGTGAACATCAGCGCACTGGTAGCCTCGGCCCCGCTAGATGCAGACCCAGTGACGCTCTTCACAGCAGCCACGGGCATACCCACTGACCGGCCCTGCATGCTGCCCCTCAACAGCAGTCCGTTCCGAGTGGCCAGCGGGCTGCTGGCTGTGATTGCGGATTACGGCCTGCCCACGGAGCTGAGGCTCAGGGCGCTCTTCCCTGCGAGGAATGCATGGGCTTATGCAAGCGGCGCCGGTTCGATGTACCTGGACCCGTCTCTCAGCCGCCTAGGTAAGCAGAGGGGGGTGTTTTAGCCTAACATAACGGCCCTGCATGCTGCCCCTCAACAGCAGTCCGTTCCGAGCGGCCAGTGGGCTGCTGGCTGTGATTGCGGACTACGGCCTGCCCACGGATCTGAGGCTCAGAGCGCTGTTCCCGGCGAGGAATGCGCGGGCGTATGCGAGCGGTGTTGGTTCAATGTACCTGGATCCGTCTCTCAGCCGCCTTGGTAAGGAAAGAGAGAAGGGTGACTGGGCCTATGTGAGCGTTTTCTTGCCAATATGCTTCCCGTTCCTCCGGCTCCCCTATGGGCCCCCGACACACAGTTCTGAGACGCCTGAGAAACCTCTTGTTCTTTCTTCTCCTGCTGTTCATCCTGTCCCTCACCCCCCCACCCCCCCTCCTTCCCTGCCCCCCACCTTCCCGTAAACCCCTCTCTCCCGTCTGCCAGGTCCCTTCCACCCATCCAACGACATCTTCCCCCTGGGAAAGCTCATACAGCACCTGCTGCTCCCTCTCATACAGGTCCCGTCCACGTCACAGCCACTTCACGACAGCGCCACACCTCCTGCCTCGTTCCCATCGGGTTCCTCATCGGGACGATCTGGGCCGTCCACCTCACGCCTCCTGCCTTCCATCTCGATGCCCTACCGCGCCAAACCTAGATTGGGTCAGTCGAGGGCCGATGACGGGAATATTTCAGCACAACCGCTCCCACAAGGAACAGTGCAAGCACAAGAGCGAGCGCATGGGCAAGAAATTCAAGCTCTTGGGCAAGGGCAGGCGCATGTGCAGGTGCTGCAGGGGCAGGGCCAGGGCCAGGGCCAGGGACAGGTGCAGGTGCAGGTGCAGGTGCAACAGGGGCAGGGTCATCCGGGGCAGGGCGTATCTCCCGTTCTGTCACCATCCGACGCCCCTGGACCAAACTTCATGTCGCAGTGGCGGTCTCTTGCCGCTCCATTCATTGGTACAGCAGGCAGCAGCAGAACGGGCGGCGGCGGCCGCAATACCAGCACACCGAGTGGTGGTGCTGGTGCTGCTGCTGGTAGTGGTGGTGGTGGTGCTGGTGATATTGGTGGTGGCAGTGTGGTGGGTTACTCTGGAAGGTACGGTGAGGGTAGTCAGATGGACGTGAGCAGCAGGAGCAGCAGCATGGTGCACGGTGGTGGAGGAGACATCAGTCGCAGCAGCAGCATGAGCAGGAGCGGGCGCAGCAGCAGCATGCTACGAAGCAGCGTGGTCAGCCGGGACAGCAGCATGAGCAGGAGCAGCAGAGGCGGGAGCATGATCCGAGGGTTTGACAGCCGCAGCAGCAGCATCATGCGAGACAGCCGCAGCAGCAGCATCATGCGAGGGATTGACAGTCGCAGCAGCAGCATGATCCGAGGGTTTGACAGCAGGAGCAGCAGCATCAGCAGCAACACTACAGGGTTCAGTGTGAGCAGTGGGGTGAGCGTGTGGTCCCCGTGGAGGACACCCAGAAAAACACCTGGAAGAACAGCTGGGGGTATACCTGGGAAGCTAGGCAGGGGGTTGGAACAACAGCAACAGCAGCAAGAGCAGGGGCAGCAGGAACAGGAGCAGCGGGAGCAGGAGCAGCAACAGCAGCAGGAAGGGCAGGTGTTGAAGACTCCTGGAACAACAGGTGCATGGGGTTTTGCTCGAGCACTCAACGTTCTGCCTGCACGCCAAAGCCCCATTCCCACCACCACCTCTGCATCCTCTGAACCTGCTGCCTCCACCTCCCGACCCGCGCCGTTATTCTCTCGAAGTGAGAGCTATGCTTCGGATGAGACAGAGGACCTTCCCACCCCCAGTGTGGATGGGGCATCAAGCAGCACTCCAACAGCAGCAGATGCAGAACCAGCAGCACCAGAGGAGGATCAGCACTCCAAAGGCGAGCCTTCGGGGTTTCAACTGGAGTGTGTGAAGAATCTAGTGTTGTGGTGTACACATGCGGATCCGTCGTACCGGCCGACTGCCATTGTGGTGGAGCAGGCACTAAGGAGTATAGCGGCGACGCGGAGTGTGGAGGAGATTGGGCACAGGCAGGTGCTGCTGGCACGGCTGAGCAACCTTACTCCACTCGTGCATGTAGGGGCAAGTGAAATGAGCGAAGGCAGCCAGCAGCACATGGAGTGGTTGCTCAGCGGCTAAAGTTGAAGGTTTCAACGTGTAGGCCAATTTTGTCTTGTTGGGACATGTTTTGGTAGCGCACTTCTGAGCCGTGGACAATAATTGAAATAAGGTGGTGGAGTGGAGAGAATTCCCCAAGTTGTAGGTAGATAATGTTCCTGCAATGCAAGCAATGCTCAGGGAGACTCACTGAAAGTCCACTTCATTGCATTGTAGGATGAGCAGAATGCTGGGTACATGGAACGGAAGCATGTGTGACAACCTTATAAGTTGCACCCTGCATGCAATACACTGCATTTTAGGGAAGTCATTACGGTATCAACACATCCAGCATCTACCTGGCATCCAGATTTCAGGTCATTCAACACAGCCCAGCCGTGGCAAAGGAGTGGCATTGATGCAGTGACCTGCGACCCAACCAAACGTCAGTTGCGTAGCAGGGAAGCAAGAATTGCTCACTAACTACGTACTAGGAATCCCTACTTGCTGGGCCGCATGGGAAGACTCTCTGGTAGCACGGATTCTGTCTATCGGCGCTTCTTGGAGGAGCGCTTGGATGTGACGGGTGCGATGACAATGAGGATTGCGACAGCCACGAGGGAGAGGGCTCCCGCCAAAGGACCAAACTGAATGGCTAGATCCTGACGAGGGGAAGAGTGGTGACAGGGTGGAGGGAGACAAAGGTGTAAATTGAGTGTGTCTGTGAGATAAACTGTGGGTGAGAGGCTGCACGTGGATGAGAGTGCAAGTGAGGTTGCAAATTGCAGAGGCAGGATTGTGAGATAAGGTTTGACGGAATGAGATGTGTGTGTGTGTGTGTGTGTGTGTGTTTTTTTTTTGAAATGGACGAACATTTCGAGGAAACTGGGGACTGGGGTGGGAGGAAACAGGATTTGTGGAGAAATTTGCACGGAGTAATTATGCAGCAATTAATAATCCAACCCGGGGTCATCAATGTGTACCTTGAGCTGTTGACGATCGTCGGTCCATCAGAACGTGAAGGCCACGCCACAAGCACAGTTCCACACGAGGGAGGCACAGGGGGGAAAAAGAACGCACGACAAATGAACAAGAATGCATAAGAATGGAAAGTTTCACTCTAGCTTTTGATATCACCTAGAGTCATCCTTCAAAATTCACAGCTTGCTCCATTCTTCCCAAACATTCTTCTTACGAGAAAGAGAAGGTACAGTGACTCACCCAGAGGTACTTGGCGGCTTGATCCACGGGAGCCAGCAGATCCAGCTCAGGAACGCCCGTCGACTTGGCCGTCTGAAAGAAGCGAATCAGCGAGCAGGTGAGGTTACATACCGTCAAACCGTGAAAACTTATAATTTGCAAGCGGTTCTGGTTGTGACTAATTAGCGTCACTGACCAGAAGCTGAGCCTTAGATGTGACTCGGAACTTGACGGTAGCTGGAGGGGTAACAAAAGTGCCCTTTTCCTTGGGCTTGACCACGTATGTGTGCGAAACAGATGTTCCCCTGCGACAATGAACAGTGTACACCGTAGATCGGAGTCACGGATATGGTAAACAAAACTGATCAACAACACTTGATCCACCCTCATGATTTGGCAAAAAGGTAGACTTTTAGAAGGTTCGAAAAAGAAAATCAGCAAAGAACCCACTTGCTGAACAACTAAGACACAGCTTACATGGCAAGGGAGTCCCAGGTGTGGGTGGTGTTCCCGACCACCTCGAACAAATCCGACGGCCAGTTCTCGTCGTCCAACGAGACATCGTACGCGATGCTGCGAGAAAAACGGAAAATGGGAACGAAACGTCGGCGATAATGAAAAGAATAAAGCGGGATTTGGATTAGGATGTAATGAATGATCGACGATGCCGCGATATCGGACTAAAATATTACCTTCCACCGGCGTTGTAAATCTTAATGTTCACGGAAATGTCCTCATCGTTCTCTCTGATCTTCTTGACCTTCACGGATTTCGACACCAGCAGAAATGGAGCGTCGGCAGAAGAGTCCGCTGTCTCGGCGATCGCATTCTGAACGACACACAGAAGGCCGAGTGCTACAACAAGCAGGCTAAGAACTCTCAAAGCAGCCATGATAGGAACTCCAACGGAATAATCTGTCAGTGAAAGAGTTAGCTGACAAAAATCTGAATGAAGAATCTGAATCAAAAACGATAATCTCAAGGTTCTAGATCGCGCGGGACCAACCAGGCCCGAGGTGGAGGGGATGGGATGGAAGATTTGGTTGGTTGGGCACAGCTTGCGTGGACCGTCTGTTACATCACTCATTTGCGAAAGTCACGAGTTCACTCTTGTAAAATGTTCGCTTGTAGGCAATGTGTAATAGTGTAGCTAAGTGACCGTTCGTCGGTGGAGCGCTTGTTCGCTTATTACTAAGTGCGTTTTGCCATCTTTCGCGAATGTTCAAACCCCAGTTCTCAACTCCCTCCCTGCACTTCTCTTCCCTCTCCTTGCCGCAGTCACACAAACTGCAACATATACAACTCCTGCCTGAACCCTGAACTAGTCCCAAGGTCCCCAGCCCATTCTTGGCATTCTTTCAGTGCCCAGCTTAGCTTGATTGCCTGGCCGCGCCCGTCCGGATCCAGCGCCGGGTAGGCCGTGTACACGTGCCTTTTTGCCACGTGTACTTAGCTTTTTTTACGTTTTTTGTATGCTACAAGACATTGTACCTGATACGTTTCTTTAGCCTTTAACTGGTAGTTTTGAGCACTCCAGTCTCTGCTTGCCAAGCGCACTCGCATCAAATCCGGCGAGCTCGGATCTTGACTCTTAATTTGCTTAAGCACTCACGGAGTATCGCTTAAGGACTGAAGAGATACCGTTTGGTGACAACCTTAAATTGCGTCATGGCGGATCACGAGGAGGCTAATAAGGAGGAAGTCGCGGGAGACGTGGAAGTGAAGGAAGCGCAACCCGAAAAGGCGAAGGAGGAGAAGAAAGATCGCAAGGACCGGAAAGACCGCGACAAGGAAAGGGACAAGGACAGAGACAAAGACAGGGACAAAGAAAGAGACAAGGACAGGGACAAGGATAAGGGTCGAGATCGGGATAAGGACCGTGATCGCGAGCGGGACAGGGACCGGGATCGGGACAGAGGGAGAGATCGCGGGAGGGATAAGGATCGGGACAGAGACAAGGACAAGGGGAGAGATAAGGACAAGGAGCGTGAGCGGGGTTCGGAGCGGGACCGTGATCGCGATCGCGATCGCGATCGCGACAAGAAGCGCGACCGTAGCAGATCGCCGGATGGAAGCCGTTACCGTCGCAGCCGTCGCCTGGGCGGCTACTCGCCCAGGCGACGAGAAAACGACCAGGGGAATCGCACGCCGTCGCCGGGGTCGCGCGCCCGCAAGCAGCCGTCGCCGGAGAGGAGGAAGAAGCGCGGGTGGGATCAGGGGCCGGAAGGCGTGGACCCTGCGATTGCGTCCGTCATGGCACACGTGGCAGCCGCTCAGCAAATCGCCGCCACGCAGACCGCCGCCATGGGCTATGGCGGAATGGGGGGATTCGGCGGCATGGGGGGAATGGGGGGGATGGGGGGGATGGGGGGAATGAGTGGTATGAGCGCGATGCTGGATCCCGCGATGCTGGCGCAGCAGGTGGCGGCGGCGCAGCAGACCGCCGCGGCGATCACCGCAGCCGCGCAGGAGCAGAATCTCATTCCCGCCGCGCAGTACGACGCGGGGGGTTTTGACTCGTACCAGCAGCAGCACACCCCGCAACCGATGGCGCAGGCGCAACCTTCCGCGCCGATGAACCCGGAGCTTGCGCAGCAGCTGCAGGAGGCGCAGCAGAAGGCAGCCGCGGCGCTAGCCGCCGCAGCGCAGGGGATCCTTCCGCCAAGCCTGACCGGGGGAGCGCCCGGGGGAGGGGGGGAGAGCGCGGGGCTGCTGTCTCAGCCGGCGGGGGCGCCGGCGCCGTCGCTGGCGCAGCTGACGCGGCCGGCACGGCGGCTGTACGTGGGGAACGTGGCGCCGCAAGTGACGGACAACGATCTGCTGGAGTTCGTAAACGCGTCCATGGCGTCCATCGACGCCGCGGAGGACGGCCGCAAGCCCTGCATCGCCGTCACGGTTCGTACTGCGTTGCGTTGGGGTGGCAATGAATGAGTTAGGGTTGTGGTCCGTACTTTGTGGTTCTGGGTTGTCCCTCGGTCAGTAGTGTACGGTTATGGTTTGTGATTGGTTGTGGTCAGTGCGTTAGGGTTGCTCGTGACTCGTAACCACCGCCGCACTCTTCCCCAACCCCCCTCACGTTTACCCGTGCCCCCGCGCTCTTCCCCGCCCCCCGCGCTTTTCCCCGCCCCCCCTCGCTCTTCCCCGCGCCCCCCGCTCTTCCCCACCCACCCCCGCTCTTCCCCGCCCCCGCGCGCCCTTCACCGCGCTCCACCTGTGCGCAGTCGAACAAGGAGAAGGGGTTTGCGTTTGCGGAGTTTGAGAAGCCCGAGGACGCTACAACCGCGCTACAGCTGGACGGCATCGTGCTGCACGGCGTGGGGCTCAAGATCCGCCGCCCCAAGGACTACAACCCCATGCACGCGGTGAGTGGGGTGCTGTGTGTGCGCGCGCACGCGGTGAGTGAGTGAGAGTGCTTTGTGTGCGCGCGCACTTGGCGATTTGAAGCTGTATGCTTGTGATAAGGCGATTCTTGCACCTCACGGGGTTGTCGCGCCGTTCCGTCCCGTTTTCCGCATACTCCCCTCCCCGCCCACGTTTTTCAAAATCCCACCCCCGCTTTCCGTGTTTTTATCAACGATTTCCTTCCCCTCCTTGTTTCGCTGCCTGCTCTTCTGCCCCCCCCATCCTGCCCCTCCCGTCGCCCCCTCTCCCCACCACCATTCTGTGGTAGCCAATCCTCCTTCCTCCCTCATTCCCTTTTCTCTGCATCCATTGACCCGCTGTTCCTGTTCTTCCCATGCAGCCCGGATCAGATGCGAACTCCATAGCACTCGGGGGAGGAGGGGGCGTGCCCAGGCCCGTGGCAGCTGCAGCAAAGGAGGTCATCACCAATGTCGTGCTGGACGGGCCTAATAAGGTGCGCACTGGGGATAAGGATTGGGATGAGGTGGAAGGTGGGCTTGGGGGGACTGGGGCTTGGACGAGGCATGGGGTGGGGCACAGGGAGGGCCGAAAGTGGCAGCTGCGGCGAAGGAGGTCATCACCAACGTTGTGCCGGACGGGCCGAACAAGGTGTGCGCTGGGGGCTTGGAATGTGTAGGATGGGGTTGGATGTGGTGCAGGGCGGGATGAGGCTTGGATGAGGTGGGGGATGGTGTTGGATGCGGCAATGTGGGGCATGGGGAGGGGTGCTTTCGAGGCGACTCAATCAAGATGTGGGTGGGCTGATTGTTGTAAGATGAATTGCACTTAGAGCAATATGTTCTCACATGCTTCTGCGCTCTTCCTGTTATCTCACCTTCTTACGGTGTTCTGCTTCGCATGATGATTCATGTGCTGGTGCATGTGATTGTGCATGTGATGGTGCATGCGATGGTGCATGTGATGGCGGATGTGATGGTTCATATGATGGCGTATGTGATGGTGCATGGTGTTTGCAGCTGTTTATAGGCGGCATCCCCCCATCTCTATCAGCTGAAAAGGTATACTGTAGCACCCTCTTTCGTTTGGCCCCTCTTTATCTTTCATGCTCGTTCTTCGTCCACCCGTTTCTCTCGACAACCCCTGCCCTCCCTCTCTTTCGCGTCGTATTTTTCTTTTACATCTTCCCAACCTGTCCCACGGCCCATGCCTCCCCTCCCCCCCTGCCACTTACTCTCCGTGCCTCTCGCTCCATGCCCTATGCTTTGAGCTCCACTTCTTGCTATGCACCTCTCCCCATCTGTATCCGTGGCCACCTTTTCCCCTCCCTTCTGCACCTCGTTATCCCCCCCAACTCCCCTCTGCTCCCCCGTGCTTCTCTGCACCCCTTCGCACCCCTGTGTACCCCTCTGCACCATGCTGATCAGATCCGCGAGGTGCTGTCAGCGTTTGGGCAGCTGAGGGCGTTCCGCAGGGAGCTGGATCTCAACTCCAAGCCCCCCCGCGCGTTCGCGTTCACTGAGGTCAGTTACTGTTGCATCCTGAATTCTGGACCTCTTGCCCCCCTTTCGTCCTTTTGCTTTGTTGGCTCTGAACTAGTTTCCAGCTACTACTGTTTCCAACTTCTCCCACCCTTCAAGCCCACTCCTCCTTAACTCTCCCCTCTCCCCCCCCCCCCCCCCCCCCCCCTCCTCCCCTCCCCGCTCACCGCCTTCCCCCGCAGCCCCTTCTCTTCCCCCACCCACCCTTATAGTATTTTTCGCGCATCTGCTGCTACATTGTGTTTACTTCCACCCCTTGTTGTGTGCCCCGTTATTGCATGACCCGTTACTGCATGACCCGTTACTGCATGACCCGTTACTGCATGACCCGTTACTGCATGACCCGTTACTGCATGACCCGTTACTGCAGTACATGGATCCGAGTGTGACGAGTGCAGCACAGGCGGGGCTCAACGGGCTGCCTCTGGGCCACCACGCCATCCTCACCGTCGTCAGAGCCACCCCCGACGCACCTGAGGAGGTACGAAGCGTGTGCAATGAGCTCTGATAAGGGCGATTTAGTTCTTGAGGCGCACAGGCGGGGCTGAACGGGCTGCCGCTGGGCCACCAGGCCATCCTCACCGTCGTCAGAGCCACCCCCGACGCGCCCGAGGAGGTATGTTGCACGTGCAATGTGACATTTCGAATCTTGGTAAGGGCAATTTGTTCTTGAGGCGCTCAAAGGCTGAACGGGCTGCCTCTGGGCCACCAGGCCATCCTCACTGTCGTCAGAGCCACTCCTGATGCGCATGAGGAGGTACGATGCAGTTCTTATGTTCTCATGAGGACAATGGCCCTTTCAATCCCCAATACGCCAGTAAGACATTCTGCCTCCTCCTCCCTCTCCCCCTTCCTCCCTCTCCTTCCCTCCTCCCTCTCCTTCCCTCCTCCCTCTCCTTCCCTCCTCCCTCTCCCTTCCTCCTTCCACTTCCCCCTCCTTCCCCTCCCCCTCCTCCTCCGCCTCCCCATCGTCCTCCTCCCCCTCCTCCCTCTCCTCCCCCTTGCACTCCCTCCCACTCAGCCTGTCAGAAGTCGGATTGCTAAATTCCCTCCTTCCCCCCCTCCTCCTCTTCCCCCCCACCCCCCTCTTCCTCCCCACCTCCGTCTTTCCCATCCTTCCCCCTGTGCTGGTTGCAGCCCCCTGCTGACGTCACACCCACCTACTCCATTCCCGAGGAGGCCAAACCGCTCATGCAGACCCCCACACGCATTCTGGAGATTTGTAACCTGGTGCGTTGCTTGTAACCATTACCCTTAGTTGTAACTATTGGTTGTAAACTGATGCGTTGCTTGTAACCCTAACCCCTAGTTGTGACCCTTGGTTGTAACCTGGTGCGTTGCTTGTAACCCTTTGTTGTATCTTGGTGCGTTCGTTTTCATTGTAAGCCAATAAGGAGAGCATTCCCCGCGATTTCAGACAGCACTTGCAATCTAATAGGCACACAATCACATCACACACACCCATTCCCCCCGTCCGCCCCCCTCCTCCTGCTCCTTTCTTGCGTGTGCGTGCGTGCACACACACAGATGACAAAGAAGGAGCTCAGGGCGATGAGCGAGGAGGAGTTTGAGGACCTAGAGGAGGACATTCGCCTCGAGTGCAAGCGGTGCGTGCTGTGCTGTGGTATAGTGTGGTGTGGTGCGGTACGGTGTGGTGTGCTGAGGTGTGCTCCTTGAGGACCTGGAGGAGGACATTCGCCTTGAGTGCAAGCGGTGCGTGCTGATACCATTGTGCTGTGGTGTGGTGCGGTGTGGTGCGGAGTGGTGCGCTGTGGTGTGGTGTGCTCCTTGAGGACCTGGAGGAGGACATGACTGTGCCACTTTCTACCTTGGGCCCCAGATGCATGTGAATGCTCATTTCTTTCTGCAAATATGCACATATGCATGCTGTATCTGACAAAGTTTTTTTTTTAGATGTCTCATAGCTTGCTTGTGTCCATTTGCTGCCTACATCTGCATTGGCAGGTTTGGCACGGTTAAATCGCTGCACATCGTTCGTCCCAAGGATGTTACCAACCCTGATGATAGCGACAGTGACAGTGACGAGGAGGAGGAGAAAGCAGAGGTGAAGGAAGAGGTGAAGGAAAAGTTGGAAGGGATTAAAGAGGAGGAGGAGAACGAAGAGGGGGAAAAGGAGATGAAGGAGGAAGTGAAGGAGGTGAAGAAGGAAGAAGAGGAGGTGAAGGAAGGGAAGGAGGAGACAAAGGAAGGGACGGAGGTTAAGGAAGGGGAGGCGAAGGAGGGAGAGCAGGAAGCAGCAGCAAGCGATGCTGGTAAGGAAGTGAAGAAGGAGCAGGAGAAGGAGAAGGATGCTGGGAAGGATGAAGGTCCGGGTGGGGTTGATGAGGAGGCTAAAAAGGAGGAGGAGAATAAGGACGAGGAAATGAAGGATGTGGAAGCAGTGGCGGGTGATGAGGCAGTAGAAGCTCCTGGGGAGAAGGTGGAAGGAGCAGCGGAGGGAGAAGCTGTAGCAGTAGCAGAGGAGGATGATGTGGAGGAGGTGGTTAAGGATGAGGAGGGTGGGGAGAAGGGAGGAGAGAAGGAGGGGGAAGAGAAAGAAGGAGCAGAAGAGGGAGGCGATGAGGAGATGAAAGAAGCAGAGGAGGAAGCTGAGGGCAAGGGTGAAGGGAAGGCAGAGGAGGAGGGTGGGGAAGGCGCAGATGCGGCAGGAGAGTCTGTGGTTGAGGAGGTTGAGGTGGCTCGAGCCGAGGAGGAGGGTGGGAAAGGCGCAGCAGGAGAGCCTGTGGTCGAAGTAGCTCGAGCGGAGGAGGAAGGTAGTGACTCGGATAGTGATGTGGTGGAGGTAGTGCCAGAGACACGAGGGGAGGTAGAGAAGGGAGAGAAGGAAGAGGAGGAGAAGGGGGAGGAAGAGGTGGAGGAGGTGCAGGGCGGTGTGCGTGCGTCTGAGAAGAGTGGTGAGGGGGAAGGGCAGGCACTTGATGGGTTGGCGGATATTGCTGCTGCTGCCGCTGCTGAGACGGCAGGGGACAAGGAGGAGGGAGATGCTGAGGGAAAAGAATCCGAGGGTGGGGGAGGGTTTGCCCTTGATCTGAATGTGACTGTTGAGGGGGAGGAGGAGGGTGGGAAGGGTGGAGGAGCGAAAGAGGAGGCAGAGGGCGGGAAGGACGAGACAGAGGGAGCAAAGGAGGAGGTGTATGAGACGGCTTCAGAGGATGAAGGGGAGAAGGGCGAGGGAGGGGAGGAGGCTAAGGCGGAGGAGGGTGCAGAGGCTAAGAAGGGTGAAGAGGCGAAGGAGGGTGCGGAGGCGAAGGAGGGTGAAGGGAAGGAAGGGAGTGGGAAGGAGGGAGAGGGTGAGGGGAAAGTGGAGGAGGGGAAAGGTGAGGAGAAGGATGGGAAGCAGGAGGCGGACACAGTGGAGGGAGCAGCAGGGGGGAGTGATGTGAAGGAGGGAGAAGGCACAGAAGCACCAGGAGAGGGAGCAGCAGATGAAGCAGCAGAGGGAGCAACAGCGGGAGCAACAGAGGGAGCAGCAGAAGAAGCAGCAAAGGGAGGAGCAGCGGAAGCAACAGAGGAGGGGAAGGAGGGCACAGAGGGGAAGGATGCAGAAGGAAAGCAGAGTAGCAAGGGAAGTGAGGAGAGCAAGCCGGAATCCGCTGCAGCAGCAGCACCTTCCGCTGCTGCTGCCTCTGCTACACCTGCCACTCCTGCTGTCCCTGCTGCTGCCACAGCCCCTGCTGCTACTGCTCTTCCCACTGGAGCCACACCTGGTGCTGCCACTACTGTCCCCATACAACCCCCTACAGCCCCAGTGGCCTTCCCTGTGCCTGTGCGCATGCCTGCCCCCGGGCCCCCCATGCCCCTCATTCCAGGAGTCACCTTCCCCCCCCCCTTCCGCCCCCCGATCCTCCTCCCCCCAGGCACAGATGTACCCCCCCCAGGTGTCGCCACCCCAGCTGCTACCCTCGCTGCTCCAGGTTCTATCCGCTTCCCTGCCCCGTTTGCCCCTGGTGCTCCTCCCCCTGGCGCTGGCAAGGGGTTGCTGGGGCACCAGCCGGGGCAGGTGGGAAAGCCGGGAGAAGCAGGTAAGCCAGGGCAACCGGGGGCTATTGTGCTGGCTGGGTCTAAAGGGATGGGGGATTTGGTGGATGCGGCGCGGAGGGGGGAAAGGGAAGTGGAGAAGTGGAGGGTTGGGAGGGCGTATGTGGAGTTTTCGCGAGAAGAGAGTGCGAGTCGGGCGGCGCATATGTTGCATGGGAGGGTGTATGCGGGGAGGAAGGTGACGTGCTCGTTTGTGCCACTGAGGGTGTATCAGAAGAAGTTTAACAAGGGGTTGAAGCCACGCACGCACGAGGAGAAACAGGAAGCTGCGCTGGCTGTGCAGGCACATTTGACGTCCCACTTGCCTGATGACTTTTAGAGGATATGCGATTTGTTTGCTTTATGCTTGCGTTCTATGAGATCTAGATGCTTCCCCTACTTAACATTACCCATCTATGCTCACGATTTGCTTAGAATTCTCATGAACATTGTAATGACTGCTCCGAACACACCAACATGTAGTTTTTTTGTTTTTTACCTGGAAACGAACGCTGCTTTGAAAGGTCGCGGTACAGTGAATTCAACCATTGTCAAACAGGGTAAGCGTGATGCTTCTCCAGGATCCCCGCAGATAACTTGTCTACAAAAGTTTCGGTTTGCCCGAGCAGTTTCGATACCAACTCAATGCATTTTCCGATTGGCTCATTGTGCAAATCTGGGCACTTGACAAATCATTTGCTCTGTGTCGCTGGATTGGTCGTCTGCCACGCTAGCGGTTTACAGAGGCGCTTCTCAGCCGGAGAGCTTTTGGTGATTGTCCGACGTGGCCGCGGTGGCCACCAGCCGCAATTGCTAAATCCCCTCCCTCCCCCCGTCGACCTCCGCCCCGCATATCCCCGTTCAGCTGTTGGCGCCCAACAGACCCCTCCATCTCCGCGGAAGGAGGGTTGACTCTTTTGGCGCATTTTCCCCGCATTCCCCCTAGCCACGAATCCTGAAAGCTGCCTCCCCTCCCCACAAGCCGCTGTTGCTACAGTGGTGGCGTCACGTCCTTTTGCCCTCCGCTCCTTCGCCTCTCCCCTTATCATCCCCTCCCTTCAAGAATTTTCATTTTATGATTGGGTGTCTGACTAGGATTCTTTTCTTGGTTCATTACTTTCAGAAAGACAAGCCATGGCTTACCCACTGATCGCGTTGTTGGTGGCTTCGCTGGCCGTTCAGGCTTCTGCGTCTGCACAGCAAGCCCAAGATGGCTGCATCACGAACTTCGATCCCACCGTGAACTATTTCCCGGACCAGTACCAGGACGAGCCGTTCGCTCTGCCGATCAGCCAGACGATCGTGGAGAAGGCGAATGACTTCACTGTGCAGTACGGTAACTATTACAAGGTCGTTAAGAACAGCTACGATGATACCACCTACGTCCTCTATCAGGTACATCCCATTCTCAGTTTCAGATCTGTATGCACATTGCGATCATGCTCGCAATCTGTGACTCTGTCCTGATTTTCACATCACCATTTTTCCTTGTGTTTATTGTAGTGTGGAGCTGCCAAGCCCACGAACTTCCCTGCTGCGACCACCCGGTTCTTTGAGATCCCCCTGAAGGGTTTCTCCGTCGACTCTTCCGTTGCAGGTGGGACTTAATTTCGTGTTTTTATTCTGTTTTTATTATCTTTCTCCAGATTTCGTCTGACTAACTTGTCACAATGCTGTTACTTTTATGCTGTGATTGTGTGTATGCTTTCGTCGAACCATACTGCTTATGGATTGTTCAGTTAGCTTCGTCCAGGTAATTTTCGTGAAATATCGAATATGCTGTAGCGTTTCAACCGCATGGATGTAGATTTTCAACAAGCGGTTTCACTAAGTATTTGTCCTGGCCTCAACCGCAGATGCTGGGCGTGACCAGCCTTCTCAACGAGACGAGCAGCTACTCTGTAGCTCCATGCGTTCAGAAGCTCGTGGCTGACGGTGCCATGAAGGTTTTCAATGAGAGCGACGGTCTTTTCCCTGGTGCGGTTTTCACCGGAATGAACACCCTGAAGCCATTCCCCAAGAACTATGTCTCGCTGGACACGTCGACCGACCCTGGGCCTCTCAAGGTGCGCGTGAAGGGAATGTCCTCTGTTTCATGTCAAGTTTATCTGTCCATGTTACAGTTCTAATCTGAAGCGATGATACATTTCTCTTGTCTTGCAGCGCGCGGAATGGATCAAGTACATGGCTCTGTGGTTCAATGCTGAGTCGCGCGCGTCGGAAGTCTACTCTGACGTAAGTAATCATTTTCGAGCTGTAGAGTTTGCTGACCATCAGAGAAACTGTGGTCCAGATTTACAAATGCTCAAGGAACTTATCTGCCTTGTTTTACTTTTCCAGATTGAGACGTCGTACAACTGCTTGAAGGCGTCTGCTCCTAAAACCACCACGCCAACGGTTGGCTGGCTGAGCTATTTCATGGTGAGTCCGAAACAGGGAAAAAATGTTATCAGAAAGTGTAAAACAGCTGTTATGGTTGTTAACTTTCCTGTTGTATGTGCGCATTTTGTTTTCCCTACCAGGATTCGTGGACCGTCTCTGGTGCTACGTACAAGCTTCAGGTGCGTTTTAGCTATCTACCAATTGGAGTGCTCGCTGTGTGTATGGCTTGGTATGAACGAACTCTAACGTGCAATTTTTTTCTTTTCAGTATGTTGCGGACGCTGGTGGTGTGAGCCCCGCCAAGGCGTTTCTGAGGACTTACAACATGTCTCTTCCATCTGATAAGAAGGCTTTCCAGACACTGCTTGCGGTAGGGATTCCACGCTCCACTATGCCTGATCATGCATGAATTCATTCACCAACTTCTGTGCTGAACGATCGGGGAAACTTGGTTGCAATGGCAGACTCTTGACATCGTCATTGACGAGACCTACCTGATGACTGGCCCGTCAGGCTACAGCATTGATGCTTTTGCACTGAATGCTGGCATCTCTGTGACTGATACCGCCACTTACAAGTTCCTCGCCACTCCCAATGTCTGGAGCATGTATGGCCGCGCCACTGGAGCTCCCAACTACGCCACTGGTGCGCATTTGGTCCCCATCCTTAGCAACATATGTTATGTCCCCTTCTCGCATTTGGAGCATTCGATTTTTACTAACCTTGGTCTTATCTGACTGTCTCTTGTGCAGACTGGTATGAGAGCGCCATTGCTCAGCCCCAGGTGGTTCTTGCTGAGCTGATCTCGATCATGCACCCTGGCGATGTGGCCGTTCCCGAGAAGTACTATTTCTACAATGTTGCCCAGGTATGTTTCCTATCCCACTTCTCCTGGCCAGTGTTTGATTCAAATGCCTTTTTGCCAGATTAATCAACAGTAGTGTGACTATGTGCAACATGTTAACTAGCTTTTCTGGTGTTGCTTTTGCAGTTGGAGACGGGTGCCGTGGTCTCTGCAGCCGACTGCACAACCCTGGACCCTACAGAGGTTGTTAACCCCATCATCCCTGCCTGCTCAGCTACCATTACTCCTGAGGTTCCAGGAACGGCAAACGCTCCTGCTACCCCTCCCAGCTCATCCCCTCCCAGCTCGCCTCCTCCCAGCTCACCCCCTCCCAGCTCGCCCCCACCTGCCCCCAAGGCTGCTGCATCCTCTGGCTCCCTGCTTGGCGCTGGTCTAGCTGCCCTTCTTGCTGCTACTATTGCAGCATTGGTCTAGAGGTATCCATTCTGGATGTATCCAGGTTGGCTTCCGTGTTGAGAGCTGTCTTCAAAGACATGCCCTTGTAGTAAGTGCCAAATGATTGAAAATCCGCTTGATGGTTGGGTTGGAGCTTGTGTCTGAGAATTGTCACATGGATTGTTGCATTCCATACTGTAGTACCTTGAAAATCCGCCTAATGGCTTATTATAATTGTTTACAAACTTGAGAATGTTTGCTTCTTGTAACAATTGTCATCTTACTCATTACAATGTTCTCAAGACAACGAAGGATGAACTGTACAAGAACCGTAAACGTAAGTGCTGGACCCGCCCTTAGGGTTTATTCTTCCCGATTTTTTTTAATTATCTAATGGTTTTATATATGTTCTTACCAGGGGTATGTGTGAGTGAGTTGCTGTTCATATTTGTTTTGTGACCCTATAGGAGAACATGCCAGAACTCCTAGTCACTATATCGTAAAACAGTGTTTTTGTCGGTTGAGTAGAGTTGCAAATCCTCACAGGCAATCTGAGCCTAGATGATATTGGCCCACTGTAGTATGCTGTGTGGCACTGGATTGCTTGTCGGCCACGTTAGCGGTGTCCTATGGCGCTTCCCCAGCCAGGGGGCTTTTGCCGATTGTCCGACGTGGCCGCGGCTGGCACCAGCCGCAATACATGCGCTCCTTATACTGTAGAGTAAAACCTTCGCTTCGACCTCCTCTATGCTGTTGGCGGCCAACACACCCCTCCTCCTCCGGGGAGGAGGGTGGATTTATTTTTTGCGCATTCCCCGCATCCCCCCCCCTCCTCGCCTCCCCCCCTCCCAGCCACGACTCCTGCACGCTGACGTCGCGTCCTTCTGCTCGGCGCTCCTTCGCCTCCCTCTTCATAATCCCACCTCATCCCCCAAAATTTATATTTGATAATTTGTGTCTGGCTGGGCTTTCTTTCAGGAAGACAAGCCATGGCTTACCCACTGATCGCGTTGTTGGTGGCTTCGCTGGCCGTTCAGGCTTCGTCTGCACAGCAAGCTCAGGATGGCTGCATCACGAACTTCGATCCCACCGTGAACTATTTCCCGGACCAGTACCAGGACGAGCCGTTCGCTCTGCCGATCAGCCAGACCATCGTGGAGACTGCGAATGACTTCACGGTGCAGTACGGTAACTACTACAAGGTCGTTAAGGACAGCTATGATAACACCACCTACGTCCTCTATCAGGTACATCCACTAAATCCCGTTCTCAACTCCAGATCTGGAAGCACATTGTGGTCGTGTTCACTACTCCGGGATGCGTCCTTACTTGTGTATCCCTTTATGCTCGTGTTCACTACTCCGGTATTATCTGTATAGCTTGAGTCAGTGTGGAGCTGTTAAGCCCTCAAACTCAGCTCCAGATCAGCAAATGGCGGTCGTGTTCACTGCTCCTGGATGCGTCCTGACTTGTGTGTTATTACTTGTATTGCCTTTGTCAGTGTGGATCTGTTAAGCCCTCAAACTTTCCAGCTGCGACCACCCGGTTCTTTGAGATTCCCCTGAAGGGTTTTGCTGTCGACTCGACCGTTGCAGGTGGGACTCTATTTGGCTTTGATTTATACTTCAATGTACTACCTCGTCGCAGTGCTCTAACTTGTCTGCTGTGATTGTGGCATATTGGCATCCTTCAAACCGTACTTCTTATGGACCGTTCAGTTAGCTTCGTCCAGGTAACTGTGCCTGTTCCCGAAAATCTGGTAGCATCCAAGCCGCATGCATACCAGTGGTATCAATATTCATTTAGCAATGTTGCCTTTTTCACTAGGCTGTCACTGAGCACTTCGTTCTGACCTCACCCGCAGATGCTTGGTGTGACCAGCCTTCTCAAAGAGACGAGCAGCTACTCTGTAGCTCCATGCGTTCAGAAGCTTTTGGCGGACGGTGCCATGAAGGTCTTCAATGAGAGCGACGGCCTATTCCCTGGTTCGGTTTTTGCCGGATTGAACAACCTGAAGCCATTTCCCATGAACTATATCTCGATGGACACGTCGACCGACCCTGGGCCTCTCAAGGTGAACATGAAGCATTTGTTGGTTTTGGCCCGCATATTTCAGAGGATCCTCTGTTTTATGTCAATTCAATATCTTAAGGTTACGGCCCTAATCCGACGCTATCCGTCTTTCAGCGCGCGGAGTGGATCAAGTACATGGCTCTGTGGTTCAATGCTGAGTCGCGCGCGTCGCAAGTCTACTCTGATGTAAGCCGTTTGTTTATTTCGAAGCTGTTGAGTTCATTGGCGATCAGATAAAACCTGGCTCAAATGCTAAAGGAACTTTTCTGCCTTGCCTTGCCTTACTTGTCTGACTTTTCCAGATTGAGACATCGTACAACTGCTTGAAAGCATCTGCTCCCAAAACATCCACACCTATGGTTGGCTGGATGGGCTATTACATGGTGAGTCCGAAACAGTGGGATGATGTTATCAGAGAGTATATTTACAGCTGTTCTGGATGTTAACTTTCCTGATTTATGTTTTCCCTACCAGGGTTTGTGGTCCGTCTCTGGTTCTGCATACAAGCTTCAGGTGCGTCTTGACTATCTGCCAAGTGCAGTGTGCGCTGCGTGTATAACTTGGTATGAACAAACTCTAACGTGCTATTTGTTTCTTTTCAGTATGTTGCGGACGCTGGTGGTGTGAGCCCCGCCAAGGCGTATTTTAGGATCTACAACATGTCTCTTCCATCTGATAAGAAGGCTTTCCAGACACTGCTTGCGGTAAGGCTTCCTCGCTTCGCTATGGCTGATTATCCTGGAATTCAGTCACGAACTTCTGAGCTGAAATTTTTGGAAAATCCTTGTCGCAATGGCAGACTCTTGACATCGTCATTGACGAGACCTACCTCATGACTGGCCCGTCAGGCTACAGCATTGATGTCTTTGCAAAGAATGCTGGCATTTCTGTGACTGACACTGCCACCTACAAGTTCCTTGCCACTCCCAATGTCTGGAGCATGTATGGCCGCGCCACTGGAGCTCCCAACTACGCCACTGGTATGCAATCGAGGTTATGTCCCTTCGCATTTAGAACCATCTTTTTCTTACTAACCTTGCTCTTATCTGACCGCCTCCTGTGCAGACTGGTATGAGAGTGCCATTGCTCAGCCCCAGGTGGTCCTTGCCGATCTGATCTCCATCATGCATCCTGGCGATGTGCCTGTTCCCAAAAAGTATTTTTTCAACAATATTGCTCAGGTGTGTATCATGTCACCCTCAGCCTCATCTGGCGAATTTCCGCTCCAAATGCCGTTCTCCAATTTTGTCAACAGTAAGTGTAACAATGTCCAACATGTTAATTGTAGCTCCTCTGGTGTTGCCTTTGCAGTTGGAGACGGGTGCTGTGGTCTCTGCAGCCAACTGCACGACCCTGGACCCCACGGAGGTGGTTAACCCCATCATCCCTGCCTGCTCAGCCACCATTACCCCTGAGGTTCCAGGAACTGCATCCGCTCCAGCTACCCCTCCCAGCTCATCCCCTCCCAGCTCGCCTCCTCCCTGCTCACCCCCTCCCAGCTCGCCCCCACCTGCCCCCAAGGCTGCTGCATCCTCTGGCTCTCTGCTTGGCGCTGGTCTAGCTGCACTTCTTGCTGCTACCATTGCTGCACTGGTCTGAGGTCTCAGATCGGGATGTAACCAGTTTGGCTTCCATGTTGACAGCTTCCTCTGGGGTGATAGATATGCTGCACGTAAATGTCACATGACTGGAATTGTGCTGGATGGCTGTAACTAGCATTTGAGAATGTTTACATGGAACATGGATTGGTGCGAGCACCTGAGTCCAACTCTTCACATTTTTACAGGGAGTATGGTCATGGACACATTGTGCTTGCAGGAAACTACCGTACCGTATCTTGAAGCAGATACTGCGTATACTGGAGAAGCTACTGGCAGGTTCTCATGAGATTAATGGTGGGCAACAAAACTTATGATTGTTAACCTGCTACAAGCACCTCGACCCATCTACGGACAGATGTGTTGGTGCAAGGATGTGTAACAGCCCCTACTGGAGTATATCATTAGCTGCATATGCTGCCCTATTACACGCCATTGAGCACGTGGCACAGAGTAGCAGCCAGCTGTCTAACTGTGACTGGCTTGAGCAACACAGCATCCATGCCTGCTGCTACACATGCCTCCGCCATGCCACTGTCCGTGCGTGCAGTGAGACCAACTATCAAAGGCCGCTCGTCAGGCCTGTCATTGGATGGGAAAAGGAAAGAGGAGGAAAGGGGCCGGGATGGGATTGGGATGCAGAAGCAATGGAGGCTGGCTTGCGATTGGGGAAGGATGACAATGGACCGCGAGCGGAAGGAGCTTACGAAGGAGAAAAAGGTGGACAATGGAGGAGGAAGCACATACAATGACATGGCAGACCTGACCCAAAAACTCTTCAGCGGGGCATTCAAGGAGGCAGTACAGGAAGAGAATGTGCTTGCAGGCATCCTACAGGATGGCGACTCCAAAGTCAAATCTGAGACTACCTAAGGACGGAGGCAAACAAGGGATGCCACCGTGCCGACAGATCGTATTTCTGAAACGCCATTGAAATCGATACCGAAGGGCGAAAGGGGCAACCACAAGAGAGCATACCGGAAGAGGCAGTAGATGCGGCGGGCGACTTCAAAGCCGTCAACATCGGGCATGCAGACATCCAGCAGACATTTGAGTCGGGTCAAAAGTCACCTCGGGGGTTGACTGCAAGAGAACGCACCGGAAGAGGCAGTGGATGCGGCGGGCCACCTCAAAGCCGTCGACATCGGGCATGCCGACATCCACCGGCAAAGGGGCGAAAGGGGTGAAAGGGGCGACTGCAAGAGAGCCTACCGAAAGAGGCAGTGGAAGAGAACGCACCGGAAGAGGGAGTGGATGCGGCGGGCCACCTCAAATCCATCAATGTCGGGCATGCAGACATCCAGCAGCACCACATCCACAGGCGGGACTGCGGGGCTCTTGCGCGTGGTCAGCTCCATCTGACACTCCTGCGCACTGCCCACGCTGCTGACGTGGCACCGCAGCGTCAGCAGCATCTGATGTGTCGCGATGCGATTCGCCACGTTGTCCTCGACTAGCTGAGGAAGAAAGAGGAGCGGGGGTGAGAGCAAGGAGGGCGCAAGGCAGATTGGGTAGGGAGAGGGACAGAAGGATGCAACGAACAGGAAGAGGGTGAAGGAAGGATGGTGGAGAACGATGGGAGGATGCGGATTACAGTGTGACGATGGGCAAACTTTCCAGAAGACAGCAGGACAAGAGAGAGGACATAAAGGACGCGAGAGAGGACATACATGCACACATACATGCATCCACACTTGACACAAACTTGCACACAACACATACATGCATACATGCACAGCTAACACATGCAAGCACACATCCTGCACGCACCAGCACATGCACTCACCAGCACATGCACTCACCAGCACATGCACTCACCAGCACATGCACTCACCAGCACATGCACTCACCAGCACATGCACTCACCAGCACATGCACTCACCAGCACATGCACTCACCAGCACATGCACTCACCAGCACATGCACTCACCAGCACATGCACTCACCAGCACATGCACTCACCAGCACATGCACTCACCAGCACATGCACTCACCAGCACATGCACTCACCAGCACATGCACTCACCAGCACATGCACTCACCAGCACATGCACTCACCAGCACATGCACTCACCAGCACATGCACTCACCAGCACATGCACTCACCAGCACGTGCACTCACCAGCACATGCACTCACCAGCACATGCACTCACCAGCACGTGCACTCACCAGCACGTGCACTCACCAGCACGTGCACTCCTTCCAGCTCCTGTACATAAGAATCCATCGACGACACCGTGCTGTCACTAAACGCCGAATCCTCATCATCATCCTCATCATCCTCCTCCTCCTCCTCCTCCTCCTCCTCATCATCATCCCCATCCATATACGAATATTCTTCGCCACCCTTCCTCGTCCCCCTTCCCCTGTCCTCCTCCCCATCCACACCATCACCAGCACCATCAAACCCGCTATTCCACAGCAACCCATTGCTCCTCTCCTCTCCCCCACCAACCCCATCAAGACCGGCCCTTCTACCTCTCCTCCTCGCTCTGCTGCTAGAAACCCGCCCCCCCCTCTCCCTGAACCCCAAATTCTGCCTCTTGGTTCGATCCAGCACCAACCGCACAACAAACGTCACCGTCGCCCCCAACCCCTGCCCACCGCTCTCAATCCACATGTAACCCCCCATCAGCTGCACGAACTTCCGGCAGATCTCGAACCCTAGCAACGTCCCTCCCTTCCTCTCCTCCCCTGTTCCCTCTACTCCGCTTCTCTGCCCCTCTCCTCCTCTTCCTCCTCCTCCTGCTCCACTCTCCCCATCCGCATCACTCGCTCGCTGCTGCTGCAGCAGCAATGCCTCGTGCTGCCTAAACTCCATGGCTGTGAGTCCACACCCCGAGTCCTTGATATCTACACGAATGTTCACCAAATCTTGGCCCAGCAGCAGCTGCAGAGGGGAAGGAGGAACGGGAGGTTTGTGATGGTTAAGAGCCAGCAGCAGCGCCTGGTGATGCCTAAACTCCATGGCTGTCAGGCCACACCCCAAGTCCTTGATATCTACACGAATTTTCACTAAGTCTTGACCCAGCAACAGCTGCAGGGGCGAGACGGGTTGCATACATGCCAAAGCGGATACGATTACAATTTCACTGGGGGAAAGGAAAAAAAAAAAAAAAACAAAAAAAATGTGAGGCTACACAAATCCTTGCAAAGGCAACAGGGAGGGGCTTGAGACAACAGCAGCAATACAGTTGATTCCATTCCACAAAGGCCCAGTTCCTACCTCCCACGGTGTGTGTGGCTGCAGGCCGAGCGAATTCTCCCCTGCGGCGGCAGCTGTAGCAGCAGCAGCAGGGAGGAAAGCAGCAGCAGCAGGGCCATCACCGGCTGTGAAGGAGGACTGGGAGGAGTGGGGCCGGGGGGTCTGCCCATCGTCCACTGATACCCGCACCGACACAAAGCCCTGCTTGGGGATTGGGGAGACATGGAGTGAAGGCAGCAGCAGAGGAAGGGAGAGAGGCGGTTGAGCTGTGGCGTCTGCCCATAGTTCCACTGGCTGCAGTGGCAGCAGGGAGGAAAGCAGCAGCCGGGCCATCACCGGCTGTGAAGGAGGACTGAGAGGAATGGGGCCGGGGGGTCTGCCCATCATCTACAGATACCCGCACCGACACAAAGCCCTGCTTGGGGATTGGGGAGACATGGAGTGAAGGCAGCAGCAGAGGTGGAAAGAGCAGAGGGTTGAAGGGTCTGCCCATCGTCCCACAGCTCGCCCAATGAGGAGCAGCATGAGGTGCAGCAGTCAAATCACCCGCCCAACCCCCCCCCCCTCCTCCGATTCCCCCCTTGTCTCCCGCTCACCTCGTCGGTTTTCTTCACAGCCCTTCCAATAAGGTGCAGCATGAGGCGCAGCAGCCTTTCCTCATCGCCCACCACGTATCGTGGCACCACCCCCGCCACCTCCAGGGAGAAGCGCAGCCCCTTGGACCGCACCAGCCACTTCCTGTGATTGATGCTGCCCCGTCCCCTCCCCTAATGCCGCTCTCTACCTTCCCCTTTTCCCTCGCACCCTACCAGGAGATGCAGCAATCCTCCAATTCCCCACTCACCTCATCCGTCTTCTTCACAGCTCGCCCAATCAGATGCAGCATCAACCGGAGCAGCCTTTTCTCATCGCCCACCACATACCGTGGCACCACCCCCGCCACCTCCAGGGAGAAGCGCAGCCCCTTGGACCTCACAGCAGGCCTCCCCTCCCCTGCTGCCCATCCCTTCTATTCATGCCGCTCGCTACCCCCTCTCTCTCTGACACCCCCGAGAGGAGGTGCAGCAGTCGTCTGATTCCTCTCCTCTCGCTCACCTCATCGGTCTTCTTCACAGCCCGTCCGATGAGGTGCAGCATGAGGCGCAGCAGGCGCTTCTCATCGCCCACCACATACCGCGGCACCACCCCCGCCACCTCCAGGGAGAAGCGCAGCCCCTTGGACCGCACCAGCGGCCACGCCAGCTTGCCGGCTTCTCTGCACAGCTTGCGCAGGTCAAAGGGGCGCTTCTCTAGGTGCAGACTGGGAGGGGGGGGAGGGGGTAATGAAGCGAAAGAGTGGATTCCACGGGGGGAGGATACAGGGTGAGCAGGCTTTCGGGAGACTCCACACTGGCAACGGGTTGTGGAGCGCACCAGCGGCCACGCCAGCTTGCCGGCTTCTCTGCACAGCTTGCGCAGGTCAAAGGGGCGCTTCTCTAGGTGCAGACTGGGAGGGGGGGGAGGGGGTAATGAAGCGAAAGAGTGGATTCCACGGGGGGAGGATACAGGGTGAGCAGGCTTTCGGGAGACTCCACACTGGCAACGGGTTGTGGAGCGCACCAGCGGCCACGCCAGCTTCCCGGCTTCTCTGCACAGCTTGCGCAGGTCAAAGGGGCGCTTCTCTAGGTGCAGACTGGGAGGGGGGGGAGGGGGTAATGAAGCGAAAGAGTGGATTCCACGGGGGGAGGATACAGGGTGAGCAGGCTTTCGGGAGACTCCACACTGGCAACGGGTTGTGGAGCGCACCAGCGGCCACGCCAGCTTGCCGGCTTCTCTGCACAGCTTGCGCAGGTCAAAGGGGCGCTTCTCTAGGTGCAGGCTGGGAGGGGTAGGGGGGGTGTTAATGAAACGAAAGAGTGGATTCCACAGGGGGAGGATACAGGGTGAGGAGCGATGTCAAGCATGCCAGTGATGAGCGATGTGAGCAGCGACGCACTGTGCAGCACAGAACAGCACTGCACAGCACTGCACGGCACAGCACAGCATGGAACAGACGTCTAACAGCCTTCCACTCCCTCCCTTACCTCCTTCCCTCACCTCCCTCTCACCTCTCCTCCTGTCGGCTGAAGTCGAGCACATCAGTGATGAGCGATGTGAGCAGCGACGCACTGCGCAGCACAGTGGCCACCATGGGTGCTTGCTCCGGGGTCAGGTCCTCCTCCTGAGAGGGGAAGGGGGCAAAGGAGTGGGTGGATAGTTAAGTGGGTGCGGGTGTCACTACAATGAGGTGAGCAGCGACGCACTGTGCAGTACAGTCGCCACCATGGGTGCTTGCTCCGGGGTTAGGTCCTCTTCCTGGTGGTTGAAAGGAGGGGTGGGGTGGGTGGATAGTCGAGTGGGTGCGGGTGTCACTACTACAATGATGTGAGCAGCGACGCACTACGCAGCACAGTGGCCACCATGGGTGCTTGCTCCGGGGTCAGGTCCTCCTCCTGGGGGAGCGCGGGGGTGGAAAGCGGGGAGAGGTGGAGGGGAAGGAGTGGGGGGGTCGACTCAGAAGGCACAGTTGCCACCATGGGTGCTTGCTCCGGGGTCAGGTCCTCCTCCTGAGAGGGGAAGGGGGCAAAGGAGTGGGTGGATAGTTAAGTGGGTGCGGGTGTCACTACAATGTGGTGAGCAGCGACGCACTGCGCAGCACAGTCGCCACCATGGGTGCTTGCTCCGGGGTTAGGTCCTCCTCCTGGGGGGATGGAGTGCAGAGCAGGTTTGAAACGGTGAATGCTGAGTCGACTCAGAAGGAACAGTCACCACTATCGGCGCACATCATGCCCATATCACTGTCAGCAAGCTGAATGTGCTCAAAATGAGTGATGGAGGGCAGGGAGTGCGCATCCCATGGTTGATGGTTCATCATTGCGCTGACTACAAGTGGTGTCAACAGCACAACATGCAGCCTGCCAACACAGTGGGCTGACATTAAGAATGGAGGCGAGAGCAGAGATGGAGTGCAGGGGTGTGCTCATCTCATGATTCATGCGAAATTCATTCCCTACGCAGTGTCCCCACCCACAATCACTGCTCTCACATTGAAGATGGATGCCAGGGCAGTGATGGAGTGCAAGGGGGTGCGCATCTCATGGTTAGTCATTCCCTGCACAGTGCTCTCACATGCTCTCACAAATACCCCCAAGCACCCACAACCACTGCTCTCACATTGAAGATGGATGCGAGGGCAGTGATGGAGTGCAAGGGGTTGCGCATCTCATGCTTCATCACTGCAAGAAAGTCGTTCCTCTGCCACCTCTGCTCTCTGCCCTCTGGCTTCAATGGCCTTAACAGCAGGCGCAGTGTTCAGCAGCTCACATTGAGAATGGAAGCCAGAGCAGTGATGGAGTGCAGGGGCGTGCGCATCTCATGGTTCATCACTGCCAGGAAGTCGTTCCTCACCATCACTACCAACCATATTCCCTACCTTTGCTTTCGTGCCCTTGTGCTGACTTCCGGTGTTGTTAAGTGCGCAGGTAGAAAGCTCGTACACACTGCTGCAACACTCACATTGAGAATGGAAGCGAGAGCAGTGATGGAGTGCAGGGGAGTGCGCATCTCATGGTTCATCACTGCCAGAAAATCGTTCCTTGCCATCACTGCCACCTCTGCCCGCTGCCTTGCTGCCTGCAGCGTTCGGTTCTTCTCCTCCAACTCGTCCCTTCGCCGCTGGTTGAGGGGAGACAGGAGAGGGAGAGAAGCGAGTGCAAGAAGAAAAAGAGAATAATCAGGTTTCTCTTTGCAGTTCCACCACTAGCACCTGCCCCTGCCCCCCACAGCAACCCATCATCCTCCTGCATCCTTCATTCAGCCTTCACTGAGTCTAAAAACACAACTCATCGTCCCCTCCTTCACTCCTAGCACTGCCACATGTGGGAGAGCCACTGCCACATGTGAGAGAGCCACTGCCACCCGGTCCGCGTTACCCAAGTCTAAGAAAAAACAACTAACTCCTCACCCCTCACCTGCGTCTCCTCCAGCACCGCTGCATGTGAGAGCGCCACTGCCACCTGGTCCGCCACCACCTCCACCATCTCCTCCCCCCATTCACCTTGCACTTAGTCTACAAACCCAGGCAATCGCCTCCTCCATCACCCCTCACCTGCGTCTCCTCCAGCACCGCTGCATGTGAGAGGGCCACTGCCACCTGGTCCGCCACCACCTCCACCATCTCCTCCCCCCATTCACCTTGCACTTAGTCTACAAACCCAGGCAATCGCCTCCTCCATCACCCCTCACCTGCGTCTCCTCCAGCACCGCTGCATGTGAGAGGGCCACTGCCACCTGGTCCGCCACCACCTCCACCATCTCCTCCCCCCATTCACCTTGCACTTAGTCTACAAACCCAGGCAATCGCCTCCTCCATCACCCCTCACCTGCGTCTCCTCCAGCACCGCTGCATGTGAGAGGGCCACTGCCACCTGGTCCGCCACCACCTCCACCATCTCCTCCCCCCATTCACCTTGCACTTAGTCTACAAACCCAGGCAATCGCCTCCTCCATCACCCCTCACCTGCGTCTCCTCCAGCACCGCTGCATGTGAGAGGGCCACTGCCACCTGGTCCGCCACCACCTCCACCATCTCCTCCCCCCATTCACCTTGCACTTAGTCTACAAACCCAGGCAATCGCCTCCTCCATCACCCCTCACCTGCGTCTCCTCCAGCACCGCTGCATGTGAGAGGGCCACTGCCACCTGGTCCGCCACCACCTCCACCATCTCCTCCCCCCATTCACCTTGCACTTAGTCTACAAACCCAGGCAATCGCCTCCTCCATCACCCCTCACCTGCGTCTCCTCCAGCACCGCTGCATGTGAGAGGGCCACTGCCACCTGGTCCGCCACCACCTCCACCATCTCCTCCCCCCATTCACCTTGCACTTAGTCTACAAACCCAGGCAATCGCCTCCTCCATCACCCCTCACCTGCGTCTCCTCCAGCACCGCTGCATGTGAGAGGGCCACTGCCACCTGGTCCGCCACCACCTCCACCATCTCCTCCCCCCATTCACCTTGCACTTAGTCTACAAACCCAGGCAATCGCCTCCTCCATCACCCCTCACCTGCGTCTCCTCCAGCACCGCTGCATGTGAGAGGGCCACTGCCACCTGGTCCGCCACCACCTCCACCATCTCCTCCCCCCATTCACCTTGCACTTAGTCTACAAACCCAGGCAATCGCCTCCTCCATCACCCCTCACCTGCGTCTCCTCCAGCACCGCTGCATGTGAGAGGGCCACTGCCACCTGGTCCGCCACCACCTCCACCATCTCCTCCCCCCATTCACCTTGCACTTAGTCTACAAACCCAGGCAATCGCCTCCTCCATCACCCCTCACCTGCGTCTCCTCCAGCACCGCTGCATGTGAGAGGGCCACTGCCACCTGGTCCGCCACCACCTCCACCATCTCCTCCCCCCATTCACCTTGCACTTAGTCTACAAACCCAGGCAATCGCCTCCTCCATCACCCCTCACCTGCGTCTCCTCCAGCACCGCTGCATGTGAGAGGGCCACTGCCACCTGGTCCGCCACCACCTCCACCATCTCCTCCCCCCATTCACCTTGCACTTAGTCTACAAACCCAGGCAATCGCCTCCTCCATCACCCCTCACCTGCGTCTCCTCCAGCACCGCTGCATGTGAGAGCGCCACTGCCACCTGATCCGCCACCACCTCCACCATCTCCACCTCGTGTGCCTTCCACTGCCTGGTTGGGGGGGGGGAGAGGAGAGGAGGGGGAGGGGTAGAGAGCACAGAGCTGACGTGAGGCGAAGTGATGCCAAAGCCACTGCCACCTGGTCTGCTACCACCTCCACCATCTCCACCCCATGCGCCTTCCACTGCTTGGTGGGAGGAGGGGTGAAGAGAGGAAGAGAGAAAAGGAAGTGAGGGGAGTGAAGTAGAGGAGAGGGCAGCAGAGGTTCGTGCTGAGGCGTCTCCTCCAGCACTGCCGCGTGTGAGAGGGCCACTGCTACCCTGGTCGAATACCACCTCCACCATCTCCACCCCATGCGCCTTCCACTGCCTGCAACCAGGAGAGACGGGAGAGGGCAGCAGAGGTTCGTGCTGAGGCGTCTCCTCCACTCCAGCACTGCAGCGTGTGAGAGAGGCATGGCTACCTGGTCTGCTCTGGTCTGCTGCTACCACCTCCACCATGTCCACCCCATGCGCCTTCCACTGCCTCGAAGAAAAGGTGCGAAGAGACAACTTTTGAGGGGAGGAGAGGAGGGAGAGGGTACAGAAAAGGCATAGTCTGCTGCTGAGGCTTAGAAGCAACCATTTTGAGAAGTCCTAAAAAACAGCTTACAGCACAAGCCACAAATTATTCCTGTCACTCACACACCTTCTGGCATCCCCATGCAGCACAAGCACCATGAGCCCATACACCGGCACCACTCCCCCCACCCTCTCCTCTCCTTCCCTGCCCCTCCACTGGCTGTTAAGTTGACTAGTTAAAGATCAAATCAAACATCCACCAATCCTCACCTTCTGGCATCCCCATGCAGCACAAGCACCATGAGCCCATACACCGGCACCACTCCCCCCACCCTCTCCTCTCCTTCCCTGCCCCTCCACTGGCTGTTAAGTTGACTAGTTAAAGATCAAATCAAACATCCACCAATCCTCACCTTCTGGCATCCCCATGCAGCACAAGCACCATGAGCCCATACACCGGCACCACTCCCCCTACCCTCTCCTCGCTCCCGCCACCACTCCCACCCTCCCCTCCTCCTGCCGCTGCAGCACCATCACCACTCCGAAGCAAGGGAGTGCTTTCTCCCCCACTCCCATTCACATCCTCACCACCTGCCTCCACCCCACCCGCAGCCACAGCCGCCGCCACCGCCGCCGCTGCTGCTGCAGCGGCAGCATCGGCAGCAGCAGCGGCATCAGCCATGGCTTCGAGGGGCAGAATGGGCAGGCGCACAGCAGCAAGGGAGGTGCTGTGGGCGGTATGGGAGGCAGAGGCACGGCCGATGAAGGAGGAGGGGGAGATGCGGAGGGCGCGGGGCGTGTGGATGAGGGACTGGACCGTGGGGTCGGAGAGAGGGACGAGCACTGGTGCCTGCACTAGCCGCCGCTCCAACTCGTGTGTCAACTCCAAACAGGAACCGGCTGGATAGAGGGGAAGTGGGAAGGGGAGTTGGAAAGAAAATGTTACAATTAGCACAACCGCAACCGCTCTCACGGAGTCACGGGTAACAGTTCTCACAAGCAACAGCACCCACAGCCGGTTACTCACAGGCGTGTGGCATCCAAATGGTGCAGTTCTCAAGTTTCAGACATATCTCAGTGAGCTGCGTGCGTGCAGTAGGCTTAAAGCAAAGGATAAACAGCGGTAAAATTCCGCTCTTGTGTAAAACTAAGTGCTCAGAACGATCTCAGAACCCAAATTCTTAGGGTAACAGCACTCATAGGTAACAGCACCCACAGCCATTACTCACAGGCGTGCGGCATCCAGATGGTGCAGTTTTCGAGCATGAGCGCCTGAGCCAGCTCCACGAGAGTGGTGTTGAGGATGGTGTGCCGGTCCAGCGACTGGTAGGTAGCAGCACTCATGGGAAACAGCACTCATAGGCACTTGATAGGTAACAACACTCACAAGGACTGCTCTACTCACAGGGGTGTGGCATCCAGATGGTGCAGTTCTCAAGCATGAGCGCCTGGGCGAGCTCCACGAGGGTGGTGTTGAGAATGGTGTGTCGGTCCAGTGACTGGCGGATCTCGTATGTCAGCATGCGCACGTGCCGCCCCACCTCCTCCTTGCGCCGCATCACGTCCATCTCTCTGTCTAGCTGTGCCGCTTTATTCTGCAAGAAGAGCTCTCGGACCTGCAGGCAGACAGGGAATGGGGAATGTGTGGGGGGCCGGGGGAATGGATATCCCTAGGCATGCGCACGTGCCGCCCCACCTCCTCCTTGCGCCGCATCACGTCCATCTCCCTGTCCAGCTGCGCTGCCTTGTGTTGTAGAAACAACTCGCGGACCTGCACACAGGGAATGGGGGAGCGCGTGGGGCAATGGAGGCAAGAAACGTGAGGCTGAGGCATGCACTACATTGCCACATGCGCCACACGAGAGTGGTGTTGAGGATGGTGTGGCGGTCCAGCGACTGCCGGATCTCATACGTCAGCATGGGCACATGCCGCCCCACCTCCTCCTTGCGCCTCATCACATCCATTTCTCTGTCTAGCTGCGCTGCTTTATGCTGCAAAAACAGCTCCCGGACCTGCAGGCAGCCACGAGAAAGGTGTTGGGGGATGTGAGGCACTGAGTTGCCACACGTGCCGCCCCACCTCCTCCTTTCGCCTCATCACGTCCATCTCTCTATGTAGCTGTGCCGCTTTATGCTGCAGGAACAACTCACGGACCTGGCAGATGGTGTGGAGGGATGCGAGGGGAAACATGGAAAAGGGAACGAGGATGTGAAATATGCGCATGTGCCGCCCCACCTCCTCCTTCTGCCTCACCATGTCCGTCCATCTCCCTGTCCAACTGCGATGCCTTGGGCTGAAGGAACAGCTCCGGGACCTTAAGACATTACGGGGAATGCATGGAGGAATGGGACTCTGTGGAATGCGCACGTGCCCCTACACCTGCTCCTTGCGCCTAACATTTTGCTGCAACTGCCGCACCTGCTAAGCCTGCTACACCTGCTGCACCAGCTTGTAACAGAGAGAGCACAGCACGATACAACGCACCTTGACGTTGAGAAGTGCAGGGATGATGGTGACAAGGAGGAAGGCTGTGGCACAGGAGACAGCCGCGCAGAGCACTTTAAGCACCGTCTGTAGCACTGCGACCGCGCTGGGATGGGGGCCGTACGTCCACATGTTGACCAGATGGGTCAGACCTGGGTGGGTGGGGTGGGTCAGGGGATATATTTCAAGAAAAAGTGAGCAGCACAGAGCACTTTGAGCACTGTTTGCAGCACTGCCACTGCACTGGGGTGGGGACCGTACCGTACGTCCACATGTTCACCAGGTGGGCCAGACCTGGGTGGGTGGTGCGCATAAGGGGCGCACGGGCGGAGAGGAAGGAACGAGAAGGGGAAGGAAGGCTGAGAAGCACGTTAAGCACCGTCTGTGACTCTGTAGCACTGCGACCGCGCTGGGATGGGGGCCGTACGTCCACATGTTGACAAGGTGGGTCAGACCTGGGTGCATGAGGGGAGAGGTTGTGGGATATTTACAACATTGGTGAAGCAAGGGAAGGGCGTGGCACAGGACACAGCCGCACAGAGAACTGTGGCTCTGCCACTGTGCCACTGCGCTGGGGTGGGGGCCGTACGTCCACATGTTGACCAGATGAGTCAGACCTGGGTGCATGGGAAGCAAGGGAGAGAGGCAGAGGGATAGCGCAGAACACAATGTAACGAGCTCACGGCACCCAATGATGAAACGGGCAATGGAGTAGCTTGGCTGACTATTATAACTCTAGCGACCCAAGCGACCAAAGGACAATGAAGATAATACATCCCAAAGGGAGGTTTGCAGGGTGTAGCGCAGGGGGGAAGGTTACATTATGCAAGGGTGCTCACCACAGAGCACGATGAAGAGGCCGAAGTGCACTGCAGCAGCACCCAGCGGCAAGGGAACATCCCACGAGTGAACATCCCACGAGTGGGGTGCTGCTGACAAGGGAACATCCCACGAGTGGGGTGCGGGACTCACTGCACAGCAAAGAGGGAGCTTCGAGACTCACCACAGAGCACGATGAAGAGGCCGAAGTGCACTGCAGCAGCACCCAGCGGTTGAAGTAACCAAGGGACAACGACGAGGGTACAGACAGAAAAGGGAAGGTTACATGGCGCAACGCTTGGCTCACCACAGAGCCCGATGAAGAGGCCGGACTGCACTGCAGCAGCACCCAGCGGCGAGGGAAGACCTTTAAGTCGACTCAAAGCTCAAAGTCCAAGGCTCGCCACAGAGAAAAGGGGGGAAGCAAGGAGGCTCACCGAAGAGAAAAAGGGGGAAGCAAGGAGGCTCACCACAGAGAAAAAGGGGGAAGCAAGGAGGCTCACCACAGAGAAAAAGGGGGAAGCAAGGAGGCTCACCGCAGAGCACGATGAAGAGGCCGAACTGCAGCAGCACCCAGCGGTGGGGAAAGACCTTGGCTCGCAGGAAGAAATAGAGAAGCTCCAATGGGATGGAGAAGTAGGCCAAGGCTATGAGGAAGTCGCTGGGGGAGAGAAGAGGGGGTGGGGGGGATGCACAGGAGAGGCGTTAGAGGGGGAGACGTAGCGGTGGGGGACGACCTTGGCTCGCAGGAAGAAGTAGGACAGGGAGAAGTAGGCCAGGGCTATGAGAAGTAGGGCTATGAGGACGTCGCTGTGATGAGAAGAGGGGGTGATGGACAGGGATGGGAGTGCATGCAGAAGGGGGGGAGAAGAGAGGGGAGGTAGCAGGGGTTGGAAGACCTGGGTGCGCAGAGAGAAGTAGAGGAGCTCAAGGGGGATGGAGAAGTAGGCCAGGGCTATGAGGAAGTCGCTGGGGGAGAAGAGCGGGTGGGGAGGGGGATGCACAGGGGAGGCGTTAGAGGGGGAGAGGGGAGAGGGGAGAGGGGAGAGGTAGCGGTGCGAGAAGCTCGAGAGGGATGGAGAAGTAGGCCAGGGCTATGAGGAAGTCGCTGGGGGAGAGAGTGGAGGGAAAATGACGGGCCGGAGGGAAATAGGAAGGAGATGGAAGAAAGGAACGCACTGTCTCAAAGGGACGGGGAAGTGTGCAAGGAGGTCGGTGGGGGGAAGGGGAGGGGAGGGGAGGGGAGGTGAGGGGATGCATGGCGGAGAAGGATTGCAGGGCGAAGAAGAGGGGAAGGGAGGGAGAATAAAGTGAGTGGAAGGAGCTGGAGTGGGATGGAGAGGAACTACTAGACCACTTATGAGGATAATAGAAAGAGAGCAAGTCGGTGGGTGGTGGCGGGAAAGGGGAGGGGGCAAGCAAGGTAAGCTGGCAGCGCAATACCGTCTCCCTTCCCTCCACTCTCGCTTCCCTCGCTCTCTCTCCACTCTCTCAGCCGCTCTCTCTCCTACTATCTCCCCCCACACTCTCTCCTCCCTCTCCCCATCCCCCCTCTCTCCTCCCCTCCCCCCCCCCCCGTCCAGCACGCCGCGCTCGTCCGCTGGTTCCCTTGCTACACCCCAAGCTACTTCCCTTTACCCCCCTTCCTCCCTCCCTCCCCCCTCTCCTCCTCCCACCTGGCGAGCTGGCAGCGCGCAATACCCTCGTCCAGCACGCCATGCTCGTCTGCTGCTGCCCCCTGCTGCACGCCATGTTACTTCCCTTTTTACCCCCATTTCTCCCCCCCCCCCCCCACCCCACCTGGCGAGCTGGCAGCGCGCAATGCCCTCGTCCAGCACGCCGTGCTCGTCCTCTGCCCCCCCTGCTGCACCCCATGTTACATCCCCTTCACATCCACAACCACCCCACCCCAACTCCCCGCTTCCCCTTTTCCCCCACCTGGCGAGCTGGCAGCGCGCAATACCCTCGTCCAGCACGCCGTGCTCGTCCTCGCACTGGCAGAGGAAGGGGAAGATGCGCGGCATGGGGTGCAGCCTGGGGGAGGGGGGAAGGGGAGGGCGGAAAACGGGCGGAAAGGGGGGGGTGTTGGGGGGTTTTGGTGTGATGGTTGAGACGCCAAAAAGCTCGTCGTCCTCGCAGGAGCAGAGGAAGGGGAAGATGCGCGGCATGGGATGCAGCCTTGCGGGGGGAAGTGACGTGACACGTGGTCACCTAAACACAGACGTTCATGAATACGAATTCCGGATTAGTTCTGAGTAAGAGCTCCACTAAAGTCCCATTCCTATTCATCCATTCAGTTCCCCGTACGCCTGCCTCACCCCATGTTTCCGCCACTCGCGTGCAGCGCGGTGGCGCACGCCGCCAAAACAGACGCCAGCGCCGCCACTGCAGTTCCGCCAACCATCCAACTCCGCGCCATGGCGCAGAGACGGGGGATACGGGGAGGGACGGAATGCGCGCGACGCGAACCAGCGCAAATAGGCGGAACGGCGCGGAACGGCGCGAATGGGGGAAAGGGGCGAGGCGCGGAAAGACGAGGCGGGCGGCGCGGAAGGTGGAGGCAACCACGAAAATACGCGGCGGAAGGTACTCGACGCGGGGCGAAAAGGGAACTATCGCCGAGGCGCTTTGTGCTACGCTCTCCTAACAGCCCTCAAGACAGCAAATCCTCCTACTAGTGCGCGCTATAGCGTCACGCCCACGCGACTGCAGGAAGCGCATCGCGAGAACAGTTCGCGGCCAGGCAACAGAGACGGTAACGTATGCATCAACCTTGCATTAGAATTTGAGAATTCTCAAGAATACCGACTCCGATCTGCTTTCCAGCCACTAACGGCTCTGTAGGCAACTCGACTCGCCTCGCCTTGGCCTACGTCTCGGTCTCGTGTCCAGAAAACTCGGTCAAGATCACAGTAGACGGCTATTAGGTAGTCGTTCTACATAGTTCTACACACTACGAGTCGCTGTCGCTGACACACTACAGTCGCACACGAACGACGACGAACTCTCTCCATCTGAACTGATCACGGTGAAGATTATCAGCCCGTATGAGCGGAAGTCGAGCCCGAGCAGCTAGCCTCGTCAGCACGCATGCGTGCGTGACGTGGATCACACGCCACCGTACGACTCCGCTCGTGCAATCAGCGTCGTGACAGATGAGAGCTCACAAACTCCCGTTCTTCACCTGCTATGCGGCTGCAAACATGCGCATGCAACGGGACGGGATGTGTCTGTGCTGCTGACGTTCAGACTAACCTACCCTAGTTCTTGTTCTGCCTGCCTGCCCTGGCCGCTGCTGCACTAAATTCTTAGGACTCGGCATTCGGGATAAGGACGTCCTCACCTCACGTGATAAGGACGCACGAAGTAACGCAGGAAGCAAGACGAACAAGTGCTGTATGTACGTGTACAAGTGGAGGGGCAGCGGCTGGTCGGCGGCGCGCGTGCATGTAAAAGTACTGTGCGACTGGCGGGCGGGCAACCTAGGAATAGCGAGACTGGCTGAAATTGCACCAGGGGTGGTGGTACAATTGTGTCGGGCAGATTGGGCAAACCGTGGCAGGGCAAAGTCAGAAACTGGTGTTGGCGCAGTGAGTTTCGGGCAATTGAATAAACTATGGCTTGTGTGGTATTTTTGACGGCCTTTGCTACACGTTGCAACCTTGCATTGCGCGTTGATTGGCCGAGGGTCTTTTTGGCAGGCAGCCAAGCTGCAAGACAGCCAGACTACACTATAGCCCTTGAGCACTGCCCATATGATTGCTAGGACTGATAACATAAACATGAAGTCACACCAAAATTTCACCAATCCCGCCTAGAAATCTCAAATGAGCTGCCGTAATTCACGGTATCAGGGATCAAATACGATGCTGACAGGTCAGCTAAAATGCGGACCACGCTGTAAGTACTCGCCTGTAGGTTACGTAAAAGGTGGTGGTCACAGGCATGTTCCGAGGCTGCTCCGCAGTACACGCTATCATGGCTTCTCTGACTCCGGCTTTCAACTCTCTTCTTGTAGCTTCGCCCGAAACGCGGTTACAGCCTGTTATAACGCACCCCGAGGTGGTCTGGCCTCGCAGGACCTTGCGCCGAGAAATCTCAGCGGACGTCCCCGCTTGACGTGTTTTGCGGGGCTGAACGGATTTCGCAGCGGAATAATGCTGTGGGGACATACTAGCTCAAGCAGGACTCATGGCAGGCTTGAGAATTCGCGTGGCAATAGGAACTCTCTGCAGTGCTTTAATGGGACTCGGGGGGCACAATACGGGGAAAGCTTATATCGAGGAATAGAAGGCATGGCTGGCATCGGCTGGCAATCTAGTGGGCTTCAAACGCGGACGGCTGATGCAACCGCGACACCGCGTGCCCATCATGGGAACGCCGGTGAAGCCAGTCAAAGCGATAATCATCGTACTCATCCAGGGGAGAGCAGCGACGTTGACAGTGACGTTGACGGTGACGGTAACTGCGGTAGTATCTCAGCTACTGGTGATAAACCAGTTAGGGACGAAAGCAGGTCTCCCTCTGAAGACTCTACCTCATCGGATGACGCCACGAGTAACAACAACGCGTCCAGGACACGTGGCAGACAGGGAGCGGTCCGAATCTTGCTCTTCTGGCCCAACATCATTGGGTACCTGAGAATTGCTCTCCTCCTCGCCCTCCTCCTCTACCTCCCCCTCTCAGCACCTCACCCCATCAACCTCTCCACCCTCTCCGCATCCTCCTCCCTCCCATCTATAGCCCACGCGCATGCATCCGTTTACCCCCATGCACACGCTTCCCCCTTTGCAACCCATGCCATGCCTGTGCTGCTGTGTGCGCTGCTCTATCTGCTCAACATGGCATTGGACGGTGTGGATGGCATCGTGGCTCGCCGCCTGCGCCAGGTGTCGGCCTTCGGTGCGATCCTGGACGTTGCTGTGGATAACGCACTGCGCACCGCCATGTGGGCCGCTGCCATGAACAGTGCCACGTGGCTGACCATGTCCAGCGTCAGGCTCGGCACGAACAGTGTCGGCATCGGCGCGGTTAGATTGAGCCTAGACAGTGCTGGTGGGGCCATGCTGGGTTTAATTGGTGTGCGGGTGTTGCAAGCAGCTGCCATCCTTATCCCGTGTGTGGAATGGTTCACTTTCACCTGCTCCCATGCCAGCACGCTTGGCAGTGGCAGTGGCAGTGGCAATGGCAGTGCCAGTAGCAGTGCAACTCGTGCTCGTAGTAATGACACCACAGCGCTTGTAGAAGGTGATGGGGTGGCAACACAAGAGCAAGAGCAAGGGGTGGGGGAAGGACGGGAGCACGGGAATATAGGGAAAGGTGTGGAGCAGGGAGCAGGTTTGAAGGAGCGGTCGAAGGAGAGGAGCAACTGGAAGGAGGTGTGGGGCGGCAAGAACGACAGTCCGCTTCTGGTCTCCCTGGTCATGCGGAATGGCTTCAAAACGTACGTGGCTTGGGGCTGTGCAGTGGGCTGTACTAAATGCTACATTGTGTGCTCGTCGAATGAGTTATGGGTCGTCTAGGGTGGCATGGTTACTATGGAATGGCTACCCACCTTACATCATCACCTTCACTGCACATTGACTCTTTTCTTTCTTCAGAGCTATTCCAACACCCCTCCCTCTCGTGGCCCCTTGACATGGTTCCTCCCCTTTCCCCATGTTTTCCCCATTCATTACTGAGCAATCACAGCCCGGTTGGAGTCGTGGCAATTGCAGGCCTGCACTTCCTCCCTCTCTGGTTCTTCGTTCGACACCATCTTCACCTTTTTGTCACTTCACTCTCACTCGCATATGTGCAAAGCCAACCACCGTTGCACAATCTTGGGATGGTTGCACTTTCGGCACTGACCTCGCTTCCAGTGGGATTGATTCTTGCTATTGGAAGGCTTTTGTGTCTGTTCGTGGAGTTGTGGGTTATCCGAGCTCACCTCTTTCAGATTCTCCTAACCGATGCAGAAGCTCATTCGTGCAAATAGTCATTAGCTAGCTGTACAGGATGGACAACGTAAGGCGGTGGTGGTGTTGCCTTTTCTCTAAGGTACTTAGCAGCAAATGCGCCCTGCATCCAATCATCTACAAACCCGCTGCGTCAGGGAAAAGTTGCATCACTTGATTCTCACTTAGGTATCAACAAAGGGGGAAAGTGCTGGCTAAAAGCAGCTGATTTGTGCTAAATGCTAATTACGAAATAATGTCAGGAGGGTAGGGTATGTATCGCGTACAAGCCCTGCACCACGCGCCTCCCGTTTCCCCGCACCCGGGGATTGTCGCGGACAACCGTGCATTTCCTCCTGACACCGCGCGCGGCCGATTTCTGCGCGAACCAACAGCCAATCCGCCACAACCATGAAAAACTTCCGCAAACCAGAACCAATCAATCGAGCATGTTGACAAGCTGCCGGGCGCAGACACACCCGATCACCCTTCCCCGTTCCCCCCAGGGAACACCGAGTTACAGAGGCAAAGGGGGATGTACAGCGCGGAGAGCTCAAAGGGAATCCCCCTCTGCACTACCCTGCCTCCACTACTTCCCCAGAGAGTCTCGCGCGCGCAACCATGTCATGTTGTTATCATCGCGCGCGCAAACATGTCAACTTGACATCACCGCGCGCGCGTCCTGCTCCGCGACTCTTTCATGTAGGTCACTGCTGCATCACGCGCAACCCTTTTCGAGTTGTCCAAGAGCTCTTCTTTGTTGTCTGCAAGCAACAGCTAGTACAGTAGCTTGCGTTGCGACTCCGTTGGTCGAGCTTTGGAGCGTCGACGGCCGCTGTGTTCCCTGTGGCGGCGCGCGCATCCACGTGCACCAGTCGCCGAAAGCTTATATCTTTATTGGGTTTTGCAGTATGGCGTCCGCTATTCGCTTGCATGTGCAGCTCGGGCAAGTGGCAGAGAGTAAATCCGACTCGCCGTCGGCGGGATCGCAGTCGTTTTCCGGTGCTGCTAACGCTGTCGCATGCCTCGGCTTCCCCTCTCGCGAAAGCATGCGTTTAGTCGATTCGTTTCGGCACGGAATCCCGCTAAAACGGTCCCTCGCAGCCACTCGCAACAGAGCTGTGCGAAACGAGCGACTTGTAGTTACCACTGCTAGCGATTCTTCCTCTCCCCTCGCAGTACCCAGCGACCGGCAAGTCGTTCCGTGTTTTCCCTCACGAAGCTTCCTAGCTGCATCCTTACCATCCAGCAGCGGAATGTCTCCGAATCTTCCAAACGGCTCCTGCTTTGGTAGGTCCGGATCGCTCCTTAACTCTAATCAACGGTCACGATTTCGCGTCTTCTCTCGTCACAACAAGCGACCCGACGTCGCCAAGACCACCCCTCCCCCCACATGCGCCATTATCCCCGAACCCGCAGCGGAAGCCGCCACGTTAGACGCCGACTCCCCCCGCGCTGCCGCAGTTGCGCGCACTGTCGCCACTGCCGTCGAAACCGCTGACCGCGCCGCGCTTCCCAGCGGCGCAGAGCTAGCGGCGCAGCTCCAGGAGCAGCCAGCGCAACAGGCGCAGCCGCCTCCGCTGATGAAAGTTCCCCCCGAGTCCCTGACATACCCGTCGGGGTTCTTGGGGGGTTTCGGGGATAACAACCCTTTGCCAGTGGATTCCAAGGGACACGTGGCGGGTGACGTGGCAGTGGATAAGGACGCGTATCTCAGGCAGATCCTGAGATCGCGGGTGTATGACGTGGCGATCGAGAGCGCTCTGGAGTTTGCGCCGAAGCTGAGCGAGAGGATCGGCAACCGGGTGTTCTTGAAACGGGAGGACACGCAGCCGGTAGGTTCGCTTAAACACTCAGTTGTTAGCTCTCTGGGTCAAGGGCGTCAAGAGCATCCCTTCTTTGCTCACCTCGCTCGTCCCATTCGTCCCTTGCTCTCCGCCCCTACCTCCCCTCAGGGCATCTTCTTTCATGAAGTCAAGTCGTATAAACACCCTCTCTTGCATTCTCATCAGGTGTTCTCCTTCAAGCTGCGGTACGGTACCTCTCGCCGCGGCAGCTAGCCAAGGAAATTCCATCGTGGGAGCTTAGCTCTTCTCGTTCGCCGCATTTTCGCTCGCTCTCCCCTCCTCACCGCGCCTCAGGTGTTCTCGTTCAAGCTGCGAGGGGCCTACAACATGATGGCGCACCTGTCGCGCAGCTGCAGAGGAGGGTATCCCTGTATTCTACAAGGTACTTTTGAAGTAATTTAAGCAAACACCCCCATTGCCTACCCATCAGGTGTTCTCGTTCAAGCTGAGAGGGGCCTACAACATGATGGCGCACCTGACGCAGCGGCAGCTGGCCAAGGGCGTCATCTGCTCGTCCGCAGGGAACCACGCGCAGGGGGTGGCGCTCTCCGCCTCCCGGCTGCACTGCAGGTGAGCTGTGCTTTTTCTTGAGGCGGGTGTGCCTGTATGCATGTGACTGTATTCGTGCATGGAGTGAGACGCTTCGCATCCAGACCCTGCTTTCATGCGATTTCGCTAGTTTTCGTGTGGTTGTGTGACTGTACGCTTGTGGCCCTATTCGTGCTCCTGTCACTGCACTGCATGCATGTATTATGTTTGTGGCACTTATCACTCCACGTGTGTGACTGTGCGCAGTGCCATTATAGCGATGCCAGTGACCACCCCAGAGATCAAGTGGCGCGCAGTGCAGCGGCTAGGAGCGGAGGTGGTGCTGGTGGGGGACTCATACGATGAGACTCAGGTGAGGCATTGGTGTGGGGGTTTGGGTTGTGCAGCGGCTGGGGGCGAGGGAGCGGGTGGGCTGTGCATGGGGGGGCTGGGTGGGCTGGGCGAGCAGTGCAGCGGCTGGGAGCGGAGGTGGTGCTCGTGGGGGATTCATACGATGAGACACAGGTGAGCGATACCTGGAACCGAGCCACAGGTGCATGAGAGGCAGGTGAGTGAGGGCCAGGCGAGTGCTCTCAAGCTGAAGTCAGTGTGGAAAACAGATGAGTGGGATGTGAGTGATGGATGGGCAGTGCAGCGGCTGGGAGCAGAGATGGTGCTGGTGGGGGACTTGTGCGTGAGACACAGGTGAGAGAGTGGCAGATCTGGTGAGATCATCCCTCCTTTTGACCACGAGTTGGTGATAGCGGGGCAGGGCACGGTGGGCATGGAGATTCTCCTTTCCGCCAGTGGAGCACGTGCTGCTGCCCTTGCCCTTACCCCCTCTTACTCCCGCTTCCCCCGTTCCCCTGTTCTTGGGCTTTCAGGCGTATGCAAAGAAACGGGCCGAGGAAGAAGGACGAGTGTTCATCCCCCCATTCGACCACGAGTTGGTGATAGCGGGGCAGGGCACGGTGGGCATGGAGATTCTCCGCCAGTGGAGCACGTGCTTCTCTCCCTTACCCCATCTTACTCCCCCTCCCTCCCTTCCTCCCATCCCAATAGGCCTATGCCAAGAAGCGAGCAGAGGAGGAGGGACGCGTCTTTATTCCTCCCTTCGACCATGAGTTGGTGATAGCGGGGCAGGGCACGGTGGGCATGGAAATCCTCCGCCAGTGGAGCACGTGCGACCGCACGGGCGGCTGCGGGGGCGGCGCCGGCCAGTGGCGGTTTTTGGACTCTTCCTCAGAGGATGAACGGGAGGGGCATGGGAGCAACGGCAGCGCGAATGGGGCTGTAAATGGCTCAGCAGCAACAGCAGGAGCCGCATCTGCATTATCCTCCTCCTCCTCCTCGTTATCATCATTATCAGCAGCAGCAGCAGCCTCCCTACTATCCAGCGAATCTCCCGAGCAGCAGCAGCAGCTATCCCAAACAGCAGATCTGGCTGCTACCTCCCACTCCTCTCCCTTCTTCCCTCCTCCCCCAACCCCTGTGAACAACCTGCCATCGTCACTATCAGCAATGCTGTCGCAGTCAGCACTAGCAGCAGCAGCAGGGGAGGGCGAGGGGCTGTGCCACATGGACCCTTCGAGTCTGCATGCGGTGTTTGTGCCGGTGGGGGGTGGTGGGCTCATTGCCGGGATTGCTGCTTACATTAAGGCGCTTCAGCCAGAGGTAAGAGTGGTGGAAAGTGGTCGATTGTGGTAGAATGAGGTGTGATGTGGTGAACTCTGGTGAGAATGCAGCAGCGGAGAGCGAGGGCCTGTGCGGCTGTGCCCCATATACCCTTCGAGTCTGCACGCGGTGTTTGTGCCGGTGGGGGGCGGTGGGTTGATTGCTGGCATCGCTGCGTATATCAAGGCGCTGCAGCCAGAGGTGAGACGTTGTTTGGTGTTGTGGAATGCGGTGGGATGTGGTGGAATGCGGTGAAATTGCAGCAAGGGAGGGCGAGGGGCTGTGCCCCATGTATTCCTCGAGTCTGCACGCGGTGTTTGTGCCGGTGGGGGGCGGTGGACTCATTGCTGGAATCGCTGCTGTGATTTGGAACATCAAGGCGCTTCAGCCAAAGGTGAGTGCGGTGGAGTGCTGTTGTGGGATGCGGTGGGATGTGATTGAATGCGGTGGGTGCTGTTGACGACTGTGACGAGGATGAGGAACCTGCTGACGCCAACGCCATGGCACTCTCCTGCTACTACCACAGCCGGTAAGAGTTGACCCACCCACACCACAGCCCTCGCCATCCACAAACCCCCTCGCCTCTCCTTCCCTCCCCTCATCACCACTCCCCTCCTGTGCATGCCCGCCACCAGGTGCGAGTGATAGGGGTGGAGCCTGCTGACGCTTTAGTCGACTCACTCCCCACCCCCTGGGCGTTCTTCGTCCCACCCCCTCCCCCACCCCCTTCCCGCCACCTTCCTCCGTGCATGCCCGCCACCAGGTGCGAGTGATAGGGGTGGAGCCTGCTGACGCCAACGCCATGGCTCTCTCCCTCTACCACGGCCGGTAAGAGCTCACCCACCCACAATCTGATCCTCCCACATCCTAAACCACCCACACCGCATCCCACCTCTCGCCATCCATAAATTCTGAGGCGCCTCAAATCTCGCCGGCTGACGCTAACGCCATGGCACTCTCTCTCTACCACGGCCGGTAAGAGCTCACCCACCCACACCGCATCCCACCCCCCACACTGCATCCCACCTAAATCTTGAGGCGCCTCAAACCTCGCCTGCTGATGCCAACGCCATGGCACTCTCCCTTTATCACGGCCGGTTAGAGCTCACCCACCCACACCCCAACACTCCCCTTGCCATGGCACCTCCTGACCCACGAATTCTTTATTGCCTCAAAGCTCGCCTGCTGATGCCAAGGCCATGGCACTCTCTCTCTCTATCACGGCGGGTAAGAGCTCACCCACCCACTTCTTATCCCATCTCTCACCACCCACATCCCACCTCTCACCACCCATGCCCCAGATCTCACCACCCAGAAACCATTCCCACAAACTAGATCTTACCACCCTCAACCCTCAACTCTCTGCCTCCCAACACCCAGCCGCGTGGAGCTATCATCGTGCGGCACATTCGCGGACGGCGTAGCAGTGCGGCAGGTGGGGGAGGAGACCTTCCGCCTCTCGCAGCAGCTGGTGGATGGGGTGGTCCTTGTCTCTTAAGTTGTCTCACTCCCTCTTCCTCCCCCCTGCCCCCTCCCCCAGCCGTGTGGAGTTGTCATCATGCAGCACATTCGCGGACGGTGGGGGAGGAGACATTCCGCCTCTCCCAACAACTGGTGGACGGCATTGTGCTTGTCTCTCGGGACCAGTCCATTTTGTTTGAGGTTGATTTTGAGAATTCTCAAAATCTCCCTCATCTTCCCCAATCCCCACCTCATCTTCCCCAGCCGCGTGGAGCTATCCACCTGTGGCACCTTTGATGACGGCGTATCGGTGCGAACGGTGGGGGAGGAGACCTTTCGTCTCTCCCAGCGACTCGTTGATGGCATTGTGCTTGTCTCTCAAGTTGTCTCACTCCCTCTCCCTCCCCTCCACCACCTCCCCCACCCCACCCAGCCGAGTGGAGCTCTCTTCATGCGGCACCTTTGCTGATGGCGTGGCGGTGCGGCAGGTGGGGGAGGAGACATTCCGCCTCTCCCAGCAACTCATCGATGGGGCATTGTACTCGTCTCTCGGGACGAGATCTGTGCCGCCATCAAAGACATGTTCGAGGACACGCGCAGCATCCTGGAACCGGCGGGGGCGCTGGCTCATTGGCAGCGCGGTTGCCCCAACACCCCCTCCCCTCCCCCGTGCCCTGTCCCCTCCCTCCAGCCGAGTGGAGCTGTCTTCCTGCGGTACATTCGCTGATGGAGTGGCGGTGCGGCAGGTGGGGGAGGAGACATTCCGCCTCTCCCAACAACTCGTGGACGGCATTGTGCTTGTCTCTCGGGACGAGATCTGCGCTGCAATCAAAGACATGTTTGAGGACACGCGCAGCACCCTGGAACCTGGTTCAAGAAACGCTTGCTCTCAGTCTCAGTGCGGGTCTTGACGCAACTTTCCCCTCTCCCCACCTCCCCCTTACCCCCAGCCGTGTGGAGCTCTCTTCATGCGGCACTTTTGCTGATGGTGTGGCGGTGCGGCAGGTGGGGGAGGAGACCTTCCGCCTCTGCCAGCAGCTGGTCGATGGAATCGTGCTTGTCTCTCGACGAGATGTGTGCCGCCATCAAAGACATGTTCGAGGACACGCGCAGCATCCTGTTCACACGCCCCCCTCCCCTCCGCTCCCCTCTGCCCCGTCACCCCAGCCGTGTGGAGCTCTCTTCATGCGGCACATTCGCAGACGGAGTGGCGGTGCGAACAGTGGGGGAGGAAACGTTCCGCCTGTGCCAGCAGCTAGTGGACGGCATTGTCCTTGTCTCTCGGGATGAGATCTGCGCTGCAATCAAAGACATGTTCGAGGACACGCTTGTGCAGTGTAGTGCTGTGCCCACCCCCTCCCTCCCCTCCATCCCCTCCCTCCCCTCCATCCCGTCCCTCCCCTCCATCCCCTCCCTCCCCTCCATCCCCTCCCTCCCCTCCCCTACCCCAGCCGTGTGGAGCTATCCTCCTGTGGGACGTTTGCCGATGGAGTGGCAGTGCGGCAGGTGGGGGAGGAAACGTTCCGCCTGTGCCAGCAACTCGTTGACGGCATTGTCCTCGTTTCGCGAGACGAGATCTGCGCTGCAATCAAAGACATGTTTGAGGACACGCGCAGCATCCTGGAACCTGCGGGGGCGCTGGCGCTGGCAGGGGCGAAGGCGTATTGCCGGCAGTACGGGCTGAAGGGGGAGGGCGTGGTGGCGGTGGCCAGCGGCGCCAACATGAACTTTGATAGGCTCAGACTCGTGTCTGAATTAGCTGATCTGGGAGCCAGGAGGGAGGCTGTGCTGGCGACTACCCTGCCGGAGATTCCGGGGGCCTTCAAGCAGTTTGCCAAGCTGGTGAGTGGTTGAGGGGGGTGGAGAGTGGTGAGGCGCAAAGGAGTACTGCAAGCAATACGGGCTGAAGGGCGAGGGTGTGGTGGCGGTGGCGAGTGGCGCCAACATGAACTTTGACCGCCTCCGGCTCGTGTCAGAGCTGGCGGACTTGGGGGCGAGGAGGGAGGCTGTGTTGGCGAATACTCTGCCTGAAATCCCAGGCGCTTTCAAGCAGTTTGCAAAATTGGTGAGTTGGAGGGCGTGGTGGCGGTGGCTAGTGGTGCTAACATGAACTTTGACCGCCTCCGGCTGGTTTCGGAACTGGCAGATCTGGGGGCCAGGCGAGAGGCGGTGTTGGCGCCGACACTGCCTGAGATTCCCGGGGCTTTCAAGCAGTTTGCCAAGCTGGTGAGTGGTTGAGGGGAGTGGAGAGTGGTGAGAGAGTGGTGAGGAGAGCCTGCGGGGGCGCTGGCGCTGGCAGGGGTGTTCAAGCAGCTTGCGAAGCTGGTGAGTGAAATGGGTTGGGTTTGGGGAGAGTGGTGAGGGGCGAAGGCGTATTGCAGGCAGTAAGGGCTGAAGGGCGAGGGGTTGGTGGCGGTGGCGAGTGTCGAAATGTGATCTTTGAACCCGTAGTATCTTGTAACCCCTGGTTCTGTTTTTTTTTGAATTCTCAAAAAAACAGATTCGGGAGAATGTGAACGTTGAACCCATGATATCTGTCTTGTAACCCCTGGTTCTCCTCGCTACACCACTGTGTTCCCCGCAGGTGGGACCAGGCATGAACATCACAGAGTTCGGTACTGCTTCGGAACAGATGGCTAATCATTCTACTTCTCATTTATCTCTTCCTTTTCCTGCCATCACCCATGGTTTCCCGACATACCGTCACCCCACCCCGCAGGTGGGTCCAGGCATTCACATCACAGAGTTCTAGTACCGCTTCTGAGCAGATGACTAGTTGTTTTTCCAATCGCCCTTGGTTTCCCTGCCTACCATCTATCCCCCATTGGCATGGCCCGTGCAGGTGGGACCTGGCATGAGCATCACGGAGTTCAAGTACCGCTTCTGCTCCACTGATGCTGCTCACGTGCTCTACAGGTGTGTGTGGTGATGGCGGGTTGTGATGGTGTGTGATGGTGGGTTGTGATGGTGGGTTGTGATGGTGGGGTGGTATTCAGAGTAGGGTTCTGCAATTGGAGAGTTGCATGAACTACCTGCAGGGCTGGATGGCATAACACTGCATGGCATGGGACGACATCCTGCACTCTTGTGTCGTGTGCCATGGTAACGAGGTGACTTTTGAGTCGACTGAAAAGTCACCTAGTTGCATGAAGTACCTGCAGGGCTGGATGGCATAACACTGCATGGCATGGGACGACCACCTGCACTCTTTCCCGCCCACTTTCTCCCCCGCCGCAACCCCCTCTCTTACTCTGCCTGTATAGCGTGGGAGTGCGCACAGATGATGACTTACAAGCAATGATCACAAGCCTTGGCATGGGAGACTTGCCAACGGTGGACATGATCGCTCGTCTCTATTTGTGTCCCTCAGCCGATTCCTACTCTCGTTCTCCCCCACCTTTCTCCTCCGCACCCCCCTCGCTCTCTCTCCTTGTATAGTGTGGGAGTCCACACAGATGAAGACTTAGAGGCCATGATCGATCGCCTCGACACGGGAGACATGCCAATGGTAGACATGACAGGCAACGATCTGGCCTAGGACCATCTGCGCCACCTTTCTCCCTCCCCACTCCCCTTCTGGTTTCTCTCCCTTCGCAGCGTTGGAGTGCACACAGAGGAGGACCTGGAAGCCATGATCACCCGCCTAGAGGATGGCAGCATGCCAACGGTGGACATGACAGACAACGATCTCGCCAAGGACCATCTGCGCCACCTCGTGGGCGGGCGCTCCTCCCTCCCTGCCTCTCAGAAGCAGTCACCTCGCTCTATCATCCATTGCTGCCTCCCCCCTCTCAAGTGCTGCTTCCTCTCGTTCTCTCCCCCTAATCCCCCTTGCAGCGTTGGAGTGCACACAGAGGAGGACCTAGTGGCCATGATCACCCGCCTCGAAGCAGGGGACATGCCGACAGTGGACATGACGGACAACGATCTGGCCAAGGACCATCTGCGCCACCTCCTTCCCACTCTTTTCCCCTTCCCCCTCCGTCCCCTTGCAGTGTGGGAGTGCACACAGAGGAAGACCTAGAAGCCATGATCACACGGCTAGAAGGGGGGGACATGCCAACAGTGGACATGACAGACAACGATCTAGCCAAGGACCATCTGCGCCACCTCGTGGGGGGGCGCTCCTCCCTCCCCAACGAGATTCTCTTCCGCTTCGTCTTCCCGGAGCGGCCCGGCGCGCTCGTCAAGTTCCTGGACCAGATCAGCCCGCGATGGAACATCACTCTGTTCCACTACCGCCGCACCGTGAGTGTCTTCATTTGAGCTGAGCTGTCTTTGAGTATTCTGGCCAGCAATTAGTGGCTGGGTCTGAGCAGTGAAATTGTGTGCCTTCCAGCAGAGCAGAGCTGAGCTGAGCTGAGCTGAGCTGAGCTGACTAATGACATGCCTTCTCTGCTTTCTTGTCCCTGTGTTTCCCCTTGCCGTGTCCCTTCCTTTACATCTCCAGGGGGAGATGATCGCGCACGTGCTGGTGGGGCTGCAGGTGATGCCTCACGAGGAGGCGGAGTTCAGAGCGGTGGCGGACGCGCTTGGGTACGAGTACAGTGATGAGAGGAACAACAAGGCACTGCGCATATTCATGCAATAGAGGGGATACTTGTGCCTCAGTTGGTTATATATGCGCTAGGGTACGAGTACAGTGACGAGCGCAACAACAAGGCACTGCGCATCTTCATGCAATAGAGAGGATATTTTGCAGTCACCTCACCTGTTAATGATGCGCTAGGGTACGAGTACAGTGACGAGAGGAACAAGGCCCTGCGCATCTTCATGCAATAGAGTGGTTGTTTGGCTAAATATACCGTCTAAGCGATAGGAAGAATACATTCGCAATACATGCATGCGTTGGGAGGTACTCTTACAATAACGGAAAGAACAAGGCGCTGAATGGGAATAACTGTGATTGACACCTGAGAAAATAGGAGTTAACTCTCAACTTGACAAAACACATTCACAATCTCCTCCACCCATGAGTTGCGGAATGGAGATTCAAGTATCTACACAAATGACAAGCAAGTTGTCGACTTCAACTACAGTACATGGCACCTACAATACAATGTATAGACAGCATGTACTGTCACGTTCAGCAAGTAGTATTACGTTCACTTGCCGGTGTCACAATGCTGGAGTTCAATCCTTGATGGTAACTTCAAGCGGTGGTGACATCAGCTGCAGGGACTTCAGGGTGCCTGGCAGCCCACCAGTCAATGAACTTGAAGTTGGCGTCCATGGAACTGAACTTGTACAGGCCTAACCCGATGTTGGCCGCCTCCTCTGTCACCGCCCAGCTCGTAACCGCACCCACCACGAGCGTGAGGAAAGCACCTGGGGTGTGCGTGAGGGGGAGGCAAGGAAAGGCGTACTGATGCTGGGCTGGTGAGAGAGTGAGAAGGGATGTGTGACTTCAAAACGCCAGTCTCGTCTCCATACTTCACGTGTTACCATCTCCTCTGCTGAATGAATCATTCGGCTTCCATCCAGGTCCATGAATACTCGCAGAATCCCCACTTTAGACTCCATGAGAGCACACACGCCTTCTCTCCACAGACCACCCACCTTCCCTCCCCACCTTCCCTCCCCACCTTCCCCCCACCCCTCCTCCCCCACTCATCCCCAGCGCTCTGCGAGTACCGGTAGCTGTACGCTTTTGAGAATTCTCAAACGTAACACCAAGGTAGTTGTACACTGCGAGCGTCAGGGCCCCCACTGTGATGAGACAACTCTTGAGCCCCTAAACCGCTCTGCCCTCCTCTCCAACCCCACCCCCACCCACCCCGCCCCCACCCCCCCCTCCCCCCCCCTGCTTCACTCACCTCCAGCGCTCCGCGAGTACCGGTAGCTGTACGCTGCTAGCGCAAGTCCCCCCACTGCCGCTCCGCCAGCCGCCATCAGCGACGCCTGGCGCGACAGCAGCACCTGCGCGGGGGGGAGCGTGTGGGGGGAGCGTGTGGCGGAAGCGTGTGGGGGGAGCGTGTGTGGGGAACGTGCGGGAGGAGCGCGGGTCGGGGATAAAGAAGGATGCGGGAGATTAGGAGCGAACTGGAGCACCAACTAGCTGCTGAGGGCGTATCAGATCTAGTCACGGCGCACTTGCAAACGTAACGACTCTCTCTTTTTCCTTACTAGTGACCGCTCCTGCCTGCGGTCAACCGCACCTGGTTGCCGTGAACGGGGTCCTCCTTAGCGAACGCCTCGATATCCGCTTTAGTCCAGCGCGGCAGCGGCGTCTCGCGGCCCTGGCTGAGATCCAAAAGGCGGTTCACTGTGGGACAGCTCTTCGCCTCGCCCTCGCCGCCCTTCTTCATCCACCACGGCGTGTAGCCTGACGCCATGCTCGGTGATGATAGCGAGTCGTGACTAAAACGAGATGTGACTAAAAGGAGGGGTAACTGTTTGGATATTGATGGGATGGGATGTGGTTTGGTGAATGATGGTGGCTTCGGTTGGTGAGAGTTACGCGGAAGGTGACGGCGGAAAATGAAGAAGCGGAGACGAAGACGGTCAACCGGTAACTCGTAACGGCCGACTAGTGCGGGAAACCAGTGAAATGAGCTGCGACGCCTGCGGGACTAGGTTGTGCAACCGGAACCCTAAAATGTGTGGCATTCTCTCAACCCTACTCAACCGTCCTGAAACAAGGGTTTAACGTGGTAATGCCGAAGCGGAGGGAAGCGGAGGATCCCCCAGTTCCGCAAGGTTGAGTGCGCGTGTGCGGTCTACGCGGAGTGTTTTCTACCAGGCGCGCTTTGTCGGGCTGGCCCTGGCGAGCGGGAAGAGGATGTCAAGTATTATCAATTCACGATAGCATGAGAACTGCGTGTATTGATACGAGCATGAACGAGCGCGACAGAAGCGAGGATGAACTCTGATTTTGAGTCTTCAAATTCTGACCCAAAGCTCCGTTTGAAATCATTTGGCAGGTTTGATTGATGTTATCGTTGGCTTTGCTGATTTGTCTGTTGCATCTCCGCATCGCACCGCATCTGATAGCTTAGCAGTTCATCCCACTGCCTCGCCTCGCCTTAGTCCAAGACTGGAACCAACCTCGTACCTTAACTCGAAACCCCGGCTTCGTTTATATCCTCCTACACGTATCTAGGCACGCCGTCCAGTCACTATCCTTCGCAGAGTCGGCGATTCATCCGTGCCTCGGACGAGTAATACAACGAGAAGAGAGTACCTCCCGTCCCTTACGCAGTCGGTGAAACTTATCGCCCGCATTTGCCCTATTGTCGGTTTCCTCGTGCGACACCTGCTTCGCTGATCGGCGATCCAATGGCGGAAGGGAAGCAAGCGAAAGTGGAGGCAATCACCCTCAAAGTTGTCGCCCAGGTGAGCTTTGGCTCACAAGTGAAATATAGTTATTCATTTATGTTATACATATGGAAAAGGTAGCAACGGTTCAATTACCCTAGAAGTTGTCGCCATGAATGTTTCCTGCGTCAATAACCGTCCATTAGCCGCCCTGCCGTTCCTTCTTTTTCTCTACCTTTCTATGTCGACCTTCCGTCGCGACTCGGAAGAACACGCCATTCGTTTCTTTCCCACTGTTAAGTTCCCGTCTTGTCTTCCTTTCCCCCGACCTTCTCCCCTGCTGGCCCCACAGGACGGAACAGAAGTATCGTTCAAAGTGAAGCCGAAAACCAAGTTCAGCAAGGTAAGAGTTTACCGAGTCAATGAGCCGACTGTTAAGTCGACTAAATAATAAAGTGAAATGAGATAAAGGAAAACGAACGTTACCAGGGTACCTCCAGCAACTTGATGAGGTTTGAAAGGGTAAAGACGAGGTGTAACCCTGATTGCCCTTTACTTGCGCTCAGAACCTGCTAGCAACTCCAGCAGCCAGAATGCGCTGCTTGGTTTAGTCCCGTTGCTTTGCGTTCCGCCGAGGAGCTCGAAAAAACCACTCTCCATGTCATTGAAATGATGACGCCGTTTTTCCTATACGAAATAAAGTCCCCTTCCCCCCTTCCCCCTCCCCGCTCCCCCCTCCCCTCTCTCCGCTCCCCCTCTCTTCGTGCAGTTGTTCCAGGCGTACAGCGATAGAAAAGGGTTCAAATTAGACACCATGAGGTTCCTATACCACGGGTGAGTGCCGTCCCCTGTAATACGGGTGAATGGCGACCTTATAGCGATTCCATGGCTGCGTGGTGCATGGGAAGGGTTGGTGTTATGGGATCGAAATGAAACGGAAACCGAAGTCATGGCGGCCATATCAGTTGGTTCACATGAAGGTTCACCTGCATCATCTTGTTATTGAGAGTTTCAACCCCCCTTGGCTCCCGTCCTCCCATTCCCGTCTCCTTCTCTCCCCTTCCCCTTCCCCCCTTCCCTCTCCACCTCTTCCGTTTCTTCCCCTTCCCTGCATTTAACTTCTTTTACCTTCCGTTTCCTCCCTTTCCCTCTCTTCCCCTCCATTTCCCTCTTGTGTTCACGCACACTCATTCCCACTCACATTCCCACTCACATTGCATCGTGCAGTGGTCGAGTGCTGGGGGACAACACGCCTGCTGAGGTACGGACTGTTGCAGCACACAACACTCTCTCCAACCCTTCTTTCCCCCTTTTTTTTCCCTCCGAATTGTGGGGTCGGGTTTCGTTGCAGCCCATTCTGCGTTTCTTTCAGTGTCACCTAGTAGTGGGGGGGGGTTGCAGCTTCGGGTACCACCATCCCCATCCTCACACATCACATGCCACTGCTCCAAACAAACACCTGATCTGACACTTGAGCCGACTCGAGATTCTTATTGCATGCCACTGCCACACGCCTACACCTGGTCCGACCTCTGATTTCACTTAAAAGTCACATCACATCCCATGTCACTGCTGCACACCAATATCTGACATTTCTTCCCCCATTTGCATTTCTGCACCAACAGCTGGGTATTGAGAACAACGACCAGATAGAGGTGATGGTGGAGCAATTGGGAGGAGGCATGTGGCTCCAGCAGCAGTGCCGGTACCTTGTCAGATGACAGATACGCCGACAGGCTCTTGTTGATTGACAGGCTCTTATTTTTGCCTAAAAACAGGCTCACTCACAGGCCTTTTACCCTTTTTTAGGAATCGGTTCATTTGGTTTACAGGAAGGCTGTTTCCACTTGAACCCATTGGTTGTCGGCACTACGAATGCTGGCGAATCCATCAGCAGGTTGCGGATCAGTGTAGATTAGTTTAAAGAAGTGTGTTCCTTTTTGGTTGATCTTTTATAGTGGATTTGCTTGACAGCAAGTTACCACATCGTGGAAAAAACCTTGAATCTCCAAGATTGTCAAGCAAAATAACTGTTTCTGCTGTCAAACTGCTTGATAGCTTTTCGGGCAATGACATTCTGTGGCTGGACTGGAATTGCAATAAAGAGATAACAATCAGTCGATCTTCTGTGGAGACTCCAGTTACAAGGTAACATTGCATGGTTATTGCTGTGGGAGCAGAGGGGTAGCACCAGCAGCATCCAAGCACCAGTGGCAGCAGGGGCAGCAGGTGGGTTCGCTGGTGGGAGTTTGGGAGCAGCAGCGGCGCCTTCCTTGCCAACAGAGGATGAGAGACAGAGGTGCCAAACAATGGCGTTTAGGGTGCTACTGACTTGACTTGCACCCTTGCCCATAGGGGACGGAATAAAGGCTAACGGCACAGGTTACGATGTTTTTTCCTGACATGGACACCTCTAGGCACCGGCAGCAGCAGGGGCAGCAGGGGCGGCAGCGCTAGCAGGGGGGGATGCAGGTGGGAGCTTGGGAGCAGCAGATTCCTTGCCGACGGAGGAGGAGAGGTAGAAGTTCCAAAAGATGGCACACACTGACATGAACGCCACTCGCGCCTCTAACGGGACAACTCTGTTAAGGGGATGGATGGGGGAGAGAGAGAGGGTGAGAGAATGTGAGGGCGAGTGGGAGAAAAGGGGACCAGGAGAAAGGGGGAAAATCTGGATAATGGGGAGGGAATGGATGTGAACAAGGCAGAGCTTGGGGTTTCAGGTTCAAGGTTTTAGGTTTAAGGTTCAAGGTTTTTATGTGCATGGGGTTTTGGAATCCGGGTTTGATGTGGTGTTGAGAAAGTTTTTACAGAAAGATACAAGAGTGGCGGTGACACGAAGTGTTGGGGCAACATGAGAGGCTTACGCAAAGTTGAGGCTTGCAGCCGGAATCCAGAACTTCCACCCTGAAGTGATGAGGGAGGGAAAGGAAGGGATAGGAGGGGATAGGAGGGGATAGGAGGGGATAGGAGGGGATAGGACCGGATAGGAGGGGATAGGAGAAGGGGCAACGGGGGCAAGCAAAGGAGCGCATGGGACAGGACAGTGAGAACTTTTTGAGTCGATTTCAAAGAATCCAAATCTCTCACGCGAATGAGGAGACGAGGATAAGATCTAATGTACTATTGATCGTTACAGCAATCCTGTGCTCATCTAAACATTATATATCGACCTGGGAGCACATGCGTTATGCACAAATGATATTAAAGCTTACCATCAACAAGCGAGGGGAAGAAGTCCCTGCGGTATTTGTCTGGGATGTCTTTGGCCTTGCCCATCCACGCCATGTTCCATGCAAACACTTTGGGTAGCTTAGAGATACAAATAGCTTACCATCAACAAGAGACGGGAAGAAGTCCCTGCGGTATTTGTCTGGGATGTGTTTGGCCTTGCCCATCCACGCCATGTTCCATGCAAACACCACCAGAAGCACACACGGCCCCAGCACCACCTGATTCGCTGTCACCTGGGAGCATGGGGACAAGTGGGGGAGGGTGCACGGGCAGAGAGGACAAGAGGAATGAGGGGTAGGGAGAGGAAAGTGGGGGTGGTCGGGGGCAGTGCAGAGGTGGTGGTGGGGAAGAAAGAGGGGATGTGTTTGGCCTTGCCCATCCACGCCATGTTCCATGAGAACACCACCAGCAGCACACACGGCCCCAGCACTACTTGATTTGCTGTCACCTGGTGGCATATCGGAGAGGGGGAGTAAGACAAGGGGAAAGGGTGGTTGAAGCATTAAGGGGAGGAGAGATGGAATGTACATTTGTCAGTCCTTCAGGAAATGAGCATACGCCATGTTTTTGAGGCGCCTCAAAAATCGCCATGTTCGATGTGAAGACTGTGAAGACCACCACCAGCACACACAACCCTAGCCCGACAACCTAGCGCGACCTAATTGCGTATGTACATGACCTGCTTATAACGAGTACGAGCTGCTTGTAACAACTACAGCCACACACACCTTAGGCACGAAGTTAGTGAGTGTGGGAGCAGGCAACAGGCGGTCAAAGCACTGGTACCACACGTGGTTGCCGCTGGGGCCATGGAGCAGGATAGCAGCAGGCACAGGGATGCCACTTGCTTATAGCGAGTACAAGCTCCCACCCACCTTGAGCACGAAGTTGGTGAGAGTAGGTGCAGGCAGCAGGCGGTCAAGGCGCTGGTACCACACGTAGCTGCCGGGACCGTACAGCAAGAGGCAGCCGGCACAGGGATGCTAGTTGCTTCTACTGAGTAGGAGCTGTTTAAAACGAGTACAGTCTCCCACCTTGAGCACGAAGTTTGTGAGCGTGGGAGCAGGCAACAGGCGGTCAAGGCGCTGGTACCACACATAGCTGCCGGGTCCGTAGAGCAGGAAGCCATATGAGGCCATGCGAAGAGCGCGGATAAAATCATGTTGCCACAGCTCCTTGTCTGCCACTCCCCGCAGCTGATGGCGCAATGGGGGGAAAGCACGGGGGAAGAGAGTGGGAGGGGTGGGGAGGAAGGGGTGAGTCAAAACCCATCCAGGAGCAGTAGAGCAGGAAGCCATAAGAGGCCATGTGCAGGGCACGAACAAAGTCATGCTGCCGCTACTCCCCGCAACTGATGGGGAGGGAGGAGGAGGAAGGGGGGATGGGAGGCCATGAGGCACTGCTGTAGAGCAGTAGAAGGCAGACCCGAAACCCTATTAAACCGCCCCCATTCCCACCGCAACCACTCCAAACGCACCCAGGACGACTTACTCTCTTTCTGCAGCACGGCGACGCCGCCTCTATCTCTTTCTCCTTGGCCTGCCGCCGTCGGAAAACGACTGAGCCACCCCCACCGCTCCCACCCAAGGCGACTCACTCTCTTTCTGCAGCACGGCGACGACGCCTCTATCTCAATCTCCTTAGCTTGCCGGCGTCGGTACCGCTCCACCAGCTGTGCGATTGTGTCACCCGTCAGGGCCAGCCCACTTGCCGTCACCGCTGCCTTGAGGGGGAATCTCTGTGCGGGGGGAAGAGACACGGGACGGGAGGGATGGAAAAGTGGATGTCGGTACCGCTCCACCAGCTGGGCTATCGTGTCACCTGTCAGGGCCAGCCCGCTTGCCGTCACCGCTGCCTTCAGGGGGAATCTCTGTGCCGGGAGAGAACGACACGTGAGAGACGGGAAAGAGGATGAGGCATCTCAGAACGCAATACCCAGCCTGTATCCCCCTCTATCTCAATCTCGTTGGCCTGCCGGCGTTGGTACCACTTGCCGTCACAGCTGCCTTCAGGGGGAATCTCTGTGCCGGGACAGAACGACGGGAAAGTTACCAGGCAAATTGGGGGTAAGGGGGAGCGAGAGGAGGAGGGGGAAGGGGAGGGAGGGGGGGGGGGGGGGGGGAAGAAGGGGGGGTGAAGGGGGGGGGGGGGAGGGTGAGGGAAGGAAGGAATGTGAGCAATGAGGGACAACTCACTCGCTGTCACCACTGCCTTGAGGAGGAACCCCTGTGGTTGAGGGGGGGGAAGACGAGAAAGCAGGGAGATGGGGGGAAGGGAGGGGGAGTGAGGAAGGTGAGGGAAGGAAGGAATGTGAGCGATGGGGGACAAGTCCCTTGCTGTCACCACTGCCTTGAGGGGGACCTCTCTGGTTGAGGGGAAGGACATGGGAGGGACACGGAGAGAACGTGGTGCAATGTGAGCAATGTGAGCAATGTGAGCAATGTGAGCAATGTGAGCAATGTGAGCAATGTGAGCAATGTTAGCAATGTTAGCAATGTGAGCAATGTGAGCAATGTTAGCAATGTGAGCAATGTTAGCAGAGTGAGCAATGTTAGCAGTGTGAGCAATGTGAGAAATGTTACAAATGTTAGCAATCTGAGTAAAATGTTAGCAATGTGATCAAATGTCAACGTCTTGAAAAAAACATTAACCCACCTCCAGCAACGACCCAGATTGGCCTTTCTTCTGTGATGGTTCTTCCAACGGCTGAGATGCGTCCGATGCACTGCAGGCAAAACGGGCAGAAGTGGGTAGGTGGTAACAGCATCAATGAAAATGTGGGAGGACGCGTCAGTGGGGAGGTTGGATGCGGAATGAAATGATATACACTATCAGGAGAGGAGCCAAAAACCCTGACTCAAAGACCCTAAACCAAAAACCGGAAGGTCAGTTTGGGTCCAACCTCAGAAGTCCTGGAGTAGTTTTCCTTTCCTTCTTCGATAAATACTCAGAAAACGACTCAACCTTCCTGCAGCTTAAGTAAGTGCGTGGTGGATCCTCACCTGGCTCTAAGGCGGTGCTTGCCGTGCTGCCACGTGGCAGACAGCGACGAGAGCAGCGAGAGCGACAGCCCTTGAGAGAGCGAGCAGGAAAGGGCCGCCGGCGGACGAGCGCGGAGCGCGTCAGAGAGAGGGTTGACCCCGTTGACCCCGTTGAAGGGGTTGAACGGCAAACCGCCAGAAGCGGCCATCTGTGTTGGCTGGTTGCGAGTCGCCGATTGTCAGTGCTGGCGGGAGAATCTGGTTCGTGACTCTCTTCGAGCTAGCGTGATCGAGCCAGGTGAATCGTGGCTAAGTCAACCAGAAACTTATTAGAATAAACCAGTATGCGACTGAGCCTGACGGTTGTCTGTGGAACTGAACAATCTGAAAAGGGTGTCACGTCGATGAATTATTTGTTTGGAATTGGCTGCCAGGGAGAAGGTGAAGGACGGTAGCTTGTCGCGTATGGGCTTCACAGCTAGGTCGTTAGTTTAGGAGAACAGTATTTAGTCTAGTAGTTGTTCTGGTTGTCTGGCATCGCCTGAATGATCGACAGGAAAGTGAGAAGCTTGGGGGGATTATCCTGACGACGTTGCGAAATTCCTCACGAAACTTTCCCGATTCCAAGTTACATTTAAGGTTATGAAGGAGCTCAAGAGAAAACAAAAGAGGAAGGAAGCAGTTACGACTGTTGATTGTATTTGCGCTTTATAGTGTACTTAGCTTACATAGCCAAAAATAAATCAAAAGACGCTACAAACGAATGTTTGTTCTACATTGCGTTGTGAATGCTTCGGAAAAAAATGAAAACGAGAGGATGTAATAATCCTCCAAATTCCCCTCTTATCGCATTTCATTCAATCATGCCGACAAGGGCACTGAAGGAGCTAATGGCGACGTTACAGCTGCTCTGGCAGCTGCTTTACCTTCTCTTTGCCCACCAATCAAACCACCCTCAGAATCGCAGTCCATACCCTCGTCTTCCCCATTCATCACTCCTCCACCCCCTCCCCTCCCTCCAGTCCGCTCCCTCTTATCTCTCATCCCTCCCCCATCCACCCCATTCGCCTTTCCCTTCCCATCTGCACACGCCCCATTTTCTCCCTCCCTCCTCTCACCACTCTCCTTCCCCTCCCCCACCCCACCCCCTTTCTTCTCCCTACTCTCACCACGTTTCCTCTTATCCTCCACCTCCCCACCCCCCCGACCCACCGCCCCACCCGACCCTACCTCTGCACCCGAACCTCCTGCACCAGCCGAACCTAACGGCCGCTCCGGCTCAGGTTCGGCGAGCCAGGAGTGGGCGAGGGCCTGGCGGGCAGTGGCGCGTCTCTCAGGGGCAAAGTCAAGCATGGGGGTGAGGAAGGAGGCGAGGGAGGTGGCTTCTGCTGGAGGGAGGTCGTATTTCTCTGTGAGCACTCGCTCTAGCGGCCAGAACTTGAGGCGCCTTATGTGCCTCAGCTCCCCGTTGCGGGAGAAAAAGTCCCGAGAGTACTTGCCACCCAGGGCAATCTGGATGGGGGGAGGTGTGAGGGGGAAGAAGAGGGGAGGAAGAGCAGGTGGGAGCAAATGCAGGGGAATGAGGGATGGACTTCCACCACCTTGCGTAGCTCAGCTCAGCATTGCGAGCCAAGCAGTTTCAAAGGTGCTTGCCTCCCAAAACAATTCTGCATGTACTTCAGTCAATTCAGTGACGCATTCGTGCAAGAGCGTGGGTGCAAAGGGCATGGTTGGCGAGACGTGAATGCATTGTGACTGACCTTCTTCGGAATCCGACCAATCAGCTCCATCATCAGCGCAAGATGGTCCTGCACACACAACCCACGCAACAACGCAGCCACGACAACAGCCAATCAGAATATGTGAGAACGAGTAGTGAGCTATTGGGTGAGCAATTAAGAGTGGGCGTGAGGCAGTGGGAGTTGGAGAAAAATTGGTTCACTATCACTCAATCAGAAGGATCCTGGAGAGGAGTGCAGTGAGAGAGGAGCATGGGTGTCTTGTCAGCTGATGATCTCGAAGCAACATGCATGGAAACGAACAAAACAAACCAAGCAAGTGCATCCCACCTCGTCGCGGTCGAAGTCGTGCCCTGAGCGCGGGTCAAAGAGCACATCCCCCGTGACGAGCTCAAAGATGAGGCAAGCAAAGGACCACATGTCTGCGGAGGTGGAGTAGCGCGCTCCCAGCAGCACCTCGGGGCAGCGGTACTGACGCGTCTGAATGTCACTCGTGAACTGATGAGCGTGTGGGGGAGAGACAGGGGGGAAAGGAGAGACAGCGGGGGACAAAGGGGAAGGAGGGCAGCGGGGAAAGGGGGGGACAGGGAGGAACAAAAGGAGGGGCAGGGGTGAGAGAGGGCGAGAGGGTCAAAGAGCACATCCCCCGTGACGAGCTCAAAGATGAGGCAAGCGAAAGACCACATTGTCTGCGGAGGTGGAGTAGCGTGCTCCCAGCAGCACCTCGGGGCAGCGGTACTGACGCGTCTGAATGTCACTCGTGAACTGAAAGGGGGAGGGAGGGAGGGTGGTGGAGGGGCGGCATGGGGAACTTAGGAAGAAAGGAACAAGTGGATGTCAAAACCCCCAGCAGCACCTCGGGGCAGCAGGCATTCCCAAGGTCCACGATCTTGCAGCTCAAGTCCAGCCCTGTCAGGTCCACCAGCCTTCGTGACTTTCCAGTTGACTCAAGCTGACTTTAGTCGACTCAAATCAAAACGCACCTGCTTGTACGTCCAGCAGGCATTCCCGAGGTCCACGATCTTACAGCTCATATCCATCCCTGTCAGGTCCACCGGCCGTTTCCTCCTCCCTGCCACCTCTGCTGCCGTCTCTGCTTCCGCTTGTGCTGCTGCTGCTTCTGTTGTTGCTGCTGCTGTTCCTGCTGCCGCTCCTGCTGCTGCCGCTGTTGCTGCTGAAGCTTTCTCCCCTGCACTCTTCGCCTGTGTGCCACCATCAGTCCCTGCCACACCACCGCCACCACCAGCAGCAGAAGCGGTGCCAGTGGCAGCAACAGACGCAGCTAGGTCGGCCAGCCCAAGGTAATCCTCCATTGAAGACGAAGACGTGAATACCCCCTTCTGTGCTCCCTGTCCCGCTGCCAGCGGTGATACTACTGGTGCTGCTGCTGCTGCTGCTGTTGCTGCTGTTGCCCCTGCCTCTCCACCACCCCCTGCCCCTGCTTCGGCCCCTGTCTCCACCCCTTCACCTGGCCCTCTTGCCTTTCCGTTACCTTCGAGCCCTAGGAACTCTTTCAGCCCAGCTTCTAACGCGGACGACTCCCTCCCTCCCTCCACCGCCGCCCCCCCTGCTTCTCTGCTATCCGCCGTGTCCTCCACCATCCCCTCCGCGCCTCCCCCCGCGCCCCCTTCCCCCATGCCCGCGCTGCTCTCCTCCATCCTCGAACCCCCCTCACTCTCCCCCATATCCGCAGCCCCCGCCTCCGCCTCTCCCCCTTCTCCCCCTCCCCCGGCCTGTGCCCCCGCACCACCACCACCAGCAGCGCCATCAGCAGCGCCATTAGCAGCACCGCCGGCAGCAGCTCCAGCCTTCTTAGCTTTCTTCTTCAGCTTCTTCCGCTGGTTCTTCGTCAGTCCCGACGACGCTGGTGACGCCAACGCCCCCCCTTCCGCCGATCCCCCAGCCCCTCCCCCACGCCCTCCCCCAGCCCCCGCGCCATCCCCCCCACGCGGAACCGAAACCGGAGGGGGAGGCGGAGGCGGAGGCGGGGGACCCTCCATTCTCCCCCCAATCCCCAGCTGATCATCTATCGACCGCACCAGCAGCACATTCTCGGGCTTTAAATCCGTATGTATAATCGACAGCTGCCTATGCAGATAGTCTAGCCCTGTGAGGATGTGGCGCGCGAGGTGCCTGACTGCGGGGAGGGGCAGGCCGCGGTAGCGGAAGCGGCGGATGAGCGAGAGGAGGTTCTCCCCTAGAGACTCGAAGACCATGCACACGTGTGAGCCGTGCGGGCCCGAGTGGCGGAAGTGGTCTAGTAGGCGCACCACGCACTTGTCGTTCCGCGAATCGCCGTCCGCCACCTGGAGGGGGGGAACCGGAGAGAGAAGGGGAGATGCTGAGGTGATGAATTGAAACCCGAAGACCATGCACGTGTGCGAGGCTCGAGTGACGACTGTACTAACTCGTTAGCGAACCAATCGACATTGACCACCGTTAGGTTGAGTTGACCCCGAGATGTCCTTTCCTACCTGTCTGAGGAGCTGAACCTCGTCAAGAGCTGACTCGGTATAGTGCGACGCGCTCTTCTGCACCTTGAGAGCCACGTAGCGCTGCAGACACCCACGAAAGACGGAACGGGGACGTCACAAAGTGTGAAACGGGGAGAGGACAGTGTTCAGACAGAAGCCATTCTCGAAAATAGAGATATCGAAAACATGAAGAAAAGGTCCAGCTCATTGGATCGGAATTCGTAAGCTTGTCTGTGATCGGAATCCGTTCACCGCTTTGGATGTACTCTGCGACCCGTTCCGTCTCCGTACTCGACGTGCTCACCCCGTTCCGGCACCGCACTCGACGTCCTCGCCTTGTCCTTCTCATCTTGACCTACTCATGTCGACAGATTCCAGTCACATTGTTTGCTCGCTTTCCTCGCCTCCTCGCCATATCCATGTCATCCTCTGCATTCCTGCTTCATTTCTCCCTCTCTGTTTCATCTTATCGTTTCATCTCACCTTCTCCGTTTCATCCCACGCGAGCCAGACGGTCGAGAAGTGACCCCATCCGAGCTTCTTCACCACGCGATAACGACCATTCCTGAACGTATCGCCGATCTTCACTGGGTGGTAACCACCTCGCTTGTAATCGTCAGTCCCTTCGTCTTCCGACTCCGAAAGGTAGTCGCTATCGCTAGAACCCTCGTCAGCTGATTCCACTTCGTCACGGTCCCCGGTGTAACCCTTCTCGGGCTTGTCGCCGCCGCCTCGGTGGTTCCTATGCTTCGAGCCAGATGCCTTTCCCATCAAGGACCCTTACACGTAGAAAACCTGACGCTGAGGCTTGGCGGAAGGAAACGAATTGTTCAGAATGCTAGTCGTTTCTCTCCTCGACGGATCCACGACGCTGCTGCGAACCTGCGGTAAGATCTCTGCGCGAACAGCGGTTGCTGATCTCGCGAATGTGTCTCCTTTATGTACGGGAAAACCCTATGTGATGCTAGGATGAGAGAAATCACGCGAACCAATGTCAACGAGCGGCTTATGGCGATGAGTGGATTCACAGGATGGTCGGTGAGTGAAGCTTTCAGCCAGATCGAACCTTGTGCTTCTCCCCTGCTGTACTTATTACTGTACTGTACTCGCTGTACAGTATCAGGAGACTGAATCAGGAGAACTAGACCACGCGTAAGCAGAAGGACTTAGTATATCATAGTGGTTACGTACAGTTGAATGAGTTTTCTTGATGCTAAAATCGATCATTTGCTTCAGTTCGGATACATCACCCCATTCACCTTTCTGCTGTGTGGTCGCTAGGGGAATGGCGTTGGCAACTTGGATCTTGCATCCCCGTCGCTGATTGGTCCACTCAAACAGCCCTCTGACGGGCATGATGGCCATCGTCATTGATTTGAGGCTGGCGAGTCCCCTCGCTGATTCCCAAGTGAATAAAATTGTCCAAATTGTAGCGTTGCCAAAAGAAACCAACTACAGTTGTTAGGTCCGTATACTGAGTTGTTCTTATCAAAGACAACCTCACAAAGCATCGCCTCAAGAAATGCATACGGTCTAGCAGAGCAAGAAAACAAACACGCCATAGGCGAGCAGAGAATCGTCTTTTAGGGCGTTCAATTAGACATTTAGCTCAGTGTGTGTGCATGCATTGTGTCGCAGTGTAGAATGGTCGGATCGCGTGTAGTGCATGAGTCATGACATTGCCTTCAACCCTCACACCCTCATATGCACAGGCCTCCCACAATATCATGTCAGGTTACCGCATTCATAAGCTTCTGCAACGTTCTCTAAGCGTAGAGAACCGTACTGCACCTCTCAGAGTCATCAAGTCATCCCAGATCTTTCCCATCTTGAGAGAAATGCGGTGAACAGCAAGCAGACTGCTCTGCTTCGGAAGTGTCTGAGAGTTCGAGAGACGACCAACACAGCGAGCAGACTTCTCTGCTTTGAAGCGAGTCTTTGGAGATCACGAGGTTCTTGATTTCTAAACCCTTGCCACGCAGATCGACAAGCCAGGTTGCTAAAACTCGCTTCAAGCCAGTCGCAGCCAAAAACAATTCAGCACTTTGTCGGGAAAGCGGGCAGTGCGGGGGACCCTGCTCTGAGACTGCTCACGAGGGGACGTGGGAGGTGAGCGTGCGGACGCTTTGGATCTGGGTGCGTTTCTGGCCTTTTGTGGTACTACCAAACGGAGAAGGATATTGATTACGGCTGCCACTTCGCATCTTTTTATTTACATTATCTCTCACCCGAAATTTCCTCCTTTTTTTCCTTCGCTATTCTTACTAGTACATGATACCCCGTCATTCCGAAGATCTGATACACAGAGTGATATGGGCGACCGCGCGAGAGTGTGCAGCACGGCGGCGGCGTCCTTCGAGGCGCCTGGAAATACTATCTTGGAGACGCCTCAAAGAAGGACTTTTGAGACGGTTAAAGATAGTATGGACGACGACCGCTCAAGCGTCAGCACGAGCACGGCGGCTGCGTCCATCCTCGACCCAGTGGAGTATTGGCGGCAGCACGGCGCCATGCGACCCACGCAGAGGCATTGGGCGAGCGAGTCCTTGTCCGACGACACAGACGCGGAGGATTCCTGGCACGACAAGGACTGCGGGGCAGGAGGAGGAGGAGGAGGAGGAGGAGGGACGGCGAAAGGAGCAGGGCTAGTGGCATCAGCATTTTCAACTTCCGCTGTTCCTGCCACTGCCACGGTCGCTGCCTTGCGTCGGTGCTCGCTTTCACTTGTGGAGCGCGAAATTGCCAGCCAAGGACTGTCACAGGAGCTGCGCACCCCTTCCGGCTCAAGATCATACGCAAGCCAGTGGCGCTCCAATGACTCCAAGTGCTCTGCTCCTCTTCATGGTTCCGCGCCTGCTGCTGCTGCCGATCCTGCGGTCACTTCGTGGGCGGCTAGGACGGTTGCACCTGGTAGTACTGCCGCCCCTGGTTCCAACACCAGCAGGTGCGGTTCCAGCGAGTCCCGGTATCCCGCTCCCCTGGGTGCTAAAGCGTCTGCCTTTGCTGGTGGTGCCTTGTCTGCCACCCCTGCAGCTGCATACACTGCGCCTGCTGGCTCCTCTGCTGCTGCTGGCTCCTCTGCTGCTGCTGGCTTCTCTGCGGCTGCTAAAACTGCTGTGTTTTCAGGTACAGCTGCTGGCGATGGCACCGAGGCTGCGAACAGTGGTGGCATGGAGGGCCAGGTAGCTGGCAAGGTGCCGATACTCAATGGATGGGGTGACATCATCGGGTGGAAGGATGTGGCTGTTGAGACTGTTGCTGTGCTGGCCGATGCCGCCACTGGCGCGGCTGCTGGTGCAGCTAACGGGACTGCGACGGGGGTCGCTGGTCGCTGGTTCCAGCAGCAGCAGCAGCAGCAGCAGTTTAGGAATCAAGCACTTATGTGGCAGCAGCAGCAGCAGAAGCAGAAGTGTGGAGGTTCCACGTGGAAAACCCAAGTTGACGACTCTATGAGCTCCTCTAGCAGCTACGTGCGTCCCAGGAGCACAGCTACTAATGAGGACGTGAGTGTAGTGAGCACCGCCTGGTCCGACGCCAAGTCAGACCTCGCCAAGTCAGACCTCGCCAACCAATGAGGCGACAGCGCCTTCTGGCAGAGCAGCGGCAGTAGGAGCAACACTGATGAAAGTGGCGGCAACGCCGCAGAGGGGCGTGAGATTGTGGGGTGGAGGGATGCCGTGGCCAGGAGCGGCAAAGGCTCGGGTCGGACCTCTGGCAGGTTTGTGCCACCCAGGAAGTGGGCTGGCGGGAGGGGGCAGGGTCAGGTGGCAGGTGTGGTGGCGAGGGGAGGGGCGGAGGGGAGGGTGGAGGCTGGGGCTTCTGTGTGGGAGAGGAGCAGTGGAGGCATGAGCGCTGCTGGTGGTGGTGGTGGGACCACGTGGGAGAGAAGCATTGGTGGCAGGAGCGCTGCTGGTGGTGGTGGTGGGACCACGTGGGAGAGAAGCATTGGTGGCAGGAGCGCTGGTGGTGGTGGTGGTGGGACCACGTGGGAGAGAAGCATTGGTGGCAGGAGCGCTGCTGGTGGTGGTGGTGGGACCAGTGGTGGCAGGAGTGCTGGTGGTGGTGGTGGTTGGACCACGTGCAGGAGGAGCAATGGTATGAGTGCCGGCAGTGCAGGTGGTACTGGTGTTGGTGTATCCACTTGGGAGAGTAGCAGTGGTGGCTTCAGCCCTGCTGCTGGCGATTCTTTTGGTGCTGCTGTTGCTGGTGGTGGCACTGGCAGTGCTGATGGTTGGGGAGTAGGCGCAGCAAACGGAGGGTTGGGTAAGAGGGGGCTCCGCCTAGCCCCCAACAGCATGGGGGCGAATGGGCTGGAGTGGCGGAGTAAGGAGAGCGACTCTCCAACTCATTCGCACACGTCCTCGCAGTCAGCAACAGCAGCAAACGAGAGAGTTCAGGGTGCGGGAAGGGGTCCTCTGGTAACTGGCAGGGCGGGAGGATGGGGGATGAACATGGGCATGGGCACTGGCGCTTTTGTTCGTGGTGAGTTTGAGTCTTTGCCACATGGGGGACAGGATAAGTTTGGAGTTGGAGGCAGTGCGGGTGATGCAACTGGTGGCTGGAGCTTGGGAAATGATGTGGGGAGGAGTGCGAGGGGGAGCTTGGGAAAACATTTGTGGGGAAGGGCAAGTAAGAGCTTGGAAAAAGTTGTGGGAGGGAGTGCTATTGGGAGATTGGAAAAATATGTGAGGGGTAGTGTGAGTGAGAGCTTGGGAAAAAATGTGGGAGAAAATGCTAGTGAGAGCTTGAAAAAAGATTTGGGAGAGAGTGTAAGTGGGAGCTTGGGTAGAGGTGTGGGGGGGAGTGGGGAGCAGGGAGTGAATGCAGGCAGCAGGATGGATGAATGGGTGAGAACAAACTATAGCTTGGTTCGTGGTGGTCCGGCGAGCGGTGTTGGTGCAAGTTCTGCTGCTGCAAATCAAGCATGTGCTACACCTGGTGCTACAGCTGAGCCAAGGGTGGAGCAGAAGCCGCAACTCCGCATGGAGACCGACATGGGGGGCGTGGCGTTAGGGGGGACCTCAATGTGGTCGCAGTCAAGCTATGGCGCACAGTCAGAGCTGCACTCTAGCGTGCTGCGCTTGCCAGCAGGGGGGGAGAGTAGCAGTGAGTACATCCCTCCAATGAGTGAGCTCGAGGTCGGTTTTTCCGATAGTGTGAGCAATGCTGACGCGGTGGATAGGGCCCGTGCCGCTGCTGCCCTTGCTGTTGTGGGGATTAGGGGAGCACGTGGTGGTGGGTTCTGCACTGGTGCACGTGCCGCTGCCCCTGCTGTTTCTGCTGCTGCTGCTGCTGCTGCTAGTGTACACCCATGGCAGACTATGGGTGTGCTGCGAGATGAAGACGAGGACGAGGACGAAGAATGTGGTGAAGAGGAGGGGGGGGAGCGCGAGGAGGATGAGGAGGATGAGGAGGACGGGGAGGACGATGAGGACGACGAGGATGACTATGATGGGGAGGGCAGAGAATCCTCCTCCTATGCAGCAGCTGCCGGGCAGACGTGCACCACGGATGATGACAAGCACTCGCCTGCTGTCGCACGCTTCCTCAAGCATCTCTCGATGATGGGGAAGGAGCAGATCCTCGCACAGGACTGCCAATACAAGTGCACCGCGTGCAGGGCCGGCAAGGGCGAGATCCACTGGTGGCCGGGCATACACTCGCTGCTGCAGCATGCAGAGACGATCCGTTCCAGGCGGATTAGTGAGCACCGGGCGTTTGCTGCTGCAGTGCATGTGCATCTGAGGGAGAGAGGTGTGGTGCTGGAGGGAGGGGGGGCCGGGAGGGAGGGGGAGGAGGGGACGTTGCAGGGGCAGTGGCGCGGCGTGGAGGGGTGGAGGGCGGAGGAGGAGAATGCGATGGTGCTGTGGCCGCCCGTTGTGATTGTTAGGAATACTCGTTTGCAACGAGGAGCAGACGGGCAGGTGAGTGACGAGGTAGGGGTGAGTGTTGGGATGAGGAAAGCAATCTGTTTCAGAAGTTACAAGGAGGGGGGGAATAGATCCGGCTCCGCACTGGATTGTTTGAGGCCTTAATCACCTTGCAACTTACATTCCTTACTTGATTACTATCTTCGCTGTCCTCTCCTGCCTTCCTGAATCTTTCCTGTTCCTTTTCCTCTCACGGTTCATATGTCGCCTTCCCCCCTGCCTCGCATGCCCTTTCCCCGGCTGCCTGCCCTCTGTTGGTCTCGTGCATGTGAAGCAGTGGGTGGGCATGGGCAGTCCAGAGCTGCGGGAGCAATTCGCCGACTACAAGTGCATCGTGAAGACCAAGCATGCCTATGGGCCTCAGGTGACCACTAGCGCAGTCAGCCCAACCAGGCACTAACATGCCAATCTTTTTTTTTTTTTTTTTTTTTTTTTTGTCGTCTGCGTCTTGTTGGCCCATCTGCTAGTCTGCTTTCCACTGTTGCTTGCTTCTCCCAACCACCAAGCCCACCCATGCCTGAGGAAACGAGTTAAGGGAAGCGGAATATCTACCCCAGCAGTTTTGAACGCGAGGGGCGCCACATCTCCTGTCTGTCCCCTTTTTTCTTCCCCTCTTTCCCCCACTGTCCCCCGCATTTATTAGGGCCATCGGGGCATCTCCGCGCTGGTCTTTGATGCGACTCCGGACGGATTCCGGGAGGCGGGGCGTCTGGCACAGCAGTTTGAGCGCGAGGGGCGCCACATCCCTTGTCTCCCCCTCTTTCTCCCACTGCCCCCCACAAATACTTCCACTTCTTTCCCCCACCGCTGCCCCCCCACAACCATCAGGGCCATCGAGGCATCAGTGCGCTGGTCTTTGATTCCTCTCCAGACGGATTCCAGGAGGCGGAGCGCCTGGCGCAGCAGTTTGAGCGCGAGGGGCGCGGGCGATTGGGGTTCACAAGGCGGTTGGTGCCTCTGGAGGATCAGTCAGGAAAGAAGAACCTGTTTGGCTACTTTGCGACCCAGCAGGATGTCACTGACTTTAACCGTTTCGGCAAAGGTGAGGGGCGGCTTTAGTTCTGAATGGTTCTTGGTTCTTTTGGGGGGTTCGAAACCTGGCTTGGGGAGGGGGACGGGTGGGAGAGGGTGGGAGAGGTGGGCAAGGTGGCATTGAAGGTGGAGGCGAGGAGGCATGCATGTGTGGCAGGCGTGGTGGAGAGGGCTGCACTCAGTGTGTGTTTTTTCTGCATCCGCAAAGGAAAAAACCATAGGCTTGCTTCTAGTTTCTCCTTTTGTCCATGAACGTGTGGTAGGCCAAGGGGCCGCTGAAGGTGGAGGTGAAGTGGCGGTGGGAGGTGGGGGAGTCTCGACATACTCACTGAACCGTGTGTGTGGGGTGTGTGTGGGGTGTGTGTGCGCGTGCGCGTGCGTGTGTGCGTGCGTGTGTGCGTGCATGTGTGCGCGTGTGTATGGCAGGCAAGGCGCCACTGAAGGTGGATCTGAAGCGGCGGTGGGAGGTGGTGGAGGAGCCGCTGCAGCGCATGAAGCAGCAGGCGGCACATGCCGAGCAGTACAAATCTCAAGTCGTTGAGGTGAGCTCAGTTTTGAGGGTTCTCAAAAGTTGTTTGAAGCGGCGGTGGGAGGTGGTGGAGGTTACCCTGCGGCGCATGAAGGAGCAGGCGACACGGGCGGGGATTTTTAGATCCCAAGTCGTTGAGGTGCGCTGGGGACGCTTAAGGAGGGGGCGGGGAGAGGGGCCTTTGAGAAAATCCTGAGGGGGAGAGGGTCCTGTGAGAGGTCTCAACCTATCCTATGCCTTGGTGGTGAGCTGTGCTGTTGCTCGCTAGTCTGCAACGTGAGTGGCTGTTCAGTCGTGGTGGTGGGTGGCTGGTGAGTCGTGGTGGTGGATGGCTGGAGGTGCAAATCAAGTCGTCTCCTTCCCCAGATCAAGTCGTCTCAGGTGCGGCAGCATCTGGGAGCATGAGAGCAGGCAGCAGCTCGACTTGCCATACTCACCCCTCTCCACCCCTCTTCCCTCCGCCCTCCTCCCTCCCAACACGTCTCTCAGATGTCACACAAGGTGGTGAAGCTGCGGATTAAATCGTCGCAGCTGCAGGAGAGCAGGCAGCAGCTGGAGTCGGCACTGGAGGGAGAGAAGGAGCGGCGCCTGCACCTGGAGGGCCAGGTGGTGAGCACGGTGCAGCTGATGCACATCAAGGAAGCTGAGATGCAGGCTATAGTGGCTCGCAACAAACATCTGGCAGCGCAGTACGAGGAGGAGGTGAGAATTGGGTTGTTGTTGAGCTGGTGTGGTAAAAGCATTCACCTCACACGCACCTGGAGGGCCAGGTGGTGAGCACGGTGCAGCTGATGCACATCAAGGAAGCTGAGATGCAGGCTATAGTGGCACGTAACAAACAGCTGGCTGCGCAGCACGAGGAGGAGGTGAGCTAGTGTGTCACACCATTCGCCTTGCACCTGGAGGGGCAGGTGGTGAGCGCGGTGCAGCTGATGCACAACAAGGAAGCTGAGATGCAGGCTATAGTGGCACGCAACAAACATCTGGCAGCGCAGCACGAGGAGGAGGTGAGAATTGGGTTGTTGTTGAGCTGGTGTGGTAAAAGCATTCACCTCACACGCACCTGGAGGGCCAGGTGGTGAGCACGGTGCAGCTGATGCACATCAAGGAAGCTGAGATGCAGGCTATAGTGGCTCGCAACAAACATCTGGCAGCGCAGCACGAGGAGGAGGTGAGAATTGGGTTGTTGTTGAGCTGGTGTGGTAAAAGCATTCACCTCACACGCACCTGGAGGGCCAGGTGGTGAGCACGGTGCAGCTGATGCACATCAAGGAAGCTGAGATGCAGGCTATAGTGGCTCGCAACAAACATCTGGCCGCACAGCACGAGGAGGAGGTGAGAATTGGGTTGTTTTTGAGCTGGTGTGGTAAAAGCATTCACCTCACACGCACCTGGAGGGCCAGGTGGTGAGCACGGTGCAGCTGATGCACATCAAGGAAGCCGAGATGGAGGCTATAGTGGCACGCAACAAGCAGCTGGCCCCACAGCATGAGGAGGAGGTGAGCTAGTGTGTCACACCATTCGCCTTGCACCTGGAGGGCCAGGTGGTGAGCGCGGTGCAGCTGATGCACATCAAAGAAGCCGAGATGCAAGCTATAGTGGCACGCAACAAGCAGCTGGCCCCACAGCATGAGGAGGAGGTGAGGGCTGGGTTGATGGGCTAGTATGGTCACATCATGCGCCTTGCTCCTGTGGCACTAGTGTGGTGCTGAGCACCGAGCGCCTGATGCACGTGAAAGAGGCCGAGATGCAGGTGAGGAGGCCGCAACAAGCAGCAGCAGGCCCCCTTTCATTCTCCCCAGTCCGTCCCTACGCTCACCTCCCAGTCTCTCCCTTCCTTGCTTATGCCCATTGCCCACTGCCCATCCTCTCAAACGGTCCTTCGTATTATACCTCTCCCTCCGGGTCCCCGGCCACCTAGTACCGAGCGTCCAGGAGGAGACAGCACGGAGCTGAGTGGAGGTGGAGGAGAGGAGGCAGAGGGCTGAGGAGGAGAGAGAAGCGGATCTGGAGTGCACTGAGTTGACTCAGAGCACGCCCACATTTCTCCCCAACCGTTTTCTCCTCACCACTCCCCGGCCACCAGGTAGCAAGCTTGGAGGAGGCGTTTGCGCGGAATGCGGAGGAGGCGGAGAGGAGGCGCGGGGCGGTGGAGGGGAGAGAAGCTGACCTGGAGCGCACTGAGTCGACTCAGCGCACTGAGCTGTGCGGCAAGGTGGCTGACCACCAGCACGCCGCCGCCACCCGCACACCCCAGCGCCAGCTCTCCAGCTCTTCCGGGATCAGGTGTGTGTCTCCCTGCCCTCGCCTCTCCACACCTCCAGTGCACCTCTTGTTCGCTTCTCTTCCTCCTCTCTCCTCCTCCGCCCCGTCTTCCATATTCTTTCCAGACTTCTTTCTCCCCCTTCCTGGCACCATGGAACGTCTCTTGCCTGAGAGCGTCCCTTTCCTGTTTGTGTTGGCATGGGGCATCTGTCAGCTGTAGCATGTATACCAATCAACTGAATGACCTGTCTGTGTTGAAACATCCTTCGCCAGCTGTCCCTCAGAATCTCAACAAGGAGCCTTCCGGCACCTCGTCTCTCACTCCCTCTTTTCATCTCTTTGTCACTCCGTCTCTCTCGCTCCCTCTTCCTCTCTGTCATTGCTCCTTCTTTTCCTCTCTATCACCCCTTTCCCCACTCACTCTCTCCCAATTTCACGCGCCCTCTCCCCATCACTCACTCACTCTTTCCCTCTCTTGCTCACTCGCTTCCTCACTGCCTTACCGACAGTGACAACCACAGCAGTGCTGTGCTGGGTAGTCTGCATGCACCGGCAGTGTTCCAGGCAGGGGTGGCGCATCTAGAGGAGCAGCAGCAGCAGCAGGACAAACGGTCGCTGCCGTGTCGTGGGGGCGTCAAGCAGGCTGGGCTGAAAAGTGAGTTTGAGGAGCCGCCAGTTCACGTGTGTGAGGGTCTGCAGGAGGAAAGCGTGGCGGCTTTGGATCAGGTTGAGTGCGGTAGCATGGTGAAGGTGGGCAGGCGTGTGGGGGTTGGGGGAGGGGACGGGGATGAGAGTGAGGTGGGGGTAGTGGAAGGTGCTGGGAGTGAGGTGGTGGGAAAGGAGAGGGCTGGGATAGATGTGGTGGGGGGTGAGTGGTCTGGAAGTGAGGCTGGGGATGGGGAGGAGGTATTGAGTGAAGTGGGGAGGCGGGGGGTAGGGAGTGTGGTTGAGGTAGGGGAGGAGGCAGGAAGCGTTCAGGAGAAAGGAGTGTTGGTTGAAGGGCAAGGGGAGGAGCAAGCAGAGGGTGTGAGGGAGGAGGAAATGAGGAAGAGCGAGAAACAGGTGTTAGGCGTGTGTGGGGAGCAGGGAGAGAAGGAATCGTTTGGAGAGGCGTTAGGGGAGGAGGATGAGATGGTCGTTTGTGAAAAGGGAGAGGAAGAAGGAAAGGCAAATTGGATTGAGGAAGGAGGGGAGGAAGGGGAGGAGAAACGAGAGGAGGAAGGAGGGGAGGAAGGAGAGGAGGGAGGAGAGAATGAAGGGGAGAATGAAAAGCTGGAGGTAGTGGGAAGGGATAGAGAGAAGGAAGGGCACGAGGAAGTAAAGGGGGAGGAAGGAGAGGAGGAAAGGGAGGAGGAATGGAAGGAGGAAGGAGTAAAGGAACGACGGAAAGAAGGAGGTGAAGAATGGTGGATGAAAGGAGAGGAGTAAGAAGGGAAGAAAGGAGATGCAGAAGGGGGGAAAGAAGGAGAGGTAGGAGAGGAGGAGTAAGGGGGGGAAATGATGTAAATACTGTTGTAGAGAAATCAAATCATGTATGCCATTTTTGTAGGTACCTCCAGCAAACAAATCCTTTTCTATAGCACGTCATGAGAATATGCAATGATTTATTGCGATATCTGATAAATATACAACGGGTGTGGAACATCACACAAAAGAACATTTGAAGGAGTGATGTTAGCATCACATTCACGAAGGACTGATGTTAGTGCTTGATGTGAACCGCTTTTGGGGAGGATAGGTATTGCCGTTGGAGACAGGCAAAACAGTCCGAACGGATTCAGTGTGATTAAATTTGAACAGTTTTGGTAGGCGAGAGGAGAAACGCTTACACAATTCACTGGTCGTTACGACCAGAGTGGGGACAAACAGGGTGTGAATAAGGGAGAGGAACATTAGGTAGCTTTGCTGGAATGTGGAAGCGAGAACTCTGAACACGCCCCGGGAGACCTTCGCAGCGCTAAGAGCGACAATGTTCCGCCTTTTCAAGGATTCTTGTGTGTGGCTTCTGACACAATTTTTTATATCTGACAATCAGTTTTCACCAGCACAATATCGCTAGGCATTTGTCGCTAGGCCAATCTAGCTTTCCTTCACCTGGTGACATTGTGTTTCAGCCTAGTACTGTATTCGCCGTTAGGCCAATCTAGTGGTCCGTGTCTTTTTAAACGTCTTACGTGCACGATCGTGATAGGCAGGCCGAGCAACCATGCAAACGCGATCAAGGAGTAAGCGATCCTTAGTGTCTGCCTTCGAAGAGCCTTCGGACTCTGTCTCTACGAAAAAACGCGTTACAAAGAAGTCTCTAAATGAGTCAGAATCATTGGCGCATGTATCTCCATCTGTCGCCTTACAAGCTGATAGTCAGCCATGTAGCAACCGGAATCGACGAGCGGCTGCGACGAATTCGACGAATGCGACGGCCGCGACCAACTCGACGAATGCGAACAAAGCGACTGCAGCTAAAAACGCGAGGAGTCGCAAGGCCGCCACGAGCATTACCAGGAATTCAAAAAGAACGATCGTCGCGAAGGATGGCATCGGTGCGAACTCGGTTGCGATCAACTCGCCTGACGAGGTTACCAACAGGGTTACCACCAGCAGGGTTTCCACCAGAAACAGAAGCGGGAGCAAAGGCGGAAGCAAAGACATAGATCAATGCGAGGGGATTAACGTCAGAAGAAGCAGCAGAAATGGAGGACCTACCACCGTTACTGGGAACCACGAGGACGTGAATATGGTTCTTACTAGCAGCAGCAGTCCCGACGACGGAGGTTCCGTGAATAATTCCCGGCATGATTTGGCCGAGAAGTTCTTTTCACCGGCGGTGGAGGTAAAGCCATCCGAGCCGGTTCCGAAGGCTCTGTTCCGGTCGCCTGAGAACCCGTGCGAGGCGGAGGAATTCCACTCGCCTGCTTCAGACGCGGCATTCTCCGAGGTTGGGAAGGTCCGGTCTCCAGTACTGAATGCAGTTCCTCTCGAAGCAGTGAAAGAGAATTCGCCTACTTCGGGCAGCGGCGCCCCGGAAGCTTCTAGAACGAAGCAGCTGCCTGTTTCGGATGCAGTTGCGCTTGAAGCACTGAAAGGGAACTCGCCTGCTTCAGTTGTAGCAGTTTCTGACGCTTCTAAGAAGGTGCATTCGCCGGTTTCATTGGCAACCACTTCGGAGGCTTCCAGGAAAGAGAGCTCGCCTGTTTCAGTCGCAGCCGCGTATGAGGATGACATGAAGGCAGCAGCACCAGCACCAGCTGCAGAAGCAGCAGCAGCAGCCGTCACTCGCTTACCCATCCCATCTGCTTCCGTGCAAGCGTCAAGCAAACCAGCAGCGAATGGATCCGTGACATGTGTACCAATGGACGTGGACCACGTGACTGGAAGTGGTTCTTTTGCCCCAGCTCGGCAGCCTGCAGCGGATGTGATTGCACTGAGCGACGACAGTGACAGTGACTGTTACGCTAGGCCGCGTAACTATAGCGCGAGGAGGCTGCGGAGAAGCGGCAGAGGCGCGCGGGGGAGAAGAAGGGGTAATGCAGCTAGCAAGGCATTCGCTGATGCGTGCAGCAGTGCTGCTCTTATCGTGTTGGATGATGATGAGGAGGAGGAAGAGGAGGAGAGAGAGAGCGAGAAGGAGAGGGAGAAGGAGAGGGAGAAGGAGAGGGAGAAGGAGAGAGAGAAGGAGAGGGAGAAGGAGAGGGAGAAACAGTGGGAGAAGGAGAGGGAGAGGGAGAGGGAGAGGGAGACGGAGAAGGAGAACCAGGAGAGGAATGAAAGGGAGAAGACAGAGAAAACAGCAGCTGAAGTGGTGACAGGGGGTGCAAAGGGGTGCGTTGTGAAGGAGAGCGGTACTGAAGTGGTTGACCGTAAGCCAAACTTTGGTGTAAATACTCGAGCATTCGCTGCAGGAGCAGCACCAGTGGCAGCACCAGCAACAGGAGCAGCACTTATAACAAGTGGCGGCACCAGTGAGAATTCTGAGGAAGAGGAGGATGAGGAGGACGAGGAGGATGACGAGGATATAGAGGACTTGTTCACGTATGGGAACGTTCGTATGACCTTTTCACGTTCCAAACTACCTTGCAAGCCATGCAAGCCTGTGGGTGCCGCTGGTAATACTGCCACTGAGGAGATGGAGAGAATCGACGGTGGTGGTGGTCACCCTGTCAACCCCAGCCCGCTCTCTCCCCGCCTAACCTCCCCCCTTGGCTCACCTACTGCCCCGTCTCGTGCAAATCCTCTCAGCCCCCGCGGTTGCATGAGTCCTACCGGCCAGGATCCGACTTGCGAAGATGTGCTAAGTCCCAGCCGATCAGGAGCAGCAGCAGGAGAAGCAGAAGCGCGTAGTGAGCTCAGAAAATTTCGGCTGCACCAATCCAAGGGTCACCGCCGCCACGGGGCTCTCGCGTTCCTCGCCTCCGAACCTGCCGCAGGCTCGGGTTCAGGCTCGGCCAAGGCAGGCGAGACAGGCACAGCTGGAAAGCATCTCTGCCCCCCATCCACATGCAATGCCCCCAATGTGATCCCGTCCATGCACCATGCTGCAGCAGCAAATGGGCAAGCAGAGGCAGGGAAGGAGAGGGGCGACGGGGGGGATGCATGGGATGGGTGGGAGGAAGGGAGTGGGGATGGCGTGGCAGGTGACGTGGACGACCCTCAGCTGGAGCTGTATCGATGGGAAGTGAGGTGAGTGGTGAGATGACAAGGGGTGGATGGGTATGGGTCAATACAAGCAAGGTAGCACGGGTGGAAGGAAGGGAGTGGGGATGGCGTGGCAGGTGACGCGGACGACCCTCAGCTGGAGCTGTATCGACGGGAAGTGAGGTGAGTGGTTACCCGAGGGGCTGATATGCTGGGTTTTGAGTTGACCCAAAAGTGGGCAGGTGACGTGGACGACCCTCAGCTGGAGCTGTATCGCAGGGAAGTGAGGTAAGCAGATGGGTGATGGGCTGATGGGTTGAGGTGAGGAGCGGGTGGGAAGTGGTGAGATTTATACAAGAATATTTTAATGGGAAGTGGGAACTGCAGCGATTTTGTTCAACGAAGAGGTACTTGCAGGTCATGTACTTTTATGGTGGCACACATTTCAAATGCCCCTTTGTTTTGTTCACGTTTTGTGTGTCCTTCTTGCAGCCGTTTCAGACAGCAGCGGACTGAATTGGCCCGAATGAGGGAGCAGCTATCAGACAGGGGGCTGAGAATTGTTTGTTCGGATCTATATGTATATTCTCGTCTTGTCATACATCTTGCATGTCTTTCTTGCAGCCATTTCAAGAAGCAGCAGGCGGAATTGGCCAGGATGAGGGAGCAGCTATCAGACAGGGGGCTTAGGATCTTTGAGTCGGCTAAGATTTTTATTTTCCTTTTTCATCGTGCATTTTGTGATATTTCTTGCAGCCGTTTCAGGGAGCAGCAGGCGGAGTTGGCCCGGATGAGAGAGCAGCTATCAGACAGGGGGCTTAGGCAAGACGTGATGTCAGCATGCCCTGTGCCTTCACCAGAGCAGCAGCCGGGCCGGCCGAGTGGTTACAACGAAAATCATAGCCAGTTGAACGGAGCAGCAGGGGCAACGGCGCCGGTGGCAGCAGCGGCGGAACTGGCAGGAACACAGGAAGCAGCAGCAGCAGCAGCGATGGCGGCGGCTCTAGAGGCAGCCATAAGGGGGAGATCGAGAGACAGCAGGAGAAGAACAACAACTGTGGACGTGATAAGAGAAGGGTGGGCTGCAGCAGTAGCAGCAGCCGGAGCAACAGCAACAGCACCAGCACCAGCACCGGCAGCTTTTGCAGCACCAGCACCAGCAGTAACACCAGCAGTAGCACCAGCAGCGGTAGCAGCAGCAGGTGTTGCAGGGTGGAGAGGGGGAGTAGCAACAGCATCAGCAGTGAGGGTACCACATGTCACTTACCCCCGTGCAACACCAGTAGCAGCAGCAGCTCCAACACCAGCATCAGCAGCAGCAGCAGCACCAACACCACCAGCAGCAGCTAGGGCAGCTACCCCTGCGAGTTACAGGATCGCAATGAAGCAAAGAACAGCAGCAGCAGCCGCCGCTGCTAGGGCAGCTACTCCTGCCAGTTACAGGACCCCAGTGCAGCAAAGAGCAGGATTCGCTGTTGCCAGTGGTGCTGCTGCAGGGAATGCAAGTGCGGGTGCTGGGCATATGGGAGGAGGGCACGTGAACGGGGGGCATGGGGCAGGAGGGGGAGAAGCAGCGGAGCATGGGGAGGAGGGGGGAGGCGAGCGGATTCGGCTGCGGGTGACAGGGAGCTTGGGAGAGCACATGTTTCGACTGGCCAAGGTGGGTGAAAGTGTGCCTGTGCTGTAGCATAACTGTCATTTCACTTTTTGAGTCGACTCAAATATCGGCTGCGGGTGACTGGGAGCCTGGGAGAGCACATGTTTCGACTGGCCAAGGTGGGATGATAGTGTGCCTGTGTTGTGGCATAACTGTCATTTCCACTACTTGAAAGTCCATTCCGTTTTCCAACCCTTCCCTCTCTTTCCTGCACTAAAAGGTGACAAGCTAGAAGAAGCTTTTTGCTGCCAGGGCAACAGGGCACCGAGCTGGGGGGGCACCAGTTGCAACTTGCCTCTTTCTGTCGTCCCCATGTGCTCGTCTTTCTCTCCCTCTCTTACTCTCTTCTGCCTTGCATCCCTGCCAGGGTGACAAGCTGGAAAAGCTGTTCACGGCATATGCCAACAAGGTGGGGGGGGGCACCAGTGGGCTCAGCCTGTCGTGACTCGTCACCATACACCCACCTTCCCCTCCCGTTCTCTCCCTTCCATCCCTGCCAGGGTGACAAGCTGGAGAAGCTGTTCACTGCATATGCCAACAAGGTGGGGGGGGCACCAGTGATGCTCAGCCTGTCATGACTCAGCCCCATATGTCCACATCTCCCTCCTCTTCCATCCCTGTCAGGGTGACAAGCTGGAGAAGCTGTTTGCTGCATATGCCAACAAGGTGGGGGGGGCGCCAGTGGGCTCGTTCAAGTTTGTCTTTGATGGCGAAGCGCTAAGGAGTGATTCGACACCAGCTGAGGTGGACCTTGACGATGAGGACCAGATTGAAGCTGTGCGGAAATAATCCCAGCAACATAACTACCTACTACCCTTTCAGCACCAGTGGGTCCATTCAAGTTTGTGTTTGATGGCGAAGCGCTAAAGAGTGATTCGACACCAGCAGAGGTGGACCTTGACGATGAGGACCAGATCGAAGCTGTACAGAAGTAATGTCTATTGGCATCACAGATTCACAGGCTCGTGATGTTTTAACAAGCGTATGAACTTGGTGAACCGCGACGAGTGTGGCCAGAAATTTTACGGTATTCCTCAGCCATTCTTTCTCATTTGTGGGCCAACAAGCGAACGCTACATGTCCGATATAATGAATCATGAGCCTCAATGTCCCAGAAAGAGAACACCACGTCCCATATGCTTGCTGTGTGCAGGTGAAATGCCTATAGTTTCACCCACTAGGGTGTAATAAATGGAAAGGCAACTGGGCTATAGACAATCCATACATAGATCATGGTTCAAATCATAATGATAAGATGTACACAGCATGAGTGGGCTGAAGCCACAACATTTCTAACAAGCAAACCATACTGTTAGTCTCCAAATCGTCATCCATAGACCAACCAGTCCGCAAAACCTACATCCCAGCTTGCTTCTTCGACTCTTCTATAAGCTGCTTCACATAATTCCGCACAATCTCCTCCCCCTCCTCACTCCTCTTGGTGCCGCACTGGTGGCAGCTGTGGCGGCGAGGGAAGTTGACATTTTGGCACGAGGAGCAGGCCCAGTTGCCATTCACCCCCACCACGGGGCGCGTGTGGTTCAGCCCCCGCTGGGACTGCAGTGCTGCTGGATCCCCAAACTCCTGGAACGTGGAGAAGAATGTGGAGTAGGATGGTGATGGTTGAACAGAAAGCGTTGGATTGAAGAAGGTGGTGGTTGAAGGCATACAAAATGGCATAAGGTTAAAAAAAATGACACAGGGAAGAACAAATACTTAGCACGAGAGAACAAACGAGACAGCGCAACAGGGCAATGGGGCCATGATGATGGCAGGGTAAAAGAGGGCACATCAGTTCATCAGATTACATTGTCATCCGCAGGCATGACATGGACAAGGGGAGCTCGTGAGAGCCCACCCCATCCATGCACACTCGGTTCCCTGCCATTTGTGTTCCGCATCCTCTGTGCCCTCGCATTTAGCAAGCATGAGCAATACTACAAATTGAACAGCGTCCAACCGCTCTTTAATCAGTCGAGTATTGGTGCCTATAGACTGACCTCGCTCTGCTACTTATAAAACGACAGGACAGCTACAGGGGGTAGGGGATAGGGTAGCAGGGGAGAGCTGACCAGGGATAGAGCGTGGGAGCATCAGCCTGAAGTTCATTAGTTTGTTTTTGTTGGCACAAGGGCGGCAGAGGCCCAGAGGACCATCTCCCGCCTTGCCGTAATAGGTTGTCATCATTGCCCCCGTTACTAGCACATCTCGTTATACGAGACACAGCAATGACGCTCAGATCACCTCAACAAGAGGGAAGCTACAGGGACAGCTAAAGCGCACGAGAAGGGAAGGATGAAGACTGAGAGACAACAAAGACGGGGGCATCAGCCTGAAGTTCATTAGTTTTGTGTATTTCGGCACAACGGCAGCATTTCTGTTGCCTTGCCATAGCGATTATCCTCATCGCCCCCCATATATTCACATTCAGCCAGAGCCAAATCTCTTCGAAGTGAACAGACACCAGACACAGGAAAAATGAAGTGGCTCGTAACAGCAGTGTGCAAGCAGCACTCACCCTGAGGAAGTCACTCGGGCGATCCTTATAATCCTCGAAGCTGATATTAGCGGGGATCGGCTTCACAGACGGAGGTCTAGGCGCAGGCGCAGCAGCCATGGCCGCAAACTGCGGCATCCCGCCCATTTGCACGTATCCCCCTGGCGCAGGCTGGTAGAAATACGCATTCCCGCTTGATCCCCTCCCACTGGACCTGCGGGCGCGTAACCGTACGCGGCCGCCGCCGCCATTGCCGCGTTATTTGCGGCGGCGGCGGAAGGATCTCCGCCGCCCCCGGGGATGTTCATGCGCGATTTCATGGTTTGGAGCCAGAGCGTGGCGGAGGCGAGGCACTCTCCCGCGTCAGCGATGGGGTCTGCTGACATGGCGAAGCTCGCTACAAGCTGCTCCGCTAACCGCTTGCCTTCGGCAGCCGCACTGGGGTAGAAAAGGCGAGGAAGGTAAGACGGGAAGAGTGAGTAGAGAAACAGGGAGAGCATGCGATCGAAAGAGGATGCGACCGTGCGAGTGTGTTAGAAAGTGAAAGCGGGGGAACTCAGGAATGTGAGTGGAGTGATGGCTTAAGACGGCGGCGAGGTGTAGCAACCAGAAAATCAACTGATGGCATACCGACGACCAAATGCCTGTTCCAAAAAAAAATCTAGGCCCGTGGCTAAACGCCGTTACTTACCTAAGCGTGGACCTTCGGCCTGCACCAGCACCATAACCGGGGTCAACAGCCACCGTGTACTGAGACGCAAGAGTCGCACCAGCACCAAAACCACCATCACCAGCACCACCACCAGCACCAGGACCATAACCAGCCGCCATAGCTGCAGCGTAGGGGTCATGCTGCAGTACCTGCACCTGAACCGGCGGACAAAGGATGCGGTGGTTTACCACCAGCAACGGTATACCCATGAAGCACAATCACACCGAGTTTAGGATCAACGAGAAACAACGAGCGTGAGACGACTATGGAAGACACCAGATTTATACCAGAGACAGAAGGAATAAATATATAATAAGTTAGGCAAGCGCACCACGTAAGAAACCATCGCGACCTAGACCTGGACGTAGCGCGTGTTCAGCAATTCCTTGAGTTTTCTTACTCTGCCTTGATTGTAACCGCCGTAGCCACCCGCATCGCCCGTTCGCTGGCCTCTCATTCGCTTGTTGTAATCCGCTACTATCGTGTCGCCTACAGCTCCCCGTTGCCTGCCGCATTTATGGCACTGCAAAGAAAGAGCGTCTGATTTAGCTGGTCGTCATAAAGAATCAAAAGAAAAAGACAGGTGATGGCAGCTGCTACGCATGATCGCAAAAGACAACGGCAGGTGATGGCAGACCGTACCTCAGTGCGACGAGGGTAGTTAACATTGAGACAAGCCGAGTCTTCGCAAACCCAGTTCCCGTCTTCCAGTGGAACGGGTCGCTTGGATCCACTGCAAGAGACAAGTGTTGCAGGGAAACTAATATCAATGCACATGCATGAACGAAATAATTCAAAATGACGAATCTTGTGATTTAGTTACCTCGCCTGTCTAGGTTGTGGACCATAATCAGCCATCGCCACCCGGCTGACAATCCCGGGGACTTGCCACGTGAATTCGATCTGGGTCTGAACACACGAAACCCTAGGCACGAGGTTTTCTCAAGAACAGACAGATCTTCACCGGTGAGAAAAATACATCAGATTCGAGGGAAACGAGGGAAAGCGATGGGCTTATGAAAGAGAGTTGGAGGGAGGGATTTCAAATCCAGGGTTGTTGGAGTTGGAGGGATTGAGTTGTTATGAGAGCGAGTCCAAGGGTATTGGCTGCCTTGGGTTGTGGGGCTTATGTTACAAACTTATAAGGAGCTGTGGTTTTAATATGAAGTCAATGCTGGTTCCGCTATTATAATTTGTATGTTCTTATGGGAGCATCCCGTTTGAGTGCTGTTGTCGTGATCGCAAGGGAATCGTACAGGCGCGGCGAGAGATGCGCTTCGTGCACTTGTGGCTGGGAAGCTCGAGCCAATTCTTGTGCGGTGTGGTCCCCTCGCCATCCCCCTTCACCACAACCAAATCATTGGTCCGAAAGCGCCAACCTGGCATCGCTGTTTCTCTGCGACGCCACGTAGACTTACCAGAGGCTACTAGAGGCACTTCCACGAAACCATCGCCACCTCGCACAAGGAGGACGTTTACAAATGGACCACTCGGGCTTGGCGGGAAGCTCCTCGCTTGTACACGGTGGCAATCTGGTAAAATCGACTGACAGGCACTTTGACTTGGAGCATCGACGAGCATCCAGCGTGAACAGGCACAAATACAGCATCCCTTCAATTTTTTGTTCTTCCAAGAATCAGCTAGCTTCTCGGTCTCCATTCTCCGAACTTCCATTCTGTCTCACAACAGACATTGGGTGTCGTCTCGAACAATTAGCAGCCATGGATCCCGCTTCTGAAGCTGCCAGGACTGATCTGATGACACTGACCAGACATGTGTTGAATGAACAGTCCAAGTACCCAGAAGCTCGCGGAGATCTCACCATTTTGCTCAACCACATCGTCCTTGGCTGCAAATTCGTCTGCTCTGCAGTTAACAAGGTGCACAGTCACTCAGAAACGCACTCCGTCTGAATAGGCGTCTCGTTTCTCCCGAGCTGTTCCCAGTCTTGCTGATACGGTTGACCGTATCTTCATTGCAGGCTGGCCTCGCAAAACTCATTGGTTTGGCTGGTGAGACAAACGTCCAAGGAGAAGAGCAGAAGAAGCTTGACATCCTGTCCAACGACGTGTTCGTGAAGGCCCTCGTCAGCAGCGGCCGAACGGTACGTTCCAGTGAGCAAACGATCGATGGACCATGATTATATTGGGATGCGAGACTGACTATGCGTTTTGCATTCTCGCGTGCAGAACGTTCTCGTGTCCGAGGAGCTGGAAGATCCTATCTTTGTCGACAAAAAACATCGCGGAAGGTGATTTTCCTGCTGATGCTGGCTCTAACCGTGATACTTTCTTGAGTTGTCTAACTAAGCATGCAAATTCCTTTCAGGTATATTGTGGTCTTCGACCCCCTCGATGGGTCGTCCAACATCGACTGCGGTGTGTCCATCGGAACAGTAAGTGCATGACTTGGTCTAATGTACTTTAGTAATTATACGTAATGACATGAATGAACGCAAAACCTCAATAGCCAGTAACAGATAGCGAACAACTTGTGCAGCATTCGAGGGGCAATACCTCAATATGCAGAGCCGTTCACTGCTACTCATAAATTGTAAACCAGCATTTACCGGGATATCTTCCATCACTTACTGCAGATCTTTGGCATTTATATGCTCCAAGCGGACAGTGATGGCGTCATTCCCGAAGGCACAATTGAGGATGTGCTGCAGCCTGGAACCAAGATGGTGGCAGCCGGGTACTGCATGTATGGCAGCTCGTGCACGGTAGGGCTATGGTTGTTGGGTTGGCCCTAACCTGCTGTACACGTTCGCAGTGGCTATCTCGTAGACTTTCATTTCGTGTTCTGGCACTGACAGTTTCCTACGGTGTGGTTCTGCAGCTTGTGCTGAGCACCGGTAATGGAGTCAACGGATTCACCCTCGATCCGTCTCTAGGAGAGTTCATCCTCACCCACCCCGACATTCAGGTGCGGAATTTTGGAGTGGGAAATGTGGCAAACGTGCACTGGAGCGCATTGTGCATCGAGCTCGTCTTATCAAGAGTTCCTCTCTCTCAGTTGAATTATTCCTTCGTACATGCTCCTGCAGATGCCCAAGACGGGGAAGATTTACTCTGTGAATGAAGGAAATGCAATGAACTGGGATGAGCCAACCAGAACGTAAGTAAAAATCGCCATCTTATAGCACTTCCTTTCTTGGTGATTACGTGTGCTGCGTGTATAGCTGGCGTCTCAAATTGGAACTGTTGGTTTACAGGTTTGTGGAGTCCTGCAAGTTCCCAACTGATGGATCCGCACCCCGTTCCCTTCGCTACATTGGAAGGTGAGGCTGACAACTAAATGGCACCCTTATAGCTAGCCTTGAGTGGGAGTGCTAAATTCTTCTCATCGATTCTTTTAACTGCAGTATGGTGGCGGATGTGCACCGGACACTTCTGTATGGTGGAATTTTCTTGTACCCGGCTGATAAGAAGAGTCCCAATGGCAAACTGAGGTAAGAGGAGTGAAAAAAATATTCATTTAGTTGTCTCGTGGCCTTATTTGTTACGTATGACTAATATCTACAACCCCTCCCTTCAACTGTGCAGGGTGCTGTATGAAGTCTTCCCCATGTCTTTCTTGGTTGAGCAGGCAGGGGGTCAAGCTTTCACAGGAAAGCAACGTGTACGTATATACCAACAGTGAATTTCCTCTTGTTATCCAAACAATACAAGAGGTGACTAATTACTGTTTCTCATACTTGCAGGCCATGGATCTCATTCCCACCAAGATCCATGACAGGTCCCCAATCTTTTTGGGCAGTTATGATGATGTTGAGGCTATTAAGAATCTGTATGCCGCTCAAGCTTGAGCCTAGGTACTTTAATATATCGTTTTGTTGTATCTTTTGACCCTCAAGCCAGCTGGTAAATGAAAAATTGTCATGAACGTATTTTCTCAACACAGCTTGAACTCTTAACGTATCCTCTCAAATGGGTACAGATCGCGACCAAGCCGCGACCTGTCAGGCATAAAGCACAAAGTGACTGTCAAGCAAAGCGGGACAAATAGATAAAGACGTCGCCGAGCAAGCACTGCAGCCCAGATTTGTGTTTTTTGAGAAGCTCCAGCCCTCGAACACTCATATTTCACAAAACTTCAACGCCAACCTCGTGGCTTGTTCATCTGCTCCGTGTTTTTGGTCCTGAGACAACACCACCTCTTCTTGATTTAGCATTTCGACTGTTAGCCGCATCTTTTCTGGAGCCATTGCTTTGTCATCGCGATCCCCGACGTAGCGAGTTTTCTAAGTTCTTCGTTATCATGAGGCTTGTATAGAGTCGCCGTCCTCTCATCCGCATTCTGACCACTGAAGATCGTGTCGTCGTTTTTGAATGGTAGCGGGTCCGAATTCGGGGAAGCGGAGAGCTTACCATCGTGGTGCCATGGGAGCGATGCGGACGCCGTCAAAGAAAGCGCCGGCGGGCCTCTTTCGTTTCGGCCTCAGATTTGTGATCCTCCTTTTCGTCGTCGTTATGGTAGTCTTCATCGCGGAGACCGGAAAACTCGCAGACAGACAACGGAAGTCGGAGTTTGAAGAGCGTAAGCCTCTTAGTTTCCAGTCTAAAGACATGCTCCCTGCGGCTGGCCACATTTGCCACGTTTTCGGGGTCAATCCTGATTTCCGTGGATTGCTCTTGTACGAATGCATGAAAACCAAAGCGCCTTTGCCTCAACCGTCCATTCGTAATTCCTCTCGATCTCCGTTTCGCTTCGGTTCGCGGTCGTAGTTCCCTCTCAGGTCTCTTCCACATTCACTTCGCGTTATTATTTCCCTCTCAATCGTCATTCACCTTCATTACTCGTTCTAGTCCCTTCCCTCCCATCCATCGCCGAGGCAGTGCGAGAGCAGTCGCTGCGGAAAATCCTGAGGCAGCACGAGATGGAGATCCAGGCAGCCATTGACAAGAACATTGGCTGGTTCTCTCACTACCTCTCCAGACTCCGTCTGTCGTCTCGTGCTGGCGCTGGAAGAGGTGAGTTTGTGTTTCAATCGTTATCCCACGTGGGCGAGGCAAGTCTTATTTCGTTGGAGAAGCAATTCCTTCCAACGGAAATGAATATTTTGCAGATGCACACTCAAACCTCGTTGGAGGTAAGCCACCATTTTTTCCTTTTTATGCTTAGTTTCACCTGCCCGAGATCGCATTTCACTCATGACGGACAACGTCGCCCTTCGTATGTGTGTCCCTGCCTGTGTGTCTCCCGCCATCGGCACACCTGTCCCTATTCGTTTGTCCAACCAGACGAGGACGACGACGATGACACCAGCAGCGTGTCGTCGCACTCCGCCTCCGCTACAGACACCCTCGCTACTGGCACGTCTGAGGGGGACGAGGGTGGCGGGGATGCCGCACAAGGCGGAGGCGCTGGGGGAATGGCGGGCGGTGGGGGGGAGAATGGGAAAGGCGGTGGCGAGGGGCAAGGAGGGAAGCAGAAGAAAGGGAAGGAGCAGGACCTGTCGAATGTGGGCAATATGGACATGCCCATGCACAAAGTGCACGGGGTCTTGGAACGTGAGTGTCTGGAAAACTGGAAGTCGTTTTATTAGAAGTAGGAATCTATAATATTGCTTGTTCAACCTGCATCTCGAATGTGGGCAATATGGATATGCCCATGCACAAAGTGCACGAGGTCCTGGAACGTGAGTGTCTGGAAAACTGGAAGTAGACTGGAAAGTGGGAGGATAGTCTTCCTTGATCCACTTGCATCTCTCCCTTGGTGTTTCTTCCTCTGTCGCATTCTTCTGTCACTTCTTCCCTCTGAATACCCGACTCATTCTCTTCCTGCTCGTCTGCCCGATCCATCCCCCTTTTGAAACCCACCAGCCTGCCTCCCTCTGCTGCCCGAGCCTGACCTCTCGCACCTGCAGCTGCCCGAACCTCTCCCCGACACAGTAGTGAAGCGCCTTCGCTATTATCACATGGACGAGGACGCAATCGAGATCGAGACCACACTAGGCGCCAGGCAGGGGCAGCTGGGGCGAACGGTCCAGTTGGACATGTTCACAGGGAAGCAGACGATGGGCGAAAGGGCTAAGAGCTTCCGGGTACAGGAGAGCATGGAGGTGCACTGTGGGTTTGCGGGGCCCAACACGGGGTTTACGGTGGCAGAGGCGGACCAGCGGTGGCTGAAGCGGTGCCAGGTGGCGGTGGTGACGGCGATATTTGGGGGAGGTGACATCCTGGTGCAGCCGATTGGGATGACACAGGAGTCTCTTCAAAAGGTGCGTGGGTAGGTTGGGATGGTGGGGCCTTTTGAGGCGTCTCAAAATTCGGGGGAGGTGACATCCTGGTGCAGCCGATTGGGATGACACAGGAGTCGCTTGAGAAGGTGCGTGGGTGGGTAGGGGGGGATGGTGGGGTATCGGGTTGGGGATTAGCTGGGTGGCAGTGGTGACGGCGATATTCAGGGGAGGTGACATCCTGGTGCAGCCGAACGGGATGACACAGGAGTCACTTGAGAAGGTGCGTGGGTGGGTGGGGATGGTGGGGTGTGGAAATGGTGGGGTGGGGGATTGGTGCAGTGTGAGGGTGGGGAGATGAGTCTTAATGCACAGTGGTGGGGACTTGGAGTAGGAGGAAGGCTATGGGCATGTGAATGTGTATGGTCATGGGTATGTGAATGAGGTAAGGATGGGTTTGGGATGGGTTTGAGACGAGCTGAGCAGCATCCACGCACAGCCATGAATGAACCCATGATGCATGTCTTCCACCCCTGGCATGCCTTCAGGTGTGCTATGTGGCATTTTGGGACGAGGTGACAGCAGCTGCACAGGCGGAGGCAGGGGTGGTGCCAGACGCAGGCACCATGAGGGTGGGGCTGTGGCGCATTGTCATTGTGAAGGACCTGCCATTCGTGGACCAGCGGAGAAACGGGAAAATTCCCAAGGTGAGGGACCATGGTTACCTGTTAATTAGTCTCCTCACCACATGCGTAGGCAGGGGTGGTGCCAGACGCAAACACCATGAGGGTGGGGTTGTGGCGCATTGTGGAGGTCAAGGACCTGCCGATTGTGGACCAGCGGAAAAACGGGAAGATTCCCAAGGTGAACACAACAGGGTTGCCAGTTCATGCGTTTCTGATGAACAGGTGTATAAGCAGCCCCCTATAATCGTCCCTGACGCCTTTTTTAATCTTCACCTTACCTTTATCAGAAGCATGATACAAATAGAATAGAGCTATTGAACTATCTGACACAGCACTGCAGGGTCCAAGCGCCTCTTAGAAGCACATGGCCTCACATTGTCCCACATGAACACCGTAATATCCTCACCTCTCAAACGCACCTTCACTCCTCTGATCGAATTACATGCGATTTCAGACCCTTGGTACCAAACTCACTCTTCGACCTCAGTGCCAGTCGCGATTAAAACTCGTCCTGCCCTCTGTATCCCCTGTACCTTCCCCGTGCACCCGGCTTCCCCTTCTCATTCGCCCACGATCACTCACTCACCGTGTCCATCCACTCACCATTGCCCCCAACAGATCTTGTCTCATCGCCTCTTCCCCCGCGCCCGCTTCTCCATCTGGGTCGACTCCAAGTACCAGTTCCGCCGGGACCCCCTCGGAGTGCTCGACTCGCTGCTGTGGCGGCAGCAGCCGCGGGCAGAGTTTGCGATATCGGAGCACGGGGCGAGGAGTTGCATTTACGCGGAGGGGGAGGCGATTGTGAGGAAGCACAAGGCTCAGCCGGAGGAGGTTGCGGTTCAGCTGAACCAGTATCGCACCGAGGGGCTCCCGGTTAATGCCACCTATAATGGGAAGAAAGGTGAGGGGAAGCGAGTGGATGTGGTGGTTTGGAAGAAGGTTGGATGGACGGTTATTTCGAGTACTGATCTCGCTCTCACTGTTTCTTTTGTTTGTGGGGGCATCCGACCAACGTATGTTCTATTCCCTTTTTATTGTGCAGCTTTGGCAGAGGCGTCCATTATAGTGAGAGAGCACACTGCAGCCACGAACCTGTTCATGTGCTTGTGGTTCAACGAGATGGTGCGATTCACTGCTCGTGATCAACTCAGTTTCGGCTACACGCTCCGACGACTCGACCTGGTGAAACCAAACATGTTCCCAGTGTGCACACGACGGGCGCTGGTGAACGCTCTTGGCCACAAGCGTAAGGCAAAACCACTTGCACATGGAGTGTCCTGAATATGTAGGTGCTAAAAATCGACATTAGGATTATAAGTAGGTCTCTATTGCAAATGTTGTCAGTGTACGTCCATTTGAATAAGCACCCCCATACCGGTTCACTTACGGAGGTCAGAGGTGGTTGGATACGGCGACGAGCTTGCGATAGCATGCTGGAAATCCATTGGTTTAGCAGTTCCCGCCAAGAGCTCGGGGGGACTCAGTTCTGCCTCGGGATTTCCAAACGAACCTCGGCCATGGTTCCACATTCAGGCCCTGTTCGGCAGGCGCATCAAGCACAGGCTCGGGCATGGGCTACAGTAAAACGACCACCCAAGAATTTTCCAATATAAGTGGTTGACCGGTTATCAAGGCCCGGGTTAGGCGCATGGTTGCCGAAGCGAACTTGTGCTGCATGACTGCCCAACAGCCTTTTTGGCCCCTGGTTTGGGAACGGAAAGCGCGTTCCCGGAAACATCCTCTCCTGGCAAATAGACGCATCAGTGATGCGCGCATGGTGCATCGTGGAGAGGCTGCATCATGCGCGCATCAGCTGATGCGGGGCAGCATTGAAGATTCGAAAACTTTTTATCTAGTTTTGTCTTTAGCGCAAACATGCCCGAGCTCAACTCTCCCCAAATTAGGGTTGAACAGCTGTGATGAAATGTTCGTGGAAATGTTTGGACCCTACCCAACAAGCCTCGGGGCAGCCCGGGCAGTTGTGGAGCGAAGGTGCATTGAACGCGACATTATCCTTCCGCGAGCCTGAGACAAATTGACAAAACCCGAACCGTACTATCTCGTATGGTTGCACCACTCACGAACATGAGCCCATTCCCGAGCCTAGATGCTGATGCGCCTGCCGAACAGGGCCTCAGTTTGGCTTACCCAACCTAGCCAAGACGCGAGGCTCGACAGACGGGAGAACAAGCGAGAGGTCACAGAAGGCACGGAGGTTCGGCGCGGGGCTTCACTCGCAAATACCTGTGTTTGTAGCCGAGGTGTCAGTCTGGGCTGCCAAATCTAGATTCCAGAGACGGCCTTCTGGAATTCAAAGCACATGTTGTCCTCCTCACATGACAGAACACATGATCAGAAGAATCTATTTCCTGATTTCACTAGCTCGTGCATATCAGTCTTTGAGCGCGTTCCGTGTCCTCTTGAGGAGCGGGCAGTGGCTCGAAGTAGCTTCTCGGACCAACTACTTCTCATTGAAGGAGGCTCTTTTCCGCAATAGTTTTTGGCTCTCTGAATTTCTATTATCATCTTAATCAATCACACCATTCACCCCTGGCCTCGTTCGGGGTCACTGTCCTGGTAAGTTTTGATTCAACATTGGCAACAGCTTATCTGTTTTATCAGTTAGAGAGCTGATTGTCTTTTGAAAACGAATCATGGTCTTCGTAACGAAATTCGCACTTGGTTAGAACCGAACTCACCGTAACTTATTGGTATTCTGAGAAAAGAGGATGAACCAGTGCCTTTCCAGTGCCTTAATGACGGATCTAGCCTTTCTGGCTGCGACCCTTAAGAATGCATTCGCATTGTGGGTGAAGCTGGATTCGCCAGGTTTCTGGGTTTCTCAGGCCGTCCGAATTCCAGATATACCCCATTCTAGTTCACAAGTAACACTCGGTCAAACAACTCATTTGTAACGTCTATGCATGCTCGGCTTCCCGGCCTTTTCTATTACCCCAGCCAGAGAATGCCAGCTCTGGAGGCAAGCGATCCAGTCGCCATGGACACTCAGCCTCCAAGCGTCGGCGGTAACAGTGCGCTGGGTAGCTTGGAGGGTAGAGGCAAGCTGCAGCTGGTGCAGCCTTCGTCGGCAGACGAAGAGACAAAGGTGGTGCGGGAGCTGATGAACACTGCGGATGCTGGCATGAAGGAAGGAGACACATACAACCTAGTAGACGCTAGGTGAGTACGTGTATGATTAGTACATCATTGAATATTTTAAAGGGCGTGTTACGTGCACGAGAAGCGAGGTGGTGAGGGAGCTGATGAACACGGCAGATGCTGGGATGAAGGAAGGAGACACATACAACCTAGTAGACGCTAGGTGAGTACGTGTACGATTAGCACATCATTAGCACATCATTGAGTACGTGACTCGTGCAGATGGTGGCGAGCTTGGTCCAGATACTCGGGCTACTCGGAATCAGAGAGCGAGTCGCAGAAGCTGACTGTGAAGTTTTGAGGCGCATCAAAACTAATCTCTGTTGACTCCCGTTGACTCCGGTTGACTCGTGCAGGTGGTGGCGAGCTTGGTCCAGATACTCGGGCTACTCGGAATCAGAGAGCGAGTCGCAGAAGCTTACTGTGAAGCCGCTACCCATAGACAACTCGAGCCTGGTGGATCGGGAGGCGCAGGACAGGTTCGGCAGTGCCGAGCCTCACCTGCGGCTGGAGCTGCAGGAGGATGGGGACTACGCGCTGGTGCCGCAGTCTGTGTGGCGCGTGCTGCACTCGTGGTGAGTCTCGGGTTAGCAGCGCTGCACTGATGTATGCGTGCTATCCTGGTTCAGATGAGAGGGAGAAAGGAGCTTTCAGCAGAGTTATGCTGGTTCCTCCTTTGTGCTTGTGCGTTCTCAGCTGTCTGTGTACTGGGTGTACATTAGAGACACATCAAACACAGTACCATAGAAAAAGGCCACATCACCTTCTGAGGAACAGAGCGGCCCTACGCAGGAGAGGCCCCGCCAGAAGCTTCCATCCGATTTTCCTCCCCCATACTCCACACTCCTTCCATTTTTCATCTCCCTTGTCCCCGTTGCAAATGCTAAGGCATGGAGGGGGTCCAGTGGTATCCCGCCACGTGGCGCGCATGGGATGCCGGGAAGAGCTATCAGTGGAGGTGTACCCGCTCTCCCTTGAGCTCACCTATGTCTCTGCCGCCTCCTCATTGCCCCTCACTTCCTTCCCTTTCCCAACCACTCTAGGTATGGGGCCGGCCCAGTGGTATCTCGCCACGTGGAGGGCATGGGGGGGGCGGGAGGAGCTATCAGTGGAGGTGTACCCGCTCTCTCTCGAGCTCTCCTTCTCTCTGCTCTCCCTTCCCCCCCTCTCCCCCCCCACCATCCTTCCCTTCCCTAGGTACGGGGGCGGCCCAGTGGTGTCTCGCCACCTTGTGCGCATGGGGGGGGCGGGAGGAGCTATCAGTGGAGGTCTACCCGCTCTCACTCGAGCTCTCCTGCGTCTCTGCTCTCCCTCCCCCCCTTCCCCCGCCCCATCCTTCCCTTCCCCCACTTCTCTAGGTACGGGGGCGGGCCAGTGGTATCTCGCCACGTGGTGCGCAAAGGGGGGCGGGAGGAGCTATCAGTGGACGTCTACCCGCTCTCACTCGAGCTCTCCTGCGTCTCTGCTCTCCCTCCCCCCCTTCCCCCGCCCCATCCTTCCCTTCCCCCACTTCTCTAGGTACGGGGGCGGGCCAGTGGTATCTCGCCACGTGGTGCGCATGGGGGGGCGGGAGGAGCTATCAGTGGAGGTCTACCCGCTCTCTCTCGAGCTCTCCTGCGTCTCTGCCGCCACCTCACTGCCTCCTCGCGTGGAGTCGGTGGTTATCAGCAAGCGCGCGACTGTGGGACAGCTCAGGCACCGTGCGTGCGAGCTGTTTGGCCTGCAGCCAGAGAATGTGCGTATCAATGACTTGGGAGTGAATTGTGATAATGTGTGGAATTGGGTGATCATCAGCAAGCGCTCGACTGTGGGGCAGCTCAGGCATTGCGGTCTTCTCTGCTCTGAGTCTGCAAATTCGCCTACCAAGGGCTGAGCCATTTGCGTGCTGATTGCAGCAAACTAAACGCCTCGTTCCGCTTCACGAACTCCTGTGTGTGTTTCTGTGTTTTCTTTACTCGTGTATGTGTGTGCATGTGTTTATGCAAATGCGGCATGTGGCATGTATGTGTATGTATGTTGCATGTGGCCATGCCGCATGTGTGAATGTGCACGTGTGAATGTGTGTGTGCATGGGAGCAGGTGCGGGTGTGGGACAACTACGGGGGCAAGCGCCACAAGGTGTTGAGTGATGAGGGCCAGACCCTGGAAGACACGGAACTGCAGATGGGCAACCAGGTGAGGACCTGTGAACGTGCATGTGTGCATGCATTGGAGCAGGTGCGGGTGCGCCACAAGGTGTTGAGTGATGAGGGCCAGACCCTGGAAGACACGGGACTGCAGATGGGCAACCAGGTGAGCACCAGAGATTAATTGATTACAAAAAAAAAAAAAAAAAAAAACATCTGACCTGCTTTCAAGATGTAGCCTGGTCGTAATAAAAACGAATTCTTTTCCTCCCTATTCGTCTGCCCTCCACTATGTGTCAGATACTGGCGGAGGTGGGGGATAACGGCCAATGGTGAGCCAGTTGATTCTTTAACAGTTTGAACTAATTCCGTTCTCTGTTCACCCCTGTTGCCCTGCCCATCCCACTCTCAGATACTGGTGGAGGTGGGGGATAACGGCCAATGGCCAGCCCAGGCCGTGCATCTAGAGTCCTCCTCCTCGCCCTCCTCTCCCTCCACTCCCTCCCGCACGTCCAAACCCGCCGCCACCTCCCCCTTCCACACCTCCACCTCCCCCCGTACCTCCACTCTCGCGTCGGCCGCCGAACCCACCGCCGCCGAGCCTAACGTCTCCATAGCAGGGGGCCCTCTGTCGCATTATAGCAGCGTGGGAGCTGCTCCCCCTCCTGGCGCGCTGTTCATCACCTCGTGGCCTCCCAACCCTGCTGGGGAAGGAATGGAGGGAGCAGGAGCAGGAGCAGAAGCAGGGGTGGAAGGATCGACCTGGTCTCCGGTCAGAGAAATGACTGATGCAGAAGGGGCAGGGGGGGAAGAAGAGGGCGAGGGGGGCGGGACTGCCGCAAGTGGAGTTGATACCAGCGCTGCTGCTGCTGCTGCTGCTGCTGCTGCTGCTGCTGCTGCTGGGGGGGTTAGTGCTGGTGACGTGAGAGGAAAGCTGAAAGCGGCCTTCCCAGCAGCAGATGTGGGACCGGCTAAGAAACCAACGTCTGGGCTGACGCTATCCATTGCACCCCCTCCTGCCTCCTCCTCTATGGCTATTGTCCCCGTGCCTAGCGCCGAGGAGAAGAAAGGCTCGGGCTCAGGCTCGGGGTTCCCGTTCAGGTTCGGGTTCGGGTTCGGTAGCAGTTCGAGTGCCAAGGCGGCTAGTGTGGCAGCAGCGAGTGCAGGAGCCGGAGCAGGGGCGCGAGCAGGGGGGGCGCAGGGGATCCAGGGCGGTCCAGTGGGGTTGACAGGGTTGGTGAACCTTGGGAACACGTGCTTCATGAACAGTGCGCTGCAGTGCCTGGTGCACACTGTACCGTTAGTGGAGTATTTTATGGCGGATTACTTGAGGGAGATCAACAGAAGCAACCCCTTGGGCATGGAGGTGAGTGTCATTTCTGTAATCATTTGATTCACAATCCTGGCAGGCGCACTGTGCCTCTAGTGGAGTATTTTATGGCGAATTATATGAGGGAGATCAACAGAAGCAACCCCTTGGGAATGGAGGTGAGTGGGCGCTGGAAACTGCAAGGTTCACCATTGCTGCATCATTCATTGTGTTCATTTGTTCGTCGTTTTTATTTCTTTAATTCGTTCGTTCCTTAGTCGTCCTTTTCCCCCCGTCTTTGTTGCTGGTCAAATGCACCCTAGTACAGTCCATGCTTGTTCCTTTCACTCACATTCCCCATCTTAACCTCCATCACCCACTCCCACCCCCTTCTTATCATCTCCAATCCCACTCCCTTGCCCTCTTCTCGCCCACGCTTTTCCTCCCACATCGTTTCCGCCCATTCCCAACCCCTTACCACTCACGGCCTCTTTCTATTTCCCTCTCTTTCATGACCCCCACATCAGGGTGAGATGGCAACAGCGTTCGGCGAGCTGCTACGCAAGCTGTGGGCGCCGGGAAGGGACCCTGTTGCTCCCAGGGCCTTCAAGGCGCGACTCTCACGCTTTGCTCCTCAGTTCAGCGGCTACAACCAGCATGACTCTCAGGTGGGGCTACAACCGGCATGACTGGCACGCAGGATTACAACTGGCATGATCTGAACGGCACGGTGTGCAAACCGTACATCAAAGTCGATTTTTGAGGCGCCTCGTAAGTCGACTAAAAGGTGGCCTCGCCAGGATCTGAACCGCATGACATGCATACCGTACATGGAAGCCAAAGACCCTGCCTGTGCCCCACCTTCCTCACGCTAGCACCCCCATCTCTCGCCCCCCCTTCAAACAGGAGCTTCTTCTCTCCTACTGGACAGCTTGCACGAGGACCTAAACAGGGTGATGCACAAGCCGTACATTGAAGCCAAGGACGCTGATGGCGCCCCTCTTCCTTACACGCCCACCCCGCTCCACCCTCTCTGCCCCCCTGCCCTTCTACCCCCGGCCCCTCGCAGGAGCTCCTGGCTTTCCTCTTGGACGGGCTACACGAGGACCTGAACCGGGTGATGCACAAACCATACATTGAAGCCAAGGACGCTCATGGCGCACCTCTTCCTCACACACCCACCCCGTTCCACCCTCTCTGCCTCCCTGTCCTTACCGCGCGGCCCCTCTCAGGAGATCCTGGCGTTCCTATTGGACGGGCTGCACGAGGATCTGAACAGGGTGATGCGCAAGCCGTACATTGAAGCCAAGGACGCTGATGGTACTCACCTCCCTTCCTCGCCCTTCCCTCCTCCCATTCAATGCACTCACAGGAGCTGCTGGCGTTCCTACTAGATGGCTTGCACGAGGATCTGAACCGTGTGATGCGCAAGCCGTACATTGAAGCCAAGGACGCGGACGGGCGGGCGGACGAGGATGTGGCGCGGGAGAACTGGGAGAACCACAAGGCGAGGAACGACTCCATCATCGTTGACAAGTTCCAGGTGAGTGTTATTGTGACGAGTGGTAACCAGACTGTAACCTAGTGGTAACCAGCTGGGCTGGTTTTGTCTGAGGTGCATCAGAGCTTGCTGATGAGCAGCCGGGTGAGGATGTGGCGCGGGAGAACTGGGAGAACCACAAGGCGAGGAACGACTCCATCATCGTTGACAAGTTCCAGGTGTGTAACCGTGTGGTAACTAGGTGGTGATTATGTGGTAAACACGTGATCGGCCTCCCTGTTCTAATCAGGAGTACCACAAGGCTAGGAACGACTCCATCATCGTTGACAAGTTCCAGGTGTGTTGTGCTGGTAACCGTGTGGTAACCAGTTACTAAATGGTTACTAGGTGGTATGTAACATGAAACTGGTGCATTCCTGTTAAAAAACTCCAAACTCCAACCTCTCTTTTCCATCCTTCTTCCACTCCCCTCTCCCCAGGGTCAATACAAGTCAACGCTGGTCTCCTCTTCGACCCCTTCATGTACCTCTCGCTGCCGCTGCCCTCCAAGGCCACACGCTCACGGCACCTCACCCCCTTGACTCGACTCACAAGTCCCACCCAATATAACCTGTTCCATTCCCTTCCTCCCAACCTTCCCCTGCCCCTCCCCACCCCTCCCCACAAACCCCTTCCCTCCAGGGTCAATACAAGTCAACGCTGGTGTGTCCGCAGTGCAAGTAGGTCTCAGTCACCTTCGATCCCTTCATGTACCTCTCCTTGCCTTCCCACCCTTCCAACCCCTCCCAACACCCCCCAACCCCCCAGGGTCAATACAAGTCAACGCTGGTGTGTCCGCAGTGCAAGAAGGTCTCGGTCACCTTCGATCCCTTCATGTACCTCTCGCTGCCACTGCCCTCCAAGGCCACGCGCTCGCTGCACCTCACTCTACTCTCCTCGTTCGGCGACCAGCCCCCCCGGGCGCTCACTGTCACGGTGCCGCGTACAGGCAGGATTCTGGACCTGCAGAGGGCGTTAGCTGAGGCGTGCCAGCTGCCTCCAGGAGAGAGACTGCATGTGGCTGAGGTGAGCTGCTCTCTCCCCTCTCCTTGTTCGGTCACCAGACCAGCCCCCCCGTGCGCTGACTGTCACGGTGCCACGCACAGGCAGGATTCTGGACCTGCAGAGAGCGTTGGCTGAGGCGTGCCAACTGCCTCCAGGAGAGAGACTGCATGTGGCTGTTGTGAGCTGCTCTCTCCCCTCTCCTTGTTCGGTCACCAGACCAGCCCCCCCGTGCGCTCACTGTCACGGTGCCACGCACAGGCAGGATTCTGGACCTCCAGAGGGCGTTAGCTGAGGCGTGCCAGCTGCCTCCAGGAGAGAGACTGCATGTGGCTGAGGTGAGCTGCTCTCTCCCCTCTCCTTGTTCGGTCACCAGACCAGCCCCCCCGTGCGCTCACTGTCACGGTGCCACGCACAGGCAGGATTCTGGACCTGCAGAGAGCGTTGGCTGAGGCGTGCCAACTGCCTCCAGGAGAGAGACTGCATGTTGCAGAGGTGAGAGTTGCAGAGGTGAGAGTTGCAGAGGTGAGAGTTGCTGAGGTGAGAGTTGCAGAGGTGAGAGTTGCTGAGGTGAGAGTTGCAGAGGTGAGAGTTGCAGAGGTGAGAGTTGCAGAGGTGAGAGTTGCTGAGGTGAGAGTTGCAGAGGTGAGAGTTGCTGAGGTGAGAGTTGCTGAGGTGAGAGTTGCAGAGGTGAGAGTTGCAGAGGTGAGAGTTGCAGAGGTGAGAGTTGCAGAGGTGAGAGTTGCAGAGGTGAGAGTTGCAGAGGTGAGAGTTGCTGAGGTGAGAGTTGCAGAGGTGAGAGTTGCAGAGGTGAGAGTTGCAGAGGTGAGAGTTGCAGAGGTGAGAGTTGCAGAGGTGAGAGTTGCAGAGGTGAGAGTTGCAGAGGTGAGAGTTGCAGAGGTGAGAGTTGCAGAGGTGAGAGTTGCAGAGGTGAGAGTTGAAGAGGTGAGAGTTGCTGAGGTGAGAGTTGCAGAGGTGAGAGTTGCTGAGGTGAGAGTTGCTGAGGTGAGAGTTGCTGAGGTGAGAGTTGCAGAGGTGAGAGTTGCAGAGGTGAGAGTTGCAGAGGTGAGAGTTGCAGAGGTGAGAGTTGCAGAGGTGAGAGTTGCAGAGGTGAGAGTTGCAGAGGTGAGAGTTGCAGAGGTGAGAGTTGCTGAGGTGAGAGTTGCAGAGGTGAGAGTTGCTGACGTGAGAGTTGCAGCGGTGAGAGTTGCAGAGGTGAGAGTTGCTGAGGTGAGAGTTGCTGAGGTGAGAGTTGCTGAGGTGAGAGTTGCTGAGGTGAGAGTTGCAGAGGTGAGAGTTGCTGAGGTGAGAGTTGCTGAGGTGAGAGTTGCTGAGGTGAGAGTTGCAGAGGTGAGAGTTGCTGAGGTGAGAGTTGCAGAGGTGAGAGTTGCTGAGGTGAGAGTTGCTGAGGTGAGAGTTGCAGAGGTGAGAGTTGCAGAGGTGAGAGTTGCAGAGGTGAGAGTTGCAGAGGTGAGAGTTGCAGAGGTGAGAGTTGCAGAGGTGAGAGTTGCTGAGGTGAGAGTTGCAGAGGTGAGAGTTGCAGAGGTGAGAGTTGCAGAGGTGAGAGTTGCAGAGGTGAGAGTTGCAGAGGTGAGAGTTGCAGAGGTGAGAGTTGCAGAGGTGAGAGTTGCAGAGGTGAGAGTTGCAGAGGTGAGAGTTGCAGAGGTGAGAGTTGCAGAGGTGAGAGTTGCTGAGGTGAGAGTTGCAGAGGTGAGAGTTGCTGAGGTGAGAGTTGCTGAGGTGAGAGTTGCTGAGGTGAGAGTTGCAGAGGTGAGAGTTGCAGAGGTGAGAGTTGCAGAGGTGAGAGTTGCAGAGGTGAGAGTTGCAGAGGTGAGAGTTGCAGAGGTGAGAGTTGCAGAGGTGAGAGTTGCAGAGGTGAGAGTTGCTGAGGTGAGAGTTGCAGAGGTGAGAGTTGCTGAGGTGAGAGTTGCTGAGGTGAGAGTTGCAGAGGTGAGAGTTGCAGAGGTGAGAGTTGCAGAGGTGAGAGTTGCAGAGGTGAGAGTTGCAGAGGTGAGAGTTGCAGAGGTGAGAGTTGCAGAGGTGAGAGTTGCAGAGGTGAGAGTTGCAGAGGTGAGAGTTGCAGAGGTGAAAGTTGCAGAGGTGAGAGTTGCTGAGGTGAGAGTTGCAGAGGTGAGAGTTGCAGAGGTGAGAGTTGCAGAGGTGAGAGTTGCAGAGGTGAGAGTTGCAGAGGTGAGAGTTGCTGAGGTGAGAGTTGCAGAGGTGAGAGTTGCAGAGGTGAGAGTTGCAGAGGTGAGAGTTGCAGAGGTGAGAGTTGCAGAGGTGAGAGTTGCAGAGGTGAGAGTTGCTGAGGTGAGAGTTGCAGAGGTGAGAGTTGCTGACGTGAGAGTTGCAGCGGTGAGAGTTGCAGAGGTGAGAGTTGCTGAGGTGAGAGTTGCTGAGGTGAGAGTTGCTGAGGTGAGAGTTGCTGAGGTGAGAGTTGCAGAGGTGAGAGTTGCTGAGGTGAGAGTTGCTGAGGTGAGAGTTGCTGAGGTGAGAGTTGCAGAGGTGAGAGTTGCAGAGGTGAGAGTTGCAGAGGTGAGAGTTGCAGAGGTGAGAGTTGCAGAGGTGAGAGTTGCTGAGGTGAGAGTTGCAGAGGTGAGAGTTGCTGAGGAGGTGAGAGTTGCAGAGGTGAGAGTTGCAGAGGTGAGAGTTGCTGAGGTGAGAGTTGCAGAGGTGAGAGTTGCAGAGGTGAGAGTTGCTGAGGTGAGAGTTGCAGAGGTGAGAGTTGCTGAGGTGAGAGTTGCAGAGGTGAGAGTTGCAGAGGTGAGAGTTGCTGAGGTGAGAGTTGCAGAGGTGAGAGTTGCAGAGGTGAGAGTTGCAGAGGTGAGAGTTGCAGAGGTGAGAGTTGCAGAGGTAAGAGTTGCTGAGGTGAGAGTTGCAGAGGTGAGAGTTGCAGAGGTGAGAGTTGCAGAGGTGAGAGTTGCTGAGGTGAGAGTTGCAGAGGTGAGAGTTGCAGAGGTGAGAGTTGCAGAGGTGAGAGTTGCAGAGGTGAGAGTTGCAGAGGTGAGAGTTGCAGAGGTGAGAGTTGCAGAGGTGAGAGTTGCAGAGGTGAGAGTTGCTGAGGTGAGAGTTGCAGAGGTGAGAGTTGCAGAGGTGAGAGTTGCAGAGGTGAGAGTTGCTGAGGTGAGAGTTGCAGAGGTGAGAGTTGCTGAGGTGAGAGTTGCAGAGGTGAGAGTTGCAGAGGTGAGAGTTGCAGAGGTGAGAGTTGCAGAGGTGAGAGTTGCAGAGGTGAGAGTTGCAGAGGTGAGAGTTGCAGAGGTGAGAGTTGCTGAGGTGAGAGTTGCAGAGGTGAGAGTTGCAGAGGTGAGAGTTGCAGAGGTGAGAGTTGCTGAGGTGAGAGTTGCAGAGGTGAGAGTTGCAGAGGTGAGAGTTGCAGAGGTGAGAGTTGCAGAGGTGAGAGTTGCAGAGGTGAGAGTTGCAGAGGTGAGAGTTGCAGAGGTGAGAGTTGCTGAGGTGAGAGTTGCAGAGGTGAGAGTTGCAGAGGTGAGAGTTGCAGAGTTGAGAGTTGCAGAGGTGAGAGTTGCAGAGGTGAGAGTTGCTGAGGTGAGAGTTGCAGAGGTGAGAGTTGCTGAGGTGAGAGTTGCAGAGGTGAGAGTTGCAGAGGTGAGAGTTGCTGAGGTGAGAGTTGCAGAGGTGAGAGTTGCAGAGGTGAGAGTTGCTGAGGTGAGAGTTGCAGAGGTGAGAGTTGCTGAGGTGAGAGTTGCAGAGGTGAGAGTTGCAGAGGTGAGAGTTGCTGAGGTGAGAGTTGCAGAGGTGAGAGTTGCAGAGGTGAGAGTTGCAGAGGTGAGAGTTGCAGAGGTGAGAGTTGCAGAGGTGAGAGTTGCTGAGGTGAGAGTTGCAGAGGTGAGAGTTGCAGAGGTGAGAGTTGCAGAGGTGAGAGTTGCTGAGGTGAGAGTTGCAGAGGTGAGAGTTGCAGAGGTGAGAGTTGCAGAGGTGAGAGTTGCAGAGGTGAGAGTTGCAGAGGTGAGAGTTGCAGAGGTGAGAGTTGCAGAGGTGAGAGTTGCAGAGGTGAGAGTTGCAGAGGTGAGAGTTGCAGAGGTGAAAGTTGCAGAGGTGAGAGTTGCTGAGGTGAGAGTTGCAGAGGTGAGAGTTGCAGAGGTGAGAGTTGCAGAGGTGAGAGTTGCAGAGGTGAGAGTTGCAGAGGTGAGAGTTGCTGAGGTGAGAGTTGCAGAGGTGAGAGTTGCAGAGGTGAGAGTTGCAGAGGTGAGAGTTGCAGAGGTGAGAGTTGCAGAGGTGAGAGTTGCAGAGGTGAGAGTTGCTGAGGTGAGAGTTGCAGAGGTGAGAGTTGCTGAGGTGAGAGTTGCTGAGGTGAGAGTTGCAGAGGTGAGAGTTGCAGAGGTGAGAGTTGCAGAGGTGAGAGTTGCAGAGGTGAGAGTTGCAGAGGTGAGAGTTGCAGAGGTGAGAGTTGCTGAGGTGAGAGTTGCAGAGGTGAGAGTTGCAGAGGTGAGAGTTGCAGAGGTGAGAGTTGCAGAGGTGAGAGTTGCAGAGGTGAGAGTTGCAGAGGTGAGAGTTGCAGAGGTGAGAGTTGCAGAGGTGAGAGTTGCAGAGGTGAGAGTTGCAGAGGTGAGAGTTGCAGAGGTGAGAGTTGCTGAGGTGAGAGTTGCAGAGGTGAGAGTTGCTGAGGTGAGAGTTGCTGAGGTGAGAGTTGCTGAGAGTTGCAGAGGTGAGAGTTGCAGAGGTGAGAGTTGCAGAGGTGAGAGTTGCAGAGGTGAGAGTTGCAGAGGTGAGAGTTGCAGAGGTGAGAGTTGCAGAGGTGAGAGTTGCAGAGGTGAGAGTTGCTGAGGTGAGAGTTGCAGAGGTGAGAGTTGCTGACGTGAGAGTTGCAGCGGTGAGAGTTGCAGAGGTGAGAGTTGCTGAGGTGAGAGTTGCTGAGGTGAGAGTTGCTGAGGTGAGAGTTGCTGAGGTGAGAGTTGCAGAGGTGAGAGTTGCTGAGGTGAGAGTTGCTGAGGTGAGAGTTGCTGAGGTGAGAGTTGCAGAGGTGAGAGTTGCTGAGGTGAGAGTTGCAGAGGTGAGAGTTGCTGAGG